GGTAGAGTTTGACCAGCGCTTTCTGCTCCGAGACCTCACCTTGCAATTCCCTCCCAAGGGCCTTAGTGTGATATCTGGGAAAACTGGCTCGGGGAAGAGCCTCCTGTTAGCCTCGATCCTTGGGGAATGTGATGTCTTGTCTGGGACCGTGGCAGTACCTCATGCTCCTTCCATAAACAGGACATATGATCAGCGGGCCACTCGCCACAACTGGATCATTGACTCGGCTATCGCATATGTCGCTCAGAACCCCTGGCTGGAGAACGCCACTATAAAGGACAATATCCTTTTCGGCCTTCCGTACGATCGCTATCGATACCGCAAAGTCATATACGCCGCAGGCCTGAAGAAAGATATCGCAATGTTTCCAGATGCCGATCGGACCGACATTGGTGCAAATGGAATTAATTTGAGCGGTGGTCAGCGCTGGCGCATTTCATTTGCGCGTGCTCTCTATTCCCGTGCCGGAATCTTGGTTATGGATGATATATTCAGTGCACTTGACGCTGAGACTGGGCGCCACGTGTATGAGCATGCTCTTATCGGCAAGTTAGGACAAGGCAGGACCAGGATCCTTGTCACCCATCACCTTGGGTTGTGTCTGTCTCGGACCGACTACTGTGTTATCCTGTCGGACGGGCTCACGATTCATGCTGGGACAGTAGATGAATTGGCAGCCACTCAGAACTTAATAGACTTGTTGGGCGAATCTGCCAAGTCATCAAATGGTCGCAAGTCTGATGTAGTAGACGAAGAGCCTGTGTCACCGATGACACCGATGAAGCGCGTCTCTACCGAGTCAGGCTTCTCAGTAGCAACAAGTGTCACTGAGCCCCCAAGGAAGTTCACCGAAGACGAAAAGCGCGAGAAAGGAGCCGTGTCCATGCAAGTATACACGACATATATGACCAAGGGAAAATGCCTACGTTGGTGGATGATAACGTTTCTGGCTTATGTTGCATTTATGGCGCTTTTAGTCGGAAGAGTAAGTGCCCAGGTCTTCCCAGTCAAGGATCACTATTGACCAGTCTTAGTCTTGGTGGATAAGCGTCTGGACAGACTCGTCCACATCCTCATCGCAACCAACCTATTTATATGGTGCCTCCCAATCCCGAACAGTTGCTGCCAACAGATATTTTGTCGACAAGGATTCCATGTTCTATCTCAGCATATATGTCTGCTTTTCGGTGGCCGCATGTATTATTGGAACTCTAAGGACTTTGGCCCTTGCCCTCGCTTCTCTGGAGTCTTCACAGCGACTCTTCGATGACCTTTTAGCAGCTGTATTGCGCTCACCGCTGCGGTGGCTAGATACGGTGCCCCTCGGCCGGATCCTTAACCGATTCACATCTGACATGTACATCCTTGACTGGAGGCTCGGTTATGATATCGGGCACTTCGTGTTCAAGGCTTTGGAGCTGACTAGTATACTAGCAGCAGGAGTGTTAGTATCCCCAATACTGTTGGTACTTGCCTGTATCCTCCTCGTACTCTGCTTTCGACTCTCCAAGATCTACCTTACGGGAATGCGTGAGATCAAACGACTGGAAAGTACCGCTAAGAGTCCTGTCCTGGAACGATTTGGGTCCAGCCTTTCCGGTCTGACCACGATTCGAGCTTTTAATAAAGCAGAAATCTATATGAAAGACATGTACGATCGCATCGATCGTCATGCTCAGGCGGCGTGGTATCTCTGGCTTCTGGATCGATGGCTATCGTTTCGGATGAGTATCGCGGGAGCCGTGCTGGCCGGGATGACAGCAGCCCTGGTAGTGTACGTTCCTAGCATCTCTCCGGCACTGGCAGGCTTCGCCATGACATTTGCTCTACAATATAATTATGCCGTGTCGATGGGCCTACGCTTCTATGCAAATGTGGAGACAGACATGAATGCTACGGAGCGGGTGTTGGAGTACTGCAACATTGAGCTCGAGGAGCAAGGGGGCCATAACCCGCCAGCGGCATGGCCCACGCGTGGAAAGGTCGAAGTTGAGGATCTGGCTGTCGGCTACGCCCCCGACCTGCCTCCGGTGATTGACGGGCTTAGCTTCACGATGGAGAATAACCAACGTGTGGGCGTCGTCGGACGTACCGGAGCTGGAAAATCATCGCTAACCCTGGCATTGTTCCGCTTCCTCGAAGCCCGACAGGGGCGCGTACTGATTGATGGGCTGGATATTTCGCAAATCAAGCTGGAAGCATTGCGCAGCCGTCTTGCGATCATTCCTCAAGACCCGGTGCTCTTTTCGGGGACACTGCGGTCCAATCTAGATCCATTCATCGAGTATAGTGATCTGGAACTCTACAACGCTCTAGAACGGGTACATCTTGTCTCATTCGAGGATACATTGACCCTGGCATCGCACTCGAGTAGCGAGCCACTGAGCGACAGCGGCACATTGCCGTCATCAGCGAACTCGAGTACGGAACCGGTCAAAACAAGCAACTTTTTCGCGTCATTGTCATCAGTCGTCTCCCAGGGAGGGCTCAATCTCTCCCAAGGCCAACGGCAATTACTTTGCCTTGCGCGAGCCATAGTGTCCCAACCAAAAATCATGATTTTGGACGAGGCTACCTCAGCAGTGGATATGGAGACTGAGGCCTTGATCCAGCGGTCCATTCGAGAAGAATTTGGACGCAATGCTACCTCGCTTCTTGTCATTGCGCACCGACTTAGCACCGTGGCGGATTTTGATCGAATCCTTGTGATGGACGCCGGAAAGGCCGTGGAGTTCGGCACACCGCAGGAGTTGCTCGAAATTGAGGGAGGTGTGTTTCGAAATCTGGTGGAGAACAGCGGAGAGCGAGCACATCTAGAGCGAGTCATCAAGAGAGAAGAGACAGGATCTCGAGGCTCTTAGCTTTTGTTATTCAGCATAGTTAGCGTTTGGGTGGCTTTTGTGTATACTAATCGATATGTATAGGAAGGAAGGGCATCATCTACTGACTGCTGAGGATACCTCTTCCACAGCAACATTCTAATTAGGTTATCAGCGACACAGAATGAATGTACTACTTTTGTGGGCTTATAGAGGAGGACTTCAAGAGTGTATCGTATTCCGAGTATTTACAAAACCATACCCAACGTATGATGAACAGCCACTACTACCCTTCCGGTTAGTGTTCTTGAAACCCATTCGAAACCGTCGCGGCGCTGGACTTTAAAAAGCTCTGGCGGACCTGCTCTTCTCACGGGATTTCGACTTGCCTTTTCCTACTCCGTTATAGCGGCATTCCCTCTCTGACCATCTCTCCCCGTCGTCATTATCATCATCTCTTGCTTCTCAATACAGGAATCCATCCAATTCAGACACACTCACATGGGATCGGACTTGCTACGGTCGCCGACTAATCAAGACATCAGCACGGAGAAAGCCACGCGGTCTTCCTCACCACCGCCACTCCCCGTGGTGACCCCCGCTGTTACTGCTGCTGCTGCTGCTTCTACCGCTCAAGTGGACCCTGAAGATGACTGGGCTGGTCTCTGCGACCGCCAGGAACGCCGGCGACGACAGAACCGGCTGAACCAACGAGCATACCGTGAGAGCATTCCACACCGTTTACTCATCTATGATCCAACCTCAACTAACTACATAATCCCAGGGAAACGGAAACAAGCCGAACGCAGCGGCAATAATGCCCTGGCCATACGTTCATCCTCATCCCACCCACCACCACCGCCATCACTAGGCACCAACATTAAGATTGAGCAAGGCAGCTCATCATCACCACCATCCTCCTCCTCCTCCCCCTCCCCCTCCTCAGACTCCAACCCCTCCCAGACCCTCACCCGCCGAACCCTAACCAGCGAAGCCTCCAAACCGGAAAACATCCGGCGGATATTCGAGCACTTCGCCCGGGTCGCCTACGAAAGCTACTTCCGCGGCTCCCCATCGGCCGACCACCTCCTCACGCTGAGCAAACTGAACGTCTTCCGCGCCTTCATGACCAACATGACCGTCCTCGGCTTCGGCAATCAAACCACCTGGTGTGATGACGACGATGCCCTCTCCCTCTTCAACACCTTACCTCCGGAGGCTATTGAGGAAAAGAAATTGCCTGTGAGTCTGCGTCCGACAAAGATCCAGATGCAGGTGCCGCATCATCCGTGGTTGGATTTTTTTCCGTTGCCGCGTCTCCGGGATAATTTGTGCTTGATGATCGATCGGTTTGATGATGATGAACTTTGTCATGATGTGATGGGGTTCTGGGATAATGCGTCGGATACGTGTAGTCTGCTGGTGTGGGGAGAGCCGTCGGATCCGGCGAATTGGGAGGTCACGGAGCAGTTTTTGAGGAAGTGGCCGTGGGTGTTGAGAGGGTGTCCGGAGCTGTTGAAGAGTACGAATCGGTGGAGGCAGAAGAGGGGGGAGAAGATGATTATAAGGTATTTGTAGGGATGCAGGTGTGTAGTGTGATGTATGTCAGTAGTGATGATGTGATGAATGGATTGAAATATAATGGTTTACGATCATCTTTGAAATCTTAAGCTTGAGCTTGTCGAGTTAGGTACACTTGTTAGTGGATTATTGAACACATGCATAAATGATGATCTTTATGCTATATCTTCCCCATACAGCAACTGAAGTAGTAAGTACAACTAATAAAGATACATATGTATGCATGCTCACATAATAAGCGCATGCATAAGCACTCAATCTAACTACCAACAGCAACAGTACTTACATCACCACTAGCACTCTGAACCATTGCAACTCCCCCGGAGATACGATCTCCACCGTCCGGAGACCGACCAAGCGCAGGGCAGACGCTAATGCACCCTGCTGACACGCTTAATTACTGGTTCCCTGGATCTTGAAGGATGATTCTCCAATCAGAGGACGCAGATAGAGTGATCTAACGTTACTTGGCAAGGGAGTAGATTTGTCAGCGTTGAAGGAGGGGTGTTTTGTCAGTATTGGTTATTTCGGTACAAGTACCACATGTATGTGTGTATTATTGCCTGAGGCATGAACGGGCTTTGGTATAGATGGTTGATTGTGCTTTGGTGATGACCCTTCACTTTAGGTCGTGAATACTTTATTGCAATGTATTAGTGATCTTAAAGCCAATAGCTCTGCAACGAGACTTCTCAACACTGATTAATTAATCTACTACACGTGAACGACAACGTCACATTCACGGGGCTGAATGGCCAGCATTCTTTCCCATGATGGTATCATTAGCCTCAACCATGAGGCTCAGATCACATTCTCTCGCTCCGCCTTTTCCACCATCTTGCACAATGCATCTGCCACTCCGTACGAGAAGGCATAGCCGCCTCCACCGAATCCATACGCCGAGAGGATGTACCGGTTCCCCTGCTGCTCGGAGTCTAAGCGGAAGCCACCCTTCCTCGAGGGTCGGATACCGACAATGTAGCTGAGGGTGTCTTCGGGTGGATGCTCAGGAACGATCTCGGGAGCGAGACGGTGTGCGCGTGCGATTTCATCTCGGGCGATTTCCATGTCTGGTTCGGAGGATCTGTGGTAATAGGGTTAGTATTCGGTGTCTCCCCAGGGTTGAAGTACTAAGGTGTTCGTGATCAGGCCTTACAGGTTGTCAGCTTGCTTTACTCCCCCTAGGATGACGCCATGAGACATGGGTCGAGGAATAACGTAGGTGTACTCTTGGCCGTTCCGGAAGTACATGGTGCGACAGTTTTTCGTCTTGTAGAACACGTTCTGCCCCCGTTCCGGGAAGCACAAGTCATCTTGGACGTCCTTGAGGGTTTGACTTCCGATTCCGCTGGCATTTATGAAGATACTGGACTCGGGGAACATGCCGTAGAGGTCTTCAAGAGACTCTACCCGCTTGCGAATGAACTGGCCGCCTAGAGCGGTGATCTTCTTGGCCAGATACGGCATGTGAAGGGTGGGATCGGTGACGAGAGTCTCGTACGACCATCCACAACTGAATTCTGATGGATATTCACCCGGTTGCAGGTCACGCCACTAGGTCTCATGTCAACTTCTGATCGGTGTCTATTGCTGCTCATGCAAGCTGTCTTACCTTGGCAGCCAAAGTCCTACCCCATGCCGATGAGTTTTCAGCAGGAGGTCGTTCGACATACTCCAGGGCATCGACAATGCTGACTCCAGATTCGGGTTCTTCTTGTGCCATTTTCAGCAACTGACGATGGCTGATCGCTTGAAGATATCTCCATTCCGGACTGATTCCGCCCGCAGGATGCCATGCGGCTCCAGCCCAGGCGGATGCATATCGGAAATCCTGATCCCCAGGTAGATATTCAGCGACCAAGATGACTGGAAAGCCGTTTTGTAGAAGTTGTCGCGCGGCGGCACAGCCAATAATGCCCGCACCCAAAATGATGATCGGACGTTGTGCGAAAGGCACGTTGGGTGTATCGGCCGGATAGTGCTGGAGTTCGCCCATCTTTTCTAGAAAGATTCTGTAGCCCGCTACCCGTTTAAAGTGGGGTCAGCAGGAGGTTTTAAGGATAGCTAGAGGGAACGGAAGAATGGTTCAAGAAGGAAAGAAGGATGGAACAGTAGTATGGGAGGCAAATGATGCAAGAGCCCATAGAGAGGGACGACAAGTTTATACCACGGGGGCGACATCGGAGGCTTCAAATTATATTCGTATTAGCCTCCCCAACGCGATACCATCTCCTGTCCCTCGAGAACTATAGTCCGAGCCGCTTTCGAAGCCATGAGAGCGAGCATGAGCCATTAGCGAGGAAAAAGTGCAGTGGGATGGGGGAACTTTTCGGATCGAAGCGCCCAGAAGCCAGATCCGCCAGGCGGTTGGAGCCGACCAGCGGGTCGAGCCGCTGCTGGTGAGAACTCGATCTCTCCTCCTCATTTGGCGCTGCCTTACTGATGCTCCTCTCTGGCGGTTATCTTTACTTTCTCCAGTGAGGTCAATCCGTCGAGGACTCGTCAGCTCCCAGTATCACCTGCAGCCCTCATAGGTCCTGGGTGGATGGCGCCATGCCCGACACGGCTCGATGGGGCGGCCCTTTCCGACAGGCAAATACTACTATATTCGCAAACTGATTTGCGAAAGAGCATTTGGTGTTTTATGTCGACGTGTCATGTCATCGAATCGGTATCCAAATCCGGGCGGCGGGTAAACAATCCGGTCCACGAGGATGACAGGAGGATAATGTGCGAAAGCCTTCATCATCACAGATGAAGTCAAGGAAGAAATCAGCATACCGTCTGCCGCGCCCAATCATGGTATCTCCCTCCACACCCTTTTCACCTATCAATGAGTTTCCGTGCAAGGGCCCGGACTAGGAGAATGACAATCACTGCCAACAACATGGCCTGATGCATAAATTTCAATGGTCTATGTTCATCCCGATGGAGAGTGGGACTTCAGCTGGGCATAGCAATCCTGTCTGCAGCGCAATTGCCTTTGTCTTGCCCACTCGTATGCTGCGGGGCTTGGATTCCCACAGGAACAATGAAAGCTCTCTCGTAAACGAAGTGGATCTGTCAGGAGATGCAGCATACACGCGTCCGCTCAACACTCAGCCACCACATCCCTGTCGTAGTCCAGCTGGTGTTTGGAAAGTCTTTGAAGTCATCGGCGTCACCGAGTGTGCCACCGCCGATTGAGTTTGGGGGATCCCGAACCGCAGCGCCATCATGAAGGTCCCATTCTATGTCGGGATAATTGCGTACAAGGTACATCAAGCGGTGAATGTTGCAAGCGAAGCTCATTGTCTATGACTACCGTTTCTGGAAGGCCAGAACTGACGGGAATAGTAAGTGGAGCACTCTCTCAAGAAAACAGATGCGTATCTGAACCCCCAGGATTGCCCGACTGGTGCATAATTGACGAGGCAGCCAGATATGGAAACGAGTGACAGGCCACTAGAGCAGCAGGGTCAGCCACTACATGGTCCAACTCGGCACCGAGAGGAGTGATGCCTGCTTGCCTGCTTGCTTGCATTTCTCGAAGAAGATCCGGTTTAAGGAGGATTTACGGTTTAGCGGGCATGATAAAGCAAGATGTCGCTTTCGGGAGTTGGCGCTGGTCACGTTACGGGACATCCTTGCAACTTCTGCATTAATGCCGGATATTATTGATGTCGTCTCTAGGTGCCGGAAGAGGATATCTCCGGATAGACCATCTAATAGACTTGAGTGTGATAAAGCAGAGCACTGCAGTAAACTGGTAGTATTCCTACTTAGTATGAGGCACCACATACTTCTAGCTTGGAGACTATTAGGTAACCCCTTCAGAAACGATTCACATACAACTTACTAGTACTACGGGCGACAACAAATATACCAATTATATAGTGCTATTATATTAGTATCATGTCAATCAGCTTGTTTTTCTCTCGCAAGCAGCAGAAAAATAAGCAATTGGCTATCCCAGAACTGCTATAGACCCACCAGGTAAGTAGTGTAGCCACTAAGTGAAGCTAGTAGTAATACCTCCTATACCCGTGATGATATACACACAATCAAATTATCCCCCATCCAAGTCCACCGATACCCAAAAATTTAACGAGTCGAATATATGCCTAGGAAAATCATGAAATATATACCGTAAATTACTTTAATCATGCTTCTACTCATGCTTGTAAAGCCTAATGAAGTGCAATTTACAGTAGATGCCTTATCCTGCCAGGTCCTTATACGATGGGTTATCTCTTAAGGCCAACAACATCACCACCTTGAACCAGAAAGCAACAGGCGATGTTTCAACTGTTTCGATTCAGGCACTAACTGCCCCCATCTCGCATCATCACATAGTCAGGCGGAGGCTGTTACTTCACGTCTTTCCAATACTAAATAGCTACAAAGCACCTACACGCTAAGATAGACAGGGTGAGTGAGGACCGTGCGGGATAAGCCCGTCACTATAAGAAGAAAAGACTACTAACCTCCTGAACCGTTCCATTCCTCCCCTGATCCGGCTCCTTTACGAGATCCGACATCGGCTATTGTCCTTTTAATGGCCATGCCGATGGATACCGGATATACAATTGATCCATTGGTCCGAGTTGCTTCTTCGGAAGAGCTTTGCGCCTGAGGCAGATTATCTAGATTTTACTGCTCAAGAAGTGGTTTGTCAGGATAGCCACAGCTTCATAGCCATCCTGGAGGATATCATGGATTCCATATGTATGTACGCTATATAACACTCTATTCACATAACATCATCATATATTGACACGTGTCCGGCATCACAGAGCGGACTTCTCCCACACGATCTCCTTCCCATTAAGTCCCTCCACGGCGGGAATCTGGGCACGCAGAGCCTGACCGTAATCTCCGGCATTCGGCGTACGCAACAAAGTGTGGATGTGGAACTTCTTCGGCTCCTCGTTGTTGAGGAAGACACCGGAGTGGTGGTCGAATTCGATCAGAACCACGGGGCTCTGGAGGCGGTAGTAGAAGGGGTCGCTGTCGCCATAGCCACCAATCCAGCAGAAGTAAGTCTCCGACTCATATTGGCGAATCTGGTCCAGCTTCATCTGACGGGCCCGAGCAGGGAGGTACAACAGGTATTGCTCGAAGATGCCGTACATGTATTTCTTCTGTTCCTCCGTGAATCCGTCGACGGTGATACCCTCGTTAGGGACGACACGGTTGTCCCGGTAAGCTCCGCACAGGTGGCGCTGGTCATCGCGGTTCCAGCGGCCCGGGGGCATGGCGGGATCGTGCATCTCTGCGAATACGCGGGCCTTTTGCTGAAGGTCAGGGGTCAAGGATTGCATCAGGCGGAGGCCAAGCTCTTCTTCGACCTGCATGATACGGGTACCCGAGTACGGGCCATCGTCAATCTCATTGGGCTCGGCGCCGGTGAACCACGGGGAGGCGACAATCTGGTTCTTGTACAGGAAAATGTTGAGGCAAAGGTGGTGGCCATAGAAGGACCAGCCCCATGGCCGAGTGGTCGAGGGACGACCGAAAAGGACAAAGTTGTAGGAGAACTCGTTCATCACCTTGGGAGATTCCACGAGTTCGCCGAGGAAGTGGTTGATGCGCATCGCCTTGACTGCCTTGTCGTAGCCCTCAGGCGACAGGGAGGTCTTCAGGACGTTCATGATGGCATCGCGCAGCTTGTTGTCAATCTCGTCGAGGCGCAGACCCTTGTGAGCTAGAAGAAATTCGGGGTTTGACCAGGTCCGCCATTCGGGGGAGTCAATGTGGTAGGACAGCGCCTGGCGCTGCTTGTCGTCGGCAAGGGACAGGACATTCTGGACGGATTCAACGATGTCGCCAACAGGCACACCTTCATCTTGGAGCGTAAACAAGCCAGGGCGAACGTTTCCTTCAAGAATTGATTAGCATTGGCCGTTCAAAATGGCGGTGCGGGGTGAGTTCATCGGGGGAAAAGAACACACCATCAGTGGTCACACCCTTGAAGGGTTCCTGCAGCAGATCAACCCAGTGCATGTACAGCGCATGCAGCCACGGAGGGTTCTTCAGTGTCTTGAAATCATGGGCGTATTCATGGGCATCCTGATTGCGCATCACCTGGAAGCGCTTCAAACTCAGGTCGGGCAAGTACTGACGGTACTCGCCCGTGGGCTTTTGCAGTTCAGCGGCGGAGTGGGACATGATGGGCGGATTGCAACAAGGCAGAGAGGGAGGCAGCCAGTGTTGCAGGGAGGAGAGAACGGGGAGAATGAGAAAAGAGAGACAATGAGGGGGAGGGGTAATAGGAAGCAGGCAGCGACGCGTAGTTATTATAGCTGAACGTGTAGTGAGACTGCGATCGGCATCTACTTTCCGTACTTCTTGGGATTCTTTTCCCTGTGGCGTCACTCCCCACGCTTTCTCCACACAAATCCCCACCGTGGGTGGTGGAGAGCGGCTGTTTTCTTATCCGATGCTGCTTTCCTCCACACTTTGCCTTGCCATTGCCGGTCTCTCTCTTCACTCCATCTTCCATATGGGCGATCGATGCAAACGGTTATCGATTCTCTATCCGTCGGATATACTAGACTTCTCTGCAGAGTGATATTATATTATCTACTATCCAAAACCACAGCCTCCCTCACCCTCAGACGTGCATCAGCCCACCCTCCCGGATATCCCGACGGCTCTGCATAACTCCGTCTGTCCGTTGATCCATCTACCCCGAACCACCTGCTCCCTCATCCCACGCCAAATGCGCCCTCAATTCCCCCAGTACCCCACTAGATTCCCCCGGATATTCGAATCGCGCTAAGACATGTTGGTCGGGACGGACTAGAATTGCCTGGCCCTCCGCTAATCTCGTCAGCGCCATCCACTTGTCGCCACCCCCGGGCTGAAGGTCAAAGTTTGCCCCTCTGGTCATCATCTCGATTTTTAGCCCATCACACTTGCCGGGGAGTTGCCGTTTCACTTCTTCGAGGATTTTACCCCAGTGATCTGCTGATCTAATGTCCACAATGAGTGTGAAGGCGTCAAAGGCACACAGATCTAGCGTGGAGAATTGTTTCAGTTTTAGCTCCTCGGGAAGAAACTCTGATACATAGGAACAATCAATTGGGGGAAGCCGTATCTGCTCTGGGGTCAACAAATTGATCCACGCGTGCGGAAGGCGGGCTCCAGGAGTGCAAACGGGCTCGTATGTTGACGCACAGTCTGGGCGCTTATGGTTACCGTAGACGTAGCCCACATGAAGACCAAGGTTGTCAAAGTGCTCACGCTGACCTTCAATGCCTTTGTTGATCTCTTTCATCATATGTGAGTCTTCAATGTTGCGGTATAAGTTTTGTCTCGCAACTCGAACGTCAGGATCGGTAGTCCCGAGCGCTTTCAAAAGACCAAATATCTGTTTCCCGTTCTTGACGCTCTGCTCAGCGTTATCACAGGCAACTGGTTGCCGATCAGCTTCATAGCTGTCCAAAAGCCTGTCACCACCCCATCCATGATGCACAGCTGCGAGCTTGTATGCGAGATTATGGACATCCCCTAGACCACTGTTCAGTCCCAATCCTCCAGTAGGTGGGAAGGAATGGGCAGCATCTCCGGCTCTGTGCAACAGTGTGTTAGCACGTACTGGCGGAGACCGAGGTGCAATACTACTAACAGCAATACACGATTTGCTCGGTAGGAAAGTGCGACTTTCCTGCTCAAGATCCATGGTCGGTAACTCAGCACGTCGTATGGGACCTTTGTACCGATAGCTGCGTCGACAACCTTGCGACAAAGTGCTTCGTCCCACGTTTCAACTGGGTGCTTCTCGGCCTACATAGAAGTTAGCTGGGGACTATTCATTTATGCAAACAAGCAAGCAGGACTTCAATCTTCCCAAGTCTGGCGAACTCACATCAAAATTACAGATCAAGACTTGGTTCCCTCCCAAATCGTATCCGATAATGAATCCAGATACTTCAGGGTCCATCACCCAGTGCAACATACCCACTCGCTCTTTGACCACAGGATGTAGATTGGCATTGATGTGGATTGTCATCATGGTTTCGTCTAAGAAGTGGTTAGCCTCAAGACATTGATCGTGTTGTCTTGACCACTTACAAGAGTCCTCGCCCTCGCTCTCTATTCCCAAACATCTCCGAACCGCACTTTTTGCTCCATCGCATGCCACGAGATGGCAGCATTTCACAGTGTACTCTTGCTTTGTCGCACGATCCTCGATAGTGGCTAATACATGATCACCGCGCTTTATCAATCATCAACAAAAGTTTTAGGTTATTAATATGATCCACTGAAACTTACATCAACAAGCCGGACGAATGAATGATTCTTGCGTATCTCCACTAAATTGTTCTTGGATAACCGCTTAGCGACCAGCTCCTCAAACTCTGGCTGTGGGATATTGTGAATCATCTATCTCTAACATAAGTATCAATCTCAGTTTTCCAGATTTTCATAAATTTCTCATACCGTCGGCGTGCTTTCCAGAACGGCTGGATCCATGCGCTCATACGGAAGCCTTCCGACATGTCTGCCACTCAAACTAGTAATGAAATTCACCCAGAACGCCTCTCCGCGTTTGGTTCCGATGCTGCGAATCTCGTTCACATCCAGGCCGTATTGCCGACATAGCTCGAGTGTTCTGGGCGATAGTGCATGTGCCTTTGGCGCCTGTAGTCTGGTGGGGTAGCGTTCACACAGCAGAGATCGGACTAAAAGATAAGTAGAAGACTGTCAGTGATTTTGTCCAGCATCGGACTCGTTTCTCTCGTTGACCAGTTCCCTATCTTGTTGAGTATCCGCACCTCCAAGTTGGGCGAGCAAATACGCAAGGAGTAGGCCACATGGGCCGGCCCCGACGATCAAGATGGGCACATCGTCGTCGAAGGGGATCTCGTCCTTGGTGGGCGACATGTTATCGGTCAGTCTAAGTGTCTGTCTATGAGCTCGTCTATTCTAATCAACTGTGCCTTTATATACTGGCTCTTCGCAAAACTGAGCAAGTGGGAAAGGCTATAGTATCACTACGTTAGATTCACTTGTTTGTTGTCCTTGCGGCTGACTCGCGCGCCTTGCATCCCCCACTCCAATCAGAGTGGGAAAATTGCGGAGAATTCGGCCTTCTATGCGGGGATATGTCATGTATTCTTCCATGCCTAATGCTCTTAACCTACACTTTATTGAAATTTTTGAACTTCAACTCTGCCTATATATTGTTGGTGATGATACTATCGTCTTGAATACCATTCGAATCCGCCAAGGGACACCCCATTTCTTCCCCACCTGAGATTCCCCACCTCCCGCTTCTCTACCACTTGATGGAAGGATCAGTCTGACTATCGGCAATTGGACTCGACATCTTTGGTCATGGCAACCGACCCTCCAGGCGTCCCCCGGGTTCCGATCGGATCTGAAGCTCGGTGCGGTGGGCATTCCGTTAACCCATGCTATGAGAGTTGGGACTGAAGCCGTCCATTGCATTTATAATGGTTAACAAGGGACAGTACTTGCCCCATTCGCCCACAAGCTTTTTCTTGTGTTACCAGGGAGCAGTGACTGTGAGAATTGAATCTATTTCATGCCGAAGGCCTTATACCTGAAATGATGAGCCCAACTCATCTCGACCTGATACATCCAGACTGCCAACTTCCCGGGGTAACTTACCGCAGCAGAGTTACCATACTGTAAAACATGGGCCAACAACACGCTAGACCAAGTCCGGTTACCCGCAACGGCGATATACCACGTGACCGCCACGCGCCCGTCCGAGAACCCCGCGCGCATCCCATGATTCATCGACCAGCAAGCCCGATGCTTTGATTGGTACTCCTCTTTGGCAAAGCTCTAGGATCTTGCACATCCTGGTCAATCAGTGCCTATCAAGACAGCTGTACTAACTGACTATCTCATTCCCAACTGTTCTGGGCGCTGTTGAGATCCCAACAGGTGGCCGTATACCTCATTACCCAAGCGATACTGCGGCGGAGTAACTCTCCTGAAGCGATTAGCTCAGACCCGTTTGGGTTTCTCCGAGGAGGGCCTAGTCTAGTCTGGGTGGACACCGAACATCATCATTCTTTGCTCACTACTTTTCCTACTGAAACATTTTCTGCTTCTTCGCGAAGCTTCTTTGCCGGTGAAGCTGGATTATTGCTGCGACATTTTATCTGGCAAGCTGCGGTAGCACCTGAGCCACGTATCAAGGGAACCAACCCCCCCCCTCAGGCGGAGAACCCCTGCGAATAAAAAAAAGGACGGTTCTTATTGCTCTGCCTCTTCCCCGGCTTTTTTTTGTTCCCCTTTACGCGCTTTGCTTCTGCTACCGTTGTTTTTGCTGTCCGCCTTAAGAAACTCCGCCTGTTGCCTCACGTCACTGGGCAATTAGATCCCCCGCTGTCATGAGTTGAGAACAACACATATCATCTCATATCATCCTTCCCCTTTCGGCTTCTACTACTACCCTCGCCCTTATTCCCTGTTGTGCACCACTACCTAGCATTAGTGTGAAATTACAGACGCAGTCATGGCGCGCAGATTTATGATCCCGTGGTTGTACGACCTCGGAGTGTGGATTTTCACCCTCTGTCTGGACATCTTCTTCCGCGAGGTCTACTCGCGCGGCGCATGGCGGATTCCCAAACGCGGCCCTGTCATCATTGTCGCCGCCCCTCATGCAAATCAGTTTGTAGATTCCATTCTGTTGATGCGCATCTTGAAACACTATGCCGGTCGCAGAACCTCGTTTTTGATCGCCGAGAAGTCCATGCGCGAGCCGTACATCGGCACCATGGCCGGGTGCATGGGCGCTCTTCCCGTCGTGCGATCGATGGACCATGTCAAACCCGCCAAGGGTGAAATCTACCTCCCCGATCCTGACAATGATCCGACCCTAGTCCGTGGCAGGGGAACCGATTTCACATCCGATCAATTCATGGTGGGCGGCGCCATCATTCTCCCGCGTGTGGGCAAAACGAGTCCGGAACAACAGGCTATTGAGGAGATCTTGGGCCCCGAGGAAATTCGTCTGCGGAAACCATTCAAGAAATTCGAGAAGGACCATCCCCTCTACGAGCCATTGCGCAAGGGTACCCCGTTCAAGGCTGCTCCTCACATTGATCAGAGCAAGATGTTCGCCTCCGTGTATTCTGAACTGGTCGCAGGTGGTTGTATCGGTATCTTCCCGGAGGGCGGAAGTCATGATCGTCCCAGCTTGTTGCCCTTGAAGGCCGGTGTTGCCATTATCGCCCTCGGAACCCTCGCGCAGGATCCCAACTGTGGTCTCTCCATTATCCCATGCGGCATGAATTACTTCCATCCGAACAAATTCCGTTCTCGTGCCGTCGTTGAATTCGGTAACCCTGTGCAAGTTCACCCGGATCAGATTGAGGCCTTCAAGGCTGGTGGAAACTCGAAGCGGAACGCCGTGGGATCTCTGTTGGAAACAATCACGGAAGCACTCACTGCAGTAACCCAGCAAGCGCCCGACCACGAGACGCTAATGGTCATCCAAGCCACCCGACGACTGTATAAGCCATTGCGAATGAAGCTCCCTCTGCCCGTTGTGATCGAACTGAATCGACGACTTCTCAAAGGCTACACCCAATTTAAAGATGAACCTAAAGTGCTCCAGTTGAAGAAGGCCATCTCCGACTATAATCGCCGTCTTCGAGCCCTCGGAATTCGGGATCATCAGGTTGAATGGGGTGACGTGACCCATCGGCCGTGGTGGCTCGTTTTTGGTACCTTGTTATACCGTGTGGGAGAGCTGCTCACGCTTGCGATCGGAACCTTGCCATCGGTGGCGCTTTTTTGGCCAGTCTTCGTGACCGCCAAGGTTGTATCGGTCAAGAAGCAGCGAAAGGCTCTTGCCGGTTCCGTTGTCAAGCTTGAAGGTCGCGACGTCGTTGGAACCTGGAAGATCCTGGTCGCCATGGGGTTGGCACCAGCCCTCTATACCTGGTATACCGTAATTGTGACCATCTGGCTCCATTACTGCCGCCATGACGGACACTACGCATCTGTAGTCCCGTGGTGGCTGAACGCCAGGACTTACATCTCCGATTCTATTCCTCTTGCGCTTTTCTCGATCTTCTTCTTCGGTCTCATGATTTCGGTCTCATTCGCGGGTCTCCGTATCGGCGAGATCGGTATCGACGTTCTCAAATCCCTACCTCCTCTTCTGCGGGCCCTCGACCCAAGATCCGCCAACTCGCTCGCCAAACTCCGCGCTGAACGCCAGGCCCTTTCTGCACGAGTAGTCGACGTAATTGACACCTTCGCCCCTGAAATCTTCCCTGACTTCGAATCGGAGAAGCTTATCCCGCACGAACACCCCGAGGACGACACCTACCAATCCCGTCTTAAGAGCATGCCCCCTAGCGAGCCAGAAAGTCGCAACCGCAGCAAAGACCGAACCAGCCGGAGCCGCTCCCGAAGCGCCGGTTTCCACTTGTATGACACGCTTCTTAAGCCCCTCTCCATCAAATCCAAGGACGATCTCGGAGAAGTCAATCGTCGGATTCATGTCTCGATGCAAGAGCGCGGTCGTCAACGTGCCCGGAACGAAATCGACCCCGACGAAGACGTGGTTTCGCTTGACGGTTCTGTCAGCGCTCAGAGCGGGGACATTGCGGTAGAGGAGGTGAAGAAGACGAAATAGTCGTCTTGGCTTTCAGCCGAGGATGGACGAGAGCAACCTCTCAACCTATGATTGCATCAATTATCATCAAAAACCAAAACCTCTTTTCATGTCATGTTAGTTCATTCTGTTGGTTTCTTCATTGAGCGGGATCCGTAGCATGGCGTAGGCCTTCATTCGGCGTTTTGCGAAAGCATGTTCTGTTCTTGTCTTTCTTGTCATCATGTCTGTTTTCCTTTCACCGCTTGTTCTTGATTTGATTCAGATCCCCCTGCTTTGGCCTTTGTTTCTCGCTCGGACCTAGGCGATGCCAATCAATAACGAAATGAAATATTTTCATCTTTCACCTATTTCCATTCTATCCCTTCTTTAGGGGAATGCTCCATTAGTAAACACTCTCCTCTTCCTCTCCCTCTCAATAAAAACCACCTGAAAGGTTGGTTAGGAGGCAGTATGGAGATATGTGTTTCACGAGACGAAAATGCAGAAAAGGGGGAAGAAAACAAATCTTCCTGAAGTAATTAGCACAATAAAACCTGAGTAGTCGAGTAAGTAGTCAATAGTTTTGATCCCCACGATCTGTGGAATAATCCTGGTCCGTCTCAGTAACTCCGAGGTCCGAGAAAACCAGACCGGGGTGTGCACGTGCGGGGAGGGAGTTAGTAAGTAAGAGTAAGTTGGAAGAAGGGATGGACGCGGGGTTCGGCGGGTTCGGGAATGCAGGTGGTGGCGGTGAAGGCGAAGGAACCATCGGGGTTCTAGTCAGTCTATCTGTCATGATTTCGTTAACTCTGTTACTGACTAACTAACTTATCTACAAAGTTATCGGTTCGTGATGATTTTGGCAAAATTCTTCATCGATCGGGGGGCGAGTGGCGAGGTGTGTTGTTGATCATCGTTTTACTATACTATTACTGATGTTTACATGCTACTACTATTCTTTATGTTACGCTATACTATACTACTATACTATGCTACAGCTACAATTTGATGAATGAGAGAAGAGAAAGAGTTCCAGTAAGATGATGATATATTCGTGTCTATCGAGGTGCATAAGTAACTTAATGTCTGTCTACACCGTCGCTTATGGGATACTAGTCTATGCGCTGATGTATATGCTGCGAATGCTCATTATTAGTAAATCATCAAGTTGCGGGTATCATGCCAGGTCGTGTGTGCGTGTGTATATGAGATGATGAGGATGCTTGCGGCAGAAAAGAGGTGATTGTGTCGAGGAGATGTCGAATCATCCGCTTAATGGGCTGTCAACAGTCCTAAAGGGTGATGATGAGTGACTCGGGACAGGTAGGAGAGATGAGAGGTCTTAACAAGCACGCTTCTCGAGAAGCAGGCCGCCGGAGGGCGTCTTGGTGCTGAAGCCATCGTCGCGACTGAAGATCTTCTCACCACGCAGCCAGGTCTCGCGGACCATTCCACGAAGCTTGCGGCCCTGGTACGGTGAGCACTTGTTGCGGAAGAGCATGGTGCTGGGTTCGACGATCCATTCCGCGGTGTCATCGAAGACACAAATGTCGGCGTCGTGGCCGGGAACCAGGTCGCCCTTTTGGTGCTGCAGGCCAACCTGGACGGCCGTGTTGGTGCAGCAGAGTCGTACAACGTCCTGCAGGGCCTGTTGGGTCGTGGTTTCGTCTGCAGCTTTCAAGGCCTTGCGACGGCTAAGCTCCGTCCACAGGATGGGAAGGCCGAGGCCCACTGAGGAGATACCGCCCCAGGCGGAAAGGAAGCTACCCTCATTGTCAACTTGAGTACTGTCCCCGTCTGATGGGCAGCAGCCAGGCACGTGCGATGGTAGGAGCTTGAGATCAGGGGTGCAGGGGGAGTGGTCTGAGACAACAGTCTGAATCACGCCATCTTCCGCATGGCGCTCCAACTCATCCCAAAGAGCGTCCTGGTTTGACTGGGAACGGATGGGCGGACAACACTTGTGGCGGGTGTCTCCATCCCGGATCTCCTCGGCCGCTAAGGACAGGTAGTGGAAGCAAGTCTCCGCAGTGATAGGGACGCCATCCGCGCGAGCTTTGCGCAACAGAGGGATGGCTTCCATGGCAGACAGGTGAACAATGTGGAGGGGGAGCTTGGGGGCCACCTGAGACAGGGTAATGATCTCCTCCACGGCACAAGTTTCAAAGGCCGACGGACGGGATGCGAGGAAAGTCGAATACGCCTCTGCGGGACCTTCGAGAGCTTGGTCCTTCTCCTCGGCTGCAGTGGAGGGCGGCAGCATCTCGGCGTGAAACATGAGCGTCGTAGGCTCATCCGCTAGTTCAGCCATGGCCTTACGGATGTCTTCGGAAGACACGGCGGGGAATTCGTCGACCTACAGCCATGTGTCAGCACACTTACGTCCCTTGCAAAAAGATAACTCGTGACTTACTCCGCTGTCAATGAGGAAGCCCTTGAAGCCGCGAACACCCTCCTGGACAAGGGCTTTCAAGTCGCCGGCATTGCCGGGGATGATGCCGCCATAGAAACCGACATCAACCCAGCACTTCCCTTGGGCAGCACGGAGTTTCTCCTTGAAGTTGGCCACCGTGGTGGTGGGAGGGATAGCATTCAGGGGCATGTCGATGACCGTGGTGACACCGCCAAAAGCGGCCGCCTGGGTGCCGGTGTAGAAGCCCTCCCATTCGGTGCGGCCCGGCTCGTTCAGGTGGACATGGGCGTCAACCAGACCGGGGAGCAGAACGTGGGGGGAATAATCAGTATAGGGGGTGCCAGCAGGGAAATCAGAAGCCGGGATCACCGAATCAAAGACAGCCGTGATCTTGCCGGTGGTGCGAGAGATGACAATAGTGGCTGATGTCAAACGGCCGGAGATGACGGCGCGCGACGAGGCGATCACTGCAATGGATGGGATCTGAGAAGCCTCCATGGTGAGGGTGATCGCGTGGAAGGATTGCGCGCTAAGAGAAGCCAGAGATGCAAAGAACGATGAAGCTGCAGAGCAATCAGAGCCAGGATGGGCGATAAAAAGTTAAAGAGGCAAAGACGAGATAAGCGATAGACTGATCCGGAAAAGCTCCACCGGCGTCAAAAGGCAAGGGATGAATGACTTGATAAGGATGAAGAAGGCGAGAGGACGAATTGCTGGCTGCGATAAGGGCTTTAAATGTCTGCGCAGATAAGCCGCCATTGTTCCCTGGAGACCCACGGCGATCGAACCAAATAATCCCATCGAGTAACAAAAACCTGGCTCCACCCCCTTTGACGGATCCACCGGCTTGCCATCCAAGCGTCTTTTTTTTTTCCTTGCCCATTCTTTCTTCACGCCTGACCTGTTTGTCTGTGACTGCCTGCCCCGGTAACTATCCTTATCGTGATATCGATAGCCGGAGGTTATATTTGACCATCTCCTCTCCTGCTTCCTCCCCTCCTTTCCAAGCGGGAGGATGCCTTTTCCACTAGACGACCACCTTGTCTGTACACCCTCATTGTTGCCTCTTCGGGACGTATTCCCTCGTGGGGAAAGTGAAGAGAATTTCCGGCTTATCTTCTGGGCCAGTTAGAACCATGGGTCGGGGTATCGGGCGCCTCCGGCATCCGCCATCGGACCTCTCCTGCTGGCTGCTGCAAGTGATTGCCTCCTCACCGCTGTTACTCGATCAAATCTCCAATTCTGGCCCGTTTAGGCAATTCCTTTACTCGATCAAAATTCCAGCGGAACGACGGTCATGAGGCCTTCTGAGACCACGACCACCCGCCCTAGCTAACCTCATGCACCCTCGCTTCGGCAGGACGGTTATTGCTGTTCACCTTAGCCGAGTTATCAGGCCTCCCTACCTATCGTAGTCTCCAACTTCTGCTCGTTTTCTCTCCCGCTAGCAGCGCGTTCAGCGAAGAAAAGTCAATTGCATGCTTCGCTTCGCTTACACGCCTGTCATTGACCGTGATCACCGTGCCAAGAATCGGGGATTTTCGGGGACTCCCGGCTCCGGTCGAACCCTGCAATGGTCGGTGGCCAAGTCAACTAGTTCTTTCAGACCTGTCTCATCTCAGAAGGGCTGCATCTATAGACCGGTTTTTCCGTGCCTTGTCTATGTTTGGTTAATAAAACCATGTGGTGATAGTACATCAACAGACTGCAAAAGAAGTGGGAGGCTGATCATCGTAGACTGGAATGTGGTGGCAAGAAAGGCGAGAGGCAACAGGCAAGTGAAATGTGAGAAAGTGTAATTAAGTGTAGAGCCCCTGGCATTGTGGGGGGCTGACTAAGGCCCATGTGCCCATGGGGTGTTCCTCTGCTGGCCTCAGGCCTCAGGTCCTCCTCCAGACTTCATCCCCGCCTTTGCTAAATACTGAGTCGCTATTGTCCAGGATGAGAAGATGGGGTCGGCAGTACTACTCGTCAGTTACATGAATAGCTTCAATTCTGTCTGTGGGAACTTCGGCTTCAAAATGGATGGCCTTAATCAATCGTCACGGTAAACTTTTTGACACTTCCAGCTGATCTGAGCGAGCTGTTCATCATGATGAAATGAGACAGTAATGACCTTTGACCGTCATAATGCATTGTGTGCCTTGTCAGGTCCGACTGCAGTAGTCGTCAACGTCATTCGATGTTTCCATACCATACATACCGGTCTGGCGGCCTTCACCCCATGTGAATTACAACCCGTCTTCATGCATTCATGAGTCTTGGTCACCTGCGCGTGTGACACACCCTTTGTGGTTGTAAGTTCACCGGGTATGCAAGTTTATTACTATTGCTCGAGGCAGGCAGGACTGTGCGCCAGACTGGGTAACTACCTACATACTAGTAGCAGTGCCTTGACCCTGAAGTTGGCCGAGACTGTTTGCTTCGTTTGTACTGGTCACTGATAAGCAGCATATCACCTGATCAAGTAACACTTCTACCGCTGCACTGGCCCGAGTGGCAATCCATGCATATCTGTCTCGAGGTTGTGAGCATCCCTGAGTTATGTTTCACTGCTGCCATTGACCTCGCTCAGTGTCAAATAGGCGCTAGGCTCCGACTCGGAAGTCCCAAGTGCGCTGGGGCCACACTTTCTTTTCACTGTGCCTCGGCAAGCCGATCCTCGGCCCGTTGCTTCCCGCACCCACCTGTGGGATTAATAAAGTAACAAAGGTACCACGTATCTACGGACTGGTGGACACTTGCTGTCGTAAACAGCTCATGCTGGTCGACGCCTGTCTATCCGTCGTTCCGTGTTCATTCAGGGGTGTGTGCAAATCGCAACAAAGGTCTGCGTAAACCAATAACAGCCCCTGCTGAACCTGACGTGTATGGGGCAAATTCGGTGGCTTGGTTTCCAGGCCCGGCTCTTCTATTTAGTCTTCACCTGTTACCAAATACCTGAAGTCATATCCTGTTGGTGCTGTTGGCCATCCGGGGGTTTTTCCGTTTTGATGTATTGGGGTAACTTGGAGGAGAGGAGCTGGTTACCCATTTGGGAGCTTTCCACGCCAGTAACACGGCTCTAGGAGTATCCCCACCAGTGTTCTGGTGACAGCGGACTTGTCAATCGTTAGCATGTCTCGACTGGGCCATAGCATGATGTGATTGTCCCGAGAGTCTTTCAAGGATTAGTACGTAAATCGTAAATACACCCTGGCCTTTCTAGTACTATTAGGCAACGGAGAAAGCAAGAGAGCGGAGGATTATCGCCCGAATCACCCTATGAGGATGGAGGAGGTGAAAACTGCTCCAAGACACCACCCCCATGGCCCGTCGAGTTTTCCAGAAACGTTCGGGGGGTAATCCTCGGAAGTTGATATATAAGAATAACCAACCTTAGGAATTCTTCCGCTGAAGATGATCGACTTGGTGGTGGAACTGGACTCCGCCCAAGCTCGTGGAAGATACCGGATTGCGTATGGTTGACGAGCTCCGGTCGTCGAGATTGCCCTCTTGTGTACCTCGGAGCTTATACGCCATCTACACGACCATCTGCAGCGCCAGCAACTGGTTCGGAGAGAACTCCGGACCAGGTCTATCTGGGAGCTTGGCAAAGAGATTCAATGAATAGAAACGCGAATGACTGAATCAAGCAATTTGGACCTTCCCGGTCGGCGGTTACTCGCGAGCTGCCTAATCGGGTAAGCATCGTCTACTTGCCCCCTTCTCTCTCTCTCTTCACCATTCACTCTTTATCGGCTGGGCTCGCAGGTTTTTTACTTATATCTTTTATGAGTACCTTGTATCTCCTCTCAGTCTTCCTTCACATTTCCCTCTTTCTCTCTTCTCTCAACTGCCTCATTCGCCTTGACCCTTCCCCTCCTCCCCCTCCTCCTCCCTGGTTCCAAGGCGCACGGTCAATCCTGGCCGACTAACCGTGATCCGCAAACGATCGATCGATCGAACCGGCCAACCAATCAGCGCACCATGGATCCGCTCGCGTCTCTTCGTCGCCTCATCCAAACGCATCCTCTTATCGACAACCACGCCCATAATCTCCTTGCGCAGGCCGCAGCCAGCAACTACGCAAAATATCCTTTCGAACAGATCACTTCCGAGGCCCAAGGTTCCGCCCTACACAATGCTCCGTCCACCTTACCCCTCCAGCGTGCCGCCGCCCAGCTAGCGACCCTCTACGATTGCCCGACTTCCGAGTGGGACCGCGTCAAGGCGGCTCGCGATCAATATGTCGAGCGTGACTATGATGGCTTGATCCGTCGGTGTCTGGAAGGCACTCATAGCCTTCTTCTTGATGATCTGCTTACGGATCAAGATATCGAGCCTTTCACTTGGCATGATCGTTTTACCACAGCTCCGACCAAGCGGATCGTACGGATTGAAGTTGTGGCCGCCCAAGTCCTTACCGCCATCCTTCCCAACGGTTATGATCAGTCCTCGAGCGACATCACCGTTCTTCGCCAGTATCTGGACCAGTTCAGCCAGGGTTTCAACCAGAAGATCTCAGAGGCCATCGCAGATCCCGTGGTGGTAGGCTTCAAATCAGTCATCTGCTATCGTACTGGACTGAACGTCCAAGTGGCCGATGACAAAGACGACAGCAATCTCCTCGAGTCCTTCTCCCGGACCTTGTCGCAAGGATCTGGATCTACATATCGCGTGGAGGACAAACCCTTGAACGATTGGCTGGTCAGGCAGGCCCTGAACCAGCTGCAATCTGCCAAGGAGAAAGATGCGTTGGGACCCAACAAACCACTGCAACTGCACACGGGACTCGGCGATAATGATATCAACCTAATACTTTCGAATCCCGCATATTTACAGGATTTGGTTGCCCGTTATCCCAAGGTGGACTTTGTGCTTTTGCATTCCGCTTATCCGTATACCCGGGAGGCCGGCTATCTCGCCTGTGTCTACCCGAATGTGTATCTAGACCTTGGAGAGGTGTTTCCCATGGTGAGTCGAGATGCTCAGGAATCTATCATTCGCGAGAGTCTGGAGATCGTGCCCACAACCCGCCTTCTGTGGAGTACCGATGGCCATTTCTTCCCAGAGACATATTGGTTGGCGAACAAACAGTTCCGCGACGCACTGGAAAAGGTCCGTTCCTGTCATATCAAGTCCTATACATCCTTTCAGAAACTTATCTTTGCTAGGTTCTCGTGGATTACGTCATTCAAGGCGATCACAGCGTCGATCAGGCGAAGCTAGCTGCTGCCGATATATTGTTCCACAACTCCAACCGCCTGTACAGCCTTAATGAAACCGTTTCCTACGACGACAGGCTGGTCCCTGCCGTCAGCAACCTTTCTGGACTTTCTTCGACCGACGCGTTGGAAAGTTTCATGCACAGCAATCCAGATGTCAAGTATATTTGGATGCAGTTCTTTGACTACACTTCCACAGTGCGCGTGCGGATGTTCCCTATCCGGGAGTTTGCTAAGATTGTTCGCAAGCAACGCCGGATCGGTATCTGTACAGCCACGTTTTTGATGCTTCAATCCGACACAGTCTGTCCGGAAGGTTCCACAACCGGCCAGTTCTATCTAGAACCAGATCTCTCAACCCTCTCTCGAAATGTGGGGATCGACTCGAAGAGCGCCACAGTCATGACTTGGGGGCGTTCTGAGGAGGGTTTGGAGGTGGAAGGATGTCCACGGACCCTTCTGCGCCGCGTCACGACTGATTTACGTGCCAATCATGGAATCGAAATTCTCTGCGGATTCGAGATTGAGGTTATTCTGCTGAAGTGCGTCACCAAACCGGACACCGATGAGGAAGAGTTTGTTCCATGTGTGCGCAACCACTCCTGGTCCCAGATGACCCGAGACACCCGACGCATGGTGCCGCTTCTTGAGGAAATTGTCGATACTCTTGCATCCATCGGCATTGACCTTGAACAATTCCACGCTGAATCGGCCCCGGGCCAGTTTGAATTCATTCTACCACCCGGATCGCCCGTCGCCGCAGTCGATACCCTGCTCAAGGCACGACAGGTCGTGACTTATATCGCTGAGCAGCACGGTTACCGTGCAACCCTTCATCCCCGACCCTTCTCACACGCTGCTGGCTCAGCCGCACATGCGCATGTCTCCATAACTCCTGCGACTCAGGAGGAGAGCTTCTTGGCTGGTGTGCTCAAGCACTTCACCTCTTTGACGGCCTTCACTCTGTCTAATGATGTCAGCTACGAACGGATGCACTCCGGCCTCTGGGCTGGAAGCGAGTGGGTCGCCTGGGGCACTCAGAATCGCGAAACACCTATCCGCAAGATCTCTGCGGGTCACTGGGAGATCAAGGCACTTGACGGTCTGTCCAATATGTATCTGGCAATGGCTGCAATTCTAGCTGCAGGATACCTGGGTGTGCAGGACAAGCTGCCCCTGACCCTGCAGGACTGTTTATGTAAGTATTCCTGCCAGTGAGGCTATCCTCTCGAGTGCACTCATGCTAACAAATCGATATAGATGACGCGGCAACACTCAGCGAGGCGGACCGCAGTGCCATTGGGATAACCACCCAAATTCCCACGACCCTGGCACAGAGTCTGGATAATATGGCAGCCGACAAGGCTCTCCGGGATGTGCTTAGCAACACACTTGTTGAGAACTATATCACGGTCAAACGAGCCGAGAGCAAGAAGCTGAATGCAATGGAGGCAGAAGCGCGACGCAAGTGGCTGGTCGAGAGATACTAATTAAATACCCTGTGCATACATACATAGCCAATAATCGTAGTTAGCCAATACCATCATCACATTCTCTACATCTTCATAGAAATGTCCATATGCAGCACAGTATTATCTACTAGTCTAGTAGCTTTTTTTCCCCATCCGCCAACCAAATCGAACTATTGAGTCATAGTCCTCCGTAATCGGCCCACTCCCCCAACACCTCTCACGTGACAGCATCCCCAGTCCTGTCCTACCTATATTGACTCACCTCCCCAATTCCCTTCTCTCTTTTCTACCATTACCTCCCAATCCCCTCTCAATCCCTCCTACCAAACTCACAATGCCCTCTCCCCTCCGCACAGCGGCCGCAGCCGCCCGCTACGGGCCTTCCACAACCCGCCACGCCCTGCGCCGCCTCTACTCCTCCACCAGTCACTCCGCCGCAACGCCGGCAACTTCTCCCTTCGCACCGCGGCACCTGCTCTCCATCGCCGACCTGACCCCAACCGAATTCGCAACCCTCGTCCGCAATGCCTCCTCCCACAAGCGGGCCATCAAATCCGGCTCCATCCCCCAATCCCTCCACGGCGCCCTCTCCGGCAAGACCGTCGCCATGATGTTCAGCAAGCGCAGCACCCGCACCCGCATTTCCACCGAAGGCGCCGTCGTCCAAATGGGCGGCCACCCCATGTTCCTCGGCAAGGACGACATCCAGCTGGGAGTCAATGAATCCCTCTACGACACTGCCGTGGTCGTCTCCTCCATGGTGGAATGTATCGTTGCCCGCGTGGGCAAGCACGCTGACGTCGCCGACCTCGCCAAGCACTCTACTAAGCCGGTTATCAATGCCCTGTGTGACTCGTATCACCCGTTGCAGGCTATTGCGGATTTCCAGACTATTAGTGAGCATTTCGCTGCCTCGGGCAAGGGGAAGTTGGAGGGTTTGGGGCTGAATGGGTTGAAGATCGCTTGGGTGGGCGATGCGAATAATGTGCTTTTCGATATGGCGATCAGTGCGAGGAAAATGGGTGTTGATGTTGCTGTTGCTACGCCGAAGGGGTATGAGATCCCCAAGGAGATGTTGGAGATTATTGAGAAGGCTGGCGAGGGGGTAAAGAGTCCTGGAAAGCTGGTGCAGACCAATGTTCCTGAGGAGGCGGTGAAGGGGGCCGATGTGTTGGTTACTGATACTTGGGTTTCGATGGGCCAGGAGGAGGAGGCCGCTAAGCGGTTGAGGGATTTCGCTGGATTCCAGATTACGAGTGAGTTGGCGAAGAGGGGTGGGGCGAAGGAGGGATGGAGGTTCATGCACTGTCTTCCTAGGCATCCGGAGGAGGTTGCTGACGAGGTGTTCTATGGACATCGGTCGTTGGTGTTCCCTGAGGCGGAGAATCGTCTGTGGGCTGCCATTTCGGCGTTGGAGGGATTTGTCGTTAATAAGGGCAAGATTGAGTAATTCGATGGGTGCATTTTGAGTAGGGAGTTGGGTTGGGAAAAATCAAAAGAATCGTGGTTTTGCTAGTATATAGCTTGTGTTTTCGCTGGCAATTGAGCTGTGTTGTATCATATTGTTGTGTATATTCTGTCTAACCGGCATCCCGATGCTTTGCTTTTCCCCGCAGCCGGGAAGCCGATGCGGAGATGATCCTGGGGTTGGGTTTCTGGTACGTAAGCAATATCACAGATGATATGAATGGACAACATACCCATTCCATTCAGACAATATTCAAACTATCCAAAATAAGATGCAGCTTAAGCATTGTCTTGTGGTCTAGCACTATGGATCTCGAACAATCATTCCCATCACAGCCCCTCATTATTGCATGATCTATCTAGTCTTCAACGCTAGTCCATATATCATCCCTCCAGAACCATACTACTGCCATGACCAAGGAATCTATTTTCTACTATACACTATATTTTAAGACCCAAGTCTACAACCTTAAGACCCCACTCTCCCGGTCAACCGCCCCACGGAAATGGTCCGTAATGACCTTTCCACCCAGAATCGTCTCCTCCACCACACCCTGCACATGCTTGGGCTCAATACGCCCATACCAAATACCCTTGCCCGCCAATGGATGCGGCGAGGAAGAGCCAGCTTCCTTCATTCCGGGAGGGATGTAAACGATGACGTTTCCAGCATACTTGTGTCCTCCAACGTGGCTGATTAACCCGATGTGAGCATGCTCGGGGCTGTCGACGACACTATTGTCACTTCCCGCGGATGTGTACCCCTTAGACTGCAACACCCGTTGAAACTCGGTCTCCAGAACCGGCGCCATTACACCACATCGCATGTCGCGACCACCGTGGCCGCAGATCAACACAACGGGGGAGTGTTGCAGATCAACAGCATCTGGGAATTCAGCCGCCAGAGCCTGGTCGCGGATCTGCCCGCCATGTCTCGATTCGATAGGGAGGAGGAACGCGCGGACGAAGGTCGAGAGATCGGTTGTTGCGGGGGCGGAATCGGGGAGACTAACGGGGATGGAGGGGAAGTATTTGAAGCTGGGGAAGAGAAAGGCGGATGCGGTCTGGGGGGTAGATGCGCTGGTCGATAACGAGGAGGAGGAGGAGGGAAGGAAGGAGGCGTTGGTGACTAGGATATTGTTGAAGGGCTATAGTAGCAATTGTCAGTGGGATGTTGCGACCCGAATGAGGAAGTATGTCTTACGTCGGCATATTTCCCCCCACGCCCGAGAAGGCTCTTCAATCCTCGAACCAGCTCACCCCAGTTCTGGCCCTGACCGTCCTCTTCTATGCGACTTGTCCAGTCTCGTTGTCCGGTGCAGATGAGAAGCTGCTGCGCGTAGGCCGCCATTGTTCCGTTTAGCGGCTGGTCATAGTCGATCGGGGCGGGCATGGACGGTGTCGAGGGACATGAGCAGCTCGGTTCGGGACATGTCTTGGTAATTGGGAATGGAGGAGGGATGTCCAGGGGTATGCGCGAGCGGTTGGAGCGGAGGGATGTGCATGAGAAGAGGCGAGCTGATGTTGCGGCGGAGCGGTTGGGTCGGGAAATTGATGGCAGGCTGTGCAGTGATGCTGCGCGCATGATTCTTTGTCGGCTGGCCATATCCTATGTGTCTAAAAAAATGAGGTTTTGGAGAAGTAATTGGATGGAAAAGAGGAGAGTATTTGGTCAGAACTGGCAATGAGAAGTGGTGGATGGGGGAAACTGAAAAGAGCAACCCCGAAGCTGCGGAGGATTCGGTGCGGTCGGAGATAGCGGAGATTTCCAAGTCCCGCCTTCATAATCCGTGGCTGGTGACTGGTCGGGGGAATTTTATTATTACTATTTGCATTACAGCTCGGACTTATTTAGACAGCTCATTGCAAGTGTGCAGATTGCGATTTCAATTATTGATCTAGTAGTAGCATTAATGGTGTACTGTGGATGAAGGTACTAGAAGCAGTGGCACTCGTCTGCCGGCCAAAATATATAAAGATGAAGTAGTTAGTTCTGGGACGGCATTATTGCGATCCACACTGCAATCCGAATCGCAATCTCCACGAACTACTACCGATAACCGCAATAGTACGGTACTGAATTGAACCCATTCTCACTTGAATAGTACATATTAATTTCATATATTATTGTTAAACCTTTGCTCAACAAGTGCCCAAATCCTAGACTGCCTGTAGTGCTGCAACGAAACGCCATGATGCATATATAATAGTGCACTTCGATCAAATTGAGGAGTTGGACATTAACAATACTATGGTCACAACAAGGATGCATGCGGTCAAGCTATTCACAATAATGCTTGTCGCTATAATGGCAGACAAATCCATGGGCCGAAAAGCTCGCGATTCGGCACGAGGCAGACAAAAAGTCGATGCTGCAATCCTTCAGATCATCCGCCCGCTAGATGCTGGTTTCTCGTCATTATATTTATTTTGTCGCACCAGAAAAGCTGGCCAATGCGTTTAATGATTCTGTCAAAGGCCATAGCGTTTGGAAGAAGCCAATAGCTCCCGCGACCAGGATTACGTAGTATGCGACGGTCCAGCCAAGACTGAGTTGACCGTATGCCACGTCTGAGGATCCTTTTCCTTTGACCATGGGGGGCCCGATGGGTACGCCCGTCTCTACTCTTCCCCACAATCGCGGTAATCCGCACCAGTTGCAAAAAGTGTGGGCAAGAATAACTGCCAGAAGAGAGCCAGTACGAAGGTAGACAAAGGTGGCATACCAACCGAAAATCGTCGTGTAACCGAATTGAAAGACTGATCTCAATATCGCCGCGACAATCGATGTATCAGGATGCGTGAGGCGAAACTCGTAGAAATGGTGTACGTGAGCAATGCCGAAATAGAGAGGAGCCACAAATACAATGCGGCCGGGATCAACCTTGGCAAGGAGATGAAGGGGGACAATGGCTGAGCGGAACATGACCTCCTCGGTGATGGGACCCTGCATCGCCCAGTTAATCATAAAGCCAGACATTGCCGTCGCAAACTGGACTTACCGCGACATAATTCCTCCATCCAATCCAGCTGCGAAGCGATGCAGTGACCCTTCCTCCCCGAATCCACTCTCTCCATTCGCCCTCGGCAACACCGCGCTCAAACAGTGGACCGGCGAAAAGGATGGCTGTGAGAAGCAGGCTGCGGAAGATATCCACGAGACCAACAGGCCACCACCCCAGGAAATGGAGAGCTCGAGAGAAAGAAGCGTTTTCTTTGGCAGCAACTAGCCATAAGACGACCAGGCTGCTAATGGTGCATGAAAATGTCACTGCTCTAATTCTGGCCCGGATTACCGACGGCGCATCTCTACTCAGGGTGGGCGATGGCCGGGTCGTCGGGTTCACATAAAAGGGAACCACATAGATGAGGGTGAGGCAAACCTAGTACTTGAATCAGATACTGGCCTGAAGAGCAATAAGAAGGCCAAAAGCACGTGGGAGAGTTGGTAGGAGCTGATGATCAGAAATGCATACCGAGAGAAAGGCGGCTGTTTGTGTTGAAATGGCAGGCTCATCTACGGAATAAGTCAGACAAAGATATAAGAATCTTATAGTTCATAAGTTTACCATAGTCCTTGGTGATTAGAGTCCTGAGTTTAGTCAGGAGACCAACGGGAGCCATATCTGCTGGAAGAGTGATAGCCTTAGGATACCGGGGCGCGCAGCAGTCCGGAATGAGAGAGTTGGTTGTTAGGAGGAATGTGTTTAACCACACAAGTAGAGAATCATAACAGCAAAAGCGGCGGGATGATTCTGGTTAAGATTATTCCGAAGAACAATAGCTGAAGAGCACCGGGGCGTTGTCAAGGCGAAGTTGGACAAAGAGAAGCGAGGAGAACACGAGGTCGGCTATGAATGCCGAGTTTTGCAGGCATCGAGGCATTCAGGCAAGGCCGGGGATGCCTGTCAACCAAGGCCCGCTTGCCTGCCAAATCAGCCACCCGCAGCATTTCAAGGCCCGCCAGCCGGGAGCAAATATTCTTTCCAGCTAGAAAGAATCAGTAAACTGAAAATAAACCTAAGAAACCTAATCTGTGCCTATTTGCTGGATTGTAATGGGCTGTATCATGGTCCCACGTGATGTCAACCACCAGTCCGTGAAGTTATGTCACCTGACACTCCCAAAGTGCTGACGGCTGCTTCACGTGATACCGCGCCTGATGAAAGCCTCGCATTGCGCGTCGCTGCGATTTTGAATAGTGTTATTGCTAGTATAATTGTCTATGATATGGATTGTGGTTTGCATTTGGCTATGGCTGCTATGATATTCGAGAATTGGCCAGAGCAGCATGAGTGCCGATGAGCGGCTACACGCGGTTGCTGCACTGGAAATCAAGATCCCCTGCCCATCATTCCCTGTTGGGTAATCTTCTGCACCTCAACTGCTACTGCTAACTCAACCACCGAATTGCCTGCAGCTTCGATACATGCTTCATATGTTACTACTCATTCTGTCATCATAATGCGCCTAGATTTTGGCATATTTGTGCCGAGTTGATAGTGCTGCTAAATTAGAGATAAGCCCCTCTCGCATCATTGCAGTCCGCAATGGTGTGATCCCGGTACCTCTACGACTCTTGTTACTGGCTTCTCCAGACAGCTTTGTGAGGTCAAAGGAGGTGCAGATGGCGTGCAGGCAGTCGGAAGAGGGGTTCACTTCACTTCATCGAGCGTGATGTACGTTGCCGATCTCGCAACCCCTCTCTCTCGACGGCCATTTAAAGGACTACCTTGCACCTCGCCGACTTATCCACCACCATATGTGTCCCATAGAGCAGAAGTTACTTTTATGCCATGGCAGCAGTCAAAGGACCCGAGCTCATACGTCACGAACCTGTCATAGAGACAGATCCCAAGCACCTCCCCGCAGTGTCTCTCGGGTCGCTCATCAATGAGTTATCTGTGTCCGAGAAAGCAGACGGCCAAGCTCGTCCGGCTCTTGAGATCGAAGAGCATCCAATTGACGAGGTCCGTCCGATAAAAGTCGGTGTGATTGGAGCTGGTCTGGCAGGAATTACAGCAGGAGTCTTGCTCCCAGCAAAACTGCCTGGTCTGGACCTACGGATCTATGAGAAGAACTCCGGTGTGGTAAGTAACGGGTCCAAGACACATGCCATGCATTCCTAACAGGACATACAGGGAGGCACCTGGTAGGAAACCTCATTTATAACATGCGACGGCTGGTGCTGATGAACAGGTTCGAAAATACTTATCCTGGAGTACGATGCGATATTCCCGCGCATGTCTATCAGTCCGGATTCGAGCCGAACACACAATGGTCCGAAGAGTTTGCACAAGGTGCCGAGATTCGCGAGTATTGGCAATCCATAGCGCAAAAATACGATGTACACAAGTACCTCCGACTACAGCAGAAAGTCGACCAGGCCGTGTGGTTACCTGAATTGGGTAAATGGCGTGTGACTTTACAGGACTTGGGAGATTCAAACCGAGTATGACACTACGCGATTCTTGCGGCTTATGCGCAATTGCTGACGGGTAGAAGATCTATGAAGAAGACCTCGACGTGTTGATCAACGCTATTGGCCACTTCAATGAGTGGAAGCTGCCCGAATACCCAGGCAGGGAGGAATACACAGGCGTGCTCTTCCATTCGTCGCACTGGAATCACAATGTCGACCTGAATGGCAAGCGTATCGCACTGATCGGTAACGGGGCGTCTGGCTTGCAGGTGCTGCCCTCGATCCAGCCAATTGCTCAACACGTGGACCACTATGCTCGCAACAGAACCTGGATAGCTGACTCCTTCGGCACATCTGGCGTGCGCCGACTCGAAGCTAATTTATTCTCTCCCGAACAACTCGAGTCCTTTCGCGACCCCGACACTTATCTAGCATACCGCAAGAGCGTCGAAGCAGGATACTTCTCTCGCTTCGGTGCCATCTTTAAAGACTCCCCAGAGAATCGCGGTCTGCGCGAGAAATGGACCGAATTGATGAAGTCAAGAGTCGGCGACCAGCCCGAACTCATCGATAAGCTTATCCCAGACTTTCCACCCAATTGTCGCCGTCCCACTCCTGGCCCAGGCTACCTCGAAGCCCTGACCAAAGACAACGTCAGCTACATTCAAACCCCAATCCAGCGCTTCACCCCAACAGGGATCGTTACCACAGATGGCATTGAACGGCCCGTCGACATTGTCATCTGCTCCACCGGAGCCAACGTCGACCATGCCCCACCCTTCTCCATCATCTCCAACGGAATTGATCTCAAAAAGGCCTGGAAACACGACGGCCTCTACGGTTACCCCTACAACTACCTCGGAGTAGCCACCCCGGGCTTCCCCAATCTACTCTGGATCGGCGGTCCCCAATCCACCGGTCCCTCAGGCAGCGTGCCCAATTCTCTCGAGAATCAAATCACCTATATTGCCAAGCTCCTGCGGAAGATCCGCAGCCAAGGCATCAAAGCTATGGTACCATCCAAGCAAGCAGCTGATGACTTCGTCGAATACTGCGACAAGTTCTACCCGCGCACGGTCTGGACAGCTAATGACGACTCTACCCCGGGCCAGAAGAATTGTAGCTCATGGTATAACGGCGGTCGGCCTGGTGGCAAAGTCCATGGTCAATTCCCTGGTAGTGCGGCAGCATTGAATTACTTGAGACGAGATCCTAGATGGGAAGATTGGGACTATTCTTATACCAACCCGAGTGGCAATAGGTTCGCTTATTTTGGGAACGGGTGGACGACGAGAGAGACAATACCGGATGCGGATCTGACACCGCATTTGAAACGCCCTGATACTATAGATTTGAGGTCTTATTTGGAGGGGTGGTGGGATGTATAGTTCAGAATAGATATAGAGCCAGTGTAGCTGATGAGCAGCTAACGGGTCGTCAGCGTATCCACAGAAATGCAAAGACTACTATACCGTATTTTTGAATATTTGTTAGCAGACATGCATCTAGATATTATGAACAGCAAGCGGCGACCACCCCAGCACCTCCTCAAGCCAACCTCCATCTCCAGATTCCAGCGCATGCATCCACGCCATATCAGTCATATCCATATCCATATCTATACCCATTGTACCACTACTACCTTCATTACTACCCTCACTATTCTCCTCAAACACCAATCCATCCCCACCCACCTCCCCCCTCATCTTCTTAACCACCCACTCCCTCGCCAACCTCAACATCCTCCCCACTCTCCGAAACAAATCATCATCCGACCCCTCCCCAGCCTCCAAACTAGCCATCTCCGCCTTCTCCCCCATCCACTCCAGCAACGCCAGCATATCCACCTCCTGCCGCACGGCGTCGCGGTCCCATGCTGGGTCCTCGAACGTGGAGAGATGTTTCAGGAGTACGATGCATCGGACGAGTTGGAACCACATGAAGAAAGGGAATCCGGTGATGGTTGATGCGGGGAGGGTTTGGAACGTCGAGAGCCAGGATTTAATGGCTTGGACTGAGTTCCAGAGGGAGGTTAGGGAGTCTGGGGTGGTGGGGAGTAGAGGGGTGCTGGAGCTGGCGGGGCGGGGGATTTCGTGGAGGAGGAGGGAGATGTAGTGGGTTTGGAGGTGGAGGAGTTCTGGGAGTTTATTTAGTATGGGTGATTAGGGATACTTAAAGTGGTTACTTACCGCGGTGGGGGAGACGTGGTGGGATTGAGGATTGGAGGTCAGTTAGTTGTCTTTGGAGTACTTTAAGATACATGGTCGTGGCTGGAGGTGTTGTGGAGGGGGATGGCTCGTCTGGGTCACGGAGGGATAAGGTCTTTTGGGCGAGGATCTGTAAACGGATCTGGGCTGTGAGATACTCGTCTGAGGGGCTTTCTTTATTCGTCTCGATTATATTTAGGGCATGTTCCATTTGAATGTTCCACCGGAGTGAAGCTATGCGGCCAATGGTGGATGAGATGCTGGGGTGCAGTCATGTCAGTGGAAAGACACACTCCGGTGATAATATAAGGATAGGGCTGTGCCTACATCGAGCTGAGAACAAAGCAGGCCAATGCCGCTCGATGCTGCTCCGAAATTCCTTGCAGGGAACTATTACTTGCATTCTGCTCCGGATTTTCCAGCCCGGGTGCCATCTTCGCTATTATGGGCACCTCAGGTGGTGGCTGCTTGTCCAGTTGGAGATCATAGACCATAGAAATAGCGAGCATAATCATGCGAGACAAATTACTTGCGCGTTTGACGAAAGGATCCGTACTCCATGCAATGTAAGTCAGGATGCTTAGCAGCATATCAATGCTGGACTGATTCTCAAGCATAGCTGACTTAGTTAAGCGAGATTTCAATCTATCTGTGCGTGCTAGTTTCACCTGGGTTGAGGGCGTAGCTACCGCAATGATGGTCTCGAGGAGAAATGGCCGGTCTTGTTGCAACTGCTGCGTAGTTGTGTTTGGTGGCAGACAGATAAAAGGGAAGCATGGCAGCATGTTTGTCGTGAAGCGTTCGAGATACCAGGATGCCTCGTCTAGGCTTATTTCATATAGAGGTGGCTGTGGTGCTAATGGCTGGCTTGAGCCATTGCAAGGAGACGGAGTCGTAGTCGATCGAGACGGTGCAGTAGTCAATGACGGTGGTACCAGTATGTTGTCATGATTAGTGTCAGGGATAGCTAAGTTGCTGAGATCTTCATTTGTACTAGCATTCAAACTAGTTTGCAGATTGCTAGATACTCCAGCGGCATGTGCGACAGATCGAAGCATTGCCGTGAGGCTATCAATCCTCCCCTCAAGCTTCGCTATCTGCGTACCCGACTCGGGATTCCGATGAGGTTTCCTACGAGTTGGTTCTGATGGCTGGCATTGTTTCTTGAGACGCAGACATCTGAGTGGCGATTAGAATCAAGTCAATACTCATAGTTAGACGCTTACCTTTCGCAGCCGGTACCGTCGGGTCGAGCTACGCACCGACACTTGGCCTTGGAGCATTGTCTGCAAGCTTTACCATATGAACCAGAGCCTGGAGTTGGACCCCTCCTCTCCATAATAACAGTAACTTGATTGAATTGAGAATCATCTGTGTAGGTGTGCAGTGGTTGAGACGGAATCGGTCTTTGGCCGTCGGCTGAACCGGACTTTAACTGGCCGAAGTCCGTTCGGCTTACAATGACTGCCATACTTCATCCAGATGACTTACTAATTACCAAATTTTGATTCACATAGTACCGTGTTGCAGTAATTGATTATAAGGATGAAAATGTAAGCACCTGACTCCTCGCCCTCACGAAGAATACGGCGCGAGTGTCTCTACCGTTTTGCGCCAAACAATATCACCCGCATTCATGGCCTGCAACTCCAACATCACCTTCCCCTGAAACAGCTCCTTCATCTTATTATCGATAGCAAACAGCTCACCTCCCTTAACGGTTTTTGTCATAGTCATACCGGGCTTCTGTCCCTCTCCCAGGGCAACTCCCCTGCCACCATATTTAGCACTAGTGATCAAATACAACACCTTCTCCGCAGCATCTTCAGGAGATGTTCCAAATGCAGACAATGCAGCTCTGAACAGTGGGAAATACCACTTCCCACCCCAGGCCTTCTTAAAGGCATCTGTGGTGACGCCGCCAGGGTAATGATGAACGAATACCACATGAGGGTTTTCTTGAGCCAATGTCGACATGGACAATGTAGTGTAGGTGGACATCGATTTGGTAAGAGAGAGCAGACTGAAGTGGCCCGGTTTCTCGAGATCGAGGTCGTCAAGGTAGATGGAAGATGATTCATACCCCGCGTTGAGGATGCTCACGATGCGTGGGCTATTGGGCGATGAGTTGAGTAAGGGGAGAAGCAGGGTCATCATCAAGATTCGGCTGTAGTAGTTGAGTGACAGTGAGAGGCTTTTGCCCTCTGATGTTTCTAATCGTCGTCATTTGTGAGCTGATACTCTTTGGTCAATGGTAACTAGAATATACGTACCAATGCGCTCTCCAGAGGAGATGAAGCCAGCGCTTAGGTACAAGCAGTCAAGACTCGTCTCGCGTCTCTTGATTTCATCGCATAGTTTCTTGGTATCCGCGAGAAGAGACAGTTGACCTTCCAGCCAGGTTATCTGTGCCTGTCTGTTGGACAGTCGAAGCTCATCTAAAAAAGCTTGATGCCTTTTGCCGTTCCGACCAATGACATACACCCGGACTGGTAGGTTTGTAGAGATCAGACGAGTGAGTGTTGCCTTTCCGATGCCATCTGTGGCTCCAGTGAAGACTGCTGTGCGAGGCACCGTCTCTGAGGTGATCCGGGAGTTGGAGGCCCGGATTTCCGAGATGGGGGCCATTGCTCAGCCTGGAGGATGATTTTATGACAGGCGGTTAGATAGTATAGATAATGAATATTAGTACGGGCATATTTGAAAGAATATCGCTCATTAAAGTGGGGGTGGCAGACTTTATATATGATGTTGTCGGGGCTGAGAGGAGCGGACTTGAAGTCCGTCTCCAACGGCGCTCGCTATTCAAAGACCGTATCATCCCAACCGCGTCCAGAATCCTACCGAGGCGAAGGGGACTTCATGGCGCTATTACTACAATAAGATTTCAGAAATGAACATCCACTGATACGGTGTGCATTATTTGAAGTTCTTTCATATGATTGAGAGATTCTAACTGAAAGATTGATGACATTGCCCGAAATGTAGACCTGACAGCACTCATCAAGAGCCCTGAAAGTTGTATAATTCAGAGTGAAATGCCCTTTTCTTCCACCAAGGACTTGTGGCGTACCTGCAGTCATCTCCCTTGCAGTAATGTGCCGAGTAATCGAGAGCAACGCAGGGTTGTGCAGATGACCCTCTTGCATTATGACCTGGTCATGTTCTGAATCGACCTGCATTATCGGGAACGCCCCAGCATAATGCAATCTGATAAGGTGCAGTGTCGCATAGATCCTGCAGCAGATTTTATCATCCGTGAAATATGTGCGGGCAGTTTAGACCACATTAGACTTTTGGGGGCGTAGAACAGCCATACCACGTATGCACACTTTGTAGATCTATAGTCTAACATTCGATACGGCGCCAGATGCAAATATCAAACACATACCTGTGCATGCCAGCATGCTTCAGAGTGCGTTTGTGCTGAAGCATGTAAATCACCGAATGACACTGACCCCATGTGACCGAGCGTAGGTAATTGCCTCGTACGGGATATTGTCACAATTTTTGATGTATACATACTCGACACGTGGAAAGTCGACATTCGAGGAACGTGCGTCAGCAAGCATTTTGAGCAGATAACCTGTAACATCGGTGTTGGAGACATCCAGAGCTGTAAGGTTTGACAAGCCTTCTACCAAGGTCTTCACGGTGGAGTCGTTGATGCCTGGAAGCTGAGGAACTCCGAGCTCGGTCAAATTGACCGAATTCTCTACCAGAACAAGACTGAGCTTCCCAGTGTCCAGCTGCGGACACCGATCGACCACGAGATTCCGTAATGAAGCCTTGGAATCGACTATGAACCCATGAAGTGTGCGGTAGGTGACCCAAATAAGGTCGCGAAGTATAAGAGTATGAAGATTCGGAAGGTGTAGGAGTTGCTCGGGAGAAAAGGGGAATTCCTCCCCAGTCGGAGCGGCACCCGCATGAATGGAAAGATATTCGAGACTCGGCGGTAAACCGAAAGGACCTACGAATACACCTTTCAGATCTAGTTTACGTAGCCGGGGGAATTGAACTGGGTCAAATGAAAGGTTGTATGGCGCCCAGACTTTGGGATAAGAGTCCAGCCGTAGCTCTTCAAGATTAGGCATTGCGCAAGACATTGGCTCCTTAAACCTGTTAGTACAAGAAGCAGCATGCAGCCAGCTAAGCACGTAAGACCAGCTCAACTTACAGTAGCAGGAGGAATGTATAAAGCAGGAACACGACCTGGGGCCGGCATTGATGCTTCCGTGAACAGGGCAATGCTCCTCAAATTCGGCAGATGTGAGGGCCAGTGTACTCTGGATTCAGGCGACGGCTGGGCATTATGAATCTCTAGCAGTTCAAGCTGCGTTAAGCTTGATAGAAACTTCGCGATATTTTCTTGAGCCACAGGTGTCTGTTTCCCGATAACTAGAGATTTCAATTGCCTTGAGCTCCTGAACACGTCGTAAAGTCCATTAGGTTGTGTGATAGGGTCCCGAATCTCCAGGTGTTCCAATTTTGGACATCTACTCAAAGCTTCTAGCACTCTGTCTTGAAAAGGGGTAGATATGTTGGTCATGACAGCATGAGTTAGCAAGGCACGCGAGCGCTGGACAAATGCCCGAAAGGAGCGCCAATGGACCTTGCGTCGGGCCTCAGTGAAATCCAGGTGCATCCAAAGATCTGGTTGTGAAAGCATTCGCTGCCATCCCTTTGAAACTCGCAGGAGGACCCTAGAAGCCTAGTCGTCAGCTTGCTCGTTGGACTTCTAATTTGGACGCTCACTCACGCCAGCTCCCTGAAACTGAAATGCTGCAGCACCATCATGGCCAACTCAAGAGGTAGAGTATCAAAGGGATCTAGTCGTTTCACTGACGCTCTTTCTTTCACCTTGCAGTACATTTGCAGTATCATCTGAGCCAGTCAGAGTCCATAAACACATCTCGCTGTAAACTCAGTTCAAAGCCACTTACCTTACGACGGGGATGATCTTCAGGCAAGGTTTTCAATCCATACCCATAAGCTTTGAGAGCCTTTGCACGATCTCCAGTCAAAAGTAATGTCTGACCATATCGCAAAACGCCCTAAATGCTCAATTAGCCTACAGTAAACGCAACTGACGATCGCACAGGCTGCAAGCTACCCGTCCATCTTTGGTGTCCCTGCGGATCATCTGTCGCGAGTCATTGAGAGCGCGATCATACTGCGTAAGCTTGATGTACGTTGCGGCGCGGTTGTCCAGAATGCTCATCACATCGGCACCTTTACAAGAGAGAGCCTGTGGGCCAATTTTCTTAGTAGCGTTTCCCTTATCGGACATGGTGGACCGCGCGAACGCACCTCAGTGAACGCAGCCAGAGCGTCTGAGTAATTGCCCTGCCTAAAGAGCAGCTGTCCTCTCTTTTGCAGGGAGTCCCCCTCGCCGCGGACTACGCGCGCCATGATACCAATTGAGAGGATGAAGTTGAGTAGAGGCAAGAGGACGCGCGCGAGCGACGCGTGCGATAAGAAAAGTGATTTACTTCCCTTTACAGATCAGATGTGGGCAGCTGGATGACATAAGCATACAGCGGTAGTGGGGCGTGGCGGTCACCGGAGTGCGCCTGCTGTTTATGTTCTTCCCCTTTAGGAATCCCGCGGCCATCGAAAAATAATAATAACAGTTTGGCGGTCCCCGACGGAACATCGCAACAAACACCCCTCGACATCAATCGGCAGTTCCTCTCGCTTCAGAGAGGTCGGTGCCAGCAGTGCTTGCAGGCAAGCCATGGAGCCACAGAATCTGCAGGCAGCATCTACTTACATCAATAATGTCTTGTTGGCCAGGGGGCTGCTGAAGAGCGGCCAACCTATTGATTTCGCCAATCCTGAAGATGAGGAGGGAGGCACGGCGGCCACAATGGGGAGAATTATCAACTTGGTCAATGATCTGGTTTTGCGCAGAGATGTATGGAGCAGCAAGGTCCAGGGGAAAAGTTGCACTGGCTAACAGCGACAACAGCGTGAAGCCGAACACCGAGAGAACCTAGCAACCACAATCCGCACCCTGCGCGCGGAAGAATCGCAGAAAACAGCAGAGTTGGTACGATAGGCATCGAATGTATACTTTGCGACCACAAAGAAAGCTAACGACCTTTCTGTAGGAGAAAGTCAAGACGAAGGCATCCGAGCTGACCCGTTCGCTGGCTCTCGCAGAAGCGCAAGAGCGAGCATTGAAGGCGAACGCTTCTAGTGCCGATTCGACTATTCGAGGACTGAAGGAACAAGTGCAGCGTATGAAGACGACCATTCAGCAAGTTCGAGCTCAATGCGCAAATGACATCCGCAAACGCGACCTGGAAATGCAGAAACTGAAATCGCACTTGGCTGAACGCCAGCGCGGAAAGCGGGAAGGGCTGTCGATGACCACTATCAATATCAACCCAGCAGCCAGCCAATCGTCTCGGTCGAGACTGGCGGCCGGTGGTGAGGGCATCAACGATCCTGGATACAGTCTCAAACAGGAAACGAACGACTTCCTTACTGAACTATGTCAAAACCTCAGTGACGAGAATGATACGCTGATATCATTGGCACGAAACACAGTTGAAACCCTGAAGGATCTCCAGGGTCTATCACAAACCGAAGACGAAGATAAGTCCGCGACCGGGATGGCAAGTGTCGGTGCTGGACGGTCCCTGCAAGGCTCGGTAACGGCACTACCGACCTCTTGTGACGAGCTATCAGCACAAATGGACCATGTCCTCGAGCATCTACGAACACTGCTCACGAATCCATCGTTCGTGCCTCTAGAGGAAGTAGAAATGCGGGACGAAGAAATTAAACGACTTCGCGAAGGCTGGGAGAAAATGGAAAGCCGGTGGAGCCAGGCCGTTACGATGATGGATGGCTGGCATAAACGGATCGCAGATGGAGGCCATTCGATTCAGGCGGAAGAGCTCCGTCAAGGCCTAGACCTACGCCTGGACATTACGCAAGCACTATCTCAAGACGGGGGGCGAGACACGACCATCCAGTCACCCATCTTCGAAGACCAAGAAGCAGAAGAGGAGGAAGAAAAACAAACCGCTGCGAAAATTACCACCGAGCCTAGTCGGCCTGCAGAGTCCCCCAGGAGAACTCGTCAGTCAACGCGAGAAACGAGATCTAGGAGAGCCAGTAAAGCCTTGAAAGAAAGGAGCGATAACATCATGACTGGACGCTCGCCACGGAAGGTCTCATTTACTGCGGGTCTACAAGACTCACCTTGCGAACCGAGCGCGGACGATGAAACGCTACAAGTAAAAGCACACCGCTCAGAAGCGGTAACTCGTAGACCATCAAGGAGGAAGGCTGAATCAAAAGGGCTCTCTCGTCAGGGAAGCAGCGCTCAAAGTCCCCAGCCCAAAGAGTCACGCCGGGCAACTGCTATCCAAGCATCGAGCAGCCAAGCTCGCCTGAGCGTGCCCCAAAAGCTAGCAGCTGCCGAAAGCGAGGCCCGGGAGGCAGAACAGGCTCGCAAAGAAAGCGAAAGTCGTAAGCGTGGGCGGGCTCTCAAGGGATCCAGCAAAGGACATCGGGACCGACGCCGGAGCACACTAACTAGCGACGAGCTGGGAGAGCTGATGGGGATGCCTGCTAAGTGAAGTGACGAGTTGTTTCATGATGATGTTCCTGGGAGACAAGCTTATTCGATACCCCCCTTCGTTCACTGTCTGAGTATATACCTTGCCTGTTTGCATACTTCCTGCCTTAGTGACGACATAATCATGACCTCCTTCTTTCCTCTTTCTGTATACTAGTTAATACATTCCGGTATCACCACAATACCATGAGTAATTTCTCAAAGCAGCCATTCTATACTTCCTTATTTCCACATGCTCAAGCTTCTGCCTATGGCCGTCTAGATTGACCTTCAGGCCCCAGCTCGACAACGGGCCACCATATCAGGGGCCAGAACGCCACAAATTATGCCACAACGCTCACTCGATGTCAACAGGCTGAATTTTCCGCACCGAATGTATCATATCGGCCAGAATACCAGGCCTAAGCCGCATAGTTGTATACTTCGTTCTTGCACCCAAGGAACCATGCCTGATTTACCCCAGAAAAGGCCAGAATTTCTAGCGACCCAGCCGGACAGAAGAACGGACCAAATTACTCGCACACCTATTTGTAGTTCTCCTGGCAAAATCGGCGTCTTCAAAATGCCGCAGATGACGCTGAAGGGAAAGCACAGCCACCAGGTTCTGACGTCCCATCTCCTTCATCCCGTAGAAGTCATAACAAGCCAAAAAGCGGCGAGTAGCAAGTAGGGTCCTTGGGGAATAAGAGGGACAGAGTCCAGACCGTAGTTAAAGCCCAGTTGCAGTCATAGTTGCAGTCATAGCTGCCACGGTCGTTTCTCATACCTCATCGTGAAGGCATAACTTCTGACGTTAGTATATAAGCCTGCCGGCTGTTTCGTTCTCTGCCTTTCATACTTCTCCCTCCACAACACACTCACGCTTTGGCTGCTCGCTATCTTTGACCGAGTTAACCACAGCAACTCTTCTTTCTCCATCTCTTCAAAATCTCACACTGTTCTTTGATCTAGTGCGTTTTTGATAGGGTTCTCTGTTAAGGAGGATAATATCTGATTCGTGCTTGTTAGCGTTCTGTTGCTTGGCTTTGCTTGATCGCCAAGGGAATAAGTTACTCACGGCTTTTGCTTTCAAAGCTGGTTCCTTTCCCTCCAGAAGTCGACATGGCTTCCCATCATCAGCTCACTCGTGCTATTCCATATCCCGGAAAGGAACCTTTTGGCGCCCTTTGGAATAAGTGTATCTGGCAATGGGTTTTCTTTACCGGGGCTCGTCTGCGTCTGCGAGTTCTACAAAAGAATAGGCTTTTCTGGATATATTTCGTGATACCTCCATGGTGTGACCCTGAAGAGAGCTATCATTTGCCTGGGGTTCCAAAGATGGCTCAGTGGGATGTGATACACACAGAAAGCACCATGCCCAACGGTTACCATGTGTATGTCACCTCGCGGATAACGTCTCATGGCTTTGAGGGACAACAGTATATACCTGCGGGTCACTTCCCGTCATTTCAGCTTGTGTCTCATAACCACCACTTTTCACATATGACCCATCCAGGATACCAAGTACATCATGGCTCCCCCTTGCAGCAGGTGCTCAAGCGGTCGGTTCCCTCTTGGGTGACTATCCCTCCGCAGTCGTCCCTACAGGGTTCAGTTCAAGCCCAGGCGGGACCGAGTCAAGGCAACGTTGCCAACAATTCACGTGAACCGGAACAGCCTGAATCACAGTCCAGAGAACTGTCACCACTTGAGAGTGGTCATGACATCGTGTGTGATGCTTTAATCGTCGGAGAAATAGAAGTCACAGACGAAAACGCTCAAGATCTCCTTCCCCTCGAAGCTCGCCTTTTTGTCGGAAAGTAAGAGATAGTCATCCTTCCAAACTCAATTAGTGGATGGGATGAGAACTAACACACTGCAGTATACCAAGTGCTCTTTGTCCAACTCAGATAAAGTTCGAGCTCAAGAGGATCCTCGCCAGATACGGATGTTGTTATGTCAAAGTGAAGACGAACCCTAATTCTGGTTTGAGAACCGCCTTTGCGCAATTCGAGGTATGTGTAATGTTTCATGTCCCAATATGTAGCAACTAATGAAGTGTAGACACCGGAGGTTGCGAACAGAGTCATGCAAAAGAGCAAGGATCAGCCATCAGAATTCGATCTTCACCACCGCTCTCTCCGGTTCGAGATGGCAAAAGGAAAAAGGGAAATTTCCACTCGTACACGTTCCCGTGAAGTTTCCTCTCAACCGGACCCATGCTCCACACGAGTGGATGACACTGAGGGCAACGTCGAGCCCGCCCATAACATGAATGCCGAGGGCAACGTCGAGCCCACCCACAGAATCAACGGCGAGGGCAGAGTTGAGCCCCCGCAAGACAATAGGGAAGTGGTCTCCGAAAGCGGCAAGTCTGCTGGGGAATCCCGTGAGAGTTTCTATAATGTAGGGGCCAGAGGCAGCCACTCAGCTCCGTGCCTACCTCTCGCGTGGGAAGCCTCTGCAACGGCCTGAGAGCCATGCATAATCATGTCATGCTATATTAGCGTTGCGTAGCTTGAGCGCTTGATATACCCTTGGACTTGGCTTCTTTTTGCTTATAATCTCCATCTTGGTTATCTCCAGATTGTTGGTGTTGCTTGTCTTGCCTCTTTGTTCGTGAAGAAGATTTCTATTTGCTTGTCTCGTCCTGTCTTATCCTGTCCTGTCCTGTCCTGTCATATCTTGGTATGTTTGGCTATTTAGCTTGCAATTCAGGCCTCGTTGATGGAAAGAACCTATCCTATTCGGGCCTGACAATACCAACTTGCTTCAAATTTCTTGTTCCCTGCGCAACTGGTGTAAGTGTGTAAGCATCGTAGGGACCGAGTTTGAGTGCGCGTGATACGCGAGTAAAAGGCTATCTGGCGTCTTGGGAGCGGTGAGTGATGATTCATTCATTGCGGCATCAGTGGTAGCCATTGCGAAAAGATCCGGGGTTAGCGATAGACTGGATATGCCTTAGAGAGATAAGATCCAAAGTGTCTATAGATAGCGAGGGGAATTGAGTTGGGAAGAGGGGAGGGGAAATGGGGAGACTAAAGCAGCGAGGACGGCGCTTCCGATTCCCCAATACGAGTCCGGCGCGTCTGGGTGGATCTTCGCCCCGGTCAATCCCCACATCTCTTCTCCGAGCATCTTCCAATTCCTACTCAGTTCAATTGATTCATTGTTAAGTTGTCTCAAGTCTAAATTTATTCATTCAATGGTTATGGTGTCCAAAAGGATCACTAGCCTATAGATCCACAAATTCTCCTCGCTGCCATTCTCCCTTCTCTAGCCGGTCCAGGTAATCGCTCACCTTGGCCGCCATTACTCCGGTCTCGTAGCCGAAGAACTTGTATGCAGCCTTGCCCGGCAAACTGTGGCCGAATCGGCGGATGTTGATGCCTGCATCGGCATACCGCTCCCAGCCGTTCGGCGCATATGGCTCGATCACCACAGCTGGGATACCTTGGTGGCGTCGCAGGACCGTGCGCTTGTATTCGAGGGGCTGCTGCTCGAACAGTCGCTGGCACGGGAAACTGATGACGCGTGCCGCAATTCCTTTAGTCTCTTTCAGCTGCTGGGCTACTTCAAGCGCAAATGAGAGCTCTGCGCCGACACCAATGAGTGTCACTGAGGCATCATCAGCCTCTTCCAGCACGTATGCGCCAAGAGCCACTCCCTCCCGGCGAGTCTGCTTCAACTGGGGCAGAGCGTGACGGGAGGTAGAGATAATGCTGGACGACTTCTTGGCCTCCAGGGCTGCAATCCAGGCTCCTGCTGTCTCCTCACTGTCTCCCGGTCGAATATACAACAGATTCGGCATAGCACGGTAGAGCGCTGCCAGCTCTATCGGTTGGTGTGTCGGACCGTCTTCTCCCATGCCAATTGAGTCGTGAGTGGCAGCGTGGATGACCTGAAGGTGCTGAAGAGCACCCATGCGCACGGCAGGGGCAGCATAAAGGTAGAACATGAAGAAGGATGAGGTGATAGGGATGAATGTATTTGGAGCAAACGCTGCCAACCCGTTCGAGATGGCACACATGGCATGCTCACGCACTCCGAAGTGGATATATCGGCCAGAGTAGTTGCCGTTGATCTTGCAAGTGGTTCGTAGATCAGGCTGCATCTAGTAAGCATGGTCCCACTAAGTCCTGTAAGAGCGACAGCAAGAATGAACTTACGTGCTGGAAATCAACTTTGCCCGGCCAGATCATGTTCACGGACGGGCTCAGATCAGCAGTTCCGACCATGAAGGATTCAATATCTTTGGCCAGAGGGTTGAAGACCAGACCAGACGAAGCTCTCGTAGCCGTGGGCTTGTCAGGGAAGCTGGAAGGGATAAGGTCCTTCCAGTTCGAAGGCAGCTCTCCGCGCATGCGTCTCTGGAACTCCGCCCCAAGCTCAGGATATTCTGCGCTATATTGCTTCACTAAAGAGTTCCACTGCTGAACAAGAGCTTCTCCCCGAGTAGGCAGCTCCTGGAAAAATCCTCGGACTGTGTCACTGATGACAAAGTGCTCATCAGGGTTGAAGCCATACTTCCTCTTCATATCTGCTACGTCTGGAGCACCAAATGCGGCACCATGGGCAGCAGCCATGCCTTCCACCTTACTGCCTAAACCGATGACGGTCCGGACATTGATAAAGGTAGGCTTCTCTTGGGATGCGCGGGCCTTCTCCAAAGCTTGAAAAATCCCCTCGACATCATAGCAACCATCTTCCACATCAATGACGTCCCAGCCACAGGCACGCATCTTAGCGTTAATGTCCTCTGTGTTGGTCAGGTCGACTGAGCCATCGCAGGTTATCTGGTTATTGTCGTAGATAACGGTCAGGTTGTTGAGTTTGAGATGACCCGCAAAGGAGATTGCCTCGAGTCCGACGCCTTCCTGCAGACACGCATCTCCTATCATGCACCAGGTGTGGTTCGATATGACATCGTATCCAGGACGGTTAAAGTTGGCCGCAAGATTCTTCGTGGCCATAGCAAGACCCACAGCATTGGCAACGCCCTGACCTAAGGGGCCTGTGGTGACTTCAATGCCCTCGTGTTCGATTTCCGGGTGGCCCGGACATAATGCATCGACGCGGTCGGAGTGATAGGACTTTAGCTGCTCAAAAGTCATGGCTTTGTAGCCGGTGAGATGCAAAAAGGCGTACTGGAAGAGACAGGTATGACCGTTGGAAAGGATGAAGCGATCGCGGTTGAAGTAGTCGGGGGAGTGTGGCGCGTATTGCATAACATATCGCCAGAGGGCGACTCCTATGGCCGCCATGCCAATTGCTCCACTGGTCAAGTCAGTTACCACCCTTTGTTCTGCTGGACTCATAGTCGGTGAACTCATACCCCGGGTGGCCTCCACCGAACTGCTGACACAGGTCGGAAATGAGAAGACGGAATGATTTCAAGACATGGTCATGGTCTTTAGACAGCTGGCGCACCAGCGGCAAGGCGGATGCGCCGTTACTTTGCGGGACAGGACCAACAGCCATAGTTGCAGAAATGATTCTGAGGGCGATACATGGCGCGGGGTAAGGAGGGACATGGGTCAAATTTATAACGAGCAGGGTACCCAGAGCAGAGAAAAGGTGGGAACAGAACAAGCCCAGTTCTGCAGAATGATGGTGGAATGAGCATGAAGAACTGGATCCGAACAACCTCATCGGGCAGCATTAAGCCCATTTCCGAATCGGGAAACTGGAGGCGCCAACCACCATATCGGGGAAGGCGGATCTGGAATACCCAAAATGGTAAGTACTGGACCCGACCCCGGAATCCCCATGCGGGGAAGGTACGACCTGGACTGGATCCATGATGGGTCATGCGTGCCACCAGTTGCCATCTCCATGATGCCCAAGCAAGGGTAGCTTATCTCCGCTGAATCCTATTGCTCGAATTCAGCAGTTGTATCACTCTCAGCTAACCTGAGGGCACCGAAGATGCTTCAGCTTAAACCCAGACTCACCCCAGGCGTCTTCTGTCACTCTAACATTCAGAATATACACCATCCAACAACATGGCCCCTTCTGTCCTTCTGTCGAGCCCGGCTCCAACGTCTACCTCAAAAGCATCGCTGACGGAGCAGGTCCAATTGTCGCCTCCGCTCCCCAATCCCTCTCTCCAGATTACAGCGGATCACAATCTCAAATTTGTCCCCGCCCCGGTGTATGCGCCACAGCGAGGTGAGGTCCTGCTGCAAATCAAAGCCACTGGCGTCTGTGGGTATGCATGAACATAGGCTAGATTATCTGAGTACACTACTCGCTAACCCGACCAGGTCCGATATCCATTTCTGGAAAACTGGTCGCATTGGGGAGCTGGTCTTCGAAGGGGATTGCATAATTGGCCATGAAGCAGCGGGGGTGGTGCTGAAGTGTGGCGATGGAGTGACCCATCTGCAGCCTGGTTAGTAACGCTGTGTGCCATATCTGCAATGGATAGCTTATGGGGAGGCACAGGTGACAGAGTCGCCGTCGAACCTGGGGTTCCGTGCGAACATTGCTTCCTCTGTGACGACGGTCGCTACAACCTTTGCGAGGACGTCCAGTTTGCGGGAGTATATCCTTATGCGGGTACCATCCAACGTTACAAGGTGCACCCGGCCAAATGGTTACACAAGTGCGTGTGCCCATTGCTTAGACTTATGGGATCAAGTCATGCTGAACGTGCTCTACAGGCTTCCGGACAATATCTCCTATCTTGAAGGAGCTCTCCTCGAGCCACTTTCGGTCGTCATGCGCGGTATTCAGGTCGCCCGCCTTCATTTAGGTCGTGCTGTTGTTGTCTGCGGCGCCGGGCCTATTGGACTGATCGCCCTCGCAGCTGCTCGGGCATCAGGGGCCCACCCCATTGTCATCACAGATATTGAGCCAAAACGACTCGCCTTTGCCAAGGAATTTGCGCCTTGGTGCAACACATACCAGGTTAATCCGGCACTAGATGCGGAAGGCAACGCTAAGGCAATCCGAGCACTTTTTGGTCCGGACGAGTACAACGCCCCAGAAACTGTATTAGAGTGTACTGGTGTTGAGAACAGTGTGTGTACCGCAGCATTCACCGCTCGTCGAGGTGGTGCGGTGGTGGTTATCGGCGTTGGAAAGGCAGTGATGAATAATTTGCCATTCATGCATATTTCTCTGGCAGAAGTAGGCACGCACTTGTCCTGTTAAGCATGAAGAAGAGACTACTAACCAAGACAGATCGATTTGCGGTTTATCAACCGGTACCGTGATACATGGCCGCCTGCGATTGCGTGTCTCACTGGGGGCATACTGGACCTGAAGAAGTTGGTGTCGCATGTTTTCCCACTAGAAAAGGCAGTGGATGCCTTGAATCTGTGTGCGGATCCCAGAAACGGGAGCATCAAGGTGACCATTGTGGATGAGGTTGAAGCAACGCTGTAAATACTTGCCGAATACAGTTTGGCCGGGGCGGAGGCAGATAGAGAAGACTAAACGAGACACCTCCCCAGTAGCTATTTCCTCAATCGAGAGTCGGCAAGCATCTCACTACTCAACAGCATTGACCAAGAAATATCCAAACATCCTTGATATCATTTCCACCACCCCTCTTTTACTTCAATCTCGTTATGAAATTTCTTCATATACAAGTAATCCACTCCCCAGTAAGCTCATGCTCAAGCAGCTTAATCTCCAGATTCCGCCTCTCCACGGGACCAGCTACTAGTAGTACTACGTGCGGTAGGAGATGTTACTGGTTCCATGGTGTGGATGCTGTCACAAATCATGATGCTTAGTAGTATATATTTTCGTTAATGAGTCTGGTTACGTGAGGCAGTACTGCCCATCTCATATCGATATAGGCATTATATTATCAGGATTAAAAATCCAACTAATATGACCTAATGCGCAATATAATTAGTCTTCCCTACAGCATATATTGATGGAAACCATGAAGTATCAGCTTGCTAATCAGATAAGTGACCGGGGTGCTGCAGGTATGTTCCGCTGACGAGAATATGGTTTTGTAACTATTGTTCAACAGGGTGGAGAAGAGGGCGGAGACGGGGAGGGCCGGCTTATTGCTAAGGGAAGTAAGACAATGTCTTATACTTATTTCCGACGGCCTATCCACCTTGTGGATTTGTGACTCGGATACTATCTAGTACTACTGTTGTTATCAATTGGAGCGGATAGAAATGACTGCAGTATGCTGCTTGGCTAGACATCTTCACCAAATATTGAAGGACCCTTGTTTCATAGCAAGAGGAGATTAACAAACCAGACAAACAGTCTCGTCACATGACAGACCGGGATCGGAGTTAAGGCTGACTGACACACGCAGGTACTCTGTCCGGCGTACAATTCTAGAACGGCTTATTGCTATCCTGCAGAAGGGGATAATAGAAAAGGTCAGACTGTACTTAGTAGAATGACCAACCAGGCCCCCAGTTGATAGGTAGATCTGTTGGCTGTTGGACGATGGAGCGACGGGAGAACACTTTGAATAGTGAACAGACATTATTGTCCTTTACAGCGGTCGCAAGCTTCGACCCCAAAGCAGATGACGATCCTGATCAAAGACGCTGATGGATGGCGCGTCCGAACAGAGGCAAACTCCCAATGACATTCCGAGTGGTGCTCGTGATGTACCCGCAAGGGGGCTGACTGCCCTCCGATCGGCTGATGGGGTTCCGCCAAGATCACAGGCTGCAATGACAGTTCAGACTGCGGAATGCCAGGCATTGCTTGGTGAGGATTAGCAGTGCTGGGCAGAAAAGCTTAGGATGGCAGAACAACGCCCATGCTTGCGACCGGGGCGCAAAGGTGCGAGACTGACTTGGCTGTGGCAGCCATGCCATTCATGGGGAAAAGGCAAGGCAAAAGGGATGATCCATGGTTCCCGCCCGGCCAGAACTCAGCCTTTGTTCGGATTAATTGTTTGGCTTAATTTTCCAGGGGCAAGAGGGGAAAAAAAAAAAAGATAGAACACCAAAAAGAAAGGGAAGATCGGGATGCCGTATTCGTATTGTGGCCTCAGGCTCACTTTGATACTAAACACCTCATCTTTTCTCCAGGGACTTAGAACAAACTCTGGTAGTGGAAATTTCATCACCCTCATTTTTAGCTCCTTTCTGAAGTCTGAACCCCTTCTGACCCTGTCACACCATGATCCTTGGGGTCGAGAAGAAATGCGAGGGCGAGAAAGCTGATTGCACGAGGAGCTGACGTGGACGGGGACCAACTCCACCGGTGCCGATGGTTGGCTTTTTGGGCCTTTCTTCCCTTCTTTTTCCCGTCGATTAAAAATAGGCCTGGCCCGGCGTCTACGCAGCTTGATTTGAAGCAAACCCCCATCCACCTCTCTTGGTTTCTGCTGCAATGCCATCATCTCATTCTTGACTTGACTGCCACTGTCTCCATCCGTATTCCCCCCTTCACTCTCGTTTACTCTCCGTTCCTGCTGGTCAGTCTCTTCCTTGACCGTGTCCCTCGCTTCCAACACTCGTTTCCTTCAATTTCCTCCCCCCTTTTCTCTCGTTGCCCCCCTCCTCCCGCTCCCTCCCGCCATGCGTCTCGTTCGAGATTGCCTGTATGGGGGGTTATTCCTTAACACGGCGCTCTTCTCCCAGCTCTCCCACGCCATCGATATCGATATCAGCAGTACCAGTATGCCTTCCCCCCACTTCTTCAATCTCTTTCCCATTATATACACCACTGTCTCGGCCCTTGCTTTATTCCGTCATCCTTCTCCTCTCCTACATACTTGGACGCAGTTGCGCCACTATATCTAAGACTCCATGCCTTCCATTCCAACGACATACATAAATACCATGAATTGACAACTGATACACATTTTTATTGTCCGTATAGGTTCAATTAAAGATGCCGCCAGTAAGACGGCCTACGGGTCCATGACCTGGTATCATGGAAACGAAACCGGTCAGATTCCCGGTGCTTTCCCTAGCAAGTGGTGGGAGGGTAGCGCGCTTTTCACAAGTTTGCTCCTCTACTGGTATTACACTGGAGACAGTACCTACAACGACGAGGTCCGTCAGGGTATGCAATGGCAGGCGGGTGACTGCGATTACATGCCCGCCAATTACAGTAGTTACCTGGTAAGTGACCTGACCACACCCATCCCCCCTGAACTTGGACAATAGTCTGACTCTCGTCGCTGTTCACTAGGGTAACGACGATCAAATGTTCTGGGGTCTTGCCGCCATCACCGCTGCCGAGATCGAATTCGCCGACAGCTCCTCCGGATATTCCTGGCTCGCTTTGGCCCAGGGTGTTTACAACACTCAGATCGACCGATGGGATGATTCGACATGTGGCGGCGGTTTGCGCTGGCAGATCTACCCTTACGAGGCCGGTTACGCCATGAAGAACTCCATCTCGAACGGAGGTTTGTTCCAACTCGCCGCCCGCCTGGCCCGCTACACCTCAAACGACACATACGCCGACTGGGCAGAGAAGATCTTCGATTGGTGTGCCTCGACTCCGTTGCTAAACAACGAGACTTGGAACGTGGCCGACTCCACCGATGTCGATAACAGCTGCTCCACCCAAGGCAACAACCAGTGGTCTTACAACTACGGCGTGTTCTTGACGGGAGCCGCGTACATGTACAACTATGTGAGTGATTCCGACCCCCTTGAGGTGCGAAGGAAACATGTGCTGATTTGACGCCATTCACAGACCGGCAAGGCCAAGTGGAAGACTGCGGCGGAGGGCCTCTTGAACGTCACGCTCGACACCTTTTTCCCGGCGAAGTATGGTGGAAACATCATGTCCGAAATTCTCTGTGAGCCGACCGAAGTGTGCAATGACAACGAAATTCTGTTCAAGGGTCTCGTCACCGGATGGCTTGGACTTGTGGCCCTAGTGATGCCGTCGACGTATGATAGCATTTTGCCAAAGCTGCAGGGGTCTGCCGAAGCTGCCGCAGCCTCCTGCAGCGGAATGAGCAACAACACTTGTGGTGTGCGCTGGTGGCCCAAGAAGTGGGATGGATGGAACGGAATGGAGGAGGAAATCGCCGTCACCAACGTTCTATCCTCCGCGTTGGTCAACACGAAGAAAACCGCCCCTGTGACCTCCAGCACCGGAGGCAATAGTAGTAGTGATCCGAACGCAGGTACGGGCGACAACACCGGGAGCAGCGGCAGTACCGAATCGAAGATCACCACGGGCGACAAGGCGGGTGCCTCCATCCTGACCATTGCCTTTGTGGGCATGTGGGGAGGTATGATCGCTTGGATGGTCATTGGCGGTTGAAATATACCACCAACCTACAAAGTCTTGTGATTTGTCTGTCTATAGTGATTCGGTTCATATGGCTGGGCGATTCCCCCTTTGTCCTTGCTATGTTTTTTGATTTGGGCGATTTCGGAAAGGCGCAATGTGTCTATAGGTCTACTACATTTTGTGAATGCCTTCTCTCATGCATGTATATAATCTAGATAAGTTGGTTTGGACTGGACTGGTTGGCCTGGGTACGTGTCAGGTTCCCTGTACTTGATATTCTTCGTTCATGTGACTTATTCTCCGAAAACATACACATTGATTATTGTTGAAACAAGCATGTCCTGTGAATTATCCAAAGACATCTTTCTGAGAAGGAAGCACCTGTTCACTAGTTTTACTGATACTGAGTGACAGACCCATGTAGGATGTCACTATGCTTCTCGTACTATATCTATTTATACATTAACCTCTACAATCATAGTAGCAGCTACTCCTTACCAACTATAACCAGAATAGCAGACATAACAACCCAGATATAGTTACTAACTAGTTAATAAGCCAGAACCCGAAACACCGAGTGCTTGACGGCATGTGGTTCATATCTGAGTTCGGTGCTATTTATATACCAACTATCGTCTCGATATAGAGTTAGTGATACTGCTATTTCTCATTTGGCCTTACTACTAATCATTTGAGCTGGTACTACAACCATGAACAAATCTCCAACAAACGAATACCAACCTGACCAGCAGGCTGCTACTAGTGTTATTCTTTAAGCACCTAAGCCTAGCAATATCACTATTTGGGAGAAATTGAACGGACGAAGGAATAAGTCATCTATAGCTCCGTATCTAAATAGTGCTCGTGAATTAGTTTATGTTGTTTTCTTTCTTATAAATGAAGTGCTAGTGTTGAGGAGGTAGAGAGTGGTTGTTGATAAGATATACCTCTGTGGATGTCTACTACTACTACTACTGTTGTATTTAGAGCTGTTACGTTTGTGACTAGTAATTTAGATATACTACTAGTAGAATCTGAATATCATGAGGTTATCCCTCAATCTCGTTAGAAATAATGAGTCCTTTTCACAAATATATACTACCGATATAGCTTGAACCCTTCTAGCATTGAGGGAGTTTTCGAAAGATAGTATCCGGAAAGGTGGTGCCGATGTACAAGAACCATCTACCCACTATCTTACATGAGTATTTATTCATTGGTACTATGATAGTACAAAACCAACTCAAAGGCTTTCTGAGTTCCGCACGAAGACCTTTCTAGTACCGTTTGCAAGGTCTGTCGGTGTGAGAGGGAAAGGGAGCTACTGCATAGATTATGGATTATTCCGTTTTCATTCCCAACCATGCTTCTCTTCTAAGCACAGAATGACTCTAGCCTATCTATTTTTATTTAGCTCAACATAAGAAATAACCCAATGAATGACTACCCACCATCCAGCGACAAAGACAACTATCACCGACGACCCTCCACCGTCTGATGAAACTCTCGCTTTACTGTGATAGCATTTGGCACATTACTCAACCGCACAACTTCCATCCCCGTCTCCATGTCCACCACCTTCTGCACGGCGAAATCCTGTCCCCTAGAGACATGGCTATCATTCGACGAATTGCCGTTCTGCAATTGAATCCACTGTTCATTGAGCGTTTCGCTAAGACGGTGTCGGCGAGGGCGAGACCGCGAGGTGAAGTTCTTGGACTCGCGGCCGTAATGTAGGTGGGGATGGGAGGAGCTGCCTCCTGTTCGGCTTGTGACCTTTTGCGCCGCTTGCCTGAAAAGGCGGTAGATGATGGGCAAGTTGGCGCAGAGAATGCCCCCGAGCGATTCGAAGCCGGATAGAACACCGAGGTCGACGCCGTCCCCTACGTTTGTCTTATGTTAGTGTGGTCAAGCGTGGTATTACTTGGTGGGTTGGAAGAGAGAGAATGGACACACAGGTGATGTCGGACGAGCTTTCCGCAAAGACAAAGGCTAGACGGGCAGCGCTTATGCCGCATGTTCTGGTGATCATGTAAGTGTTAGTGCTTGGCCCACTAAGGAGGGCGAAATGTGGAAAGTACCTACATGAATCCAATTGAGAAGATGATACAGAGGGCAATTTTATTGCTTCGGGTCGTACGGAGCCGCACAATCACCCCTATCGGGAGAGCAAATATGACAAGGTCGGTGATCATGTTGGAGGTGTTGACATAGTATGACAGGGCGCTGGAGTTGAAGCAATGGCCTTTGACACTGGCATCCCAGAAAGCCTCCAGTGGTCGACAGAGCAGGCCCATAAAGATCTCAATCGTCGCAATCCACAGGCAGACAAATGTGACACAGCCAATTACTGTCCTGCGAAACCATTGTATTGCGAATATGCGGTAGTATAACGCGAGGATCCCGAGTTTGACACTTGCGAGGCCGACATTATAGAGGTGGCTAGCAATATAGTCACCCTGTTATGTGTCAGTTAGATCGGGAGGTAATCAGTAGCGCGTTGTACCTTCAAAAATGCCTCGAGGTCTTTAGTCGAAAGGGTTGAAGCATGTTTACCAAAGCCATGACGCATGCCTAAGTATGTTAGCTAAATGCTGGCTAGAGACGCACGAGGGCATGCATCCCATACCGACGACCAGCATGATAATACTGTATGTTACCTCCAGCATCTAACCGAAGACAACAAAGATCGTCAGTATGCACAGGAACCAGGAGATAGGGAGGCAAAAGCACCGTAGCTAGAGTGATTAGGTAGTCATCTGCATGAAAGCGGTCCTCTGTTGGACCACGGACTTTCACGAAAAGCCGTAGACCCGTGCATAGTGTCATGCAGACGATAGGAACGGTGTATCCAGCTATCACCACAGGCACCCTCGAGGCAGTCTCTAGCGAGCTCGTCATGGTGGCCTACATGCTCTGAAACACACCATATGCCTAGGAATTCTGGTGCCTCTGAGAATCCCGCAGGCCCCGAGCAGTTTATAGGACCCTAAATCTCATGATTAAGATCTGCAAAGTCCCTTCGATGGGCTACAGGGGTCGTCGGCACCGTATGGAATTGAAATCACTACCAATAAACTAATGGCAAGCTCCATGGTCCGGATCTAGATCGAAGGCAGCAGGATTGGTCGCGTAATCTCTTTTTCCTGAGGCGGGAGGAGAATATTCGAACAAAGGGTGGAGACCTGAGAACATTGCAATAGATACTGATAGTCGAGGCAGCTGAGCCGAATGGCCGCATCAAACCATCTCATAAGGTGAATTGAGTTTTGATGGATAACTGAACCATCTAGAACTCGGCCCAGGATGGCATTCCTAGTCTCTGAGTGGAGTCCGATCCTCCGATGAAAGGTCCAGGAACGCGCTATTTGAATCGAAAGGCGTCAGTAATCGGATTACCGCCGGTGGTAAGACTCGATGACTATGGTTCGAGGTGATTGGATACGCACTCAACACCGTTAGTTTCAGCTTGCTATCCCACTAAATGATGAGGGGGGAACTCCAGCGACTGTTGGCTGACGGACCGTCCCTACCGTCTTTAGGGTACGGGGAGACCTCATTAGTGTCCGCCTCGGACGCGATTAGCGTTCCCATGGCGGATGGACCTTCGCCCAGTCGCCAATCCCATCCAGCCCTCGATATTAACCGCGATGTTGGGTTTTCAGCTCGCCCGTGGCCACTCCGAGGTTGGCCGTGTTTCCGGACCTCCACCATGGCCTTTCCCCCTCCGGTAAGTTCGTTCAGCCCACTCGGAGTCCTCCAAAGGTCTTTTCCCCATCTTATCCTTCTCACAAGGGAATAAACTAGATCTGGCGTTGAGTGTCCTAGTAAAGACATGATTGACTGTCGACATGTTCATTTCGTGGTCGTTGAACCCTGGCCCTCCAACTTCATCCGACTCAGATTCGTCGCCTCCGAAGACGTCCCAACCCAGAATCCGGTCCCGCAGCGGTTGTCTTACGTGTCGTCGGAGACGGGTCAAATGCGACGGTGCGTGTTGTCCATTGCCTGTCCCATCTCTAGGTTGATGGGAGCCTCGTGCTCCTTATGACTTGCTCCGGTGTTGTACACGGCAATTTCTAAGCGACAAGGAAGCTTATTCTCCGATGCGTCCAGAAGCTCATCCAGTATGTGTGCGCTGCCAACGGTCGAAGAATCGATGCAACTACGGGGTCCGCCTTCAATGGGAGGATGATATGCGGGCCGCGGGGAAGTGCCATGGACGAACCGGGATTGTAACCAGAAGGGATTCGCTTCGATGCAAAGAATCTGAAGAGGACGAAGATCTTCTGCCTTCGAAGCGGATCGAACGCAAAGATCAACCTGGTAGCGACGGGGAATCCGCATTGATCCTCACTCCACCCTCGTCGCACAGTCCACTGCGGGCCGCGACGTCAGAAAGCGTTTCCTTTCTAACTCGTGACACATATCACAGTCAATATCAGCACTGGAAAGAGAGCAAGATTAAGTCATCAAATACCACCTTTCGGACCTTGCCTTGGACCCTCGATGTGCCCGATGTTGATGATGTGTGCTTGTCGTTTTACGAGTCGATAATGTGCCCCGCTGCCGTTACCATCGACAACGAGGAAACTAATCCCCTCCGCAATACAGTGATGCGCATGGTATTTCGGTCTGAATTGGCATATTATTCTGTGCTCATGACCAGTGCGCAGTATCTAAGATCCATCGATAGTCGCTTCGAACTCTTTGAGATGCAGGTCCGGCAAAGGGTACTCAAAGGCTTGCGTCAAGCGTTGGCGGAAAGTTGCTTTGAATTCGAAGACGTGCTGCTGCCGACTATATTTCTCTGCTCTTCGGCTGTATGTGATGTCCTCGCTCTTGATGTTCTCATGGGTGTCAGTATTGACTCGCAGCAGATATCTCACAGCTGTGACGCCTCCTGGGTTCGCCATCTCACATGTTTCCAGATGGTCATCAAGCAGAAGATTCGTCGCCACACAACAACAGACGTGCCGCAACTGTTCTTGAGTTACTTCCTTGCACATTTAGTGCTGGCAAAGTCTCTCTTCCCCATGGACAAGGCACTACCTGTTGTAGAACTGCGGAACGATCTCTCGTTACCCGTAGAAGAAGGGGCCAGCTGGACCTCTTCAGATTCTCTGTCCAAGGCCATGGACCCAGATACGCTTCACGAAATTGATGTTTGGACTGGCATGAGTAACCGCATGCTCTTGCTTATCAATGATATATTAAGTCTCAAGGATGATGTGCGGGCCTTATATGAAGAAGGGACCGAAGCTGAAGAGAAACAACGCGTCATTGAAGCCAAGATTATCACTTTACAAAGGAATCTTCAAGACACGACACACCTACTCCCGAAATCACTGCGTCGATGTCAGGATTCCGCCGAGGTTGTCCATAGGCGTCGTCTCCTTGAGTACACTGGCGAATCATATCGTCTTGCCGCGTGTCTGCTTCTTTCGGAAGCGTCCACGCCAGCTTTCCTCGGTTACATCAGTGAACCAAGCCTGGGCTTGGATACAACACGAAAGCAGCGCCATGTCGATTATATCCTATCTCTGGTAGAATCGATAGTCTCATCGCTGGATCACCTCCCAATCTCCTGGCCGTTATGGCCCCTCTTCATTGCCTCGTGCTGCAGTACGTCTGAATCCGACAAAGCACGGGCTTTGGCACAATTCCAGGCAGCTCAAGCGAAAGCCCCATATGAGAACACTGTACGAGCACAGACAGTTGTGGAATTACTGTGGCAGCGACGTGAGCTGTATGTGGCAGGGGAGAGGACACGGACCGGTCGATTTGAGTGGGAGTTGGTGATGGAATTTCTGGGGTGGCAGACGAGCTTCGCTTGAAGATGCCTCTTCACCTGATTCACGCACACATGAACACACGACTTTCAGCTGTATACCCCAAGACATCGTTTCTATAACTAAGTAGTATCAACTTTTCACTTTTGTTCAACCTGTTGCGCACTTCACCCTTCCGCACATTTCTTCTATCTTGTCCTACAAACAGTATCGATAACTTTCGTTCTGCCAGTCCGTGATATCGCCCGACTCGCTGTGGTCCGAATGTGATTGGACAGCATCCTCCATCTCTGGTGACTCGGGCTCAATAGTCCGGCCTTGCTTGCGATTCCTTCGCTTATTCTCCCACGCCATATACACTCGCAGAGCAATGACATCCGCGACGGCAATGCAAAAACACGCCAGAATAGCGGCAAACGCAGTCTACAAATACCGTCAGTGTTTCAATCACAGCAGACAAATGGAGAGCAACTGAAATGAGAGAGAGATCTCTTACCAAATATTTAGGGGCTTCGTTGGTCTTGAACAATTGCGGCCCGGCAATATTGCCCACGCAGTACCCAATAAACAGTATAGCTGTCACGGTACTTTTCTTGGTAAACCCAGCAAAGTTACTCGAGACCAGACTAAGACTGAGGGGCCATCCGGCACCAAAGACACTGACGAGCCACACCCCAACCAAGCGACCCCATTTCTTCTCGGTAGGGAGCTGTCGCATGAGGAGAATGCCGATGAGGCTGACCAGAAGAGTGGCGATCATCCAGTAGCAGCGGAGACCACGGAAGCGATTGCATGTGAATGCACTAATAAGCAGAAAGACGAGAGCCACAGCAGCCATGGGGATGCTGTACAGGAGAGTGTTGAAGGTATCGAAGCCGAAAGACTCGATAACCAGGCTCGAGAACTGCTCATATGTTTAGTGCAAGTTCATTCTGTTCATGTGGCTCAGAGGGGTTTGGAAGAACTTACGTTGGTTATACCCCCGTTTGGCAGGGAGACCATGAAATTGTAGACGAACAAAAACCATGTTTTTGGATCAAGCCATGCTTCGATGAATTGGTCTTTCTTCCATTCGCGGCTCTGGTAGCTCTTCTGGCATGCCTGCGCGCGAAGGTAGGCGGGCTCGCGTTGATTCGGTTGGAGGAACTTGGCGTTACGTGGGGAGTCGGGCAGGGCGAAGAACAGGAAGACCGACCATCCCAACGTGATCAGTCCGAATATTATGAAGAGCCATTGCCACGGCCCCAACCTATCTTCAATGTGGCCGATGGCGTAGGCGAGAACGCCTCCGAAGATTGCGGCAACGCCGTTGCCCGCGAACCAGATGCAGCTGCGCAGAGCGTGCTCTGATGGCGTATACCACATACTCACGACTAGAGTGAACCCGGGGCTTATGGCGCTTTCGAAAACTCCCAAAAGTACACGGAGCGCGGTCATCCCTGCGAAGTTGGAGGCTGCTGCGTGGCAGGTTAAGGTAATAGCCCATAGAATCCTAGCCTCTTAGTATATTGTCATATGAGTTGGATGTGGTACTAGCGTACATCATAGTAGAGAGGTATTTGCCGAGCGGGAACTTGACAAACCCCAGAGAGACAGGGTAGGATGCGACTAGGTAACCAAAGTAAAAGGCACTCGAGGTCCATGAATAGAGGGCTGTGGTCATGTGCTGATCTGACGTTAGACGAATCTGAGAAGCACAAGGGGTTGCAGCATACCGTGCCACTCAGAAGACCCAAGATCGATGCATACGACAAGGTCGTCTTATCGAGATATTGCAGCAAGTACGAAAAGAACATCAGCGGAAGAAGACAAAGATCGATGCGGCGGATGATGGCTTTCTCCTCTCTCTCTGAGAGGGGCTGAATAGACTCATTGGGACCCTTAGGAAACCTCTTCTCGTCCTCCATCGGCGGCGAGTTGGTACTATCCGAGGCAGACATGTTGGATGGATGTGCTGGAATGACAGACTACTTGCCAGGACAGTGCAGGTAGCAAAGGAAGAACCGGGGAGCTCTTTAACCTCCTTTCAGAACAATATAGTATCATATGCAGCACGGTCTCGACCCAAGATTAATTGACGGCACGATCTGGCGCTGCGCCGTTAGGGCTGCTGGCGTGGCGCCGCTGCCGAGGATTGGGCCCATCCTCATGCGCCGAAGTGTTGCCTTCCCGACTAGCGGCATGCTTAGGCTTACGCCGGTGTATTACCGTCATGACCTTGTATGCTCAACTAAACCAAAATAGGCCCGGCACATCCTCGCTTCGACCTACTTATCTGGTGAGTTGTAACCCCGGATAGGTTTCGCCAGACTATTGGTGACCACATCAGTGTCTGGCGTCGCGTCTTGTCTTGTCACTGTCGACAAATAAGCTGGCTCCGAGTGGGCACACAATGTCAAATGGGAACATAGCCTCGGCTTTCTGCATACGGTTAATATATGCTGCTTCCCTAGCCAGACCAGGATCACATCCTTGTCAGTGTCAGAACTGTGATCCAAACTGCGTTGCACTCATACCCCTTTGATTATGCATCGGCCCCTGACAGACAGCACTCTCTACCGCATCGACGCGGATATCCTAATCCCTGGAAGGGGAGCACCAATTGCCCGTGGAGCTGTGGTTTGGAAATCGAAAACAATCCTCTATTCTGGACCGCAGCATGAAGTACCAGTCGAGTATCAGGATGCTGTTACCACACATGTTCCTGTTGCCATGCCAGGCATGTGGGATTGCCACATTCACTTCTTAGGAGCAACAGCGGCGACCATGGATTCGATTGTAAATACCCCGCAAGCATTAGCAGGGGCACGAAGTGTCCCTGACTTGTATGCAACCATCATGGCGGGATTCACATCAGTTCGCGAAGTTGGAGGATATGGTTGTGAGCTGACCAAAGTCATTGACGAAGGCCGCATTCCAGGACCGACCATCTACGGTGCGCACAGCGCCATCAGCATGACGGCAGGCCACGGCGACGTACACGGTGTGAATCTCGAGGGTTTGCGGGACCTATGTACGCATGGCCTGCCTTTGACGATCGCAGACGGTGTGCCCGAGTGTCTGCAAGCCGTACGAAAGCAACTGCGGCACGGAGCACGCATCATCAAGGTCTGTGCCAGTGGTGGTGTAGTGAGCGCTATCGACGACCCGCAACATCAAGAATTCTCGTTCGAAGAGCTGAAAGCTATTGTTGACGAGGCAGCGCGAGCAAGACGCGTTGTGGCCGCTCATTGTCACGGCAAGGCAGGCATCATGAATGCTCTCCGTGCAGGTTGTCGCACAATTGAGCACGGCAGCTATCTGGATGAGGAGGCTATCGACTTGATGCTCGAGAAGGGCGCGATGTTAGTGGCAACACGCAGCGTTATCGAGAGTGGACTGGCAATGCGTGATCTCTTTACGCCCGGTTCATACCAGAAGTTGCTCGAAGTAGCCGATACACATAAGAGGGCATATGAGCTAGCAGTCAGACGTGGCGTACCTATCGCTTTGGGTACAGATCAATTCATCAGCTCGGATAATCCCGCATTGGGATATGGACGCAATGGCAAGGAGCTGGTATACGCGGTTGCAGCAGGTATGACACCGCTAGCTGCGATTGAAGCTGCCACGGCCAATGGGCCGTTAACGCTCGGAGATCAGGCACCAAAGAGTGGCCAATTGAGGGAGGGATTTGACGCAGATATCATCGCACTGACGGCAAACCCACTGGAAAACATAAGTGTGGTCTCTGATCCAAAGAATGTCACGCATGTATGGCGGTATGGCAAGCTTGTCAAATCAAACTAAGGTGATATCTGATAATTAAATAATACTTGACGTATTCGATACGTTCAATTTTCATCTTTGCACCTGTCAATCTCTATATCGTATAAGGAGAAGAACGTCGAGTGTCCATACGGTTTTCTCACGCTCGACGTCCCCTGTCGAACCGGTGGTACAGAACGCCGATTCTGTTTGTTTTGCCCATCTGGTTTCTGAGAAATAACTCAGAAGCAACAGCCCAGCACGAGGGTACTTCCTCCTGCTGGTATCATATCATATGTTTCCCTTTTCTGCCGCAAAGCGTATGCGGATGCCAGGATTCCTATTACCGCTTAGGACACCTTATGCAGTCTGGTGCCGACATTATAAATGAGTGTTTTGGAGTATCCCATTGGAAGCACTCCCACAAGCTCGCTTGAATTTTGCTGCTGCATACAATATCACTTGTATCTGCCGGATATTCCCCTATGTTAAGAGTCAAGAGCGCATCAGTTGTCTAACTCATGTATGCACTAGGGTCGCTTACCTGAAGACGAACGAACTATGAGAAAGGCATTTTGGTGATAATCCTCAAATTGAGGGCAGTAAAATATTGTGGTAGGAACGAAGAACGAAGGAATGTGAATGGAAAACCTGAGGCTCCAACCCGCCAAGGCGAGCAAGCCGAACTTCTGCTCTTCTCACTTCACGTCAACTTAGCCAGCAATATTTTTCCTCGCTTGAATCGCTTTTTCCGTCCCCTTTACCGTCCTGCAGTCATCGCGGATTTTGATTCCGGTCTTTTCCGCTCCTGAATCCAAGCTATTCGTCCTCTTCCACTAGTAGGTGAGCAGCGCCACCTAAAGCCCGAATCCATACCAGTTCAATGATAGGCGCAATGATTTTCGTCGTTGGCGACCAGATACTGATGCGGGATATAGGTGGCACAGGATCGTTTATGCAGGCAGAATGTGACATTGCTTCGTTAAGCAGGGCTCTTGTGGGTTAGCCAAGACTATCGGTGGTCTGGACATCCTCAGCAATGTGAATTGTCTGGATACCCGGATAGGTCGGCAACGCTCGAAAAGGGTGACAGCCGGTTATCTATGCCGCCAGATCAAGTCGGCATGCCGCCCCCTCAACGCGATTTCTGAAGAGATTCAGATCCTACAAATCTGCTGAGATATTGATTAGGCATATCATCGAGGTATTCGATTAGTAGGCCCAGCGCAACTGTCTGGCGCAACACGTTTCGCCCTCGCCACTGGCAGTTCGCTGCAGGCAATCATTGCCACTGGAACACACTTTATCTCTACGGATTCTAACACGAGATTCAGAACGAGTATGATTCTCCCGAGGTATTCTAGAAAGCCGATCCACCGAGCTATTGTGGATCCGGCGTGAACATCTCACCTACTGTGAAACAACTATGGAGCAAACAACCGAGGCCATTGCATTATATTACCGTTTTGGGAAGACGATGGAAGCCGATCATCCGCCCAGGCTATTGGACCAGATGCGGAACCTCATGGGTAGTAGATGGCAGATGCATAGTGCACATATGCATGGTGCACATAATGTTTCTCATCTGTAAGTACTCCACTCGCGGGTACTCGGCTCACCCAAGGTAGTTGAGCTGACGTGCAATACCAGCAGTTCTTATCGTGTTAGAGACCCCTGGGGTTCCATAAATGTATATAAGAATGCATAGGGTCTGGACTTTCAGTCTCGCTAGTTCCAGACGATAAACACATCGAGTCTTCTTAATCTCATCCGGCTATTCATTTCAGTTGCTATGAATCCTCCTGAGTTTCCGGAAGACGAGAAGTCTTCCGACTTATCAATCCCAGAACGGAAGAGCCTCGACACACTGAATGTCCCCCATATCAATGTTCGAGAAGCTCCAAGCGCAGAAACCTTGATCGTTCCCCATGCAGTCAACGCCTCTGCTCCTGGGAAGGATGCAGAATGGAGCATGACCCCGCAGGTAATCCGGAGCCAGGAACGTGAGGCAGCGGCAGGATTCAAAAAGCGGGAGCTAGGTGTGACCTGGAAGAATCTCGGCGTGGATGTCCTTGCAGCAGAAGCGGCAGTCAATGAGAACCTATTCTCCCAATTCAACTTACCACAACGAATCCGCGACTTTACCCGAAAGCCACCCCTGAAATCTATATTGACGGAAAGCCACGGCTGTGTCAAGCCAGGGGAGATGCTCCTAGTCTTGGGACGCCCGGGTTCAGGATGTACCACTCTTCTCAATTTACTCTCCAATCGCCGCCATGGCTACCACACCATCAAGGGTGACGTGAGCTTTGGAAATATGTCCCATGAAGAAGCAGCTCAATATCGAAGCCATATCGTGATGAATACGGAAGAAGAGCTATTCTATCCACGGTTGACCGTAGGTCAGACAATGGACTTTGCTACTCGGCTCAAAGTTCCTTCTCATCTTCCCGACGGTGCCGCATCCGTGAAAGAATATACTGCTGAGACAAAGCAATTTTTGATGGAATCTATGGGGATTTCACATACCGCCGACACGAAGGTAGGGAACGAGTTTGTGCGGGGTGTGTCGGGAGGAGAACGAAAGCGAGTCTCTATTATTGAATGCTTGGCAACAAGGGGCTCTGTCTTTTGCTGGGACAATAGTACCCGCGGTCTCGATGCCAGTACTGCATTGGAGTGGGCTAAGGCTTTGCGAGCGATGACTAACGTCCTCGGTCTCTCGACAATTGTGACCCTTTATCAAGCGGGGAATGGGATATATAATCTCTTTGATAAGGTTTTGGTTCTGGACGAGGGAAAACAGATTTTCTATGGCCCAGCGGCTGCAGCAAAACCATTCATGGAGAACCTGGGGTTCGTCTATACAGATGGTGCCAATGTTGGTAAGTATTCTCAAATCACATGCTGCTACTGAGGGTTGACCGATATTGACGCTTCCCAGGTGATTTTTTAACAGGTGTGACCGTGCCTACTGAGCGAAGGATAAGACCTGGGTATGAAAACAGGTTTCCCCGGAATGCCGATTCTATTATGGCAGAGTATAAGGCGTCAGCTATCTACAGCCACATGACAGCGGAATACGACTATCCCACAAGCGCGATCGCTCAGGAGCGGACGGAGGCGTTCAAGGAGTCCGTTGCCTTCGAAAAGACCACACACCAGCCAAAGAAGAGTCCGTTTACCACAGGTTTTGGGACTCAAGTCCTCGCATGTACACGGCGTCAGTACCAGATTCTGTGGGGTGAAAAGTCCACATTCTTAATTAAGCAAATCCTGTCTCTGGTTATGGCCTTGATTGCAGGATCCTGCTTTTACAACGCCCCGCAGACATCTGCTGGGCTTTTCACAAAAGGTGGAGCGGTCTTTTTCTCCCTGCTCTACAATACGATCGTCGCTATGTCTGAGGTTACCGAGTCCTTCAAAGGGCGGCCTGTGCTCATCAAGCATAAGACATTTGCTTTCTACCATCCGGCTGCTTTCTGCTTGGCACAGATAACAGCTGACTTTCCGGTGCTGCTATTCCAATGCACGATCTTTTCGGTTGTATTGTATTGGATGGTTGGCCTCAAAGCAACAGCAGCGGCGTTTTTCACTTTTTGGATCATCCTATTCACCACAACTTTGGTGAGTTCTTCCAAACCCAATAATAGCTCTCAACTAACATTGTTTAGTGTGTTACGGCGCTATTTCGATGCATTGGTGCAGGGTTCAGTACCTTCGAAGCCGCATCGAAGATTTCGGGAACCGCTATTAAGGGAATCGTCATGTATGCTGGCTACATGATCCCTAAACCAAAGGTCAAAAACTGGTTCCTTGAGCTCTACTATACCAACCCCATGGCTTATGCCTTTCAAGCTGCGCTGTCGAATGAGTTTCATGGCCAACATTTTCCTTGCGTTGGAAAAAACATTGTCCCTAACGGCCCTGGATATGAGGATGTCGACTCAGCCAACAAAGCCTGCACTGGTGTAGGCGGTGCTCTTCCCGGTGCAGACTACGTGACCGGTGACCAGTATCTCTCATCACTTCATTACAAGCATTCCCAGCTCTGGAGAAACTTCGGAGTTGTGTGGGCATGGTGGGGCTTCTTCGCTGTGCTCACCATTATTTGCACCACATATTGGAAAGCTGGTGCCGGAGGGAGTGCTTCACTGTTGATCCCTCGTGAAAATCTAAAGCAGCACCAGAGAAGCATCGACGAAGAATCTCAGGTCAAGGAAAAGGAGCAAGCCAAGGCTGCCACTAGCGACACGACTGCAGAGGTGGATGGCAACCTTTCCCGCAATACTGCCGTCTTTACCTGGAAGAACCTCAAATATACCGTCAAAACACCTTCCGGCGACCGGGTCTTGTTGGATAATATCCATGGTTGGGTTAAACCAGGCATGCTTGGGGCTCTCATGGGCTCTTCAGGAGCAGGCAAGACGACCTTACTTGATGTTCTTGCACAGCGAAAGACAGAGGGCACCATTACTGGGTCTATCATGGTTGATGGCCGGCCGTTGCCTGTGTCATTTCAAAGAATGGCTGGGTACTGCGAGCAATTAGATGTCCATGAACCGTTTGCTACGGTTCGGGAAGCTCTAGAGTTCTCTGCATTATTACGCCAGCCACGAACAACCCCTAAAGAAGAGAAACTTAAGTATGTTGAGACTATCATTGACCTGCTTGAGCTTCATGATCTGGCAGACACTCTTATTGGCACAGTTGGCAATGGCCTTAGTGTGGAGCAAAGAAAACGAGTCACCATTGGCGTGGAGCTTGTATCCAAACCAAGCATCTTGATCTTTTTGGATGAGCCTACCTCTGGGTTGGATGGACAGTCTGCTTATAATACAGTGCGGTTCCTCCGCAAGTTAGCTGACGTTGGACAAGCTGTCTTGGTGACTATCCATCAACCTTCTGCCCAGTTATTTGCGCAGTTTGACACTCTTCTGCTTCTCGCACGCGGCGGTAAAACTGTGTACTTTGGTGATATCGGCGAAAATGGACAAACGATCAAGAATTATTTCGGCAAATATGGCGCGCAATGCCCCATCGAGGCTAACCCAGCCGAGTTCATGATCGACGTGGTCACTGGAGGCATCGAGAGCGTTAAAGACAAAGACTGGCACCATGTTTGGCTTGAGTCGCCTGAACATCAGCAGATGATCACCGAGCTTGATCATTTGATATCCGAGGCTGCCTCGAAGCCCTCTGGTGTTAACGACGATGGATGCGAGTTCTCGATGCCACTCTGGGAACAAACGAAGATCGTTACCCACAGAATGAACGTGGCTCTTTTCCGGAATACCAACTACGTCAACAACAAATTCTCCCTGCATATCATCTCTGCCCTGCTCAATGGTTTCTCATTCTGGAGGGTCGGTCCAAGCGTGACAGCCCTGCAATTGAAGATGTTCACGATTTTCAACTTTGTTTTCGTTGCACCAGGTGTTATCAATCAGCTCCAACCATTGTTCATCCAGCGACGCGATATCTACGATGCACGAGAGAAAAAGTCGAAGATGTATTCTTGGATCTCTTTTGTCATTGGTCTTATTGTGTCCGAGTTCCCATACCTCTGTGTATGCGCAGTTTTGTATTTCCTTTGCTGGTACTACTGCGTACGCCTGCCTCATGACTCCAACAAGGCGGGTGCTACCTTCTTCATCATGCTCATCTACGAGTTCATCTACACGGGTATTGGCCAGTTCATCGCAGCCTACGCGCCCAATCCAACCTTCGCAGCTCTCGTGAACCCCATGATCATCAGTGTTTTGGTGCTCTTCTGCGGTATCTTCGTTCCGTACACGCAACTCAACGTGTTCTGGAAATACTGGCTCTACTACCTCAACCCGTTTAACTATGTCGTGTCCGGCATGCTCACCTTCGATATGTGGGATGCCAAGGTCACCTGCAACGAGGACGAGTTTGCACTGTTCAACCCTACCAATGGCACCTGCGCTGAATACCTGAAGGACTACATCGCGGGTCAGGGCTGGCGTGTCAATTTGACCAACCCGGATGCTACCTCGACGTGCCGGGTATGTGAGTACCGTCGTGGAAGCGACTTCTTGACTACACTGAACATCAACCACTACTATTACGGGTGGCGGAATGCTGGTATCACTGTCATCTTTGCGATTAGTGGGTATGCGTTGGTGTTCGCATTGATGAAGCTTCGGACAAAGGCTTCGAAGAAGGCGGAGTAGAGTAAGGCATACGGATGTTGGGGATGTGCCGGTGTGTCGGGTGACTTGAGAGCGAGGGGGTGCAAGTGGATGGGAGATGGATGAGCTGGGTTGTTGAAGTTGTTGGGTCAGTACCCTGACCCAGAGGATAGATTGTACAGTTGTTTGCATATACAGTGTATAGAGAGATAGACTAGACATAGAGATAGAGATAGACTGATATAGAGTATAGAAATAAAGCATCCTTGCTTAGACCAAGCTATATAACAGCATAGCACTTTCAATGCAGACAGACACAGAACCGCAACATGCAATGCAATCACAGACATTTTTATCATATCGTCATCACACATCATCAATGTCATATAACCAAAGCCAAACCTCATATATACACACTCACCACCTCCTCCCCTCCCCTACTACATAATAACACCCACCTACCCAATCTACTCCAACCTCACTCTCCCCTCTCTCCACCTCGTCAACCCCCGTTCTACCGCCGCCGGAATCTCAAAAGCCCAATGACACAACAAACCCCCCAAGAACCCGACAGCATCATTCTTAAACCCAACCAACAAGCCTACCGTAACCATCATTACCATCCACCTCTTCTTCCTCTCAAAATCACTCAACATAGGCCCCATATCCTCGCCCGTCAAGCCCCCCTGGCCTGCAACCGCCTTCCGAATATCCCTCGCACCCGTGGTGTTCAAACTCTCCCCAACACTAAGCAACTCCATTCCTGCCGCAATAACCATAACGCCCAGCAAGGCCGTAGGAAACCGCTTCAACAAACCGACCAGCGACTCACCAAAGAACACCCCGATCACGAGCTTAAACACACCAAGGAAGATGATGCTGGCGCCGGAACGCGCCCCGAAGCGGTACTGCGCCGCCAGGCCGCCAGAGCCGTGGCACACGGGCATGGCGCCGAACCAGCAGCCGAGGAGATTCATAGCGGAGACGCTGAGGGCGATGGAGGTGACGTTGAGGTGTGAAGAGTTGGTGTGTGTGGGGAGGAGGTCATGGGCGAGGTGGACGACAGCGACGATGGAGTTGAGTGTTGTGAGGGGGATCTGGCCGATTCCGGCGTCGAGGATGCCTGTGGACCAGTCTGATGGGGAGGGGAGGACGGTGTAAGGGTGCCAGAGGGAGAGGGAAGGGAGGTCGGAGGCGAGAGTGGAGAGGATGAGGGCGAAGATGAGACCGAGGAGGAAGACGAGGAGGGCGTAGGGGACGGTGCGGTAGACGGTGGTGAAGAGAAGGAAGCAGAATGCGGCGAGGGCCCAGAGACGGTTGTCGGCCCAGGAGGGGGAGAGCCAGGAGAGGTTGTTGAGGAGGGAGTTGCAGGAGGCAATGATGAGGGAGAGGCCGGCGCCGACTTGGATTCCTTTGATGATGGGGATGGGGATGGCGTTGGCGAAGCGCGTGAGGAGGCCGGTTACGCTGAAGAGGAGGATGAAGGCTGCGACGAAGAGGCCGGCTGCTGCGATGGCGCCGTTGGTGAAGGTGCGGGCGATGGCGACGGCGGCGATGGCTTTCATGGGTTGGACGGGTAGGGGAATACCGAAGAAAATGCCTGTGAGAATGTTGAAGAGCCCGGAGAAGATTAGCGTGCTGGAGAGGGAGACGGTGTTGTTGACGGCTAGAGCGATGGCGATGGGGAGGAATGTGCCCAGGTCGCCGAGGGAGCCAGAGATCTCGGAGACATAGTGGTGGCGGAAGGTGGAGAGGTTGTGGGCGTTGATTTGGCGGAGGTTCATGGTGATGAAGTTGTAGAGGGAGTAAAGATGAGGAGGGAAGAATAGAGGAGAGGGAAAGAAGAGGGGGAAAGCAAGGAATGAAGCCGAAGCAAGGCGGAGACGCCAAAACATCCCCGCATCATCGATGGTCTGATAAGATCAGCAGATCATCCCGCGGAGATGCTGTCAATCGCCCCGCTGACTGTTTCGTCTGCGTAAGTGAAGATGATTGCAGCTAATTATGATATTTGAACTTATTTACCTAGGTTTCTATGTAGTCTTTATATAAAATTACAACTCAAACTCTAGGGATGTACCCCAGAATCACACCAGATGTTATCTGCGGGATGGCCATCCGAAGCAGCCAAGCCGCCAAATAAAGTTATCTTGATCTTCCCATCTTGGCGGGTTTCGGAGAACCCAAACCCCATACCAGCTAATCGGCCTACTATCTGTCCTCTGAGAGGACACTGAAGTTCCATGATAGTATTAGTCCATTTTTCATAGCTCCAGCATGTCACCGCGCTGCGGCGACAACCTGAGATGGCTCACTGGTCATTCTCGCGGCACTGTGAGCCTTGATATCTAACAGCAGGTGCTGCTACCAGATACAACGAGAACTGTAACCAACATGGCTGATCAGGGCGATGCACTTATCCGAAACGACCATTGGCATAGAGGAATTGCCCAGCCTCCGGCTGCCAGTCATTGCCCTAGGCAGAATTGATCAACAAACGGATGGCCCGTACGACGCTGTGTACGACAGAGCCGCAACCATGCGAAGCAAGTCGGACAAGATCCTCGTGAAAGATACCGAACAAGCGTCGCTCAATCACAGAAACTTCCCACTCGTAAACCTCGACCCAAAGTCCGCCGCCTTATTCATCATCTCCCGTCTCTGCGCATGCGTAATCTTCGACGAAAGCGCCATATCCTTCTCCTTATCAAAAGCACGAGCACTAGGGTCATCCTCCTCTTCTTCTCCATCCTTCTTCTTCTTTCTCTCCGCATCCCTCGCTTTCGCCTCCTCCTTCCTCTTCTCTTCATTGAACCGGTGGATCTTCTCCTGCATAGCCCGCGAGGGCTGTGCGCCGCGCGCTCCTCCCGCCGAGTCGCCCGCATTAGGGGCAGTAGGCCGTGTTTGCACACCCAGGACCTCATCCTGTAGGCGCTTCATTTTCTGCTCCGGCGTCTCAGTCCAGGAAACGTCTAACCCGCCCGCACTGGGCGTAGTGTTGGCTCCCCGCCCGGTTTGGAATTTCCGGTTGCGCAGTTTCGTCGGGTCGACGCGGGAGTTGCGGTTCGAGCCGTCGATGGGCTCGAGCATCCAGGCATCGCGCTGGGGTTGTTTTGGTGCTTCTGAGGTACTTTCGGAGGGGATGGGTTGTGTTGCGCTGGTATTGGGGACAGATGGGACGGTGCCTTCTGGCGGAGGGAGGCTGGGTCCGAAGTCGTCGTCAGAGTCGTCATCAGAGGAGCTGTTGTCGGAGGAATTGGCGTCTGCAGTGGTAGATGGAGGAGGGGGAGCTGGTCCGATCACTTTGCGACGTTTGCTGGAGTCGTCTTCGCTAGTGGAGGGCAGGGAAGGCCCGGCGGCGTATTTGCGCTTTTCGGGTTCCATGTTGTGAGTTGGAAGGAGGGGAGGATATGATCACTAAAGGGTTTTCTGGTTTGCAAGACCTGCTTGCAGCTTCGTCACTGGGATATCCGGACGCGAATTGTGGTCTGTCTGAACAATGGGAGTGGAGTGGATGGTGGAGGGTGAAGTGAAGCTTCGCAATGAGAGGCAGGGAGGCAAACCGAGCAAACATGCAATCAGAGTGTCACGTGCATATATTGATACTGCGCTTGAGTATCAAGTAGAAAGAAATAAACTTCATTTCACTAACATCCATCTGTGATTCATCTGGCCTATATAAGTCATCGACTCATGATACATCGCGAACTAACTATCCATACCCTCCAATATTATCCGTATTCCTACTAGCTTGACCCCTATCCCAATATGTCCCTTTCAGTCTGCGGGCGCCCATGTACCTCCATCTCGTTAGAAGTATTCCGAGACAACTCCGGCTGCAGAGTATATTCGACATACGGTGGGCTGGCCTCCGGACTGCTCTCCGTACGCGCCACCGCAGTCGACTCGCTGCCCTGACTGGCAGTACGCGTAGTCACCCATGTCTCCGGCTTGGGTTCGTCCTCCTGAGGTTGCTCTCGTGGCTTGATGATCCCCATCTCCACAAACCGACTCATATCACGATCGTCTTGCTGCGAGCCCTGGCGTTGGCGATGATCACCAAGTTCTCGAACGAAGGTGCGGCTCTTCTTCCACCAGCTGGGCTTCCGCTGTCCGACTCCCACAGCATCAGCAACTGCATGGTTGAATTCGTCTCGCTGCACGATCAAGGCTTTATCTTCATTCAGCTCGCAGAATCCACAGGTATTGAACAGAATGAGCAAGAGCAGCACCGGCGTGTATCCCAGCCCGTAGAGCCATCCAGAATCGACTCCGTACCTCAAGGGGGACACTGTCCAGTCGAAGGCAGAGGCAATAGCGTATCCGATCTTTACGCCAAGCAACACAATAGCTATGAGGAATTGCGATGGGGCCGCATTCAAGTAGAACAAGAGCTGGCCTATGGTGCTGGTCGGTCGCGCCCGGTAGCGGTAGATGCTATGTTCCAGGCTGTAGCAGATCACTAAGACGCCGGCCACCGCGACAAATCCGGCGGCACGCCATCGTACATCTGTAGCGACCGGCTTGGCTTCATTGAGCTGTTGGTCGAGACTGCGTTGCATCTCAATGGCGGTCCAAGAGCGCGGGACGGTCAAGACAAAATTGGCCAAAGCGCATCCGTAGAAGATGATCGGGAGCACAAACTCCTGACCTTGCCGGCTGCTGGATACTTGGAATGCGTACGGATCCCGATCGTAGATCTGCCGCTCTTGCCAGGAGCCCCTGGGATTCGTGTCAATTCGGTTCTACAAGTCCGGGAATGCAACCTATCATTACTTACCAGTGCCGGACCGCCTCCCATACCGCGGCCATCATCCCTGGCGTCAACAGCGTGTAGAACACACTCTGCAGAATCAACGGGACGCTCACAATGTACCCCCGATCCACGTCGATGCTCATGAAACAGCTAATGGTGCCGCAGGCGGCAATGAAGAGCATCCAGATCCATTTCGCCCGACGGCCCAGGAGTGTCCACCGGCGATCAGCAGGCAGATACCGCCGGCTATGCTTGCGCATGTTGATCAAGGTGAAAACAATCGCAAAGACAAACATGAAGGCAAAAGCCAGGCCAGCCGACGCATGTCGACCTATATCCCGAATAGGTGCATAGCAGGAGGTTCCGTTCACAAAAGTCCCATTCTCGTTCATGTGTGGTTGGAACTGATTGAAGGCGAGATAGCAGTCCGTGCCATTGGAAAGGGTCCCATTGCTGAAGAGCGTGTAGTGATAGTAATGGAGTGCGGTGCGATTGAAATGGACCTCGTTTATGAGCACATCGGTGGCATTGGCCCCGGCCTCAAAGGGGACTGCAGCCCTCACGAACAGCAGAGGCATCGCAAGCCAATTAGTCGTGTCAAATGAGACACTCCGGGGTCACCTTGATTGGCTTGGGCTCCTGTCAACAAGTCTTGCTAGTGCATTGAAGCCGCGCATGCATCGCGACCGAGCAGCAGCGGAGGGAAAGAGATCAGACAACATCAGAGTAAATTGTAACAGGGGTCATAGCACAGCGAACCAGCAACGGCATCCGGAAGTTGACGGATCAATGACGCTGGCCAGCAATAGCAAGGTTGTACCCAGGGCCAGTCGATGATGCTCGGAACCGCCCGCGAGCCAATGGGAAGCTCGGATGGGAGTCGCGACCCGAAATATGATCAGTTGAGGAGATATTTTAAGTTGAGTCGTTCGGGAACGCGACTGTCAGCCAGTTCTTGGCAATAAATTGGGTATGAATGAAGGAATGGCTGTCGTTCTCTTGGTTAGGGGGTGTTATGTTAAGTTTGGTCGCATCGTCGGATGCGGTCGAGATAGGGCTTTCAACCCGTGCCAGTTGGCGGTCATCACTAGTATAGAGATGAACGGCGGCCGGCTCAGTCGCGGCCAATTTTATCTCATCAACAAGCAGTCACAGCTTTGTTTTATATTCCCTGATAATAATGGCATTGTCGGGCCAGATCATCGATGTTATCGATCTTTGGCTTCCTTCAGAGTAGCCGACTCACCAGTGTAACTGCTGATATGCAAGGTATGCCGTAAACTGCGAATCCGTTGCTCCAGGCAGTTACACCGCTACGTTGAGACCAATGCAAATCCCACCTTATCAAGCAGCACTACTTATCGAGCCCATTGGATGATTGTCATCGCATTCATCTCAACCTGCGGTCGCGCTGGACCTTGCGTCAGGCCGTCAGCTGCTCTACCTGAGGGCAATTAGAGATGGTCGGCTACCTCCAACGACCACGGAGAATGAGTCAGTTCAGAAGCTTGTACTCCCTCATTCGCTGTTTGAGAGGGGTTGGTGTACTATTATCTGGCAGAAGCTTCAGTTGCAATCCGTTTTCGGTTGTACTTGGTATTACTTCATCGCACGTCCCACGTTTTAGCAATTACCTGAGGGAGCGGTTAAAATGCCAGCACACGCTCCTCCCTTCTAAATGCTAACGATAATCTATCCTGGAATCATGGGACAGTAGTAGCATTAGTTCATTGGGGATCCGGTATCGCTTCACCCAGCAAGCGCAATGGGGTCCAGCTTCGTGGCTAGCCATGGTCCGACTTTGGTTATTCTTTTCCTCGTCCTCTATATCGTAACTGTGGGTTCACTTTGGTTTCTGCTTGACAGATCAAGGCTAAACGTGCAAGCGAGTAGAATGTTTATCGCGAGCGAAGGAACCCATTGTCGTCGGTCCCCGGCCCCTTCCTGTGCAAGTGGACGGATATTTTCGTCAGATATCAAACAGTCATAGGGAACCGGCCACGATATGTGCAAGCGCTACATAAAATATATGGTAATTCGAGCAAATCGTTGGACAGAGGCACCCGCAAGGCTAATTGTGTGCTCTCATGTAGGTTCTGTCGTCCGGGTCGGTCCGAATGCAGTCGACATTGCTAAGATTGCTGAAGCCCGAGAGATCCATCGCATAGGAAGTGGCTTCCTAAAATCGCCGGTATATGAATTGCTCAAGCACGACAATGCAAAAAGTATCTTCAGTACTACTGATCCCAAGTTTCACAGCAAACATCGCAGGCTCCTTTCATCGCCCTTCGCAGATGCGAACTTGCATTCACTGGAGCCCTTGATAGAGGCCCGCATCCGCCTCACTATGCAGCGCATGCGAGAGGAAATGACCACCCGTAAAGTGGCAGATGTCCAGAAGTGGTTTTTCTTTATGTCCAGCGACATTATTGGAGAATTGTCCTTCGGGGACTCATTCCGGATGTTGGAGCAAGGCAAAGTAATATAGCCTATCGCGAGCCGAACTTTATGACATGAGTTGACCAAGCCGCGCAGAAAGATCAGCATATCAAAGACCTAGAGATAGCCGCCTTGGTCGGAGAGTCTCGAGTAGCTTTTCCTTTCATCTTCAGGCTCGCGGAATTCCTGCCGCTCCCTATCCTCAGGGAGGCTAACAAGAGCCGAAATAGATTCGGGGACTATGCTGACGAGTCCGTCAACCGTTACAAAAGGCTGTTAGCCGCAAGTCCCGAAAACGTCAAGCCGACACTTTTTACAAAACTGTATAATGCTGGCAAGGAAGGATTGTCTGATGCTGAAATCCGCGACGATGCCTCTGACCTCATCGTCGCTGGGAGTGATACCACAGCCAACACCTTGACCTATCTCACTTGGGCAGTCTGCAAGGCGCCAGTCATCCGGAAAGCACTTGTTGCCGAGGTCGCCACACTGCCCGAGTTGTTTTCTGACAAGGATGTCCAGAGCTTATCCTATTTGAACCAGGTCATTGATGAGGCCTTGCGCCTGTATCCCGCCGTCCCTTGTGCTCTCCCTCGCGTTGTACCACCACAAGGTGCGACATTTAGCGGCTATTGGGTCCCCGGAGGGAGCACTGTAACGACGCAAATCTGGAGCTTGCATCGTGATCCTGTTGCGTTCCCGGAGCCCGAAAAGTAAGTGGTCCAAGCATTCGCACTTGGCTGGCTGAACCCGAAGTTGTTGACTAAAATTCGTATAGGTTCGATCCTTCCCGCTGGGCTTCCCCTACCAAGGAGATGAAGGATGCATTCATGCCATTTGGAGCAGGGACACGTAGTAAGTGCCGACTGTCAACTGTTAGGAGAGTATCAGCCAGCAGCTAACCTGACTGTAACAGATTGCCTGGGGTTACATTTGGCTCGAATAGAGCTGCGCTTGGCTACCGCCCATTTCTTCCGACAGTTTCCCAGATCAGAGGTATCATCCCGGGAAGGAATGAGCGATGAGGACATGGAGCAGGTCCTGCATTTCCTGCTATCAACGAAGGGACACCGGTGTCTACTAGAAGTTCAATAGGATATGGATGATACTTGGGACGGGATTCGGAAGTAATTGTTGCATTTTGTCTCTTTTTCTCTTTATCCCTTGATTTTCCTTGCTTTCTTTTGGTTAGATTAGTTTATTCAGTAGAAGATCCATTATCTAGCTATTTCAACAATCTCATCCATGAGTACGGAATCTGGCGTTGTATCGTTCCGCAGCAGCTTTGCAGTCAATTCAACTCAGGTGACATGATAGATGTCGCACATTAACAACTGAGATCAGAGAAGTCATTGAGTATTCCATGCCATTCTCCCCCTCTCCACAACAGTTGTTGTCATGAGGAAGTTAATGTGAAAGTAAGTAATAGTTGATCGGGGGAGTAAAGAGATGCAAACAAGACAAACATCTGTTGAAGACGCTCGGACCACTGCTTATCGATTGCGGGAAAAACGCAGAAAAAAAGCGAATCGGCGAGAGAGAAAACTTCCCCCTTCAACTCCCAATTGCACATCGTCACATCATGCCTCGTGAAAAGGTCAAGAGAGGCCGTCGCGCCACCGAAAAGGCCAACAAGGAAGCCAGCAAGCGAAAGCGCGACGACGCCCCCGAAGATGTCGTGCCCAAACGAGTGAAACCTTCCGACGACGAGACCAACGACTTCGTTAACGGTGCCGATTATATCGCTCTGAACGATGGACAACAGCAGGGCGAGGAGGGAGCGCAGACGGGCGATATGCCCTTTTATGGTCTTCTCGATCCTGAGGAGCAGGAATACTTCTCGCGTGCAAACGAGGTGTTGGAGACCAACCAGTTCGGAGACGCAGAGGAGCGACGAGTCTTCGTCGAGAGTGTCTACAAGGAGGCCGAAGGCAAGGAATTGAAGATCTCATGCAGTCAGTCGTGTTCGCGTCTTATGGAGAAGTTGATCTCGATGTCGGACATACACCAGATCCGGAGACTGTTCAGCAAATTCATCGGTCATTTCCTGCACCTGGTTCAGCACCGGTTCGCCAGTCATTGCTGCGAGACTCTTTTCATTCACGCTGCGCCTGGAGTGTCGCAAAAGCCATCCAAGAAGGCTAGCAAGACCGAAGCCGAGGAGGGAGACGAGCCCGAGCCCGAACTGTCGCTGGCGGAGATGTTCATGAAGGTCATCGAGGAGTTGGAGGGAAACTGGGGATACTTGCTGACGGAGCGGTTTGCGTCGCACACCATTCGCGTTCTCCTGTTGGTGCTGGCAGGAGAGCCTGTCGATCTATCCTTGAGCGACTCGGTCGTTGCTAGTCGCAAGAAGGAAAGACACGGCGTTCTCAACGAAGTGCAGGACGAGAACCCCGTTGCGCAGAAGCGCAGCGTGCCCGAATCGTTCGAGGGCACCCTGAAGAAGATCATGCAGGATATGGTCTCCGTGCTCGACGACACCTATCTTCGCGCACTTGCCACCCACCCCGTCGGAAACCCAGTTCTCCAAGTCCTCGTATACCTGGAGCTCTCGCACTTCGGAAAGGCCAGCGCGAAGGACCCCAAGTCGATCATCCGCCGACTAATCCCCGACGACACCTTCGAAGAAGGCACAGAAAGCACCGTCTTCATCCGCGGCCTTCTCTACGACCCCGTGGGCTCCCGCCTCCTCGAGACCATCGTCCGATACATGCCCGGCAAGCTATTCAAGGGTCTTTACAAGAACTTCCTGCGCGACCAACTCCGCTCCCTGTCGCGCAACATCACCGCCGGCTACGTCGTGCTCAAAGTCCTGGAACGTCTCGGAAAGGACGACCTCGAAAACGCCGTGGAACTCCTCGTCCCTCAGATCCCCAACCTCATCGAGCGCTCCCGCGTCATCGTCCCCAAGACCCTCGTCGAGCGATGCATCGTCCGCGGCGTCGACACCACCCCTATCGCGCGCTCCCTCGAAACCGCCTACGACAGCGACCCCGCCAAGCGACTGTCCCAAATGCTCACTCTCGAGGACACAACCACCACCTCTGAACCCCAACAACAAAACCAAGACCAAGACCAAGACGACCACCAACAACCCCCCGCAATCCCCGACTTCGGCCCCGACAACGCCAACGCCAACATCAACACGAACCCCAAAGGCGCCAAACTCCACAACTCTCTCTTCGTGCAGACGATCCTCACAGCCCCGGGCCCGCTCAGCGCCCTCGTCTACAGCAGTCTCCTCTCCCAAACGCCCGAATCCCTCCTCACCATCGCCAAAGACCCTACCGCCTCCCACGTCATTCAAAAGTCCCTCACTCTGCCCACCTCGACGCCGCAATTCCGGCGCCAGTTCGCCGTCCGCTTCACGGGCCATCTCGAAGAACTGGCCCTGGATAGCAGCGGGTCCCGCGTCGTGGATGCTCTCTGGCACGCTACGAAGGACGTGTTCTTCGTGAAGGAGCGCATGGCGCAGGAACTGGCGCGCAGTGAAATGGCTCTGAGGGATTCGTTTGTCGGTCGTGCGGTGTGGCGTAATTGGTCGATGGACTTGTATAAGCGCCGCAGAGGTGAGTGGGCGGCCAAGGCGAAGGGATTGGATGTTGGTGGCGAGGGAGGTCAGAAGCCGAAGTCGAGGATTGAGCTGGCCAGGGAGAGGTTTGCGGCCAAGGCGGCGGAGAGTGAGAAGAAGAAGAATGGGGAGGATGCTTAATGAATGCTATTGAATAGCTAGCGCTTGTTATTGGGTTTATTGGACATAGATGGCAGCATGTATGTATGTATATTAGGACTATCTTGGGGTTTTACTATGGATAGATTAAAAGCATTCTTTTTCTGTTATATTGGTTTCCAAATTTAGTAGAATTATCGATTTGATGATAGGATTGACTGTATTCGATCCTCCGGTCTCGTAGCCCAGTGGTCACTTTACAAGGACTAGAAAGCAGACCATTTTCTAGTTGGTTTCCTATGTCCTATGAAGTGATAGCGATAGGGTCATATGTTGGGATTTCTGTCATATTATACATGTATATTGTATCTAGAGTAGAGACTATGCCATATTCACGTGGTATCTGTTATGTAGTATACAAGCCGATCACATATCGAACACATTTTTTAAAAGAAACATTGCACGCAGTCCGATCACAATGAGAAGAAGGAGAAAGGAGAAGTTCATCCCCAAATAGATATCCGGCACTATTACAACAAGCCGGTTTCAAAGGTCAATTTTAGCAGGGCTGCGTTTCATAGGAAGGGTATCTAAGAACGTTAATGATCCTGGCATCCTGGCCTCAAGCGCCAATTATCAGTAGCGGTTGTAGGAGCGGCTCTCGCGACGGCCGCGAGAGGAGCCTCTTTCGTTCCAAGGGTTGCGGGGCTCGCGGTCGCGGGATGAAGAGCGTTGGTAGCGGTCATTATAGCCACCGCTAGAACGGGGCCTGTAGGAATCCCGGGACCTGAAGGAATCCCGGGGCCCACCACGGTTGGACCTTGGAGGAGGCCTATCGCCCTTCTCCAAAGCTTGTTGGATTCTGGAAGGGAGATGCGGAGGCTTGGGCAGCACGTATCCGTACTTGGACAGGTCATGCATTGCAGGCAGGGTCGCCGACAGAGGTTGGAGTTTGCCTATGATGGTACCCGTTTGGGACTTCCATGCCTCCACGCGATCGTCGATAGGAACCTGCTGCGCGGCCAATTTGATTTGTTGTAGAGTTCGGCTCGTCTCTGAGCCATCATCCTCGATCTCTTCACGCATGTTGACCTTCGCCACGGGGATCGTGGTCTGATCCTCCTCGATCGGCAGGTCGCCCAACATCTGTTTGAAGGCACGCTTCTCGTTGTTATGCAGCAAGATCCAGCCCTCACCTTCCTTGTTCGCACGGCCAGTACGCCCCACGCGGTGGATGTAAGTCTGACGCTCGCTGGGGAGTCCGTATTGGATGACGTGCGTGACATCAGGGAAATCCAGACCACGGGCGGTTACGTCGGAAGAGAAGAGAATGCCGGAGCGCGCGTTGCGGAAAGTACTCGTGACACGAGTTCTTTGCGCCTGAGTCAGTCGCGAATGGATTTGGAGAATAGGGAGGCGCCCAAGAGCGTGTCCTTTGGTACGGTCCTCAGGATCATTCTGAAGCCGCCTGAATATGTCGTTGGCCAGCGAGACCATCGTCGTTGCGTTCAGGTAGACAATGGCCTTGAAATTCGGGGAGTTAACGTAACCCTGCTTGGCCAGCTCCAGAATAGCAGGCAAGCCGTTCTGGAAGCCATCCAGGTAGACGACCTTCTGGGGCACCCGCAAGTGGGTGGGCACCTCATCCTCCGAGACAGTCTTAATGAACTTGAAGTCAGGCTTCATAGTCTGACGCACCATGTTCATGACTTCACCTGGGACGGTGGCGGAGAACATCAGGGTCTGGCGGTCGACCTCCTCCGGGTTGGGCAGGAGGTCCTTGATCTGACCGATCTCTTGCGAGAAGCCATCATCCAGCAAGCGATCAGCCTCGTCGAAGACGAGAGCTTGGAGCTGGGGCGCGGTGACACCGCTGTACGGATCGGAAAGAAGGTCCTTCAGACGACCAGGAGTTCCAACCAAGATATTGCAGCCCTCGTTCCGGATCTTGTTTAGATGCAATCTTTTTTGAGTACCGCCGACTGCCGTCTGCACGGTCAAACCCAGTCCATACACCAAGCGCTGTGCCTCATGGGCAATCTGTTCCGCCAACTCACGAGTCGGAGAGATGACAATCGCCCGAATATCGGGCGTGTTTCTCCTCCCTTGTTGTCCACGGTATGAGGGGCGCGAGCGTTTGACTGACGGATCACTAACAAGGCGCTGGACGACCGGGATCAAGAAGGCAAGAGTCTTTCCAGTTCCGGTCTTTGCCTGGGCCAAGCTATATGGGAAGAAAAAATCAAGGTCAGCCGCCATTTGCAGATAGGTGAATGAAGGGAGGCAGAGACGAAGAAGAACTCACACATCATCGCCGCTCAGTGTTTCACGGATCGTCTTAGCTTGAACATCGGTCATGGTTTCAATCTTCATGGAATTTGTCACGGTCCGGATCAGTCTGTCGTTGACCAGGCCGTCTTGTGCCAGGCTGTGGAACTTGGAATTGGGTAGCCGGGGCTCGATGTCGGCGGCGACGTTGAGTTGCGCCTGAGCTGCTGCTGTGGCATCAAGAAAAGCCGGGGACGGATGGTAGAGGGCGCGAGCGACGTATGAGACCGCCGGTGCAGAAGCAGAGAGCCATTGAGGTTGCTGAGGAATCGATCTGGCCAGCAGAGATCGTGAAGCTCGCAGCGCATGGACGGCGCCGGAACGGCGGAAAGCGCCCAGCATGATGAGGAGCTTAGGGAGAGTAAAAGGGTAACAGAAACGCAATTAAAACAAAAAAAATATCTATTAAACCAATGAAGATGGAAAATAAATGGGAGAAAAAGGAGGAAGAATGGGAGGATGAGAGGGAGAAGGTGGACGGAGGAGAAGCAACGGATTTCGGGAATCTTTTGATAAACGGAAAAAATGGACGGCAGAAAACCAGGCACGCCCGGGCGGTGACGCCACGGTGGATCACTTTATTGCATCGAGATCTACACTCAATCCTCCAATTAGTCGACTTCAATTTGACAAGCTAAACTAAGCTCGGCGGATTCAAAAGATGGCCATCATCCCAGTAATAATAGGTTTTCAATCAAATATCAAGACATAATTAAAGCAGCTCCAACAAAGTATCTGGCTAGCAACGTAAATCATCCACTAACATCTATCTTAAAACGCCATGGAATCCTAAGTCTCAAAGTCTTTAATGATCCCAAACCTACAAACAACCAGTCATCGTGAAGAGTGCACAACCCTTCCGTCCTCGAAACAAAAGAGACGATATCCATCGCTTCCAGCAGGATGTCCACATATCGCCCATTCCTGAATGAAGTCTAAGACCCACCCTACTATCTAACGATGATCTACTACACGCATTAAACAGCAAAAGACTAACGCGACGAGAGGTAAAGTATGTGGTGAGCAGGATGTTGGAGGCATCGGCTTTACTTCACGGAGATGGGTTCGTTCATACTATAACATGTACATTTCCTTCGCCATACTACATCTACTACATAATACAAATAGCTAAACAGACTGATATCGATATCAAACCAAGCAATATCCTCATAAACTCCACACCAACCCAACACCAATACCAACCACAACAATGAAATCCGCTTCACCGACCTTCACTTCGCCAACTTCAGCAGCACCGTTCCCGAAAAACCCCCTCTACGCCCAACAGGGAGACGAGGTTGGGACGCCAATCTTCAGGAGCCCAGAAGCAATGCGGAATAGTCCGCCGGAGACACTGAGACCGTTTCATCTTATGAGGGAGAGGGGGATTCCTCGTATAGATAGGGACTTTGTATGTAGGATTACGAGGTTGGATCCGAGGGATCGGTTGGATGTAAGGGAGATTTTGGAGGATGGGTGGTCCTAACATGAAAACTAATGGTTGAAAGTATTATCATTGCTGTAGTAATGTGGTCGTAACGCTCGTTTCTAGCCATATATCCTGTCCTGTCCCAGATTCCATTCCTTTCTATGATCCATCCGTGTGAAAAACAATATACCGTACCCCACGAGAACACAAACCCGAAGTAAGGAACCTTTGAACACCTCTATATGCCATCCTCGTATCTATCCCCAGTTCATTCGATTAGGATTCGATCTCTCCTTGGAACTCCCGGGTCAACGAGTACACCGACAGATCCGAGAAACTCTGATGCGTGGCTGCTGGAACGGCCGGTCTAGCTGATGCTATCGTTGTACAACCCCCGGGCGACATGTGAACCGGCGACATCAGTTCGCGCACGTGGCCCGGAAATAATCCCTTATCGAGATCACTTTGCCAGAGACGGCGGGAGGCGTCAAAGACTTTGTTGACGAGCTCACGGCGCAGGGACTCGTATTCTTGGAAGGTAGTGGCGAGTGGGGCGTGCAGGTTGCGGGAGAAGATTTGTGTGAAGATGAGGGCGTCTTCGATGGAGTAGGCAGCGGATTCGTCGCGGGGAGGCATCTATATCTGAAGATTAGTGACTGCTTTCAAAGTGAAGTATTGGGGGGTGGTTTATGGCTTACCGCATGCGCTGCATCACCCAGGAGCAGAATCCGTCCCTTGTGCCATTTCCCTCGTTGCCGGACCTGATATACCGGATACAGGGCCCAATCTTCGGTGTGGTCGAGGAGCGCGCGGATGCTAGGAAGGGCAGATTTGGCGAACTGCGTGCGCACCAGATAGCGGATGGACATCTTCATGCTGGCTTGTTCCGGACAATCGCTTTTCGAAGTGGCTTGGTAGCGCTCAATGAGGTGTTCGTTCACGCGGAGGATAGCGGCGGAGAAGATCTTCTGGCGATCAGGGTCGCAGTAGCTAGTGAGGAGGGAACTGTGGCGAGTGAGGTGGATGGCAGTCTGGTTGAAGTGCATGGGGACGGAGAGGTCGTGGGCGTCGGTGACGCTCTGGATGAAAGAGATGCCGGTGTATTCGGAGCGGTTGCCGGGATCGACAATGCGCGTGCGCGTGATAGAGTGGACGCCGTCGCAGCCCAGAACAAGCTCACCTGTAGCGAAAGAGCCATCTTCGAAGGATAAGGTGACGGATGAGTCGGTTGTGGTGCCGCCTACGACTTTCTTGTTGAAGTAGACGGAAACCGTGGGAAGGTGGGTTTGAATGACAGATAACATGGCGCGCGAGAGGGCATTTCGCATGACTCGACGGCCCTTGTAGCCACCGTAACCGAAGCCATTCTCGTCGGTGAATTTGAGAGGTCCAAGTCTGCGACCTGAGCGGAGGGAGAAGAGTTCAATGAGATCGACTTCGATGCCGGCTTCACTGCCCATGCGATTAAGTTCGGACAAGACGCCCAACTTGTCGAGGTAATTTTGCGCCGTTGGGGTAAGACTTATAGCGCCCCCTGAGGCAGATAGTTCTGGTGCGCCTTCGAAAACGGAGATCTTCAGGTCGGGGATGGAGGAAGCCAGTTCCTTGGCGAGAGAGATGGCGCTGGCCAGACCCGCGATGCCGGCGCCGACTATGAGGATGTCGCGAGGAACAGGGGTGGGCTGCATCATGAGCGCGTGGGGTTGAGAGTCGGCTACTGTTGCCAATTCCTGCTTTATTCCCCTGGCTGGTGTGGGGGGGAGTACAATCGGATACTTATAGCGCAACCCCTCCGGGGGGATACAAGTCACACAAGCACAGCGATGGTGGCGGAACGAACAGTTAAACCATGGTTCGTCTGGAAGGATTAGAAATATTGATCCGAGATGTTTGCTCAGGAAATCGCAGGGAGGGAGGGGAAGAAAGAGATAGGAATTGTGGGTGTGCAATCTTGCAGAATTGCAAACTAGACAGACCCTTTTCGGCCAAAACGGCAAACGTAACGGCTTGATGACGCCGCGTTCTCCGCCGGCCGAAACTGACAATGGCAGCCAATCAGATGCCGAGGGAGGGAGTGCCGACATGCACGGCGACCGAGCCAGGCCCGGCCATCGTCTGTGATTGGTGGGACGAGTCATAAGCTCGCCGTGGCCAGACCCGCCCATTTTGATTACCGTTTTACTCTTTTGGGGTTGACACCTCGGCTTTTTCGTTCATTCATTTGATTCAATCTATCAGTTGGCGAACTGAAGATAGTACTACTTTGAAACAAACATTGAAAATAAAACCAGACAAACGATCACAGATAGACATCGTGTAACTCTGTATCACCAGTTCTAGAATTTAACCAGTTCCTGTAACCCCAACTCGTGCCCTGAACTTTCTTCTCTATTCTCTCCCGTATTCCCGTGACGTCAACCATGAACCCCAATTTACTCCCCCAGGAGATAAAACCAAGAACTTTATCGGCAGGGATCAATCCTGCTTATCCCACATAACGTCACATCCCCCTTTAGTTTCTTCCTCTACTCCAACAGTTCACTTGCCTACGGCAGACCAACTGTACAATGAACGTCTTCGACGAAGAACCCAGCACCATCACCCTCTCCACCCCCAAAGCCTCCACCACTGGCACCACCATCGCCATCATCCTCGAAGAACTTAGACTCCCCTACACCCTCCACCTTCTCCCCCACTCCTCCTCAACCACAACCCTGACAGACATCCACCGCACCGGCCACGGCCCAACCCTGCACTCCCTTCCCTCCATAACCACCTACCTCCTGACCCGCTACGACGGCGATCAGCACCACCACCACCACCACCTCTCATACCCCCCGCATTCGCCTGAACATGTAGCTGTCGAAGAGAGTTTATCGAAGCTAGCAGACCGGATGGGGATCATCCATCAACATCATCATCAAGACAGTGAACCTGACAACAAGCATGAACATAAGCATCATCATCACAAACAACATCTCCCAGCGATAAAAGAGAGCGAGGTGGTAGATAACAACAATACTGCGAAAGAGACTGCGACTGCGACTGTCCCCTTTGCGAGAAGTTTACTCAGTCTGTATCTCCATCTAGAGGAGTATTTGTCCCGGCAGAGGAGGGGCGGGGGCGGGTGGCTGATTGGGGAGAGATGGTATTGTATTCCCTTCTTACTTTCTTTTTACTATGTAGTAGGTCGTATTTGGCTGATGGGTCACAGTACGGTGGCTGATATAGCGCATTTCCCGTATGTCGCGGCGGCGAGTCAATATGGGTTTGATTTGGAGAGGTTTCCTGAGCTGACGGGTTGGTATGATCGGATGATGAGGAGGCATGGGGTTAGGAGGGGGTGGGAGAGGGTTCATCTTGAGGGGAAGTAATCGTCATATGAAAAAAATATATAAATATATCAAGGTACTGCTAAGTAGTAGTATCGGCGTGTAATGTATTCATTCAGCAGTCATTATATAGTCAGTATACTCCTTGTATATGTAAACATCACGGCCATTTCTTCTCAACACTTAACTCATAATTAGTTAGTAAAATTAATTTAAACATGAACATCCGTATTATCTTCATCTTCCAACAGCCATATACTCACTCTATGGCCTCCAAATCCGTGGGTATCAAGGTTCTCTGTAACTATTCTCCCATTACCATGACCATCCAACCGTCGGTAAAGTATCCATACACATCATTTTCTCTTTCCTTGCGTCTGGGTATCTAGTAGTAAACCTTCTCCTTGAAGATGGGAGGAACACCCTTGTCCAAGTCCCAGCAGATGTGGTTCTTCTCGTCCAGCCAAGCATCCTCGTCCGTGATCTTGATAACCCGGGAGGTGTGCCTGACCTCCTGGCGACTGACACCCAGCTCATCCCGAGGAATCCAGAGCAGAGGGGGCTGCGCCTTGATGGACGGGTTGAAGTAAGCGTCCCGCTCCACCTCGGGTGCGTACTTGGTGATCTCCTGTCCGCTGGGAACCAGGCGGCGCATCTGCGCATAGCTGTCGTACTTGTCGGGACGAAGGTACCGGAGCAGGAAGTTGGGCTTGGCCAGGGGCTCGTCGGAGGTCAGACCCCGTTCGGCGGAGTCGATGTTGGCCACGCCGCTGTCGCGCGCCTTGGAGCCTCCGGCGGCGGCGTCATCCGATGCCTCGCCGGACTGGCTCACCTTGGTCTGCTCGCGAGACAGCAGGGCTTCTTCCTCCGACTCGAGGTTCTTGGGCAGGTAGTGGATCAGGGGCTCCAGGGCATTATTGAGGGCCACGTGGTACAGAACGCAGAAGACCAGCAGAATGATCATGAGGACCAGGGGCCCAGTGGCAATGCTGTCGGCAGCGGTAGCGATAGCAAAGAGACCAATCAGACAGACCATCAGGAGGTAGCAGCCCACCGTCAGGTGCTTCAGACCCTGAACGTAGGCCTTGCCCTGTGTGTCAATGTTGGCGTTTGACACGTACAGCATGTTGTAGCGGTAGGCGAAGTAGAAGAGGTAGAGGCCGATGGTGGCGAAGCCAAGTACGAGAGGTGCAATGCACGAGTAAACGATAGCTGTAATATGCATTGTCAGTTGGCCGTTTTCAATATCTTCAGAGACCATAAATTCTTACCAATGACAGCGAGGAGGGTGAAAACAGGGTACACAGTTCCCCAGCCCAGACCAGCCAGGTTGGACCAACGGCTGTACATCTTCCGCGGCGTGTTGTCCAGGAGACGACCTAGGACCTTGCCGAGGATCAGTCCACTGATCTGCAGCAAAGCACCGGCACTGAAAGACAATCCTTGCAGGATGATGTACGAGATGTAGAAGTTCGAAGCGGTGGGAATCTTTTTAGCCAACAGAGACGCAGCGGAAGTGGGATCGCTGATAATATCGGAGACGACGCTGGAGGCGGAGGATGAAATAGTGACAACCAGGAACACCTGGATGACTTCGAATGCGAAATAGAAGTTTTGCGTAGTCAATTCCACAGCAGCCAAGCTAGGAGCACCACCAAATTTGGCCATCACTATCGACAAATGAGAATGCGCTCGACTTCCCGTACATGGAGGCGTAGGATTGCAACTTACATCGGAGGACGATTGGTAGCAAAGCCATGAGTACGGACATCAAGACCGTAGGCAGAAGGGACGTGATAACACCTAGAATCCAGCTTGGAACGTCGTTAATAAAGCGAAGGAAAGGGACCTTCTCAGTCAGGAAGTTGATGTTCGAGATGCAGCCAACCACGGCAGTGGGAATGGCCCAGAAGACAATCAAAGCGACAACAAAGGCGATCGTCGCAGAGTAACGAACGAGACGCTCCCACCACTTGATGCGCAAGTTGGACCAGATGACCTGGGTGGGCTCCAGGCCGATGTAACGAGGCGCCATGTGCAGGGGGTAGTTGTGGGCCACTGTGCGCGAGTTAGCATAGCTGGACAAAAACGAAGAACAGTATGGAATACTAACCAGACTGGAAAGCCTGCTGAGCATCGGCCTGGTGGTGGAATTCAACGAAGACAGACGACACCAGGTCCGCATTACCTTCGCGGTGTTTGGCCTGAAGTTCCTCGATCTCGGGGGTAAGGCGCTCGATCTCAGACCTCGCCCAGTTGATGGTATCAACCTTCTTGCCGACCAGGAGTGTGAGCCGATGAGTAGGGCGGTCTTGGGGTCGAACCCAGCGAGCTGCAACCGAGCCGGACTCATCGTCATCGTCGCAGAGGCTATCGCTGGCGTTCTGACCTTCCTCCACGGACCCTTGCTTCTTGAGGGCCTTCAAGCGGGCAGCGTTCGCCAGTTTGATGAGCTTCGTCTCCGCCGCCTCGAGCTTCATCGCAGCGTCGTCGCGTTCAGCAACCTTGTCGTCCAATTCGCTGGTGTTGGTCGTAAGCCAGACATTCTTCACCTTCTCGGGACCAAACATCTGTCGAATCTTGTCGCGGCTCAGATAATCTTCGGTGACCGCAGTGAAGAGCACGGTGCGAGACGAGAGACGGCTGGCATATGCCGGAGCGAGGGCATATGCGTGGCGCAAATTGATGTAGAACAGGCATTCGCGAGTGATCGTGTAGAAGACGAAGCCTAGCAATACCATTAGCGATGGACACCCCCAAGCCAGAGTTTATGAGAGAATACACACCGACAAAAAGCCATGCAATAAATGTGTGAGCGTAGTAGCGAGCATATTTATCGGAGCTGATGTTCGACATGCTCAGCATATCCAATTGCTCTCCGCCGGCACCGCCCGTTGCATTGACCGGGAACAAGATAGGCCAGGTCATACAAGCTCCCACAAAGCAAATCATCGAAACAACCTTCAGGAAGCGCAAGAGAAGATAGGCGTCCATAGAGTGGTGCTGCAGGACATATTCATCGGGCAGCCGGTACATTTGCAAGATCCAATTCCAAAGGCCAGTAGGCGAAGCGGGAGTACGTTCCGAGGGCCGCAAAACGCCCAGGTAAGTACGAGGCATGTACATGCGAGTTTCGCTGCGTCGCAAGATAATGAAGATAATCACCATGGCCGCGGCAGAGATCAAGGAGGGGACCAAGGTCGTAACCAGGCCCGAGGCCGAGTTGGAAGCGCTTTGCGGATCATCACTGCTGGACTGTGGGAGGGTTAGAGATGCGCTCTCCAGCATCAATCAAGGAATGCGACCGAGCGCGATCCCACGACACCATGCAGACTTACCCGTTGGAATAGCTGATGAAGGCCTTCCAGGCCGACATCACGGATAGCCATGATGGCGCACAATTAATGGCAGTGCGAGTCTGCCGTGGTCAAGTGGAATATAGGTGCGGTTACGTCAAGAGGCAGAATGTCGCACGATCGAGAGCGGTCGACCGCAGAGAGGGGGGAGGGGATCACAGGCAAGGGCACGGCCAGGATCGAAAGAGTGTGAGATCCAAACAGGGCAGCTGGACAGGACGAAAGGGAGGGAGGGAGGTTTGTTTAAACGAAAAATGAGAAAAGCAAAGGATAGACTCAAGGGGCGCAAAGCTTAAAGGGAGAGGGGGAGCCACCCAAGGGAAAGAAACCTTTTTCTGTTTGGGTCGCCTGGGACTTGAAGGTGGGTTTGCTGATCTGCCCACTGTAGAAAAAAAAGAAAGTGAAAATGGAAATGAAAAGATCAGAAAGAGCTGGCAAAGCAGATTGGGTGCACAGCTCAGCGCATGCCAATTGGACTCCCAGGAATGGCAATGGGTTCGGCTGAACCGAAAGAATGGTTCCCGTGAAGGAAATCTCAGGCTAGCATCACGAGAAGAGTTAAAAGGGGAGCTCATCCGGGCTTTGGTCAAGTCTGGTGGGATGGAAGAGGATTTGAAGCTAGTGCCACCCACGAGGGAACAAGCCACTCCACTTGGGGCCGCGCAGGACGAGTGAGAGGCGATGCCACTGGCAAGTCAACTCTGGATCTCAGATGGGATCGTTGGGTCGCCCGGGTCACACTCCTGTGGGTGGAGGAGTCGATGACGATTGAAGGAAGGGCCAGCGTAAGGGGAATTCCGATCAGGAGCACAAATGCTAGATTTGCATTTGACTTTTGGGCTGATCAACAGCAAAGCGACGATCGCACTCCGTTTCAGCCACTGCTCGTCATCATGATATGAGCGGCATCATGCCAGCCAGACAGATGTCTGGTCCAAGGTGAATTCTCATTTGCCTTTTGCCATCGGGACCGGGACAGAATTCAATTCCCAACCACCCAGTCTGTCTTCTCACTGAGAGAAGCTTTCCCCTCTTTCTGATGTGGCCCGGTGACAGCCAGTGGCAGAAATAGATAGTGGATGGAAGCTGAACAATTTTCCGATGGGGTTTCCGTTTGGTTACTGTGGCTGGAGAGACCAGACGAGGGAAGATGATAAGGCGCAAGAGTGGATGAGTTGGTCCCAATAGATCGGCCTTAGCAGATTACTAGCGTCTCTTAGTCTGACTCGCAACTCGCTTACCGTATGGTATTGTTCCGACGCGCTTTTTGCAGTGGCATCTCCCATACATTCACACTGGAATGCCTCGTAAACCCTCTGTATGCGGGTTGCTACCCAGGTGGTCAATCCTGTGTCGATAGAGTGACTTTTTCGTCCGGTAGCGAAGGTGGCAAATTTGAATGTGCTCGAACCTTTCAGTTCCTTAGTTCCTAACTCAGGCCAGGGAGGAATCGAGGAACGCAATCTCTTACCCCCCAGACGGCCGGCTGGTGGATTCATGTTCCAGTGGCTGGTTGGGACGGCTTTCTCCGTGGGTGTCGAAAGGGGCAGCCCTTTGCGACCGACGCAAACGGCAGCAATGAAATCATTTTCTTTCACTAGAGGCCAGTATATAGTGGATAGTTAATAAACTATCATATTATTGTGTCACAGTATGAAATTAGAATGTACCTGTGATCTCATTTCCACGCAAATTACTATTTCAATAAATGTACGGAGTATGAAATCATAATAATAGTAAAAGCAATCTGCACCCTCAAACCCGTGACAGTTGGAAAGCCAAGACTCGGGATCTGTCCGATGGTTGGCTTACGACTCTTTCTCTCTCTCTCTCTTTCTCCAGTCTCCAGCCACAGTATCCACGGCGCCATGCGTTTCACTTGCGAAGATTCTGACACGGGCCGCCCGTTTCATTTTGCGCCATCGTGTCTATGGTCTGTCTGATCTATCATTCTTTAGCAGTGCTATACTGGCATGTAGTAAGGGCCAGGTTCAAATAAAAGAAGAGGGAGATTATCGGAATGCTACTCCCTAGAAACGGAGGGGATGCGGTTGTGCTACACAGTAAACGGTCCGACTAGAAAGAAGGCTGTGTAAGTCACTTTGCAAACTCCTCCTCCGCACACCATAGCAAACACAAGCCAGATCTCACCATCAATAAATTCATCATCTATGATCCGTACATACGCACCACATGACTGGCTCATTTCGCATCGTCCCTTGGATCTCGGATCATAGGTTCATCCCATCGAAGCCTATGGGACCCACAGGCAATCAAACCAGTCTTTCAGCCTCGTGCTGGGGCCACCATCTCCCGTACCAGATCACACACTTTCCCTTGGAACCACTAGCCAGGCAACCCTTTTTTTCCTTTCGCGTTGAAAATTTGTCAACGCTAACCCGGCTGTGTCTAGTGTTGGAATTCGGCGGTGTGTTTGAATGCAAGCACTGCTTGCTTTGCTTTTGATCGCCAGTGCGGAAGAATATTTATGTGTGCGTGTCTGTTGTTGTCACTTGCGCGAGGCGATGCTTTTCTCCCTCTGCTCTGCTCATCATCACTACGCGTATCGAAATAGATGTGTCTATGTGTGTGTGTGTTCTGCAGATGATGATGATGATGGTATCTATAATTGGCATCACCACATCATACAACGGAGGAAGCTTGAAGAAAGGGAGACGAATATTTCCCGCGTAGCAGCAGACTTTGCCGCGAAGTGAAGTGTGTAGTAATTAGTGGCACCAGCGGCAAATCGAAATTCCGTTGCCTGGACAGACAAACAAGCAAGCATGCCCATTTAATCCATCACCGATCAATCAACTTCTGCAAGATTATGGTTCATTACTTTCGTTAATTCTAACGCTCCGAGGACAGGACGTGGATAAATAACCATGTGGCTGGACACGGGCTGGCCATTGGCACCTATCATGCGGCAAGCAACTGTCGAATCTGAGCAGAATGGCATATTCCTGAGGCAACATCCTTGAGGTTAGTTTGTCATGGCTTTTGCTTTTGGGGGGATACGAGACGGGTCTATTCCAGGTCTAGCCTCACTTCCTAGACTAGTATCTGAGACAGGGCCTTATGAAGATGTGTATACTGGGACAATTGACTGTTGTACAAGCCGTGAAAAGGTACGTTGATAGATAGACTTACGCCAAACTGAAGGCGTGTAGGGCGTGTATCGCGGAGGGACCATTTTCTGTCATACAAGAGAAAAATTGTCCTGAGAGCAAAGCCGATGTATGGAGTATATAATCCCAGTTAATTCTCCCAAAACACAAAATGCAAGGCTTGCATGAAGAAGTGACAAAGCAAAGTACATTACACAACCTCAAACCCGGCAGCGATCCCGCCCACTCACAGTACTACCATAGTATCATCTTGTGGCACAAAGTCTCCCAGATGATACCGATACCGATTCTGCACAGCCAGCATCACCTATACCAATCCCGACCCCACGAGCACATACTAATATCCAACAGTCCTGAAATAAGCTATCTTCTATATCACTTTAAATAGATACTTTAACTTAACATCATCAAATAAATTAACTACCCACTCACCTACCCACCGCAGTCAAACATCCTGAATTCTCCCTGACCAACCAAAGGTAAGCAATAAGCTTAACCACTCAGATCTCGGCACAGCAACCCAGCCCAGTCCAGCCCAACCCAGCCGGTCGTACTTCTGCAAGTCGGACCAGTACCACCCAGGTAGTAAACTCCTGACACACACAGACGGACGGGGCGGGCGGACGGCATGCCATGCCCTGACCCAAAACAGCGGCCTGCAGTAGCGTGTGCATCTGGTGTGTGTGTCTGTGTCCAAGAGCAGGAATCACGATCAAAAGTACTTAACTAGTGTTAATCTATTTTATTTCTCTAGGGTTATGGGATACAGAACCTGTGCTGTGTTTAGAGTAGTAGTGGCGTGAGCTCCAGACCCCCTCTTCTCTCTCCATCAGAATTAATCATCGCACCCCCAGCCATGTTGTTTCTTTACTAAGCGGCACTGGCACCAATTAGTTAACTATTAACTGGTCAATTGCCGCCACCATCAGCCCAAAGCTCAGCTGACAGTTATTACAAGTCCATTCTCTACCCCAAGACTCGATTTACCCAAGGATATTCAGAGTGCAGAAACATTCCATTAAGATAATCAAGAGAATGAGGAACAAACCCAAAACCAAAAACCGACGCGTCCCACTTTAAATAAGTACCACAAACTAAAACCCCCGTAGTTGTACTCCGTTAGCAGGTACACAAAAGAAGCAACTCCGATAACCAGCGGATTCTATATCCGGCAGGAAGGATTTGTGACATGTCCCACCCACCGGACTAAGTAAAGTAAAGTAAAGATAGGTAATCTATCTATCTACTCATCTCATCCATTAATGGGAATGCTCACATCGTTTAAAGTCCGTGCGCGCGAATGATCTCATACGTACAGTAACAGAGTGGACATAATATCTCTCACCGTAAGTTCCCTTCGATCCACTGATATTCTGGGAGCTGTGGTTAGTTAGCTAGTGATTGCTTTGCTGATCTAATTACGCGGCAGTGTGCAAAGTAGATAGATATATCTATCTATCTGTCTATTATCAGGCGTATTCTTACAGGAGGGGAATGATCCGATGGGTACAAATTACTTAATTGGGTAGGTTCGAGTAGAATTAGTTAAGTTGGAGGTTTCCGATGCAGATCGGCTTACGTGGCAGTCGTCCTATCCTACTTCAGTCTAAGTCAAAGTAGCTAGATACACGGGAGGGTAAGCAGATGGTGGTTAAGTTAGTAGTATCCGTAGTGGTGAATGGATGACCGATTGCCCGCAAGGGATATTGGTCGCGGATAAGTTGGGAACCGTGGAACAGGTCGTTCTAGAAAACCCGATCTGAGGTGACACCAACCAGTAAGTATCCATCTGGGAAGTTGTAAATGCGGGGTTACCACCACTAACTTCAGTTTTGACTTTGTTTCCTGCTGCAGGAAGAAAGGACAGCTAGCTAGCTAGCTACAAATACTACTTTTAATGAAGAGGTCACGAAAGTACGGAGTAAATATTCATGTACGACTGCTGCGACGCTCCTGCACGTCGCGGAAAACAATCATGGGTTTTGGATTCGTACCTAATCAGTACTTTTTTCTGTTCTGCCCGAAATATACAAACATACAGAACACAATACAACATAACACAACACACGCTTCTTTTCAAACCAAGAAAAGAAAACAATGGCTAAAAGTAGATGAATGTCGGCAGGGGAAAGGGGTATCTCGAAAAGTAATTTTGGTCGTCGCTCTCACTCAAATTGGGCCAAGCAATTCTTCCTCAAATGCATCGATTCCTCGAATGGGCGGATGGAGCATGAGTAGACTGAAGAGGATCTCGTTGTATTGAAATTGAAGGTCCGGTCGGAGCTGCTTGTGCATCTTCAGCAGCTCGCCTGTGGACCATCCGCGTTCCGACTCCTTCAGGTCCGCTCCATAGCCTTCTTCCAGAAGCAGCCAGATGAAGGTCTCGCAGGCTGGATACCGGTCCAGGTTGTGCAGTCGCACGAGGTGGTGGAGGTGGTTGAGAAACCGCCCGGTTTTGTTCTCCGATGCTGCCAGATCCCACAGTGCCGCGGTGATGTAGATCAAGGCTGCAGTTCTAGTAATCTCCTGGGTGGGCGCATTGCGCACAACATACATGCGGTAATCTTGAGGCACCTGCGAAGGGCGGGGCCCACTGGAAAGTAGAGGAAACAAGGGACTATCCATCTGGAATGCAGTCCGTCGCTGGGGTACAGACTCCAAGTAAGAAGGTGTGCTATGCTGGTGCATCAGCTGCTCTGCCGCATGAAGAAAAGAGACGAGCCAGCGCTTCCCCTCTTCGCTCATCTCCATCGGTGGTGGAATCATCACGTATCGCACGTAATGCATGAAAACCTCAACCGTACTTTGCGTGCCGGATCGAGACCGGAGGATTTCAACCGCCTGGTCTTCGTATTTCCGAGCGACTTGCTTGTCACCAAACCGATCCTCGTGTAGTGACATGCCGCTTAGCGCCAATGCTAGGTTATCTTCGTCGACTCCTGCAGAACCGATCTTTGCTTCTTCGATTCCCTGTACGGCCTTATCGAGATGATACTGAGCTTCCTTGCTGTCTTGGAGGTTGTAGAGCTGGGCTTTCCAGCGAGCGCAGTATGTGAGGATGACTGCTTGGAAGCACAATGGGTGACTCATGGCGGCCTTGAACACAAGGTCTTTGATATACTTATTTTGACCCGACCAGTAGGTTAGCCGGTTAGTCCAGTAGTCGGCTAGCTCTTGGTCATCACGGGAGTAGACACCTGGCAGAGAGTTGAATGGATCTTTTCTCGAGGCATCAAGCATGGTGACTGGTGAAGGTGACTGGTATCCATCTACCGATTCGGGTGGGGATTGCACAGGAGGGAGACCAAATGGAATCTATAGCATTAGTCCGGTCAGTATGGCGAAGCGGTGGAGACAATTGTGTAATTAATGGGGAAAGTGTTGTAAAGATGGTAAAAGATGGACGTACCAAGGAATGCCCGTTTACTGAAGTTTCGCTGGGAACCTCCTGAGGGGCAATGGATTCGTAATCATCATGATTGTCTACATCTGTCCTCTTATGAGGCCATGGGGAGTAGCGAAGAGGGCGACTACCCCTCCGGTCGCCGTCCGCCCGGGAGTGGGATGACTTCCTCTGTCGGCGTTTCTCCTGAACATGGTGACGCATCACATGAGCCCGTTTTTCGCGGGACGAGGAATTGGAGTCGACAAAGTAGAAGATTTGATTCCTGGAGGATTGATCATCGGACATAGGCAAGTGCCTTCGTCGTCTAAGCCTCACAGGAATTTGAGGGGGATCGCTGGACGTTCCTGAGGAAATGGTGTTGGTAAGTTCGTCGACAGGACGGTCAGATCACAGAGAAGGCGGCAAAGAAACCAACGTTGTTGTTCTGATTCAGACGAAGAAGTCCCCCGTACGCCTGAGGTAGAGTCGAGAGGTGTTGAATCCGCCAAAGGAAGTCTATCCGCCGACATGGCGGTTTTTCTATCCTTTTTCTTGTTGTTCCCCTCTCTCCGTTGTTTTTTATTGTTTTCACAGGAGGGGGAGGAGGGAGGGAATGACTGCTGGGCGGGATGACAGGGTGGAACGAGAGCGGAGCTCGTTAAGACTGCATATTCGGGGGGGGGAAGTGAGATCACGAACACACACACACAAGCCACCAGCGAATGGGGACGGGAAGCTTTCTAAGAAGGACAAGGAGAAGGCATTGCAGAATGGGCTAGTAGAATGGGGACTAACCAACTCGGACCACCTGTCAAGTCAGAGTAGTAGGAGTTGTCAGTCAGTAGGAAGTAATGAGGGAGCAAGTGATTAAAGAGAGCAGCAAGTTGGTTTGCTTATCTATCCGTGGCATAAGGACTAACGACAAACCCCCCGACCTGTCCGTTCCATCTTATTAGGGATGGACGGGTTAGTCAGTGCTAGTGGTGGGGTCAAGGACAACTAAGAGGCCCCGCTAGTCCGACTCCGAAAGTTTATTTGACATGACGGATTGTCGTGATTGGCTGCTTGTCAGCTCAGGCTCCGGGAAAAGTGTCTCCGCCGGCGCTTATTGGGTGCGGAACGACGCCCTCTGCCCTTGGAAGGGATCCGCTTTGGTGAGGCCAGGTTGGGCCGGTGTGGGCTCGAGGACCTTTGCCCGCAACCAGTCTAGTCCCGGTGGGGTTGGCATGGCGTTCCGTGCGCACCTCCCACGCTGCTGATCTAAGCAGACTAATTCTGCCCCTTTGGGAAGGTCTTTTTCAACAAAAGCACTTTACGCGTCGGTATTTCGCAAGAACTATTCCGCCGACGCGTTCGTGTTGCATTCGCGTCTCATTGCAAAAGCTCGACAAAAAACGAAGCGAAACCGCAGCAACCAAAACATCAACGTTGCCTGCCTACCTTTAGTCCATTATTCTCTCCAACCCCCCCACTACTTCCTATAACCACCTTTCCTCTTTCATTCTTTCATTCTTTCTCTTTTTCCCTTTCTTAAAAGGCAGACCCCAGGGACCGAACAAGTCTTCAAATTAATTCAGTCTAGGGATATATCGGAGTCGCACCCCTCACCCTTTTTAGCGGCCTTCCTTTGGCCCTCCGCCTGACCACCATGTCTTCCCTCTTTGACGCCGTCCTGCAATCCGAATTGGGCTCCACGGCGGGCTCCCGTGACCATCGTCTTCACTCCGATCAGATCCCCAGTTCACGACCCCAACCGCCTTCCGAAAGCAATGGCCCCATGAGTGATATGCATGGCTTTGCCGATGATCAAGTTGCCGATTCCAGTGCCTCGACCGTTACTCGACTGCGCAATCCCTATCTCCCCGGACCGCCCCCGGTAAGCGATGTGGCAGGCGAGAAAGTACAGCAGGCTTTCGCAGAGCTTCTCGAAACCTATCAGGAAGAGACACCTTCGTCGGCACAGGCGGCGCCATCGTCACAAGTCTTGAGTGAAAAATACTACATCGCTCAGATTATGGGCATGGCGAAATGGGAACTGTCGACCCTTTACGTCGATTTCACCCACCTGACCTCCATGAGCAACCCAATTCTTGCCGACGCCATTGCCAACCAATACTACCGATTCCAGCCCTTCTTGACCAAGGCTCTTCATGACCTTATTGCCAAGTATGAGCCAGACTACTTCGCCTCCCACCGTCAAGCTACGGCCGCAGGCAGTGTTTCTTCCCAAGCCGGCACTTCGATGATCGCTGGCAACTCGAGTGTATCCGACAACCCTGAATTGGAGCGCAATATCCGCGAGAAGACTAGGCATCAGCAGACGGATAAGCTGTTCTCTTTGGCCTTCTACAACCTGCCCCTTGTTTCCAGGCTGCGCCAGCTGCGCACATCCCAGATTGGAAAGTTGGTCTCGGTGTCTGGTACAGTCACGCGGACGTCTGAAATTCGTCCTGAATTGTCACTGGGAACCTTCATTTGCGAGGAGTGCAAGGCCGTCGTTACCAACGTGGAACAAACCTTCCGTTACACTGAGCCTTCCCAATGTCCGAACAACACCTGCGGTAACCGCTCCGGCTGGCGCTTGGATATCGGCAAGAGTACGTTTGTGGACTGGCAGAAGGTGAAACTGCAGGAATCTTCTCACGAGATCCCAACTGGCAGCATGCCGCGGACGATGGATGTCATTCTTCGCGGTGAAATGGTTGATCGCGCGAAGGCCGGTGAGCGGTGTATCTTCACAGGTACCTTGATCGTGGTCCCCGATGTCAGTCAATTAGGGCTTCCTGGCGTGCGGCCGGAGGCAGTTCGTGATGACGGTGCCTTCCGGGGAAGTGATATCGGAGGCGGTGGCGTTACTGGACTGAAGGCGCTCGGTATCAAGGATTTGACCTATCGACTGGCCTTCCTTTCTTGCATGGTCACCCCCGATACCACGACGCCGGGTCAGCAGTCCAACCAGCAGCTGAATGGACAATCGCAGAACATCTTGGCTTCGCTCAACCAAAACCGGGATCCCGAATCCAACGAAGACCAGGCCCAGGAAGCTCTTCTTCAGAGCCTGACCCCTTACGAGGTCCAGGACTTGAAGAACCTTGTTCACTCTGAGTACATCTACTCGCGATTGATTGACTCGATCGCCCCCATGATTTACGGTCATCGCCAGATTAAGAAGGGTTTGCTGCTGCAGCTGATTGGCGGTGTCGGCAAGTCCACGGAGCAAGAGAACCTCCAGCTTCGTGGTGACATCAACATTTGCATTGTCGGCGACCCTTCCACGAGTAAGAGTCAATTCTTGAAGTGAGTTTCTTGTCGTCGTTTATGCATTATTGTCTGATATGCCCGTGCTAACACATTCTGAAGATACATCTGCTCGTTGCACCCTCGCGCAGTCTACACCAGTGGTAAAGCCTCGTCTGCCGCCGGTTTGACCGCATCTGTTGTCAAGGACGCTGAGACGGGCGAATTTACCATTGAAGCTGGTGCCTTGATGTTGGCTGTAGGTTACCTGATCTACCTGGTTGGCATTCGAAACTGACGTATTGTGATCCTTTAGAACGGAGGTGGTATTTGCTGTATCGACGAATTCGACAAGATGGACATCAGTGACCAGGTTGCCATTCACGAAGCCATGGAACAACAAACTATCTCCATTGCAAAGGCTGGCATTCACACCACCCTCAATGCTCGGGCTTCTATTCTCGCTGCTGCCAACCCCATCGGCGGCCGATACAACCCTAAGACTACACTGCGCGGCAACCTTAACTTTAGCGCCCCCATTATGAGTCGTTTCGATCTGTTCTTCGTGATCCGGGATGATCCCAATGAAACAGTGGATCGCAATCTGGCTGATCACATTGTCAATGTCCACATGAACCGCGACGAAGCTGTGAACCCCGAGCTCAGCACCGAGCAATTACTCCGCTACATTCGATTCGCTCGTACCTTCAAGCCTGTGTTCACGGAGGAGGCGAAGGCTTATCTGGTCGAAAAGTATAAGGAGCTTCGTGCCGGCGACGCTCAAGGTGGCATGGGCCGCTCTTCGTACCGCATCACGGTTCGACAGCTGGAATCTCTGATCCGTCTCTCTGAAGCCGTTGCCAAAGCCAATTGTGTGGAAGAGATTATACCCAAATTTGTGCGCGAGGCGTACGACCTTCTCCGACAGAGCATTGTGACGGTCGAAAAAGATGATGTCGAAGTCGACGATGATGAGCAGGCCGCCGCCGATGGTCCTGCTGTTGAGGAGGATCATGAAATGGGCGATCGTGATGGTGACAGCCCTATGCGTGAAGATGCCGAATCCGCCCAGCCCAAACGCTCAAGGACCAAGATCACATACGACAAATACATGAAGATCCTGAACCTCATGGTCCGTCGTGTGAGGGACGATGAAGCGAACTCCGGCGAGGGTGTCGAGCAAGAGGATCTCCTCATCTGGTATCTGGAGCAGATTGAGTCCGAGATTGACACAGAGGACGATCTCCAGAATGAGCGTGACTTGGCTGTGAAGGTCCTGAAGCGAATGATCAAGGTATGTGCAATCATATCGCTGTCCATTATATTCGATCCCATAACTAATCAACTACTTCCTACAGGATAACATTCTGATGCCAATTCGCGGGCAAGGCCTTGTGGATGCCGATGATGAAGGGCAGAGTGAGCAAGTTCAACGCACTGTTTACGTGATGCATCCCAACTGCGCCATTGATGAGATGTAATGTCTATTGAATGTTTTGGTTCAGAAAAGGAAACGCTGAGCAATGATTGAAATGGGTCTGCCAAAGGAGCTGGTGGTTATGAGTGATGATATCCCTGTTTGACTTCGATTTGATATTGACCTTACGTATGTTTTATCGGTGAAGTTTGTGTCTATAGAAGTGAGGTCTGGAGTGTAATGGTTCTAAGCATATCTTTCTAATCTCACATGAGTATGACGCCTCATGATCTATCAGACTCTTCCTTACTTCATTTAATTGTATGCAAGCTTATGTTGTGGCACCCCGAATTAACTCTCCACCCAGGTTTATCTAGTTAACTTGCTGTTTGAGCAGTCTCACAGTTTCCTGCTTTACTGGTTTGACTCTCGTCAACTCCCTTCCAATCTCAGCCACGTGAACCTGAGCGAGTGTTCTTCGCTTTGCTCTCTTCGCTCTCTCTTCTCGATTACTCTTGTTTCTCTACGCAATCATATGGCGAGGCCTGTGATCTTATTATTGATCTCTCCTCTTTGAGGTGTGCCCGAGCTCATACTTCCTTCCCCTCATCTCTCTTGGCTTCCTCATCTTTCTCATCTTCTGTTCACCTCCCTACTGTCTCTGATCTTCTTCCCTTTCGCCTCATTCGCCTCTCTCCTGCCTCTCCCACCTTTGTATAAGCCCTCTCTTCCCTGCCCGATTCTTCCTTCCCCTTCCGCCTTCCTTCTTCTCTCTCTATATAAACCCTCTTCTCCCCCCGGCCCTCTTCCTTTCTTCTTCGCTCCTCTCCTCTCGTCTCTTCTTGCTCTAGAGCCTTCGCTGTTCCTTGTTCGACCTTCCCTCTCCTATCACCATTCCTCTTCTTATAACCTCCATAACAAGCACTCTCAAAGCAGGAATCCCCCCGTACGTCAGCAACGATTTAAGCAAACATGGAAGGCCTCAGCAAGGGACTGGAGCCGCCACGGAACACAGAGGACTTACTAGCTGGCTCTGGAGACGTGCAAGAGCCCGATGAGCAGGAATCCTCCCTCCAACCCGAAAGTCTCGATCCGGATCAGATGCGCTTGGAAGCAATCGATCGCCGTAGGCAGCAGGACAATTCCAGGCAGGCTCTTTTCTTTTCTCGTCTGGGCTTTGACACCCACAATCGTAAGGCCTCCTAAAGCTTATAATCACTTTGGCACATGATACTAATTGCTTGCCAGCAGTCCAGCATACGGAAAGCGCGCCATCTACAGTTCCTTCTGTACAGGACGATCAAGCGCCCGCTGCGCAAGCAGTGCTTGATGAAAGTCTATTTGTGCCTCAGGAAGTCTCTTTTTCATGGAATCATCTGTCTACTGAAACAGATGTGCCTCCGATGTCTCCAGATGATCAGAACATATTTGACCTATTTCAGGGGCTTAATTCGGAAGGTGATACAAGTCCACCTATTGAACAGCTTTTGCAGAATTCACCCCACTCGATCGCTAGTGCTTCACAAACAGGAAATGCAGGTACCACAGCTGCACCTGCCGCCAATGAGGAAGATCCAAAGCCGTCCGCACCGACATGTGTCGAGATAATATCATCCTCATCTTCAGCTTCCGGGGACACTGACGTACCGGTAGAAGACTTCCCAGATGATGCTGGAGACCAAAGCTGCCCAACAGAGTGGCCCGACGAGGAGCTTGAAGCTAGTACCAGGGCTGATCTATCGAAGCGGAAGTAAGTGTATCTTATCATCAAGCCTCGGTTTGAGTCTAACTGGTTGTCCTAGGTTCAATTCTATCAAGAAATGGTTTGATAGTTTGGAGAAGCCATCTGTGGCAGACGAAATACGCTTGGAAACAGCAAGGCAACAGGAATCTGCGCGAAAGAATAGGGTGGCAAGGAGAAAAGCCTTGGAAAACCAGAGTGAACTCTTTGACCCAGAGATTGACGAGCCCGATGAATTCACTTCGCGACAGGTTCCTATCGAGCAAAAGACCGGAAGCTCTCATGATGTCCCTGTCAAGCCACAACCGAAAAAGCGGCGTCAAAACAGGATTTCAGCAGACGAAAAGCAAAAGAGCAAGGAACTCGGTTTAGCTGCTGTTCTTGTGCAGCAGAAGAAAAGGGGGCCGCCAAAAGGAGCACCTCGTAAGCGGAAAGAAAGAGGGTCTGACAATGCAATCCCTGGGCCCAGTAAAAAGCGAAAGCGAGGGCCTTTAGGTTCCAAAAAACACCTAGAAGCTCTTCTTTCTTCCACTATCGTCGCTGATGCACATGCCAATGCTTCACTAGATGCAATACCTGAACTCAAAAATAAAGATAAGATGAAAGCACTCACACAACTCGTTGCTAGTCTTCCTAGCGCGGACCAACAGGAGGCTAAATCTGACAAGAGGTCGATCATTGCAGCTACTCGCAACTTCACAAACGTTCCAAGAAGCGACGGGAAATCTGGATGGAGACTCAAGGGTCTAAATACGAGCTTATACCACTATCAGGTCTGTCTGTCTATTTCCTTGTTGCCATGACACTAGCTGACAGGCGTTGAAAGGTCCTTGGGGCTGCTTTTATGGTAAGGAACATGTGCACCGAGATCATGAAGTGACTTGCGGTTAATTTTCAAACAGCGTAACCGCGAATCATCGTCAGAGAGGCCCTTCGGCGGGCTCCTGTGTGATATCATGGGCTTCGGTAAAACTATTCAAGCCCTGGGTGAGTGCATCTAGAGAGAGAAAGTGGCAAGTCTAACAATTCTCTAGCAAATATCATAGATGGCAAACCCTCTGATCCGGAGGACCCTAACAAGACTACCCTCATCGTTGTTCCATCGCACCTAGTCACTCACTGGTAAAATTAATCAATGCTGTGTGTACGAGTTGTAATCTAACTTGGACAGGAAAACACAGATCAACAAGCACTGCGAAAAGAAAGCAATCGGCGATGTCCTTATATACAAGGCGAATTCGAGACTTGAGACCCTCGATACCCGCGATACAGTGAATAGTCTCGTAAGATATGATGTTATGTATGAAAACTAGGCACCTCTTCCAATATTAAGATGGTGTACTTACGCAGTCGTCAGAATCACTACCTACGATGAAGTCAGAAAATCCTATCCACGAATCAAGGTCGCCGATAGCGTGGCGGATATCGAGAAGCTTGCAGCCTGGTGGGATCAGTCCTACGAAGACGAGAGCGGTCCGCTACATAGAATCAAATTCCATAGAATAATCCTTGACGGTATGTTGCGCTCCTTACCGACCTTTTGGCATCAATCGCGGGGCTTAGACTGACGGCTACTCTGTAGAAGGACACGCCATCAAGAACCACCTATCCTCAGTGTCCATTGCTGTACGCTCTCTGATTGGTCACTTTAAGTGGATTTTAAGCGGAACGCCAGTGCACAAGTAAGCTCAAAGTTGATACCCAGCTGTTGTCTGGCTTTCAGTGTGTTGTAGTGTCTGACATTTCATAGCTATCTAGAAGAATTCTATCCGCTTTTCGACTTTCTCGGGGTTCCTGGCATCAAAGATCCTGGATCTTTCATAAAGAACTTTTGCAGCGTGAGCCACTTCCCTTTGACATTCAGAGGCAACTATTAAAGCCAGCCCTTCTGTAGGATGACGACGGCCATGGCCGGCTCGTAAACCTGTTGCGAGCTTTTCTGTTTCGGCGGACACACAAAAGTCGGCTTTTCTCTTTACCAGTAATCAAACTACCCGATGTCAACGAAAGAATCGTTAGGGTGGCATTTTGTGCCGTCGAACGAGAGCTTTACAACGCAATATCAGAGGTTTTTATAGAAAACATCAATGGTGCGCCAGAACACCTCGTGCCATATTAAGGAGTGTTAGAGAAATATCACTGACAGCAGATTAGGGTGTGCACATCTCGAACAGCCTAAATTAGCGCAGTATCGATGCTTTCTGTCGATGATCCTGATGCTTCGTATGTTTTGCAGTCACCTGCTTACGACGCAGTGCATAGTCAAGAGGCTGCTGTCAGAGGGGAACCTCATGAAGAGGCTTTCAAGGCTCGCCAAGCAAAGCGGGGATCGAGATCCATCCTTTACTATAGTGAAATGGCTCGTCTCGGTGCGAAGAAACACAACAGTGCTTGATGAGCGTGAGAACGAAGACACAGTCCAGTATGCCACAGAGCTTCATGGGGACAAGACGGTGTTGATGCAAAATTTCCGTCAGTTAATGGACGAGCTCCATGATACAGAGATTTGGGAAGAAAGACTAGCAAGGACTAATTGCCCCCAATGCGATTTTGTACCAGTGAATCCGGTAATAACTTCGTGCAGGCATCTATATTGTGAGGAATGTTACTACTCCTTACGGATGGACAAGGACAATATGCTCATGGAGCCTAATTGCGTCAGCTGCCGGGTTCCAATCATGGAGGCCGCTTATTTCAAGGAAGATAGTGACGAAAAGACGCGACCTGCAACGACTCTGGGGGCTATTAACCGGAAGAAAAAGCAGGGCAAGAAGACAACCACCACGAAGAAACAAGCCAGGAGCAGTATGCGCCGAGTCACGGCACCACAAATCGAGGAATCCGATGAAGAGCCAGATGCTGACGAGGATACGGACTGGATTAAGGCATGTGCTCGGCATATGCCCAGTGCTAAACTCACAAAGATACGCGAGATTCTTACCGAGTGGCTTGCACAGGATTCCCCGGGCAAGATAGTCATATTCACCCAATTTTTAGATTTCGTCCAAATACTGGCTACCATGTGCCAAGCAGAAAACTGGCCATATGTTTTAGTGAGCAAATAAGTCATCGAGTATGCCCAAGACCCAGATTGGCTAATATTCTATAGTTGACTGGGAAACTGAGTCTAGCAGTTCGCGAAAACAATATGAAGTTGTTCAGTGATAAAGATAGCGAAAAGAGGATAATGATCGCCAGTCTGAAGGCTGGGGGCACAGGACTAGATCTATCAGCCGCCAACAAGTGCATTCTTGTTGACTTGTGGTGGAACGAAGCTATTCAGGAGCAGGTATGTATACTTTTGTCCGATATCACTGCTTAACAGGACTTTGGTGCAGCTGGTAACACTCCGATTTCAGGCCTTTTGCCGCTTGTTCCGAATTGGGCAAGAAAGCGAGGTGGAATTTGTGAAGCTTATCATCGAGAACTCTATTGACGACTACCTGCTCAATTTGCAGACGCATAAGACGGCTCTTATAACCGGAGCAATGGGCGAAAGAGCCCTAGCGGGGCGGGATACCCTTGAGGATCTCCTTCGAATGTTCGCAGATGTCGAGAAGGACCCTAGAGGTGTGCTTCACCTCAAGGCCAAGACAGCGTCAAGGGACATTAGGATTGGGGCTGGATTCCGACCGACTTTTGGGGTTTTTTGAATGAACATCCCTTATGATAAGCGACGCCCATATGCTGCAGATTTAATGAGTTAGTTCTTTCTGTTTTGCATGCTGCTTTGATTTATGGAATTGCTAGTTTCATGCCCAGCAATCATGATCGAGGGAAACCCGGCGGACTTGGAGGATCTGGTTTTTTTTCTTTTGCTTTTCGTTTTGAATTCAGTCACGTTTTGCGGTTTAGTTGGGTATGCCATAGCACTGGCTGTTACTGAAAATGGTCTCAGTGATATCAACATTTACGAGCGCAGCCAGGATGGCACAATTCCTTTAAGTTACTCTAGTTTTAGGAGGAAATACATTGCTACTTGATATTTCCACTCTTCCCTATCGAAACATACACCCACAGTTCAATGAATTACCGACGTAGACGAATTGAACCCCCATCAACCCAGCACACAATAAACTTAGTCTCCTTATCCACACACCTGGCTTTCCCCAATCCACTGCATACACCTAAAACCTTCTCGACCCGCGCCTTCCACGCCCAGCACCTGCACCACCAGCACCAGCACCATCCTGCAAACCCTCCCCAAGCACTCTCGGCACCAGCACACTACTATTTGACGCCACCGACCCCCTATCCTGAGAACCCAGCACCCGCGACTGCCATCTCAAGCGATGATACCGTCTTCTTCTCCGATGCGCGTAGTCCTGCAGCCCCAGTCCCGCCTCATCAGGGTCCACCTCCGTATCAGCATACTCTGACTCCGATTCGACTCTCCAAGGAGGGACCCCGGAACTCCATCTTCCACTTTCACCACCGCTACCACCTGCTTCATAATCCATTCTCATCTCATCATCAACCTCGTCAGCAACATTATCAGCATTATGATATGAATGATCAACAACCTGCGAAAAACTCTCAGCCTCAGTCTCAGTGATCATTCCAACCGGATCGTGGAGGGGCCCAGCAACAATGTTATTGTTGATGTTCTCTTTATCCGAGTCCCAGTCTTGATGATAGGCACGTACTTCTTGGTTATTATGATGATTGTTGTAGTGATAATGATGGTAATCAGGCTGCAATCGGCCTACAGGATTTGGTTGTGTAGGGAAGGATAATAGGCCTCCTGGGCCGGGGGAAAGGTCTTCGTAGATGGTGAACTCGGTTAAGATACTGTGGTTGTTATTGTTGCTGTTGTTGTTGTTGTTGATGTTGTTGTGGTGGTGGTGGTTAGATCTATGTCTGGTGATGGGGTTTATGTTGTTCATCCCGATAATGCTGGTTAGGCAGCCGCTTCGGGTCGTTATGATTGGTTCGGTATCTCCTTCTGTATACTGGACTGTAGGTGCCTGGTGATGACGATACTGATGAGTAGAGTGATGGTGAGAATGATGCTGTCCCTTTCCCACCACGAACAGGGGACGAATTATTCGTTGCGCAGGTGGAACTTACCACCATTTGTCCTTCTCCTTCTCTAGTTCCGTGATGATCCTCATGTTGAGGGTTGTGATAATCATCACCATCGACATCCATGTCCATATCCTCAGAAGCAGCAACAGCAACAGGGGGATGTGGTGAGGGGGTATACTGCTGCTGTTGTTGCTGATAAGTTGAGCTCATGTCCATAGCATCCCTAAACGCTCTATCATGCGCCTCGTTTTCCAAAGCCCGCACCGCAAGCATCCTGTACTCGTTTTTGCGGAGAGCATCTTCCTGTTCTTGGATCTCTTTGTTCAGGGCTTCTTCGAAACGCTCGGCTTGTCTGGTATATTGGGAGGGGATACGAGGCCGTTTGAAGGGTTGATGGCCTGTTTCATTGTTGGTTGCGTTGGGAGTGGTGTTGATGAGAGTGCCTGGTGAGGTATTTTTGGAGTCATCATTGTCATTATCACAGGCTGCTCGTCTTTTACGAGTGGTGGTTGTGATCATGGCGGTTGTGGTCTGGATAGATTGGGGATGATGGTGGTTAGATGTGTTTTGTGTGGGGGATGGTGAGGGAGGTGATGTAGAATGAGGCATGGTGGGATCTGGATTGATCTGGACTTGTACTTACACTCGTATCTTGGTCCATGTTGTCGTCGATGATTTTGGTCATTGTGTTGGGATGGAATTCAGTTTATCTAAATGATGAGTTCGGATAAGCTGTATGGAGGATGAACGGGTCAGCAAAGGCCGGTTGTCTTGTAAGACCAGCTGTCAGAGTGATTCCTGAGTAAAAGACAATAAGATGGATTATTCACGCGTTGGTGTGTGCCATCCATCATCGCCATTATCATTAACTGTGTGTGGGAGACTGCTCCTCAAAAGATACTACTTACTTGGGGTTTGGGATGATGTATCTTGATCCAGATGAAGAGTTGATGTCGAACATCTGCGGTCAGACTCAGTGTAGCTGATTCTTCAAGCAGATGTAAAGGGTGGAAGTAGGAAGTAGGAAATAGGAGAGGGAAGCGAGATGGCTTAAACGTGCGCAGCTCGGAGTCCACCGGCCATTCACTACAGTCACTTCGCCTCAGGCACCTGTGCCAAATATAGCCTACACACATCTACAGTTAAAGCACAGTTCAAGCAATAGGTTTCATTGAAGCCATGATGTCAGCTAGTAGTTCAGTTCTGCAATACAATGGCTTTAGATCGCATCTCCGAGATACATCTCAGTATCTGCATTCTGCCTATTGCTGTCCTTTATGTAATCCCCCAGGGTTGTTATACATCCAGACGCAAACGAGTCCGGCTGTGATACAGTCTCCTCATCAGTCCCAAGCCTTAGCAGCTGGCTAGGTCTCTCCTGAACTCCTTCAAACTAGCCCTTTGTCATGCACCAAATACACACACATAAATGAATCAGATACAAGAAGATTAGAAGGTGCATTGTTCTGGCGTAACAAAGACATAAGTATGAGAAGATCAAGGACATATCTCATATGGCGTTTGCGCATTCTCCTTGCATTCGTCTCCCTAGGACACTGTACTAACCACCCCGGACTTCGCGCACTCCCTACCGGAACTGTCCAGGCCCGAGCATGCCGCGCGGGGCCTCGCCGCCAACTTGGCCGAACATATCCAACAGGTGCCGGGCGGAAGGGGGAGGCACTTGTGGTCCAGGATTGCCCTCAAAAGGACCTTGACCACGGTGGGGAAGCCCCATGAGAGCCTCACCGTTGGGCGGCATGGGTGGGAAACCGGCTGGCGGGGGTCCATTCATGTAGCCTGGAGGAGGCATCATGCCTGGAGGAGGGGGACGCGGGAAGGGTTCACGCTCGTTGAGGGGTGGTGCATTCCCATGCATGGGCATCATGTTCGCCATGTAGCTTGGGTTGACGCCGCGCGTAGGTGTCGGAATACCCGGAGGAGGTGCCAGTGGCGCGGGTCCAGCAGCTTGCTGTGGGGGCATTTGAGGTCCTGGCCATCCAGGGGGAGGCAGATGCTCGAAGCCTGGGGGTCTCTGCATGCCCATAGGAGGATGACCTTGAGCCTGGGGAGCTCTGGTTCCGCCGGGCGTCATAGGGAGTTGCCCGCCCTGAGGGAACGGCATATCCTCGAAATATCCCATGGGCGGCCCATTTGCGGGCCGGCGACGAAGATGATCAGCATCGGGTCTCTGCATGTTTGCTATCGCAGGGTCATCCAAGAAGTTGGGGCCCTTTTGCGGGGTCGGAATGCCTGGAGGGGGAGAAAGAACTTCCGGCATGCTCAACAAACCGGGGGCCGGCCCGACAGGGCCAGCACTCTGGGGCTGGCTCTGGGCACCCTGGTTGGCAACGGGACTAACACGGACCTGCTGCATCAGTCGCAGTAGATGTTCCCGGTCTCGAGCATGTGTCTCCTGGACATAAGGATTAGGCCCAGCGCCTCGAGCAACTGTCTCTTGCATGGCCAGGTACTCCTGCCGCTTGATTTGATCTCGAGCAGGAGATGAAACAGCACTCCGGATCTGTTCGGCCTGTACCTGCGAAGGAGGCCGGTTGTATGCAACAGGGTCATTGTGAGGTGTAGCGTTGCGCGATTTTCCTCCGCCAAGCATCTGCAGGATACGCTGGAAACCTTCCTGATCGGCATCAGTGTTGACGGTGTTCATCGAAGGCGACGACCTGGTCTCTGGATGAGACTCTGGTTCCTTGGCCGGGCTTCCCGGTGGTGGCGAGAAAAGTCCAGCAAAACGCGACGACTTTCCAAGCTTTCCTGGGAGTGGCTCTTTCTTCATTGTCGGTTCCATCATGGGAGGAGGAGCGCTTATCTCCTGAGGTAGGGGAGGCGCCTGGGGTGGCTTGGAATCCCCGAGCAATCCAAAGAACCGCTCCATGGCCGAATCTGACGTGAAGGGAGCACCATTGCTGCTGAAAATCTCACCATCTGTAGGCCTAGGCTCTGGCTTCGGCGCGGGGGCAGGTGCAGGGGTCGTCTCCAAGGGGACCTCCTTTTCCTCGGCTTGAACCTGCGAGGAGCCAGCCTTCATCCTTTCCTTCCAGCGTTCAAAGTCTTCCTGTGTATGCACTCGGCGAGGCTCATCTCGATCAGTCGAATCCATCCACTCAGGATCCTGTTCGAACTTGGCTCCCCGCGTCCAGTCACGATCTGCACCGTGCCGATCTCGACGCCATTCTCTGTTTCGTATCGGAGTCTTCTCCTCTTCCGCTTCAGGTGCGTCGTGAGTATTCTCATCACGAAACCAACTTCCCTCGTGTCTAGCACGTCCGGGTGTGCCGTCCTTCCGTGGGAAGAATCGTGCATCCTTGTCTCTAACTCCTCGGTCATTGTTGGGTTCTCGCTGATCGCGGTTCTCCCACCGATCGAACTCCCCGTTGCGTCTCGGCTTTCGATCCTGTTCTTCGGGGCCGAACGTACGGCGGGGGCGTCCACTGTTCCAATCCTCCCTGTCCCCACGCCGGTTGTTGTTGTTGGTGTTGTTGTTGTTGTTGAATGTCCCTAATTTTCCATCTCGTCGGTCAAAGTCTCTGTCACCAGTCTCCCGGTCCTTGAAGAACTTCTCCCGTAAATTGAACCGGTCGTTCTTCGATTCATCTTGGTCATTAGGCCTTGACGATCGTTCGGTAGCATCTATCGATCCTTTACCGGGTATACGAGATGCCGAAGCAAAAGCAGTTTTAGGGGGTCCGAGAATGATGTCCTCTATAGGTGATCGACGACGTCACGCATCAGTAAGGTCCTCGAGGTTTCAATCCAAGAAAAGAGAACAATGGATATGGGGGTATTCAACATCGTGTGAGAAGCAAAAGTGTGATGGTTATTACCTGAATTGGAATTCCGGGACACATGACGAGTTTCAAACAGACTGGGCCTTCTGGGAGTCGTTTCATGGGGGTTATTGGGGTCTCGAGAGTTTGTAGCTTTCCGTTGGGTAGCTGGATCGGGGATTGGGCTAGCTCGAAGAAATGACTGCATCAGTTTCGGGATATCGCAATAGATTGATAAGGCAAAGGAGCAGGCACGTTGAACTTACCCCATCCATTCTTCTACCGGCGGTAAATTGGTAGGCTTTGTGACCAGAGGCGACGACCGCAGCCATAGCAGCTCATCGATCTGGTACCGTCGCGCCATGAGGATGGCTTGGGTAAGGTGGGTGTGTGGGATGCTATCGGTATGCCGTTACGTCGATCTCATTGGTTGCCGACAGTTCAAGGATGAGAAAAGGTGGAGTGGAATTTATCGCGGGACAGGAAAAGGAAAGAAGGCGAGTAAGGCAGACTGCAAGACACCGAGGCTAGGCTGTGGCTGTAAGAGGTGTGTACTGTGTACTGGGTAGAGGTAGGATGATGAGTGGGCAGCAGGAAGCGAAGCCGCTTGCCAGTGGCAAGGGAAAAGGCGGAGGAGAGAGGAGCTTCGATCGGTCAAAGGTCCAGGAGCGCTCGTTGGGAAGCAGATGAGGGGCACCAGCGGTGCAACAAACCGGGTGGCCTGATTTGCCTGTGTAGAAGGAATCCCAACTGGTCTCGGATAGATCGATAGACAGTAGAGTAAGTGGAAGGAGGACAAAGCTGGTGGGGAACAACAGAAAGGGGGCAAGCAGAAGAGGTGGTGAAGGGGAAGGGGAGTTTGGGCGAAGTTGCGGGCAAAGATGTCGAGGACCGCCGGACCGCAACGAAGTTCAAAACGTGTGCACTGCCCAATGGGGAAAGTCGCCTGTCAGCTTGTCGCCTCGTTCATCTTCACTTCTCCCCCCCATTTCTCATCTGTCGGGATTCTCCTTCTTGCCGCTTTACAATAATCACCTTCCTACGCAGAGGCTTCAGTGACTGTTTACTATTACTATAGTAGTTATTCTTCCCCTGGCCGTCATTCACTGCGAATTCAGTCGTCTATGTTCCCGGAGCAACTCAACCCTCGGTACCGCCAGCAACCACCCCCAACGCAGAGCAGAATCCTTATGTAGTTAAGCCATCACTTGGGATAGATCATATAATACGTCCCATCTCTTAAAATAGCCTGTCTTTCAATGGCGCAGAGATGAGGCCAGTATGTACTCGGCTACAGTGCAAGATCAGATTAACCTATCAGATTTCAAATTCCATCCACGACTGACTAAACAAATCATTACGGATTGTTATATACGCCTGAATCAGATGCCAATTACTTCGCAGCCAAGTACCTAGAATTAAGGCAGCTTCGTCCATGTCCCATCTCCTACGACGGGACGCTAGCCCACGATGTTCTCGACCACTTGCAAAGCGGCTCCTCCACTCCACTTCGAAACCCGATCATTATCCGATGTTTGCTTCAAGGAATCGGCAATGGCCGCAAGAGTCGACGTCTCTTTGCCCTTGACAGCCGGAATCTGACTCTGGATCCAGCTGAGAATACCCGCCCTAGTGACGAGTGTTGTGCTTCCTTGCACTTGAGTCGCACGGTACACTAATTGCAAGATCTTTCTCTTGGCAGAGTAGCCTGCCGAGGGCGACTCGTAGAATGAGAGCGCTCTCTCGAAGACGTTCGCACGGCGGTAAATATCCATATCCTGTATTTTGAATAAGTCACATGTTAACGTAAGGGAAGGAATGACGGTAACCTACAGCTTCAGTGCGAAGACCCTTGATGAGTAAATCAAGAAGCCAGCTAGTCTCGTCGAAATAGCCGTCATCAAGCTCTGGTTCATGCAGTAGGATTTTGTCAATCCAATAGGATGGGATCTTCTCCACCTCCCAGGAAGGAGCTTTTTGTAGGAACTTGTTGACCTTTCCGTACATTTTGTGCATCGGGTCCGTGAGAACAGTCAGGCAACTGGACGCGCACTCCCCTACAATCCACGGTACGGGCGAATCAAGCCCAATCTGCTTGACAGTTTCAAGAAGCTCTCCTGTAAGGATGTAGACTGATCGCCATTCCACATATTTAGATTCCTGCGGGTATGTTAGCTTATCGTTCTACTCTGAATTCACAGAAAAGTACCGGCTCAACGGCTTACCTACCTTGAGTTTGCCCATGAAACGAATAATACTCGTGAATGCTTGCTTCCTCACTTCCTCGTATGCCGAACACAAGCAGAGAACCAGTTCAGCTATCCGGCCTTGCTCAACCGCCACTTCGATGTCTTCCTTCTCCCATCGGTGCAGCTCGTTGTGGGTGGTACTTTCTGTCGGTAAGGTTCCAAAAACCTCCTCCAAGTCTACCTCTTCCTTTTTGGCGGTAGTTGTAGTGTCTTGGGAAGGAGCATCAATGTCCATCTCATGGTCTTCCTCGGCATCTTCAGAATCTTTCAATGCTTTCTTGAAAGCCGACTTCGACTTCTTATTCTCGGCACTCTCCACCAGCTTGTCTCGGGCACTTTTCAGTGCCTTGGCGTTTTCTCCGGCGCGCTTCAAGCTTCCTAGCGTTTGAGCAATCCAAGCAACCACCGCACTCTCGACAGCTGCGTCTCCAGACTTGACAACAAATGGCCACTGTTCGATTACTGCAGCTACCAGGGGGCTGACCGGGCTGGAAAAGCCCTCAAACAAGGAGTCAACGAGGTCTTGGTAGTGAACCGGTTTCTTTGCAATACGGCAGGCGCAATTATCAAAGAACGATAGTTGGCGCTGGAGTTTCTCCGAGTCTGAAATTTCGAAGCTAGAAAGAATCGCAGGAAACGAGGAGGGGTTCTGCAGGACAGAGTACTCGGTGAGGACCGTCCGCAGCAGCTGGTCGATCTCACGCAGGGAGTATCTTGATGCTGTTTCCACCAGCACCTTTAGGATTGACGTAAAAGCAGAATACTGCATAGACCCTGGTTGTTGCCACCAACGCATAGAAGTAGAGTGTTGTACAATCCTCATGATGTTTTGCAGTTGGCTCAGCACTGACTCGGTATCATCCTCGTCCAGCTTTCCTTCATCCAATCGCTTCAATATGTCAACCAAAATGAGTGACACGTCGAGTCCTTCCTCGAACGCGGCGTCTGGTACTACCTCGTAAAACGAAGCGAGAAGCTCTGAGACAGCATCCTGCTGCTGGAAGTCCTCCTTGTCCGTTCGCTTGAAGAGCAGAATGACTTCCTTTACTCCAGGGCACCGGCGACTAAACTCAGCAACCAGCTTGCTTGCCGCCTGTGTCCACAAGGGTTGACTGACCCCATGATCGCCGTTGAAGATCTTCAGAACAGCCCGCAGTTTGTTGAAAGCAATTGTAAGAATTCGGACGGCAAACAATGTTACGATCTCGGCATTCATGTTCAAGCAGCGGGTAAGTATCTTCTGAGTCAGAGGGCGGGGAAGTACATTCTCAATGACCACGGAAACGGGCGGAGGTGTCGGAGGTAACTTGTCTTTCCAACCACAGTTCACAGGCACGGGTAGCTGTACGGAGGAGAAGAGAAGCGCAGACTCAGCCATCCAGGATGGTGTCGGCTTCGGGTCCGCAGTAAACATGCTTTTCTTCGTGAAGAAATCGGCAACTAGCTCCGGGGCCGCCTTGAAAATGGCCACTAACAGCTCAATCTGGAGACTGTCGGTATCCGGACGAAGGGTCTGGATCAGATAGGACAATGTTCCATTGCGAACAGGTACAGACTGGCTGTACTTGTCGACATGAAGAGCAGAATCGAGTCCCAGATCAATCAACGTCTCATCATCCGTGGGAAGCGCCTCAGGATCACTTCCATGGGGGTACCAACCAGACTCTGGAAGCAAGACTCCAAGTTCGGTGTTCGTACAGACGTTCATCAAGATCTTGTGGATTTCGTCTGTAGTGGAAACATTCGCCGGATTGGGCTCCTCTGACTCACGGTCGTAGCCGTAGAGTGTGACGAGTCGCTCCAGGTTCCATCGATTGAAGAACTTGCTTTTTGCGATGCGGGAAATCGAAGCATCCTGAATAATGTCTTTGTCAATACACCTGATAGTCTCCAGAACGATATCTCTCGCGTCTTTCCTAATGTACTCAAAGAACGCTCTAATAACTTTATGTTGTTCGATGATATCACTCTTTCCATTTGATTGCAAGAATCGCAGATTTGCAAGGACGTATTTCTGAGCATTCCTGCGCAGTGTAGGTTTGGAACTTTCCTCCGATATTTCTTCCAGCTGAGCTTTGTTTGGGGTAAGAAAGACTTCGATGCGCTTGAATGTGATATATCGCGCGGCATGGACGTGGCGCGCAACAGCTCCACCATCGAAGCTGACCATCTCCGTGAGGAGACGGAGACAGGGAGAAATCAAATGCTCTTTTGATTTGAGAGCTGTCAGGCCACGATTGAACAGTCTCAGCTGTTCTTTCTGAAGGAGGTACTTGCATAGTGCCACTCCGAAATCCCGAAAGTCCAGATTACTAGACACCGTCTTGAGAAACTGAGCTAGGACAGATGGCACAACAGTCAGTAACGACTCGTTGTTGTTGCTATCCGCAAAGCCCCAAGTCTGGACCAGATCGGTGAAGCAGACCGCTTCGTTCTCGTTTACCCGTGAGAATTGCGAATCACAGTATGCTTTGAGGATGCGGAACTTTTTGGCCTTTTCAGCCTCATCCTCAGACTGCCCAATGGACGTGAGAAAGTCCTTGAACTTTCTTATACCTGTTTTAATGAGTATTGGAGCATCCTGGGTGGCTTTTTAAGGTGTTACTTACCTTGCTTGGATTCATTGGGATTCTGTTGGAAAGCCAAGGAAGAGCGAAGCTGCGTGTGCGAAGATATGGTGGCAGTAGCATCGACATCCTGGCCATTGTCCAGCTTTCTCCTCTTATTGCGGAGCTGGCCCTCGTGGGAAGACATTTTGAGCTAATGCAGATGCTCGTGTTATGCAAAAGGCCGGGGACTGGACCTCGACGAGGATTAGTAGTAGGCCGGCAGGAACTTCGCCCGATTCAGACCTTCAGAGTTTTGCGACTTCTGAATTGGCCTTTGATTAGTGCCACTACGGCGAACTTAAAATGGACAAGTCTGTCCAGTAAGCAAGAGTATTCTTAGAGAATAGGGTAAATATATATTATAGAAGAAAGATAAACGTTAGTGGAAGAAGACGTTGCGACAAGAGGCTTGCCGGTAGACTTCTGGAAAGTCCTGCGCAGATGAATTGATCCACTGCTGTGGATGTATCTGGCCTCCCATTGGTCGGATCAGGGTCTGGTCCAGACAGCACGACGATTCAGATTAACACTTGGAGACGACTTACTAGTAATGAAAGAGGCTAGCAGGGTCTTATGCTTCCAGGAATCTGTGGGAAACACGGTTCCATCACTCCTGGTATAAGTCTTAATCTTATCACGATTGTTCCATCCATGACGGTGTAACTGCCGAGCCACTTTTCATCTATCCGTTAATCATGTTACGCATTGTTATACCCAAGGGTGAAAGAGCAATACATCAACCAGCTTCTATGGCTCAGTTGGTAGAGCGCATGACTAGTAATCATGAGGTCCGCGGTTCGAATCCGCGTGGAAGCATTTTTTGCCCTTTCGCTTTTTGCCATCCATATCATCCGGTTTAGGCTCAACCAACGATTAATTGCTGTTCATTCCGTTCATCTTAATAAAATTCTTGGAAAGCAACCCTATGCTCATCATTTGTTCTATAACATAGAAGCACTCTTGAAGAAGCTAGTGTAGTTGGCGGTCCACACCCACTCACCACTTAATGAACCAAGGAACTTCGAACGTCCAAACTATATATTCAGCTCAGACAACCCCATCAATTTACCCAGAACCAGGCATCCACATCCTCAACCCAGTTTCACCAACACAACTGAACTTACCTACCATCATTCTAATCCCCAACCCTGCACGCGTTCACAAGAAAAATGTAGATCACTGCAACCTCACAACCTAATCACATCTTCAAGACCAGTAGCTACGGAGTATCGTGCGCTGACTTCCCGATTTGTACACCCTTACTTTCTTGAACTGACTTATTACCCAGAAGTATACCAAACCAACCTAGTGCATGAATCCTAACTCTCAAGGGGTCTATTGCGGATACCACAAGTAGTGGCAATTGGCTACCGTCTATCATAACTATTATTTCTCTGAGTCCCCTCCCCTTCCCTAGACCCCATAACCATCCCCCATACCAGTAGATCTACTACCCCTACCACCACCCTTCAGCCCAAATCAAAAACAAACACTCCCTATACCACTGGCATCCACGATGTCCCCCACCCCCATCACCAAATCCTCCCTTATCGGCGCCTGGACCCTCGTCTCCTACATCGCCGAGCCCCCCAATCCCCAAGACGATGACTCTCCTACCCACTACCCCATGGGCCCGGACGCACGCGGCACCCTCGTCTATACCCCAGACGGCCAAGTGACCGTGAGCGTGCTGCCAAAAGTTACCAAGAAGGCGTGGGAGAATTCCAATGACGGCGTCATGTACGCGGGCCGGTACTGGATTGAATATAGCAATGGCAGTGAATGTGATAATGATGGGGATAAAAGGCAGCAGCCTGGTGGCGTTCCGGTTGTACACCATGAGGTTGACATGGCATATTCGGCGGAGTTCGCGGGGTCGCAGAAGCGGGAGGCTATGATTTCTCCGGAGGGGAGGTTGAGGTTGTCCGGGTTGAAATTGTTCGAGGTAGGGATGGTGAGTGTAATCTTTTCTTTGGGAGGTGATGGTTGTTGCTGATGGTGTTTGGGGTGGTGGTAGGAGCAGAAGATGAAGCCGGTGTTGGTGTGGGAGAGGGTGAACCGGTTTTGATGATGTGATGTGGTGAAGGTGAATTAAGGGTTATTAACAGAGAGAGGGAAAGAATGAGCTGGCTGCTGGGAGTCAAAGCACTGATGCGTGATCTTTAAGGCACCAGAATCAAATCCGTAAGCAACAATCAGTCTATTCGATACATTCACAAATATCTCATTAGAATACATCTCTAGCCCAAGAGTGAAAAAAGCGAGCCATCTGGCGTCGCATCAAGATTCGTAAGGGGTATGTTTTAAACTACCATATATATGCCCGAAGAATGGTATTAAAAGGGAAAGAAAAATGCCAAAGCAAGAGGAGTGGAATAGGTAGCCATGAAAATTCCGAAGATCAACCCCAGGTACCACCACCTCCACCACGACCCTGCCGTCTCTGTGCGGATAGACGCCAATCATCCTCGCCGGCAAAGCGGTTGTGGAGAGGCTGAATCCGCTCGGCCTTCTTACGTTTCGACAGACGATCAGTGGGTGCCACCTTGAAGAAAGTCGGAGCGGCCTCAACAAGCCACTTGGGCTCGATGGAAGTTGTGCAGTGCATGTACTCCTTCGTCGTAAGAACAAGAGTATGGTAGATGACATGCTCGGAGGGTTTGCCAAACAGTGCCGAACTGGGATGCATGTAAACCGGTGTGCCCTCGACAAGAGTCTTGTACCCTTCCTGAGGGTCCTTGCGAGCTGCATTTCGGAAGAACCCCGTACAAAGTGCCTGGCGTACTTTGAGGGTGTTTCTTCCGCAGGAGACGATCTTGTGGTGGTAGCGATCCATGATACCAAGCAGCTGCTGACGGACGTCCTGCGCACGGCGAATCTGACGTGCCTGGATGAAGTTCTCAAAGCACCAGGCATTGTTGAAGTTGGAGTGTTTCCATCCGTTATAGACGTTGAGAAGGGTCAAATGGTCGCCATGGGGATCGTGGAACTTGGCCTTCTTCTGATCCGCTTGCTGCTGCTTTTCCTTGGGACGGTAGAAGACCGACTGAATGGAAAGCATGGCCACAATGCTCAGCATCTCCTCCGAGCATCCCATGTCGACCGATGCGATGAGAACCTTGGCGAGGGCCGGCTCCATTGGGAAGTCTGCCATCTTTCTGCCCAAGCGAGTCAAAAGACCCTCGTCATCTAAAGCCGACAGTGCATACAGTTCCTCCAAGGCAGTAAGCATAGTATTCGTTGGCGGAGGATCCATGAAGTCGAAGTGCAGCAAATCGTTGATGCCCATCGCCTTGAGCATGAGGATAGTGTGTGAAAGGTTCTGACGTTGGATTTCGGGGATCGTGGTTGGCAACATCTCTGACTGGTATGCGGCTTCAGTGTACAACCGGAAGCATTTTCCGGGACCGGTTCTTCCTGCACGGCCAGCACGTTGCTTCGCCTGGGCCTGCGAAATTGGCGTGACTACCAAAGAGTCCATACCCAGCTTGGGATCGTAGGCGTTCTGCTTGACGAAACCAGGATCGATGACGTAGTAGATATTATCAATGGTAATGGACGTCTCAGCAATGTTTGTGGCGATGACAACCTTCCTACCTCCTGGCGGCGCAGGCTCAAAAATCCTACTTTGCATTTCACTCGGAAGAGCAGAGTAGACAGGAAGAATGACCAACTCCGGTACTGTTGACCCTAAAGCCTTCATCCGTTCGTATAGAATCTCGCAGGCAGTATCGATTTCTTCTTGTCCTGTCAAGAAGAGCAGTATATCACCCGAGGGCTCCGTCAGGTGAATTTGCATAACTGTGATGAGAGCCGCATCAAGATAGTCGGACTCGGGCTCCTTCGAGTACATGATCTCGACAGGGAACGTACGACCAGGAATGGAGAAGATAGGGCAACCGTTGAAGTACTCGGAGAACTTCTCAGCATCCAGAGTAGCCGAAGTAACAATGAGTCTGAGGTCCGGTCTTCGCTTGATGGTCTTCTTGAGCAGTCCGAAGAGAACATCCGTGGCGATGGTTCGTTCGTGAGCTTCGTCAAGCATAATAACAGAGTACTTCTTCAAATCCGGGTCAAGAAGGACTTCTCTTTGAAGCATACCATCAGTCATGTACTTGATCTTGGTATCAGGACTCGTGCAATCTTCGAAACGAATCGTGTATCCAACCTCCGCGCCGAGTTTACAGCCGACTTCTTCCGCCACACGTTTGGCAACAGACATGGCTGCCACACGACGAGGCTGCGTACAACCGATGATACCGTTGTTTGCATAGCCTCCCTCAGCCAGGTACTGCGTTACCTGCGTCGTCTTTCCGGACCCAGTATCTCCGACAACAATCAACAACTGATTGTCGCGTACAGCATCGAGAAGTTGCTTGCGGAACTTGTAGACAGGCAGACTTTCACGCTGCTGTTTGATGGACATGCTGGTCCGCTTTCCGAAGGACTGGTTCTTGCCCATCGTGACCCGTTTCCACTCGGGAACCGAGTCGTCCGGCTTGGACTGCTGGGTACTCCGCAGATCAGCTGCGAATTTCCGCTCTTCAGGCGCAACCATGGGGTCCTGCCACTGCGCGTTGAGGTCGACCGCCGCAGCTTGCTCAGCTGCTTTGTCCTGAGCTTCCTGCTGCCTGATATCTCGTCGCTCCTTGGCCAGATTAGTTCCTGCCATCGCAGCCCGGTTCATAGAGCCATCGGGAGCCTTCACGACCCTAATCGGAGAGAGTTCCAGAGACATCTTAGTCTGACCAGCCAGGAAAGGCGGTTCCTCATCCCTGACTTCAATGTCGACATCCTCCTCTTCCTCAAACGTGCCTTCGCCTGTCAAGGTGGCATGGTATTCCTCATCGATGTCAGGATAATCTGCTGCGGAGACAGCGCCGGATGCAATTAATTGCTTGATCTCCCATCTCTCAGGAGAGGTCATGCGCTTCCTATTTTTCATAGGCTTTCCATCCGACTCTTCAATAACCGGCACCTCCGAACTCAGGTTACCATATCTGTCCTTTCCGGTCATGCCGTCAAGACGCTCCATATTTGCGCCGGACGCCAGACGCCGTTGAGGGATCAGATCAAGACCAGTAACCTGATCCACCTCCTTCATCGACAGCCCAATTCGAGAGCCTTGAATGCTAACCACCTTGACCTTAACCGGCTGGCCGCGAGATACCAAATCGGAAGGATGATTAACACGCGCTCCTTCCTGCATGGCCGAAACATGTACCAAGCCATCCACCTTGCCTTTCACACCAAGCAAGTTCACAAAGGCGCCAAAGTCCTTCACTCCCGTGACACGACCATCGTAGACCTTGTATAGCACCGGCTGATCATCCAACTCCACAGGCGGCGGTTTCCGGAAATACTCGCCATCCTCATCGCGGTCCCGACGACTCTTCCGCTCACTGTGTCCATTGCGATAATCATCCCTGCTGCTGTATTTACTCTTTGACCGGCCAAATTCATCCACCTCATCATCACCACCCTTCCTGCTATATCGAGGACTGTGCGATCGCGACCGAGACCGGTACCTATCATGACGTCTGCGTCCACGTCGGTGATCATCGTAATCGGGGCTTCTGCTGCGCTTCCTAGTACTACCGCGGTCATTTCTTGACGATGACTGTAGCGCCGGGGCAGGTTTCTCCTGACGTGCTTTACCCGCCAATCCCTCCAGCATAGCAAACGTATCATCCATAGCATCAGCCTTCGCATCGCCCTCCTCGACATCCTCCTCATCCCACTGCTGAACCTTATCCGGCACGGCCAATCCCTTGAACACACGCGCTTTCTTCTCTAAAGCATCCAGAACATCCATATCATCATCACCGGCCGAGGTATTCGTCGTTTCCGTCTTCTTCGACTTATACTTCGGATGCATTGTGAGCACCAGACGATCAATACTCTCCAGCAAACTCCGAGGGAACTCCGCGCCCATCTCCTCCATGCTCTTGCTGAAATCCGCAAATGAGCCGCATTTTAGGTGCTGGTCGATGACGAATTCCGCCAATGTTTTGTCGTTGACGCCGAGATGGTTCTGGATTTCGCTCGTGATCCGCGACACGAGCGAAAAGAGCTCCAGCGACTGGAGGTCGTCCATGGCGGATGGAGGGTATTGTGGTTGTGTTCGGCTCTGGAGATGTGAGGTGGTATGGATGGATGATTGGACTAAAGGTCAGGGTATGTCGCGAGAGAGTGCAAAACACTCCTCTTGTCGCAAAGTGAGGACTGCGTCTTCTCTCCGCGGTTCTGGAACCGGCAAAGCTCACTGGCGCGGAAAATCGTTGTGGCGTTTTCGGGAAATCCGCCACCGATAAGATAAGCAGCTCTAGTTATCTACTCTTACGCTGAGTATAACACTAGTGTGTATTTCTAGGGATAAATTGCAAGTAATATGGTATTATCATAAGTCTATGCAATTATATTCATGTCGTACCATGTGTGATGTGCTTAATGATGGAGAGGACGTCGTGGCGTCTTCTGGAGTCGAGTTTTGAATTATGTACATGATCATCTCAACAAAACAAAGTATATTACATGTGCGTATATGGTATCTATGCAGCGCGCGCTTGGGGAGCTTCTCCAGACTCTTCAGGCCGCTCTTGCAGCTGCTCTTCCATCTGCTCTTCGTCAGCGGACAGATCAACGGCGGCAGTTTCATCTTCAGTGCCATATGAGTCAACATCTGCGTCGGCGAGCAGCCGTTTCTGCTCCTGAATCTGCTTCTGCAGCGCAATCTGACGTCGAAGAGAGGCATCCTTTCTGAGTTTCTTGTTGGCCGAAAATTCGGTCAATGCTCGAACCATCCTCTCCTCCACCAGCTGCTTGACATGGGACGCCAATGTTCTGTCCGTGAAAACTCCGCCACACCGGTAACTGAGCCACAGATACAAGATGACCGATTTGTGCAAGGTCTCTAGCTCGTTAAGGTACTCCTTGTTACCGGACACCGGCTCTTCCAAGATCTCAAGGTTGAGCGCCTGGATGTCTAACAGACGACCATCGGAATGCTCTGCGACGCATTGAATAAAAGCAATGGCAGCGTCGCGGCCTGCGATGAGCCTGGTGTGCATAGGCGAGGCCATGAATGTAAGCTGGTCTGCCGTCCGCAATCCATCGACAGTATCAATGACCTCGGCGTTCTCCAGCTGGTTGCGAGGATCACACAAGAAAAACAGCGGGTGGACCTGAGAAACCACCATCAAGCGCTTGATCAAGTATTCTAGTGGAACATTGCTCGGGAAGTATGCTGCAACTTTCTGGTAGACGGAGTCGGGAGGGAGGATACCGGCTGACACGAGCGGTGGGGGTTCGCTCTCCATTGCCTCGCGAATATAAGGTAAATCAATATCTTCCAAAGAAGTCACATAGCCGACGTTGGTGTCGTCCTCGGAGCTGCTTCCATTCTCCTGCTGTTGCGCGGCAGACCGATACCGTCCAGCGCGTCCACCGATCTGCTTGATCTCAGGCACGCTAAGTCTCTGAAGGCCTCCGGGAACCCGTTTGATCAACGTTTCGAAGATGATGCGCTTGCAGCTCCTGCTACAATTAGACACGATACAATGACGATAAGTAGAAGGCAACTCACAAATTCAAACCCATACCGATGGCGTCACTAGCAACGAGAAAGTCGTAGTCATTGTCGGGGTCGTTGAACAGACTGGCTTGCTGGGTCCGGATTTCAGCCGGCAGACTGCCGTAGACGATAGCTGCCCGCTTTCCAGTAGTCTTCTCAATGTCTGCTTTCAATGCGTGGATACCGACGCGAGAGAATGACACCAAACAATCTCCCTTTTGAAGATTCTTCAGGTCACCTTTGAGACTGCGGTTCTGAACTTTCAACGGATTTAGTCGCTCATACCGATGGATCTCGAGCTTGTCGCCAGTCAAGGCAGCCAATTCTTTGATCAAGGGCACAGCTCTGACTTCACCGCAGAGATGAAGTTCCGTGGCACGCGCACCGAGCACGGCACGAGTCCAAGCCCACCCACGGTGAGGGTCTGCAATCATTTGGATCTCGTCAACAACACCGACCTCATATTGATCTCCCAAACTAACCATCTCAACGGTGTTGCTAACAATTCTGGAGGGCTTTCCATCTTCCGGGATCTTGACATCGTCACCAGTGATGAGGCTGCAGGAGGTTCCATTCGCTTGGAAGCGATGAAAAACCTCCTGTGCCAGCAACCTCAAGGGCCCAGCGTAAAAGCCGCGCTTCGATGCTTCCAAACGCTTGAGCGCGTGATACGTCTTTCCCGAATTGGTCGGTCCCACGTGCAGATGAATTGTTCGCTGCAAAGCGCGAGCTTGTGGATACCACTCGGCCGGGCGTCGCAAATCCGCCACTTTCTTCTGTGCTTCGAGATTGGGGGCTGAGTATCTCGACGTGACATCCTCTGCGTACATGTGGAACTCCAATTCGTTAATCAGACCGCGAACGCCATTTTGGAGGTAAGATCTATGCAGCGCATCCTTGATATGGCGTAACGGACCAACGCTTTTTCGCTCGTCCATTTTACATGCGTTCAGCATGGTTCGTTCAAACCGGGACCAATTAGCCAAAGCCGGATCATCTTTATCTGTGAGATTTTGCCGGTAGATGCTCAAAGCGTGTGTTACAACGCCCGCGAAATCTTTGGCTGCAAGCGTTTGTCGGGTGTTCCTTCTCGATGTGTAGGCCGGGGGAGCAGATCTTTTGGTAGACTATAAGTAGGTCAAAAGTCAGCCATTTGAAACTAAGAAATAATCGGCAAGTTATGGGGTAGGGCGATGAATATGTACAGTAGCTTCCTCGACTTTCTTTTCAAGGCTTTGTAAATGGCGCTGTTTCTTGGAAGGCCTCCCGGATCTCTGCAGCACCGGAGATGTCACAAATGTCCTGACGGGACGTGACACCGACTGGAAGGTGCAGAAGAGGCAATAGTTGCCTCTGCGACTCCATGACTGCATCCCACCGAGCTGTGCCGGGAGCAATGTCAGCTCGAACGATCGCCGTTGCTGTCAAGCTGCGGAGCGGGTTTTGCGGAGATCGGGGAAGTACTTAAGAACTGCTGGAGGCACGAAAAGAAGGAAACGAGGGACTGATTTGAAAAATCCAAAAGGAAACGATACAAGTAACCCCTGACCAGTCAGAGACCAATCACCACATCGTCCTGCAGCCGCGCGCGAGGGAGGAATAGTCGATGAGAACCAAGGATACTATCTGGATGGCAATCATTTGCCATCGGCTTTTTCTCGCGGCCTGGGTGCCTGGGTGCCTCATTGCCTCATTGCCTGCAGCTGGCGATCGCCGCCGACTAACCGGAAAAGGAAGGGAAGGGGCCACACCGCCTGGCGGATCGGGAGATTAGACAGGAAGAATGATGCTTTTGACCCGCTGGGGAGGAAGAGCAGAAAGAGGGTCTCTTCTTGTCTCAGTCTCCAGTCTCGGGGATATCCTGAGTCCCGACTTACGTTTCAAAAAGAAAGCCTGCCCGCATCGCTGGTGTCCATCTCGGCTGCCCCTGAGTATTATTCTCCATTGCTTCCCCCCCTCCATTGCTGGCTCTGGCTGTGCCTTATCTTCCGGTTCCCTCCCGACCGCTCCCCCGTCATTCCCCTCCCCAGCAATCGTGAAGTCTAGTGTCTATGCCCCCGTGAGGGCTGCCGGTCAGCCACAATGAGCACCTCAATCCTCAACATCCAGCGTGATCGTGAGTACTTTATCTTTCTTATACATATAAGCTATTCAAGTATTAACTACTTATCCGCTAGTAATTTTGAACACGATCCGTTATGCGGCGGGTAATGAGGTGCGATTGCTTTCCCTCCCCTTCTCCTTTACCGTGGATTTGGCCCCCGCCTCGTTTCACCCCGCCGCAGAACTAACGTTTTTGTCTACAGTGGAAGGTTTTGGTGGTGGACGAGACCAGTCGCAAGCTAATCGACAATGCTGTCAGTGAGGATGATATCCTCAACCTCAATGTCACCAGTAAGTTCCCCTCGGTTTATTCCTCGTCGTCCCGGTGCGGCGCTAATGGCCTCCCGCAAGATGTTGAACAGATCGAGCATCGGCGCTCCCCCAATCCTACGATGGATGCGCTGTATATCCTCTCGCCCCTTCCACACATTGTCGACTGTATTATGGCGGATTTTGAGAGGAAGAGATACCGGAAAGCGTGGTTGGTTTGGACATCATGTCGGGCGCCTGCTTCCTCAATGGCCGCTTGGTGCTGACGTCGCTCGCAGTTCTCGACCCGGAGCAGCGCGCTAGATTGGATCGTTCCCAGCTGGCTCGCGACCAGATTGCCAATGTTCAGATCATGAATGCCGACTACTTCCCCAGGGAATCGCGCCTGATTACCTTTCGAGATCCGTGGAGCTTTCCGGTGTTGTTCCACCCTGGTTGTAATCATCTGATCCGCGCGCACTTGGAGGGGTTGGCACAGAAGGTGAGCTAGGCTACCTGTGCAGATTGAGCTGGTATTGACGGGACAGATTGTGTCGCTTTGTGCGAGCTTAGGAGAATACCCAGTGATCCGGTACTACCGCCCCCGGGCCCCGACACACGAGGCCAGCGTACTGTGTTCACATTTGGCGCGGTTCATTCAAAATGAGCTGGACCAGTTTGCGCAATTCCAGCGCGACTTTCCGCCCCCGTCCCCCAGACCGCGCGGAGTGCTGTTGATCGTGGATCGGTCTATGGACCTGATCGCGCCCCTGCTACATGAGTTTACGTATCAGTCCATGGTGCACGATCTGCTCCCTATCAGCGATGGCGACAAGGTCACGTATAAGACCGTCATCAACGAGGGAAGCCACAACGAGGAGCTCAAGGATATGGAGATCAACGAAGAAGACAACGTGTGGGTGGAGTATCGCCACATGCATATGAAGGACGTGCTCGGCAAGCTGGGTGAAGACTTTGCCAAGTTCCGAGCTGCGAACCCTCAGTTTGCGGAAGAGTGAGTGACGGCACATTTGATCGTTTCGACCCCTTACTAACGGCGCTGCAGCAATAACAAAGCGAACGTGAACACTATCAAGGACATGCTGGCGGGTCTGACAGAGTTTCAAAAGGGAAGAGATGCTTATACACTGCATCTTAACATGGCGCAAGAGTGTATGAGTTACTTCCAGAAACACAAGCTCCTCGAAGTAAGCTCGGTTGAACAATGCTTCGCCACCGGCATGGACGAGAACTACAAGAAGGCAAAGAACCTGGCTTCCCAGCTCGTGCAATTGCTAGACGACGATGCGATCAAGCAGCCAGAGAGACTGAGACTCTTACTGCTCTATATTATTTACCGGGGAGGTATCCTCGCGGGTGACATCCGGAAGCTTTTGGCACACGCGCAACTTGCACCGCAGGACGGTGAAATTGTGGCCAATCTCGACCTACTTGGAGCCCGTGTGGAGAAGCCATTGAAGGACGACAAGCCACCCGTGCAGCCGCTGTTCACCAGGAAGCCACCGTCCGGGCCCATTGACGAAGAGGAAAGCCTCTCGCGCTACGACCTGAACCTCAAGTTGATCTTGGAGGAGCTGGTGCGGGGCACGCTGGACCCCAGCGTCTTCCCGTTCACGCGGCCGCACACGGATACCGACACGCCAGGACAACAGGAGGGTCTCTCCCAGGCGTCGCTGCGCAGTGCCAAACCGACGTGGGCCCGGACGCGGTCGACAGGCGAGCAGCCGAAACAGCGGATCATCGTGTTCATGGCAGGTGGTGCTACATATGGAGAGGCACGTACATGCTACGAGATCTCGCAGACGTGCGGCAAGGACGTGTTTCTGGCTACATCGCACATGCTGTCTCCCGGATTGTTCCTGCGCCAGGTGGGCGATCTTAGTGTAGACCGACGCCGGCTGGACATCCCCGCCGAACGGCCCAAGCCCACAGCGCCGGCGCATCTCTTCGAGCGGGAAGCTCCACCGGCGCCGGCACAGCCGGTGAAGAAGCCGGTCCCGGTTAATCTGAAGCCGATGGCACCGACATCCGCGCTGGCGACGATGTCACTGGGGACGAACGGCAAAGCGGCGAACGGAGCAGCGCCGCCGGAGAAGGAGAAGGACAAGAAGGAGAAGAAAGAGAAGAAGGAAAAGAAGCACCGGTTTTTCCGGTAGCCTTGTCATTCTTTCAGCTTCAGCCTCATCCCGCAGCACCTTACTGCGGACATTAATACTAGCCTCTAGTATCTTCTGTGTATGTAGTGACTATGTAAGTACCATGCAGACAGACAAGAACCCTAATACTTATTCAACTCCTGGGTATATACCAAACCAATCAACGCCCCCATAAAAACCAAATACATAAAATACTCATTTCCCACCCAAATACCTCAACACATCCTCATCCCGAAAAAACAACTCCCGCAACCTCTCCCCCTTCTTCCTCTCCTCCAGCTGCCCCCTCCTCACCTCCTTCGCATTCAACACCTTGGCCTTCTGCTTCTTCTGTACCCTCCCACTCTTATCCTTAACCTCAGGAACAACAGCCCCCAACCCCACCGTATCCTCCTTCACCTTGCCCTTCACCGGCTCCCGTATTCCCTCTCGACCCTGGGGTCCCAATCCCACCCGCGAATCAGGATCCCAGCCGTAGGCAGCCAAGTAGCGCAGTCCAGGACGTGTGCGGTCTAGATGGGACGGTGGGTGCGAGTGCGGGAGACTAAGTTGGTGCGGGAGGGTAGCTTCATGTATATGCCTCCTCCTCCTGCTCCTTTCTTCTCCTTCTCCATTGTCTGTTGTTGTTTCTGATGTGTGGTGGGTAGGTGTAGTATAGGGGAGATTGCAGACGGGGCAGATGTCATCATCATCATCTTCTTTCTGTGGATGCGAAATTGGTTCTGATTCCGGTGTCGGAGTAGCGGGATTCGACTTCGAAAGGACAATCGAGAGGTATTTATTCGCTATGCTTTGCCCGGTCGAGGCGGGTGTAGCTGGTTCGGAGGATATGTGTGTTGTAGAATCAGTGGTAGAGAGGTGGTGCTCCGAGGAGCGCACGAAAGGCACGCGCTTGCGACGGATCCCTGCGCCGAAGACTCGTTGGTCTTCCAGCGGGAGGAAGTATTCATCATCATCATCGTTGTTGTTGTTTTCTTCGTTGTTGTTTTGGTGAGGGGGTGGCATTGTCCTCTCAATACTGTAATTTGTTGTGATGTAAGGAGGAAGAAGAAGGAAGAAGAAGAGAGGGGGGTAAAGTGCTTAATGGCAGCTATGAGTGGCGGGAGATCAGCCGCTAAGATATATGTACTTACCTCCGACGGTGGTTCTCGAACTTAACTCCGTCCGGACGAAGACAGATATATCTGTCTTAGTCTCCTCCGCTCTCTCTCTCCCCCTCCCCTTTCACCACATATATCAATCTCTCAAAAGCACAATGCCCATCCCCATCATCACCACAGCAATAACAGAGGGCACGAACTCCATCCCGCACCTATGGACAGTTCTCAAAATCCTCCCCTGGGCGGTCCTCCTCGCCGCCCTGAAATATTATTTCGGGGGCGCCAGAAATACCTCTGAGCGGTTGATGCATTCGAAAGTCGTTATGATAACTGTACTTACCACCCACAATTCCCCTTCTCCCCGCAAACCTCAATACTAATATATAATTTTCACTTGGAAATAGGGCGGCACATCCGGCATCGGCGCGCAAGTAACCTCCGCCCTGGCCTCGCGCGGCGCCCAAATCATCCTCCTAACACAGCACCCCCCCACGGACATCTTCCTGGCCGAATACATCGAGGACCTCCGCCGCAGCACCAACAACCAACTAATCTACGCCGAGCAAGTCGATCTCTCGTCTCTGCACTCCATCCGCACCTTCGCGACGAAATGGATCGACAATGTGGCGCCGCGACGCCTGGACATGGTGATTCTCTGCGGGAATGCGGCGCCGCCTGTATCCCAGAAACGGAAGTTGACCGTGGATGGCATCGACGAGGAGTGGATGGTGAATTACCTGGCGAATTTCCATCTGTTGAGTATCCTGTCTCCGGCGTTGCGGGCGCAGCCGGCGCATCGGGATGTGAGGGTTGTGTTTACGACGTGCTCGAGTTATATTGGGGCTAAATGGGATCTGAGGCAGGTGGAGGCTTCTGCTGCCATTACTGCTGCTGCTGCTGCGAATGCGGAGGGGGATAATGGTGACGGGAGAAGGGTGGTGATGAAGAACGGCAAGCTACAACGGGAGAAGCCCAAGAGTAAGAAGAAGAAGACTAAGGGAGTCAGTTTGTATGGGCTGAGCAAGCTCTCGCTTATGGTGTTTGCGCAATCGTTCCAGAAACATCTGAATTCGTTTAAGCGGCCGGATGGACAGCCGTGCAGTGCGCGGGTGATTATGGTGGATCCGGGGTTTAGTCGCACTCCGGGGATGAGACGGTGGATGACGGGGGGATCGTTGTGGGGATTGTTGGTGTATCTGGTGACATGGCCGGTGTGGTGGTTGGTGTTGAAGTCGCCGCAGCAGGGGGCGCAGAGTGTGCTGTATGCGGCGATGGAGGCGGAGTATGGGCGTGGTGAGGGGGGTTGGATGATTAAGGAGTGCAAGGAAGTGGATTTGGCAAGGAAGGAGGTGAAGGATGAGGAGGCCGGGAAGATGCTGTGGGAGTTTAGTGAGAAGTTGATTGAGGCTAAAGAGAGGGAGTCCGCGGTGCGGAGGGCGTTGGCGAATAAGGAGAAGGAGGTGGCAGAGGAGAATGAGAAGAATAAGGCATCGGGGTCGGGGGCGAAGGAACAGACGCCGGGGTCGAGGAGGAGTCGGAAGGGGAAATAGTTGTATAAAGATTTCTTTAGTCTAGATTCATGGCTTGGGTTGGGTTGGGTTGTACATTATCACACATTGAAATTGATAGAGCTACGTGATCCAAGGTCTATCCTATCGCTGCATATTGCATGGCGAAATCAGTTACATCAACATCAAAGCTCTGCTTTCTAGATACAACAAGAGGGGAAAAAAAGGAAATTCGTCATCCAATTAGCAAGTCCAATCGTGTCTCTATCGATTTTCCTGGCAAAACAAAGAAGAAATTCTAAACATATGCGGGGTCATTATTTATTTCTGCAGCTTCTCCAGCAGCTCGGCCGGGGGCTGTTGGCGGTAACCCTGGGGGTTGTTGCGGGTCCACAGCCAGAGGTCCTCACAGGCCTGCTCGAGGGTGCGCTCAGCCTTCCAGCCCAGCTCGTTGTTGGCGCGCGTGGGGTTGGAGGTCAGGTTGAGGACGTCACCAGCACGGCGGGGAGCAACCTCGTAGGGGAGGTCACGGCCCACGGCCGCCGAGAAGGCACGGATCATCTCGTAGACAGTGCTGCCCTTGCCGGTACCCAAGTTCCAAGCACGGACTCCGGGGTTGTTGGCGCGGAGGTAGTTCAGGGCCTTCAAGTGACCATCCGCCAGGTCGAGGATGTGGATGTAGTCGCGGATGGCGGTTCCGTCGTGGGAGGCGTAGTCTGACCCAGTTAGTTTAGGTGCTGAGAATTGTCATATCTACTGCAAGAGGTAACGTACCATCTCCGAAGACGAGCAGCTTCTCGCGCTTGCCGGTAGCCACCTGGGCAAGGAGGGGAAGCAGGTTGTAGGGGACACCCTGGGGGTCCTCACCCATGATACCAGAGGGGTGAGCACCGGCGGGGTTGAAGTAGCGGAGCAGGGCACCGTTCCACTTCTGGGCCTCGGCCTCGTTGCCGGCCTTGATAGCGTTGTTGCGCTGAGCGTTGATGACGTCGGTGATGGCGGTCTCGACGGCGAACTTGGTGTTGCCGTAGGGGTTGGTGGGACCCAGAGGGCACTCCTCGGGGATGGGGATCATGTTGGGGAAGCGAGTGGCATCACCGTAGACGGTGGCGGAGCTGGAGAAGACGATGTTGGTGACATTGTGGCGGACCATGGAGCGCAGGAGGCAGATGGTGCCGTAGACGTTGACGTGGTAGTAGTCCAGAGGCTTCTCACCGGACTCACCGACGGCCTAGATGGCTGTCAGCCAGGAACCTCCATTTGATGCGCAAGAGATATGCAGAGAGGTAGATTGAGGCATAGGGAGGAAGAGGTTAGAGGGAAAGCGCACCTTCAGAGCAGCAAAGTGGATAACGCTGTCAATGTCGGGGTGGGCCTCGAAGACACGGTCAAAGCCAGCCTCGTCGGTGACATCGAGCTGAGCGAACTCGGCCTTCTTGCCGCTGATCAACTCAATGCGCTTGAGAGCCTCAGCAGAGGAGTTGTAGAGGTTGTCAGCGACGACGACCTTGTAGCCAGCCTCGAGGAGAGCGAGGGTGGTGAAAGAGCCAATGTAGCCCGTTCCACTGTTTGGGGGAGAATTGCGGGGTCAGCGGGTGCGTTAGAGAGACAAAGGCATTGATCAGAAGCTTACCCGGTGACAAGAACTGATCCAGCAGGCATGATGATGATAAGGTATGACTATGAGGTAGAGAGGGAAAGAGAGAGTCGGAAGAAAAAGAGGAAGAGAGAGAAGATGGAGGGAATTGGGAAGAAGATGAAACGGAAAGGTAAGATGGCGCAAACGGAGATTTGGGGGGGAAGAAAGTCGGGCGGCGGGGACGGGATATTTAAGGGGCGGCCGCAATTGGTGATTGTTTGGATGGAGTCACCCTCCCCATGTACCAAGTAGTAATTCAGGTACAGAAAGAGTAACTCACTTCTTCTTGCCTAATTGCCTCTCTACTGCCTTCCTCTCCCCCTCTATCCAATTCAAACTCATAAACCCCCTTATTGCTATTTCCACCTGCTGATCAACCAAGACAGTCTACGTAAACGGCCCTCGACCACGGGACGATCCATATTAATTCTCCCCCCGCCATATCCCACATCCTCCCACCACCACATCACACCATTTACTTTGCTCGAACTGAATATACCCAAGTATTCTGTAGTGGTGGTTATATGTATCAGTCTCACGGCCGCAGGATAGATGCATGCATGCTGCACTGCTGCATAGTATGTGCACAACAATCCAGTCGGAGTAAAGTTCAGGGAAAAAGTACTTACGGAGTTTTTCTACCCCTCCAGAGAGACCACATCCAGCCATGTGCATGTCCGTTGATATGCCAATACCTTGTCTGATCATCATCTTAATCCTCATCCTTCCTATCGGTTAATAAGTATCACACAAAGTAACTAGATGGATCGATAGGCTAGAACTGAAACATACACACGGCCCGAGACAAGTCCGTCACGGTTAATTGACTGACTGGCTTGAAGTATTGGGGTTGAATTGCACCACCACCACCACCACTACTAACTACATCTATCTATCTACTTACTTGATTCCCTGCTTCTTACAAGGTGCCATATCCGTAATTACTGACCACTTATATGCACTAATACTTATAATAGTATTATGATGGCACCATGCCATTCTCTCATTTTTCCCTTTTAACCAGGTCCAGGTCAAGGTACCACCAGTTCGGGCGGGTCCAAGACACACACCTCGAGGCCAAAGTTCCCACTCCACGACTAAGTAGCAAGTGTGAAGTGGACCGCTTCCACCCGATCCCAAGGGTCCAATCAATCGTGGGTGGGCTGTCACGCTGCCATTTGCCTCTTTCCCTTTCCCTCCCTCTCTCTCTCTCCGTGTGTGTGTGGCTCTTAATAAATCCGTGGTTGTTAAGGGGGCCAATTATGGTATTAGGGAAAAGATCTGCGAGTGTCAGATTGCTGTCTCTCTCCTGGAGTAGATAGTTAATTAGCTAGCTATGAGAGTCTGCTGGTGATGACGATGGTGATGATCAGGGAGATGAGGGATTATCCAAGTAGATAGATAGGACTAAATTAGGTCTGGACACCCATTTCAGGGGTAGATGCAGTGTATAGTAATCCCCCAGTAGCTTGTGAACGAGCACTGTACGGAGTAGATGAAGTAGTAGTAGTAGTGCCCATGCCGAACAGGTGGTCTTTGTTGGTCCGAGTCCCCACTGGTTTGCTTGCTTGCTTGCTAATAGCTTTCCAGATAGGATAACTAAACTCACAACTATCTCTCTGTCCCAGAACAGTAATACAGATGCTTGTAATAACCTTAGAAACCATGCAGTTGGTAGGCAGGCAGGCTATCTGCCCGCAACGTGGTTTACCTGTCCGAATAATCCCTCACTGCAGAGAGAAGGCGTTGTCCAAGTAGAGCTACAGCAATGGCAACTGATGAGTCGTAAATCGCCAGTGACAACTATCCGCATGCGGTTGTGTGGGGTAGTGGTTATCCCTTCGGATTTTGAGTACTCCTGTGCTTCGGAAGTTCCGACAACCCCGGTTCGAACCCGGGCACGACCTGATTTATTCATTGCTTTTTTATTATTTGTATAATATCTTTTTATTTTTTGTCTCCTTTGACATCAACATAGTCTGACATGGAAGGTGAGGATGAGTGGCTGTGGCTCTGCTAGTAGTGATAACCTGTATTTAGTGTGTATGGGATCGGTGATGTCTTAATATTTACGGTTCTAGGATGGATTGGTTACTGCAATAAAGTCACTTGTTAATTGACAACTAGTTCTGATCCTAAATCATTCTTTTTCATCATACAGTCATAAATTAACATCGTATCCATACAGGAGTGCTACAAATAACTTGTTAATCCAGGTTTATCGGCCGCTCAAGCATGATAAGAGTATGGTAGTAGGAAGTAGTAGTATGGCCCGAACTATATATTATTTCAGAGCCAGATTATACTCCTACTACTGACGGCTAATCCTCCATCATATCTGTCACCTTCGCATACACCCGCATCAGCCCCTTCTCCGTGCCAGGAACAATCCTATCGCGTGTGATGCGCATACTCTCCGGGCTGGTGGTCTCCACATCAAAGTTGAACCGTCGCACCACATGCGCAATCGTCAGGTAGAGCTCAATGTATGCCAGACTATGAATTTGGTTAGCAGACACCCCAACAGTGATAGGGCAGGACTGACTTCATCCCAATGCAAGCTCGACTTCCTCTCATAAATGATACAAGGTATCGCGTTAGATTAACCCCTTCCTCTGCAGCCTTGATCCAGCGCTCCGGGTCGAATCTGTCCGGCTCGGGAAAGAGGGACGGGTCGCGATGGACAAACCAAGTAGAAGTGCTCATTGGCGTCTGACAAGGATCTTAGATCATGACATGATTGCAAAAGCAGAGCGATAGAATCACTTACCCCCGGTGGAAGCACGTAGTCCTTGTACTTCAGAGTCTCAGTCGGTGCCACGCGGGGCAGCCGCATAATCAGTCCATAGGACAATCGTAAAGATTCGTTCACAACGGCCGTCTAGAGGTGCAAATCGGTTAGACGTATAGTCAGCGTTGCAGGCTCATGACATACCAAATATGGCAGCTTCTCCAACTCCGGCCAGGTCGCTGTACTGGTAGGTGTGGGCAGGACCTGCTTCAGTTCACTCCGCAGCTTGTCTCGTATGCTTCGGTCCCGCGACACGTAGTAGGTCATGATCATCAAGGTACTGGCGGTGGTCTCTGTCCCTGCACCAAGGAGCGTGAACACCTCGTCCTCAATGCGACGTTGGCTTCTTTCCGCGACTGGTAAGTTGGGGTCCGTCAACCGTTTGAAGATGGTCCGGTCTTCCTTCTCCGATACCTTGTCGTGCGTATTCTCGGATATAGTGCTTAGAATGGAACCCTGAAACTGGAGCATACCGGCCCTGCCGGGGAGCCATAGCGCCATCAGATGCAGCGGAATCTTGCGCATTGTTTCAGGCACAATGGGGAAGAAGCGGTTGAAGTGGGCAAGCCCGGTATTTTCTTCATTGCCTCCATGGACATCGCTGCGGAAGTCCTTGTCCTCAATGAAACCCCAGCGCTTTCCATAGCAGTAATAGGTGATCACGTCCGAAGTCAGCGCGGCAAATGCATCGCTCAGATTCACTAGACTCTGATCACGATAGAACCCTTCAAAGCGCCCCATAAGCTTTTCCACCCGCTCCTCAATGAAGGGAGATATAGCGAGAACGGATCGCTTGGAAAAGAAATCATTGAGGATATTACGTCGGAAGCGGTGATGTTCGTGGCCCATCGTACCGATCATAGAGTAGGGGAGCGCAAATGCGCCGTAAGCCAGAGGGTCCCTTTCGCGTTTGCGAGTGCTGGAGGCATAGATCTCATCATAGAAGGATGGGTCGCTTATATGGACTTCACGGGGGTTGATGCGAACAATTGGACCTGAGGGAGAATTTAGCAGAGCTTCAGCTGGTTAGATTTCCCCTTGCCTACCATATTGCTGATGCATTTTCTCGATCTGAAATAGAAACCTCCCATGGATGATAACATCATAGTAGAACTCATACAAATGTGTAACTGCTGCGAGTTTTGGCCCCGGGATTCCAGATAACGGGTGGAAATACAGACGATAGATAGATCGCAGGACGTAAAAGCTTGCGATACCGACAAGGGCGAGCCAGATGTGGGAGGTATCCAGAGCCATCATGGCAGGCTGTATGAAACGCCAGCGCAGTTGACTGAAGCTGTGAGAGAAGAGATCGGACATGGGCAGTGACGGTGCACGATAATATAAGTGTAAGCAACATACACCGACCCTGCTGCATCTTCTCGTGGCGCTGCCGGCCTTGCAGATGGCCGAGGAGGGGAACGGGAAGAGAAGCAACTGGCTCACCAACTACTGGTCACGATAGCTGCAGGCCGAAGTGTCACCCACTATCCTGGGGCCGGGGAGGTGCCACTAGACGGCATGGGGACATACTTAGCTAGTTTGGAGTCTAGAGCAAGACGGTGATGCACTCGCTAGAAGAAACCCCGCCTATCACTGCAGGGGAGATATATAGTGGTTGCGTTCGGGGGTAAGAATGACACGTCCATCCTCCGCATCCGGCATGTCCGAAGGTGATATGTTGTAATAGTACTCCATAGTATATTCTATCGGTGTGATGGCCCCCCCCGGCAGGGATTTCTCTTCACGCCGAATTGGTGTGCGAAATCAGAGGTTGCGAAGGGACAGCAACTAGTAGATACTAAGAGCGCGGGGTCGCAAGCGCTAATGCTGTATCGTCTTTAGCACGTCAGCTGTCTATCTATCTCTTTCAATAGGCTGATGGAGCTACCCATGCAGGCGCTATCACCGTCTGAAGCTACTACCCTTGGTTGGCCAGCTGAAAATACGGGCATGTGGCATGTGTCTTGTTCCCAGCAAGTTATCTCGCTTCTGACAGGTCTGGGTATCAGACAGATCCTGAGCTGTATCACTTCGGGCCTCTCAGTGGATATTACGCTGCAATCCTTTCAGATACCCGCTACGGCTGTCGAATCGATTGAAGTGGAAGTGACAAGGCTAAAGCTTGAAAGATGCTTGACTGCTGTTTGGGGATATAGATATAGTTCGATAATGTCATGAGACCCCGATAGAGGCGAGACACAATTGAGAGTACCAGTGATTGCTAGTACACATGCTTCATAAACCCTGACTAGGAACCATGAATGAATGGGGAATGTCCTTGTTTTGAAGCGGACTATAAACTCCGCCCGAGAAAAGATCAAGAAACACTCATTTCTGTCGCATCCGAAACTGCAACACAGGGCCCTCCTTCCCAACTGCGAAATGGTCCTTGATCTTGTATTCGCCTTGGTAGCCGACGCCCAATTGCTCCGTTCCCGGTGCCAGTCGTATATCATACAACCACAATGCCCGGGAAATAGTCAGCTCGAGCTCGAGAATGGCTACATTCCGCCCAATGCACGCCCGCGGTCCCATACTAAAAGGTGCAAATGCCTGCCGCTGCCGACTGAGCACCTCAGCGCTCACCCCCTCTCCTTGCTCAGTGCCTTTGTTGCCACACAGTAGCCACCGACTGGGATCGTACACAAAGGCGCGGTAGAAGTGGTCTTCACTGTGGTGCAACGCGTAGGTGGGAACTGCGACAACCGTGCCGGCCGGGAAATACCACTCTCCCACCCGAAGCCCTCCAGGGAGGACTTCTCGTGGCAGATCAGTGGGTACAGGCGGGCATACACGCATCGTCTCATCGATACAAGCGTGAAGGTAAGCCATCTGCGACAGATCGGGACCGGCAACGATCGCCTCCAGTGTAGGGAAGACAGCACGAATCTCTGCGCTCAGACGGGCGAGGATCGCTGGGTTATGAGCAAGATAGTAGAAGATGGCAGTTAATGTCGTATTGGTTGTGTCGTTACCTGATAGTTCAGCCGGTGAGTTTCAGCCAAATAATACAAACGGGGCAAATCCCACTTGGAACGGAATTTGTGAACATACCGGCTCCTAGCAGCGTCATAACCTCTGACATCAGTTCCGCCTCAGAATAGCCTTCATTGGTCTTCGGGTCCCGTGCTTGCTGCAGATAGTAGATGATATCTCGACGCTGGGTGGACTCTGCGGCGAGCCGAGTCTGCAACTGCTGCCGGGAGAAATCAATCTGTCGCTGGCGGTTGGCGACAGTACCGCGCCGAAGATACCTTTCCAAACCCAGGGAGCATAGAATAGGCATCTGCCCACAGATGTTCATGATACGGAGGTTCAAGGCCATCAACGGGAAGAAGAAGTGGTTGGCGTCGCTGAAAGAAGTGTTGAATGTCTTGCCGAAGCAGATCTCCCCAAGCGCATCGAAGACCACACAGGCACTCCAGTGCACCATATTTTTGGGCCTTGACCAGCTTCCAGGACGGGAACATGCAGATAACACCTGCTTATCGGGATGTTGATCACCTAGGGCGGCACACCAGTCGCGAATGGCTGACAAGATATGGGGTTCCATGCCACGCAGTGCCTGGCTGGAAAAGGCATGAGACATGACTCGACGTTTGCGAGCATGCACTGTGCAATCGATGGCATTGAAGATGCTCACGCCATAGAAGATGTTGTACGACTTGGCTTTCTGAACGTTGGCATGGAAGCCGTAGATGGGCTCCAACGCCTTTGCATCAAGAATGGAAACGCGCTGCGGGCCGACTCGCACAACGGGACCATAGCGTTGGTGCAGATGATATAGGTCCTCATGGCGATCGCCGCGTATGGCGTGAACCACCGAGTAGAGATTGGTCAGCTTGGCGACGAATGGGCCAGGATAGGAGGACAGTGGATGGAACCAAACTTGGTAGATAATGTAGCCAGCGACGGCGATGACTACACACCCCAAGAGATCCATGATGGCTGTACTTGTCAAGACCCGCCAGTGATTCTGAAGAGACCGTAGGGCATTTTCCAGCATGATCAAAAGTAGAAGTCAGTAGATCGCTAAGCGAGGGCGTGTATAGTTGAATGGGCTCAGAGTCATCAACTCGACTTCATTCAGCTTTCACTGGGCGAGCTCAGGTCCCAAGGTCTACCTTTTATGAGAAAGCACCCAGAATGAGGGATGCAATTTTGTTTAACTCATCCCAACACTCTCGTCGTTCTTTCCAACTTCGACATTGAAAGCCACGTTGGTCCACACTGGATCCAATTTTTACGTTCCTCAAAGATAATCATCTTTCCTCCTGTCTTATAGGCGGGACGTTGAACTAATCTCAAATATTAGGCTTAGCCGCCTAGGATTTGTGGATCCCTGGACAGTATAAACGAAGTTGGTGACCATCACAACCGAGCCACGTTCTGTGCCTAAGTATGTTGCTGTCACACAGCAGCAGTATTAGTGCTGATGGGCTGAACGCGCTTCAGTCGCAATTGCCAACTTTGCAAGGATAATGCTGGAGAGCATCACAGGTTGAGGCATTAGGGAACATGTAGCCTTGCATTAGTACTGTTGGGGCTGTCACTAAGCTGGCTAGCACAGTGTGACTATGCAATTAGCGTCCAGGGAAAGCCGCTAAACTCGTGCACGGCGCTTAACCAGCGATGAACAGACCTCTCTGGAGATCGATGATTTGAGCGTTTGTCTGCACACTCGCACACTCCTAAAAAATCAAGTGGGTACATCGGTACCTTCAGCTTCAACCACTGATATGTCGATTATTGTCAACACTTGTTGGACTCTCAAGGCCTCCCTTCACAATTGTGCAGGGTAATCATAGTGCAAGCGAATCACGTCTGTAGGTACCTCGGGGATCCAGACACCCTGGCTTCCAATGCACGTCAGACTATGGCTTACCTGTTGGTCATTCCTTAGACCGAGAGATGATGCGCGAGGCGGAGCAGATGGCACCTTCAGAGTGCGGATGGATGCATGGCGACAAAGGAAGTCGGGCATGTGGGAGGACCCGCACAAAGAGACCAGAATCCCGAAGCTTTACATCCTACAGGTTGGCATCATATTTCATTGCGAATAGTGTACGTGATCTGAGTTATGGTGATGCACCCGAATTGGATTGCATCTAACCAAGCCTGGATCGATTTGGAGAACGAGGTGGAAATGTCCTCTTGGAAGGTGTTTGCAGAAAGGCTGGACAGTGAGTGGTTGAGAATAGATCTGGGGATTGCCGGTGAATGGAAAATGAAAAGGTGGCTGATAATTGGTGTCCCTCCACACTGCAGCGCCAGGCTACTCGGCTGATCCATACAAAACCCACGGCTACCGACAGAATATTCCAAAATAAAAGAGATAGGATTGAAAAGAACACATGAAGACATAGCTAGAAGACATCACTATTGACAGACCCACCAAACATGTCGTGGGACGGAACATAAGAATCATGGTGATGCGTAATTAATACATCACTGGTCGCACGCGCTTCATTCGCCAGTGCCATTATTCGGCTGCAATCGCACGCCGTCATACCTCGGCTTCGCGTCTCAAGAGACCAACTGACCTTTCAGCCAGTTGTCCCCTCCCGAGCACCCGTTTACCGGGTATCGGTCTTAAGTATAGGCCAACTTCGCTAAGCACATCTGCCCGGAGTCCACCTGACAGACCCTGTCATGTTGGGACTCGGGTGTTCACGATCGATACTGAGATAGGTCCTGTCCGGTCCTGGATAACGCATAATCGGGGCAACAGCCTGCCCTGGGAGCTTTGGGAATAGGCAGCGAAAGAAGTATCTCGTGGAGATCGTCCCCCGTCATTTAACCTAGAAGTTCGACATCGAGGCCAATAGCCCGCATGAAAAGGTTGACGTTGCCAAGACGCGCACTGGCCATATCGGCAGGAAGCGTCTTGCTGTAAGTCACCGTCTCCATCACCCGGTCCCTGGTAGAACGGTTAGTATCGATGTAAATAATTGTAAACGAGAGGTTGCACTTACTTAACCGCAATAACAAGGCGTTGCTGTTGTTCGGGGCTAGCTCCGATACCAACTGCAGCCAAGAACTGCCACACATACATGTCGTCGCCAGCATTGATCGAGCTGGGGAAGATATCTGCAAACGTAGGTTCAAGGGTGTCAAACAGCACATTGAACTTCTCAACCCACTGCTGCCAGTCCCGCTCTGTAGCCTGTCCAGCCTCCTTCACGATTTCGGCCCGACTGAGAAGCATGGTCAAGATTCCAAGTCCAATGCGGGTCCTCGCGATCATCTGGACATGCGTCTGCGCAATGACAAGTCCCAGCAAGCCAATGATAATATTGAATGGCGCCTCGTTGACGTACCCCAGAAGACTGGGCATGACGGCCTGAGAGAAAAGCTCAATGGCTTCCCGAACGGCCAGAGAGGGCTGGGTCTCACCCGGAACAGGCTGGGCGCGCCGGACGACGTCCAGAGAATCCAAGTGCACAACGATCATAGTAAGAATAGTAACACGCTGCTCCTGATCAATGTGGCGGAAAATGCGGGGGATGGCCTTCTTGCCCTTGGGATAAGCAAGGAAGGCAATGAACGGATGGGGAGTGTTGGTGTTGGGGACAATGGGTTCCATGACCTTAAGGTCGCGCCACAACTTCTGGTTGAGCGAGCGGATCTTCTGTCTCCATTCCATGTGCTTCTGAATGGCCTCGGGATCATTCTCATCTGGCGGGGGAGGCATCGTGCGCTCCATGTCCTCCATATCCATAAGCGTGCTGTAAACGCTCTCAAGGTTGGTCAGGACTGATTTGCGGTCGCTAACACTCAAATCGGTGTGCGGCTTTTTCACCGTCTTAGCGCCTTCCGAGCTCTCCGGACGCTTGATGTTGAGCATGGGCTTTGGCGTCTTGGCGTTGCTGAAAGAAATCTTACCCAAGCTGCCCTCGATGATAAGCTGCTTGTTCTTAGGCTTCTGCTTAGCGGCCTCCACCGCACGCTGGACCTGCTGCTGCATTCTCTGCATGTGATTGTCGGCGCTCTGAAACTGCCGGCGAGAGCCATGGCCCCCGAGTCTGTTGCCTGTCTGGAGGAGGTATGTCTGCGCAAAGTGACCGAGAGGTTGGTGTGGGTGTTGCCGCGGCGCACCCCGGATCTGGCTGTAAACCTGATAGTAGAAGTCCTCTGCCAAGACCGCTTCTGCATCAGAGTCCGCCACGTTGCCAGCAGCAGCGACTAGTTGCTGAAGCTGGATTCGGGTGATGAAGTTCTTGTCTTGCGGGGTCATCAGCCCGTTGCCCCTGGATAGAAGGAAGATCTTGTGGTTGCGCTTCGCACGCTTGGCATCTTCCATCAGGTACGCTACGCGCTGCTCTTCCGTCAGGTGCATCAACTGCTGAGAGTTGGTAATCACTGGCAATTGCGCGTTGTTACCACGGGGAGCTTGAGGTAGGGGCGGTTGCTGCTGCTGGGGTCGCTGAGCCGCCGGTGGCATCGCCTGACGTTGGGGAGGCACCATGTGCTGAGGCGGCAAGTTGGCATTTTGCAGCATATGTATCGGCAGATTTGGAGGAAGCGGATACGGCTCTGGAACCATGGGTGGCTGGTGCAACAACTGCGCCGGTGGCACTCCCTTGGCGAACTGGGCCTGTAGAATCTCAGGCGGCAGCTGCGGGAAGCCTTCGGGCAGAGGGGGCATCTGAGCTCGCTGGAGAGGCTGAGTGGGCTCTGGCATCGACTGCGGAAGGGACAGCGGGATTTGGGCGGGCAGCGAAGTCGGACCCTGTCTCCGCAGCTGCGCTTCCACCTCCTCGAGACTCAGCATCTTCTTCGCTTGCGCTACCATCTGAGGCGTGGGCTGCTGCAGCTGTTGCAGCTGTTGCTGGAGCTGCTGTTGCTGGAGCTGCTGTTGCTGGAGCTGCTGTTCCGGCTTCTTCGACATGCCCCAGACGCTAGACTTGGCCTGAAGGTCGGGGATGTAACCCGGGTCGTTGTACTTCTCATAGCCAGACCGTTTGGGCTTCTGGGCCGTAGTGTCTGGCAGAGCAGTATCGGCGGTGGGCTGCGAAGGCGCGGTCGCAGGCGCACCGGGTTTTTGAAGGCTGTAGCGGATCTGCTCCTCCCCGATCACATCGGCGACCTGAGCAGTCTTTCCGAAGAAGTCGAAATCCTTTCCAACCGGGCCGGTGTCGAAGCCGCCACCAAACGTGTCATCGTTGAACGCATCCTGGTCATCGTCCAGTTGGTCTCCTAGGCCGTCGTACGTATCCTCAAAGTCGATGCTATAGTGATCAAAGAAAAAGCCACTGGTCAGCGATATGCCCCCGAGTTGTCTCAATTGAATTCATTGAGGCAAAGTGGGGGAAACTTACACGTCGTCATCCTCGCCGCTTTGGAAGTTTGCTGCCAGTCTGGCGCGGGCGACTTCGGCGAACGGATCAGGGGTGTCGAAGATACCCCTCTGTTCGCCCGCAGGAGCTCGATCCCTAGGCAGGGTGGTATTGAAACCGAAGAAGGACATCTTCGGGGGAAGCGGGGGGTGGGGGGAGGCAGTGGGTGTAGGAAGAGGGCGAGAATTACCACCGCGGCATAATTGGGTAGTGCGGGATGAGGTTCACAGCCGGTCTGATATCACCCGCTTTAGCTTAGTCCGGTGTGGCCTGGGAGCCTAGGAGCCTTAACGCCTGAGGCAGTAAGGCATAAATTTAGTCACCGCATCACGGGGAATCTGTTGCACCTTAGTCATCTGCTCTCCCGTTGTTCCAGTTGGACTCGGCCAAATAATGGACTCTGTAGACATGAGCACGAACCCCCTTTTTGTTTCTATCTATATCACACCATACTGTTCTGCCTTTCGGAGTACACGGATAATTGTCTACTTCATAAAGTAGTATCAAGGGCAGGGCATTTGTATGTATTAATATTACTTGGGCTCTAATAAGTAATAACAGATCTATCGCGCCCTATGGGGAGTATGTGGCCCCCAATCCCAAGGCAGGATGGATCGACGCCCGGCCAGATGGACTGATACACTCAAGCATCGATCGCGTCCCTTCCTTAACGTCATTCTCGGTATAGACCCCTCCCTAGGGAAGAGTAAAAGTCCTTCTTGTAGACACTGAATGCCAGAATGTATTCTTTCTTATCTCACGCATCCACTTGGTGGCTCAGAACCAGTGCGACGTACGTGGCCCGGCCAATAACGGGGGAAATTACGTCGCCCTCACCATACCGGGGCGAATAAGCTAAACTGCCAACGTACGCAGGCGCTTGTTGACATCTGCTTTTTTCCCACATTTATCTCCCATCTTCTCCGATATTTCTGTCCAGACTCAAACTCTTTCCAATAAAGAACGGTTGGGGAAGCACGAGCGCCGTGGTCAGGATCGACAACCAGTGCCCCGAATTGCCAACTAACTTTAATCTTTGCCTGATGCGCCGCGGGTCCATCATCTGCATTGTCGTTACCGATCGCCCATAGATTGATTTCCAAGAATACCTGGGAGGCGCATTTCTCACCGGGCCTGTCATAGCCTGCATTGATCGAGAGGCCCCATTTCTCGGAGTTCCTCCTCCTCACTTCACACTAGCTGTCCGTCATTCGTTTGTCAACTTCATTTACATTCTAATTCTCATCGTCCGGCCTCCTTTGTTCTCCGATACTGCGCAACAGGCACCCGTATTCAGCCCTGCGCGACCAAACATTACTCCTCCCACCTCCTCACCGACGCTCCGGCACAGTGCAGTGCCCTTCACATCATGGCTATAGGGCCATTGCGATATCTTTTGTTTGCCATCACGGTGAGTGTGCCTGATCCGCCAGAACCCCTTTCGCATTACTGACTGGCTTCAAGGGGTTGGCCATCTTCTTCTTTATCTCTAGGAGCGCTATCCCAATCCCCGAGAACATCGGCACAAAATTAAACCCCGCGACCTACAAAGACACCTTTTCCTCCTCTCACTCCTCGCAAAATGATGCGCTGTCATCAAGTGGACCGATCAAAGACATCCCGACGGACCGCGTGAACGCCACCTTTGTGACCCTGGCGCGCAACACTGATCTTTGGGAGATGGTCAAGTCCATCCGGACGGTGGAGGACCGCTTTAACCACAACTATCACTACGACTGGGTGTTTTTGAACGACAAGCCGTTTGACGAGGAGTTCAAGAAGGTCACGTCAGCCTTGATCTCCGGCAATACACACTATGGCGTGATCCCGAAGGAGCATTGGTCTTATCCCGAGTGGATCGACCAGGATAAGGCCAAGAAGGTCCGACAGGAAATGGGAGAGAAGAAGATCATCTACGGCGACTCGGAAAGCTACCGTCACATGTGCCGTTATGAGTCCGGGTTCTTCTTCCGGCACCCGTTGATGCTGAACTATGAGTACTACTGGCGTGTGGAGCCCAGCATTGAGCTCTTCTGTGATGTCAGCTTTGACCCGTTCCGCTACGTGAAAGAGAACGACAAGAAGTACAGCTTCGTGCTGAGCCTGTACGAGTACTACGACACCATCCCGAGCCTGTGGGGTACGGTGCAAAAGTTCATGGAAGAACACCCGGAGCATATCGCGGACGGTAACTCCATGGGATTCTTGAGTGATGATGGCGGCAAGACCTACAACAAGTGTCACTTCGTGAGTATTGCCCCATGAAGCTGTCAGCTGACTTGACTAACCAGCTTGTAGTGGTCCAACTTTGAGATTGGAAGTCTGGAATGGCTGCGGTCCAAGGAATACATTGACTACTTCGAGACGCTCGACCACGCTGGTGGCTTCTTCTATGAACGTTGGGGCGATGCACCAGTCCACTCTATCGCTGCGGGACTTCTCTTGAAGAAGGAGCAGATCCATTTCTTCAACGAGATTGGCTACTACCACGTCCCCTTTACCCACTGCCCGACTGGTGAGCAGCTTAGGCTGGACCTGAAGTGCCACTGCAACCCTAAAGATAACTTTGACTGGAAGGGATACTCTTGTAAGTTCCTCGGCTTTCTTCTGTTGGTGCATAGTAATAACCAGCAACAGGCACGTCCCGGTTCTTCCAAGTCAACGACATGGACAAGCCCAAGGGCTACGAGAATGAGAGCTGAGTGCTTCACTCTTAATTTTATTTCAAAAAAAAATTAATTGGAAATATTGTCGTTGCGCAGCGCGAAATTGGCCGTGCATGTGATCAGCAAAGCCGGACATCTCTTGACCATGCACCGTCGAGTGGCACTGTCCAGGCGTAAGAAAACGTCCACTAACGGGATAATTCCCAGCTCGTTACTAGACCCTTCTCATGATGATCCTGCAGGATGCTGGACGCAGGTTCATAACATTTGAAAAAAAATTATTCTTCATTTCTTGATTTCCGGACCAGGGTGTCATGTGTTTATAAGATTGTCAGGGACTTCACTTCACAAGCGCGCATCAATTTTTCTCTATATTCCGGGTATAGGGGTGCAAGGTACAGAGATCGTTTGCAGGATGTACTGGATGGAGTCGGGATGAAATGGGAAAGGGAAATAAGTGCTCTGTAGCCAGGCAAGCCTCATAAATGTACATAGCCGTGTTCTAATGATAACAACGATATAAAGATCCGTCAAAGCACGATGTAATGATACAAACAATACCAAAAAATAATAATGACCAAATTCTTAAGCACAAGCAACATCCCTCATACTGCTCTAGTCCTTCTTAGGCTTCTTCGTACCATACTTGGACCGACTGTTCAACCGAGAAGCAACACCACCCTGAGAGAAGTTAGCAAACCAACCCCCGAATCCCAGGAACCCAATATCAGAAAGTAAACCTACCAAATCCATAGCACCACGAACCAAATGGTACTTCACACCAGGACAATCAGGCACACGACCACCACGCACCATAACGACACTGTGCTGCTGGATATTGTGTCCTACACACAGACCAGAGATATTAGCCTCTCTCGCTCAATTTCATTATCCCCATCTATTCTCATTCTCCTCACCCCCAATTCCCAACCCGAACCACGAAAAAACGAATGGAGGGAAGTGATCTCACCTTCACCAGGAATATAAGCCGTAACCACCTTCCCACTACTCAACCTCACTCTCGCCGTCTTCCGCTCACCGGAGTTAGGCTTCTTCGGCTTCGTAATACCCGTCTTCAAACACACTCCCTTCATCTGAGACCGGCCGATCAGCGCCGGAGACCGAGAGCGACGTGCGCGCTGCGCAACACGGCATCCGCGCCGCACTTGGTTGTAGGTAGCCTGGCGGAACGGGGAGGTGGAGAATTGCCGGAGGATGGAGGAGGAGGAAGAGGGGATGGAGGTCTTGCGTGCAGCAGCAGCAGCAGCGACTGCGGTGGGCGTGCGGAGAACAGGCTGGAAAGGTCGTCGGGGAGCGGCGGCGGCGAGGGTGGTGATGGAGCAGGAGGTGGATTTAATGGCGGCGGGACGCTGGACCAGGGTCCGGAGCGTGCACAGGGCGAGGGAGGAGACGAGAGGGGCCATTTTGGTATATGTCTCCTCGACGATGTGCTGTGCTTTAGGGCCTGGGGGGTATCTTGGTATCGGGATGGGAAACATTTCCTGGACGGGGCAGAGAGATTGTATCACGTGATGTGGAAGAAGATTGGCGGAGGTGGTAGGTATGGTGCGCCGGAGGAGCTTGCTGCGGGAACGCGCCAGTGGACTGGCTGCCTGGCTGCGATGTCAGAGCTGCTAATACTGGTGCTGCTTGCTGCTACGTCGGTACCTCTACTGACTGACTACTTACTATCTTCCGACTTTCCAACCTCCATCTCACGAACCACACTCATCTAACCTTCCAATCTACCCAACCATCTCTTAATCTCATCCACGACACAATACACATACCACCTTGCAAATAAAATCCTCACCACAACCGTCACAATGGTCCGTCCATCCCCATGCATTCCGTCCATCCACCCACATCTCCAACTCCCGACCCTCATTTATACAGATTGAATGATTAACAAAGAATAGTCCCTCCGCATCGCCCCCCCCTCCAGCAACCCAACCCAAACAACCAACACCACAACCCGCGCCGTTATCGATCTCCCTCACCCCTCCAAGGGCGCCCCCTCCGCCCCCGGTCTCCCCGACACCCTCCGCGACAACATCACCCTCCCAGCACCCCGGGGCCCTCCCTCCACAGCGACCGCCACCCCATCTTCGACGCACCCGCTCGAAGCCCGCCTCCTCGCGTGGCGCGCCACCCAGGATGCCTTGAAGATGGAGTCGCTGCGTCGGGCGTACGGCATCGCGGAGCCCGTGCGCCGCGGCATGGAGTTGAAGATCGTGCGTGATGGGACGTTCAGGCCTGCTGCGTTGGGTGGTCTCGGCATGGGAAACCTCCATGAGGATATTTTGGTCCTGGGTGGTAGGGATGCGGAGGTGGGCTGGGAGGATGTGTTTAAGGGTGAGTGTTCATACCCAGTTTTCCATTTCTTTTCCTATTTTGGTAGAGGAGGGGGGAAAGTATCGTGCTTTTGCTAACGGGTGGGGTTTAGGTGATGAGTTCCGTGAACCGCCTGCTTTCCATGATGAGATGGAGAAGAGATTGCGTATGGATCACTGAGTGGTGGTGGGGTTGGCAGTTCTTCTGATCTGGACATGACATGGCATGGCATGGCTTTACTTGTTGGTTGGCTGTTGAATGGGTTGTTATGAATCGGAATTTTGTTTTTTCTCTTTCTTGATACAGGCGCTGTCTGCGGTAAATTATACATTACAATAAATGGTGGTTTCATCTACCTGGTCCCCCCGTACAAGCCGACGTTTGGTAGGGTGGTTATGGAAAAGGGTACTTTACGAATCAGATAGCTACTCATATGTGCAATGTTTGTACATTATGTAGTTTCCGCTGGCCTCAAACCAGGGAAACGCTATATTTGACATCAACCTGTGGGCCGCACAAGCCCCGTATCTCAAACTAGATTCAATCAGATGGCTGGCCAGATCGGAAGAGGGCCACCAGGGTCTTCCGTGAGCACCGCAACTTGGTCGGTCCAAGCCCTAACGCAACAGAAACACAGTAGAACGGCAACGGACCATGTAAACAAGGGCAAGTGATAGGCTTCCAATATGTGGACATAAATGCAAGAAATTTGAGACCGGCCAACGAGACAACACAGGGGAGCGGGAGAGCAAGCGAGAACATGAGCTTAGGGTATATACGAAATAAGAGGAAGCGGAGCAGCATCAAGCAGCTCATGGAACTATGCAAGCCAAACGGTGACCACGTGGTAGAACAGACAACGGGGTAAATGTCAATGCGGCCATGCTGGTAAAGCGATGATAACCCATCCATAACGCCGTCTCATTACGGTCAAACAGCCAACCACATGCAATGCCTTGCAGCAAAAAGGCGAACAAGCGTGAGGGAGGACCAAAGCCTACTCGAACCCAGCAGAGAGAAGCAACAAAGCTCCATAGGGGTCTAAAAGAGACTCGTGTCGACGAATCTTCAAGCAGCACTAGCAAGTGAGCTTGGCATTGGTATCGGTGTTAGGAGGGCAAAGCGATAATGGCAGATCCCGAGGACGCAAGCATGGTAGGACTGCCTTGAGTATGTGACTTCTGTCATCTCCTTTCTCGGGCGGAAACAGTCCTAATCATTATTGAATGATGCAGCGACAGCCAGGGCTACGCTCACTGGACTCCCGCTCCCGGGTGTACTGGGGTTTGGACTTGGCGTCTTCTTCGTCAACGATCTCCTGGGGCTTCACAGTCATGTGGACCACGTTGGGAGCATCCCGGCTGAACTTGGAGTCTGGATGATAATTGATCAGCATCAGCACCAAATCAGGGGTAGAAGTGATAAATACCTGATAACGGGGCTTTGTCATCGAGCAGCTTGCCGAATGAGATGAGTCGGATGGAGCTGGGTGATGATGGGCGCGGCTCCCAGTCTGCCAGGAATCATATGTTAGCCACCCGCAAGTTCTGAGACCATCCCGGCAATTGCACGCATACCTTGCCGCCATTCCCGCCAAATCAATTCCTTCAACGTATATACGCTCATGGCGAATGGATCGTAATTCTCTACATTGACCGACCGTTTCCGCAGGTATTTCCCATCGATCTTGAACGGGTGTCGGGATCCGGTTATCAAGAGCAGGGTGATCACCAAGGATGGGCCCGTGTCCTCCTCTTCTTTAGCAGCCTCATCTGATCCCTGGGACGATGGCTCGGAGCCAGCTGCCGGAGCCTTCGCCTCATCGTGTTGTTGAGGAGATGCGCTTGCAGATGGAGCAGCATCAACTGGGTCCTGCTTGAGGACGGGAGCTGACGTATTATCCTCATTATTCTCTGTGGGTTTCGCATCCACCGAACTGGGCTCTTGGCTCTCGGCCTGGGCGTTATCGGGATGAGGGGCGGCACTAGGAAGCTCCTGACTTTCTGATGATGGCACGGCAATGGTTGTGGATTGCGAAGTCAGGTTGGGGTCGGAGGTGGGCGACATGGGATCAACTTTGGTGTCTTCGGTGACCGACATGGTTTCTTCTGACACACCTCGTGAAGCCGCACGAGTCAGATAGCGCTAGGGGAAGAAAGGAAGGCTAAGCTGGCAGCTCGAGATCGATGAAAACTTTAAAAGAAAGAATGGACCGCAGCGAATTTTCCGTTGGGGATAGCTGTAACCGATATGGGAGTTTGACTGGTGAGGGTAAAGGGGGGTGGAGGCGAATCAGGCTGGGGGTTGAAGACAGGAGCGGATGAAGCAAGGCGATGCGCGCACGGAGGAGGGAAAGGAGGGCAGGCTGAGAGAGGGTGCTAAATTAGGTAGGCGAGGAGGAGTTTCCAAGGGTGGCCCGAACAAGAGACTAGAACCTTGATCGGGGATGGGTGAAGGGGGCCATGCGACCCGAAGGAGACCAGCGAGAGCGAAAAGGGGACGGCGTAAGTAGTGAGGAGACGAGGGACCACGAAGGCGATCGGGCGGGCCCACGGAGTGGAGGAGGAGAGGGAATGAGAGTTGTAAGAGGATTGAATACCCTGTGTGTAAGGCTGAAAGGGAGACTAAAAAGGTTTGTGGCAATGGAAGAAGATGGGGAATGTATAAAGAATGGGAGAGGGGGAGGCAAAAGGGGAGGGGGTGGAAGTAGGAGAAGGAGACAAAAAGGACTGGATTAATTGATTGATTGATTGATTGATGAACAGGGAAAGGGAGAGAGAGAGAGAGACACACACAGGGTGTTGAAGAGAGGACGGAGGAGGTCCAAGCCAGTCACTGCTGAGGGGAGCCCCGATCTGGTTGGCGGTTCCCCCGGGCGTCACCTTGGATCGGTGGGCCACCGCCCATAATTAACTGCCCTTTACTGCTCTTCCTTCGTCCTTCTCCCTCTTCTTTCCCTCTTCCCCTTCCGGTTCATCTCATCCATCGTTCGTCTGTTGAACCTGGCTTTGCATGCAGGTGATTCTTTAGGCGTCAGCCGTCTGCTTGAATGGACGGAATGAGCATCAATTCCCGCGTGCAGCTGAGGCCTCGGTGGCAGCGGATCCTGGTCGCTTCCGGACATATCTGCGTCATTAGCAGGTCGTGACACCTGTCATGCTGGACATCGCTCCTGTCGACTCCATAGAAGCTGTTTGATACACATGGATTAGATCTCTGTATGTTTATGCTTAGGAAAGATAAGCATAAGCATTTCATAGATACTTCACATTAACTGGCCCCGAGGGCATGCACGCGGATGATAAAAGATGTTCAATCATCAGATGATAGGTTCTATCTAATCAGTACAGAATGAATGCACTACTCCGACCATATGCCCTTTACACATTATACATGGTGCATTAGCGCTCTACACTAAAGGTGGCCGCCTTGTTAAGGCTGTCTATTGAGGGGTTGCACCTGCTCAAGTGATCGTGTTTCATACCACCCTGCATACATCCACCTCTGAAGGAGGACGACGAACTATTCTTACGGACATCTAGTGCATTGATGAAATGATATCTGTGCGCTACTAGGGTGCTCTTGGGGTAGGCAATAACTGTCAAATCATCGCACGTCAGCGATGATCGTCACTTTACTCTGCGCGAGCACGTGCTGACGTGACTTGACATCTATGCAAGGTCCTCAGACTAAGTGTTGGCCACGTCGGGATATTTGGTCGGATTAGTCCCCTCGTAGCACACTTAAAAGCTAAATAAAGGCTATGCAATAGAAATTTGTCCGAAAAGAAAATAATGAAAATGAAAAATAAAAATGAAAAGGCATGCTACGACAACAAAGTCAAGTCGTATGATTGACAAGCAACTGAGACATACTGCAGTCTAGAAGGGATCGCCAACACTCTAATCATGATTCTAGTTCTGGGAGCTTTGCATAGCCCTATTTTACTAGTTATTTTTCTAGACCCTCCCATGACTAATCTTGCAGAAACCTAGAAGCACGAGGTTTCAATTGTCTGCTTCGTCAGCCATGGAAGAGATAAACTATGCGACAGTGAAACAAGCTAGTCAGTTTCGTCTATAAGATGACACGACTTCATCAGTACCATGATAATGCCAGTACACTGTATTTCTTGACATTGTACCCCAGTATTCGAGTGGTAGATTTTCCATTCTAACGAGGAATATCACGACAGGTAGGAGTCTATCACGCTTGCCAGTCTTGTACCATATTCGGATGTGATGATCAATATAGACCTAGAAGCTCAGGTACAAAGTACAACGCTTGAAGTACTATCTGTGGTTCATCTCCTGGAGCTGATTTACACTCGAAGCGGTTGGCTTTGCCTTCATCAGAGAAATAGACCCCGTTGCCTCAGGCCATTAATTATAAGTGGGTCGCTGATCAATCCACAGTGATATTCCAGCTTCGAGAACTGTTCTAGATTACAGGCCACCAGTTGGTTTGTCATCGAATATCTGACGCGCACGTCTGATCGAAAGGCACAGTTTCAGTTCGGGTCTCCTGATGGGGAATATAGAGTCACCCCGTCTGCCTTTCAGAATACTAGTGCTACTTCAAATCTGCATAGATGGCCAATGGACTAGAACCCATCTCTACTAAGTAATAGGTTCAATCCCTGAAAATCCAGTTTAACTCCCAACAATCTATTTTTCTATATAATAACTATATGATCAGCGCGTTGGCACCTCTCTATGGAGACTGTTTTTGCCATATATTAGATTCAACCTGGCATGAGTGCGTTTGCTAATCAGGGGTCTGCTTACTATATACTGAATGGACCGGACCTATCTAGGTGCAGGACGGCAATACCGCTTCATGTCTCTCGGATTGCGCTGTCCTACCACTAGATTCTTTGTAAAGAGGTAGAATATGTGTCTTCACTCTCGCTTCAGATTCCCTGCCTGTCAGCCGTATACTGTTGCATCGTTAGGAGGAGCTAGAAGATAATCGTGTTGACCTCTCCCAGAGTACCCGTAGTTCTTGTCAGTATTATCGAATGGTTCTGAGATAGCGTGTGTCTTGTGTGTATGGGTCAATCATAAAGAGTTTATCTACGATGGAATATCGTTCCTCATATGTGCTTAATCGAGGAAGAAAAAAAAAGGCATCATATAGGGATATCATGGCACTTCATAGATACTGAGCGCGAAAAACAAACCCAGATATGATCAAGCTATAGAATCTTCGGGGATTTTCTCCAAAATGTGTCTGGTTTGAGCCACAGTAAGGAACCACAATTGGCCATGGCCAACTTAGATACCGGCATTGAACTCTTTACGACCGTGGGAGCTGAATATGATATCGAGAACTGCGAGCCTCGCATATTTGGTTCTGACAAAGCTTGGCAATTTCGTATATTATATCTTTGTAATGATAACGCAGGTCCGCAACTGAAGCTATACACTGCAGTGATCGTGAAGCCTACGTCTACGGCGAGATTACCTTCAGGGACCATCTGACGTGGCATGGCTACAGTTCTCTATAACCCTGTTACCGTTTTACAGTATCTGCGAACATTAAATCACATTCTCAGTACAAAGATATTAGATAAAAGTGCATTGGACTAGTGGGTGAACACACATAAGATATTCCAGGCCAGTGAGTAGAAAGAGGCAAACAATGTTTATGCAGACGACAAGGATATGTGGAATAAGAATACCAATAACAGCAAGTGAGTTTCGGCTCTTATCCCCCGCATAGGCATTGTCGAGTCATCCAAGGTTCGGCAGTCAAGCGATGGTGCTCCCCCCATGGCTATGGAAGTCGTTTACCGAGGACCCTTAGGAGTTGTAAAGGGCGACCTCTGGTGTAGCCATAAATTGCAATTGATTATATGTAGTATTTGTATATGAAGGCCATCGGTCCAACGAACGCAATGTGTTGCTTCGAGAAAGGTTTCCGTCCTCTAGATATAACTGGATTTTCGAATTAGCCTTCACAGTGGAGAAAGAGATTTGAAGCGTTCGAGGTGAGCTTAGCTTCGGGGTATCGAGATCCATTAGCTATGAAGTAGATGTCTTTCTTGGAGGTTGAGTACGCGTACTGGGAATGTGGACAATTACGTTCTAAAATAGGGAAAGGGAGAAAGTGTGTAAGACATTGTATCAGAATAATCCATTACAACAGGCGAGCCACAAGAGGGAGTAACTGTTGACTTACATGACTAATGTTTAGTTGCGCCTTTTTGAGAATATTGAGAGGAAATACAAATACAAGCGCATGATCTAGCGTTGCTGACTTCGTTGGTTTCATTGCCATCCGCCATCCGCATCTCTCCGCCTCACTCTCACTGCCCCTCTACTGAACCATGCTGATCATCAGAAAGCAGCACAGTTTGAGCGGCATGTACTTATTCTCAAATTTCTTGTCTGGGTGGGGTTTCGATCTACATGCCACAATATAATCTCTCTGTACGAGCCATCTATCTCCGAAAGGCTCGTGGTCACGCCACAATGATAATGGCACCATCGACGGATTAGCTTGATAAACTATGATCCATTTTGACATACGATATCAAATCAACTAGAATGAGCCAATTCGAGGATTGAAAAGCGAAATTCATGAATATTTGACATCATGCTCGCTTGATGAAGGGGGCTCAAAATTGGTGAATGTATTACTGCGATGATCGACGAGCTTTGCATATTTGCTTGACCCATCACCCATAGGTATCCGACTTAACCGGCAGTCTTATCCCATCTAGACTATCTCTCTGTTATTGCTACTGTGAAACTTGGTGCTAATCTGAGAACAGCTCAGCGATCCGTCGTCTCCTGATCGCTTAGGATCCTAGAAAATGCCAGGTCACAAAGAAATTGTCCACGTGGACAAACAACCACCAAGCCATGGTCCAAGATTCAAACATGGCTGTATGCCTCGCATTTGCAAGTAGCATTTGGTGGACATGAAAAGCGGTATCCGTGGTATCCTTCTTACCATGTTCTCGCCCGGTGACCGGCCTTGACATTGTGACATCATTCTTGCCTGGATGTGCGTCAATGTTGCCCACGCCCGACAACGACTATCGTTTGAGCTTGACCCAACATTTTGACTGTGAAGAAAAGAGGGGCGTGGTGAGGCTGCAAGGTTAATCATTCAAGTCCGGTTTAACCTCGAGGGGTAGCCTACCCCTCTGAAGCATTCCTCTCACCGAGGCATCCCTGAAAAGGTTAAGTTAACTGGATTGGGAGAGAGAACAAGTAGACAGCAGCCCTTGCTGTCACACAACCCGGGACCTGATACGAATATGCAGTGGCCCAGACCCATTACTTCCCTGATGTAATTAGCGGTTTACGAAGCATGATCTGGATTTAAGTCATATGGCCACCCTACTGCAGGCCTGATTCCATATAAATGGCCTTGCTCCGTCACCCTACTTCCCAAACAGTGCTCACTAACTCCCTTATGCTGATCACCCGCGAAGTCTTAGTCCTTCCTAGAGATGCTTCGACAGTCCTTCTCAATCGCAAAAAAGGCGACTCGGAAGCTCTACGCTCATGATGACTCCAGTGACCTGAGCCTGGACCTAAACATCACAGAACCAGCGGTATTTGTGCCTACGTTTACGAACAAGCCGGCTGTCCTTCGGGGTACCTGCCAGTTAAGATTGAAACGCGATCTGACGGTGAAAAGGTTGACTGTGAACTTTCGTGGGACTAGTCGTGTGACATGGCCGCATGGTGAGGCTAACGTCTTGCTTGTAGGACCATCTGTCTTCGAAACTAATTCATGACGATCTCTCGCAGGGCTTCATGACACTCAAACCGTGACTGATAGCACGTTGACCTTGGTTAGCCCACAGTCCTCGGATCCCGCACTTCCCTGCTATTCAAGCGCTCTGTCCGAGGGAAGAAAGTCCACATGGCATAAGGATAAGCGCAAGCTGCAGAATGCAGCTCCGTCCACATTATGTGTGGACGGAAACTATGGGAAGGCAGCAGGATCGAAATACCAACGTCTACCCGCTGGAACCCATACGTACGAATTCGAGATGGTATTACATTCTCATTTACCAGAGTCAATCGAGATTCGACAATCCCATGTCCAGTACCGGGTTCGCGCGTGCGTCGAGTGCCCGGGTTTTCTGAGGCGCAGCTTTGCAAAAAAGCAGGCCATCGCTACAGTTCACTGTCCAGCCGAAGACGATGTGGAAGACGCTGAACCAGCATACATTGCGCGGGCTTGGAAAGGGCTGCTTCAATGTGGAATCCTCGTTTCGAGGCGAGGCGCTCCCCTCGGCGACCGGCTGCCTGTTACAGTATCCCTTACGGAACTGAGGAAAGCCGAGTTCCGGGGCCTGCAGGTTTTTCTCTCGGAGAACGTCCAATATCACCAAAAGGATGGACTTGCATGCTGTCCGGGTCCTTTTCGACGCGTTATATTATATGAAAAAGTGGAGATGACCGGGCCCACTATGTCGCTCCACCGGGCCGAGAATGTTGATGATGAGCGGCCAGTATCGGCCACGAAGGGCGACGGAGCACATGCGAAGCTGGTCGGGGATCCCGAGATACCAAGTGGACTAGAGACTGCCGAAGAGGAGACTGTGTTGAATCTTACCTTGCAACTTCCAGGTTGTCACTTACATTGCGTATCGACTGGAACGCAAGGCATGCACTATGACACCAATTATAAGAATGTGAGGGTGAGCCACTGGTTGGAGGTAAGGCCACAAAACTTGGGCGACTGACTCGAAAGGGAAACCAAAGGCAAATCGAACTAACGAAGAGCGTGCAGTTTGTTTTTATGGTGACCCCAAGGGATAATACCCTCGGGTCCAGCACCGAGCGCATTGTGCAAAAAGTGGCGAAGGTTCCACTCACACTTCGGTCCTGTTATGCTCAGCATGCCAATGCTTCTCTACCAGCGTATTGTGATGCTGAGGAATTCCGCTTTGGCCGATAGGTTCGGTTCGTCCACACAGACGACGGCGACGACGATGACCAGCACCACCACACCACACCACCACACCACCACCACACACCATCTCCACCGCCGTCGCTAGGAATGATTATAAAGATAAGCATTAATAAAAATGGGGTAGGCCGCTGGCTGTACCACTGGACCGAATGCCGCGGGAGGTCGGGAAAGCTTCGGTGGCGCCGTCGATTGGCGACCGTTCCCGGTGGCGATCTCCAGCCGTGTTCAAGCCTACCCGCGGCCGTGGCCTGCATCACAGTCTACCGAGATCCACCTTCCGTCTGTGAGTGGATGGCTGAAAACTCTTCAGAGAGGTTAAACGCTTCCAGGGACAAGGGAGGCCCATTCTGTTTAGTAGACCCACGCTAAACCTGCCCTTGCACGGGCCTTGCCTCCATCAAGTGGGGATCTAGTGAACCCTGTGTGGGCCATCCGGTTTATCAGGCGCCATGAAGTTGCATCACTCGCTGTGCTTCCCGACGATCATCCACTTCGGAATGCATCATCCTCACATCATCGCGCAACCTGCCCCGAAACCATCGTGCTGCTCACCGAAGATCCTGTCGTGGACAGTTGGCGGTTGCCCATTCGCACCACTGGCCTGTGATGTCAGTCGCAAGTCCATACCCATGGGTGAATCCGCAGAGATGTGGAGGGCTAAGACGCTTCCAATCTTTCCCCGTGGGTGTGCCCCCCTCTGGGACGGCTCAATTTGCGCTCCACCTTCGGTGGCCGCATGCAGTTTTCCATTCTTTTAAGTCTGCTACATCTGCCAGTCTGTCTCCTCTCCGGTGTCGCCTTCTTCTCGATCACTCTTCTACCTTCCCCTTCCCTCTTTCCCCATCCCCTCTTTCTACCCCAGTTCCCCGGATTTCGTGCGCAGTCTCAACGCTGTTTGGTTTGATCTCTCGGCATCATGGCGCCCCCAAAGTACGCCGGCATGTCTGGCCGGCCACTATCCCTGTTTCTATCAGGCATTGCTACGATGGGGTTTCTGCTCTTCGGTTACGATCGTAAGTTGTCGATCCCAGTATGTAACCATGCAAGGGCAAGCTACTAACCAATATCACTCTCAGAGGGTGTAATGTCTGGTATCATCTCGGACGCCGCGTTCAATAATGTGTTCACGGCTACCAGAAACGACAATGTCATGCAGGCCACTGTCACTGCTGTCTACGAAGTTGGTAAGGAAATATCATATCGCCTTCAGGCCCATGTCAAGTCGACTAATCCTTGCCTCACAGGGTGCCTCGTTGGTGCTATTTTCGCTTTGATCTTCGGTGAAACACTGGGTCGCCGTCTCATGGTTATCTCAGGCGCATGGGTGATGATCATCGGTGTCATCATCCAAGTTACCGCCATGCCAGGCCATATTCCCCTGCTACAGTTCATTTTCGGTCGGGTTATTACTGGTATCGGCAACGGCATGAATACCTCAACCATTCCAACTTATCAAGCCGAGTGTTCTAAGTCGACCAACCGAGGTCTCTTGATTTGTATCGAAGGAGGTATCATCGCCATTGGAACAGCCATCGCTTACTGGATTGACTTTGGTGCCCACTACGGCCCGCCTGATCTTGTCTGGCGGTTCCCTATTGCGTTCCAAATCTTCTTCGGTATCTTGATCATTGTCGGTATGATGTATCTTCCAGACTCTCCTCGGTACTTGATCGCCCACGGCAAGGTTGAAGAAGGCACCCGAGTTCTTGCTGCGCTGGCGGGCGCAGAAATTGATGACCCTCATGTTCAGTTGGAGAAGCAATTGACGCTAGACTCAATCAGAGCGTAAGTATTTTGATGATGAGGTTTGATGGCTAGTAAAACTGACATTATGTCTAGGTCCGGTTCTTCCAAGGCTAGGTTCCGTGATCTGCTCACCGGTGGTCCTTCCCAGCATTTCCGCCGGATGATCGTAGGATCATCTTCCCAGTTTTTCCAACAGATCTCCGGATGCAATGCTGTCATCTACTATCTTCCCGTGCTGCTGGAACAGTCTATCGGACAATCGCACGACTTTGCACTTCTGATTGGTGGTGTGAACATGATCTGTTATGCTATCTTTGCCACCTTCTCTTGGTTCTTCATTGAAAAGATTGGTCGGCGTAAGCTGTTCCTCGGAGGCAGCTATGGTCAATGTGCTGCTATGATTATTGTCTTCGGATGCTTGATCCCCGGTGATTCAGAGAGCGCTAAGGGAGCTGTCTTCGGCTTCTTCCTTTACATGTGCGTCTTTGGTGCTACCTGGCTTCCCCTGCCTTGGCTCTACCCGGCCGAGATCTCCCCCCTCAAGACCAGATCCAAAGCGAATGCCGTGTCTACTTGCAGCAACTGGTTGTTCAACTTCACTGTGGTCATGATCACTCCTGTCATGGTGCAGCATATCGGTTGGGGTACCTACCTCTTCTTCGCCGCTTGGAACGGTCTCTTCATTCCCGTCATTTGGTTCTTCTACCCGGAGACTGCGGGTCGCAGTCTGGAAGAGATCGATTTGATCTTTGCCAAGGGGTATGTTGAGAACATGAGCTATGTTCGGGCGTCGAAGGAACTGCCCAAGCTCACTGACGAGGAGATTGAGGCCAAGGCCGCTGAGTACGGAATTCTCGGCGACGAGGAGAAGGCTGAGGAGAGAATTGCCGAGAAGGATCCTCCTGCCTCTGCCGAGTTTTCTCAGTTCCAGCCTACCCAGCTGTAAAGGGTGTATACCACACTGCAACCTTCCATTACTTGATCTTTCAAAATAATTTTGCGCATGATGATATGCTTTGGACATGAGTTTTATACCATTTTGTTTTGATTTTCTACCGAGCCGTTGCTGGACAACCAAGCTTACGCGTGTATTATCTGGCACTTGGTGCTTATTGTGGCTCTTTCGAAGATCCTTGGCTGTGGTCGAAGGCGAAGAGAGAGAAAGCACTTGTTCATAATCTACGCGTGGTTGTTGAGCAGCCTCGAGATGTATTATGGTCATCTGCGTGCAGATGTTTTATGTCCGATAGAGTGATCTATAGATCCCTGTTTGCTCTTAGCAAATCTTATACCTTTTGATTGGTAAATGAACAATCAAATCATGTCTTTGACATTCCTGAAACCATCCATCCGTAGGGGCAATAAATTTAAAAGGCTGAATGGCGATCCCCAAATTATTGCCAAGTATCTATCACAAGAAACCTAAATTATCAAGGCTATTAGAAGACTAACGGAAGGATCCATGGATAAGAGGCAAACATACCTGTAGTCCGGGCACTAATGTTCTAACCTGCAGATCCGAACTCTAATTACTTCCTTCGCTAGCGCCATCAACTCCAATAACCAATCGTTCAAGCCACATTTGATTGTGGATTCTGAGGACGAACATTCCATTGACTGCATGCATGGTCTATTTAGCCCTACAGGCCAATAGTGTGCATGATGAAACATACTGGATCAATTTCTTGGAGACCAAGTAGACACACGTTCCGACAACGGCAACCTTGGCGAACCGCCGGAAGCCTCGAGCACTATAGCCCCGAGCATGGAGATGGCGAGCGTAGTTCTGGTTAAAATAGGAAGTCGGTGAACGCATATTCAATGTGATATATCCTGGCAATAGGCTTATTGATGATAGTGAGCCAGTCAACTTCCCCATGATGGAGTGATTTATACTTTATGAAGTTCGGGGTTCGAGGATCCTTCTCGGACTCGGCCTCGGTTTTCGCGCCGGGAAGACCGAGTTCTCGGCTTTTGACTTCAGCCTCACCATAATCATCATCACGACCACAACTATTACCATCTCAACTCCTGTGAACAAGCTGGTTCAGGCAATTGGCATTCCGTGCGGATGGATTTGGTACTTTGAACCGGTTACTCATACTATGTCTAGCTAATACATCCAGGCTGCATACGGCACCGATGGCCGATACCGAACCTCGCAAACGTCGCCGGCCCGCCAAATCGTGTGAGCAATGCCGCCAACGCAAGGTTCGCTGTGACCGTAATGTGCCCTGTGGACCTTGCACACGAGCTCGCTCCTCTCTGGGCTGCTCTTATCGCCGGGATAGTCGTTTTTCGACACCCGCTGATCACCAAGCGTCTCCCATTATCTCGCATGAGCCGCAGCGCAATGCACGGAGCTACCCGCTGCCATCTAGGATGCCAGAGGGCTCAACGGGATCCCTGGGCGAGACACTGCACATCGAACCTCGATGTGGTAGCAAAGAATGCGTCTCATCGCAGCTTGGATCAACGATCCGTGATCTCCAGCTCCGTCTACAGCGTCTGGAGGAACGACTAACCGACACGGACATAGTACGGCCACCGGCTCCGGAACCTGATATCCAACAGGCACTTCGAGAGCTGTGCGACAAGGTCCAGAGCCTAGAACAGCGGCTACTATTATGCACGGATTCACCTCAAGCACCGAAAGGAGAACTATCCATTGCTGCAACGCCTCCTCGACTGCACACCAGTTCGAGGAAGATGAAGCTGTTCGGTCCGACTCATTACATGCACACGATGGATAAGGTGCTAGCCCTGTCTCTGTTTAGACTTGGATGAAGACTAATTATCCGTAGCTCCAACTCGTAGGCTCACTGGAAACCAGGGGGCCCCAGCCATTATGCCCCGAGCTCAAGGCAGAGCTGACTGCTCAAACCAAAGAGCTCCGTCTTCTCCGTGGATCAGTCAAGGCAGCACAGAGTCCCCGGCTAAATGACCCTGTGCCAGACTTGCTCTCTACCATCCCAACCAGATCCGTATGCGATGAGCTGGTGCAATGCTACCTGCGGACGTTCGAAGGCGTCTATCGCATCGTGCACATACCATCCTTCAATAAGGAATATCAGCAGTTCTGGGACCAACCTCTAGCAGCTCCTACTCCATTCCTCATGAATCTGGCGTTGATCCTCGCTATAGGCACGACCTTCCACCCACAGCGAGGCAAAGCTGGCAAAGAATACGATACCCAACTCATCCAGACCTGGATCTACGCCGCCCAGTGGTGGCTCACAGGACCAACCGAAAAGGACACCTTCAATTTGGACGGACTCCAGATCTTCTGCCTACTCCTCCTCGCCCGCCAAATGGGATCCCCAGGCCCATCTCTATACCTCTCAGCCGGCTCCCTCCTGCAGACAGCCACAGCCATGGGCCTGCACCGAGACTCGGCCTACTTCCCATCTCTCCCACCATTCCAATCCGAAATGCGAGCTCGTCTCTGGGCCACCGTTCTCGAACTGACCCTTCAGTCCTCGCTCGACTCCGCCTCCCCTATCACGATCCCATACTTCGACACCAAGCCCCCATCCAACTTCAACGACACCGACATCAACCCAGACATCAAGCCACTCCCCAACCCTCACCCCAGCACCACCCACACAGACACATCCCTCCAACTCCTCCTCAACGCCTCGTTCTCCCTACGCGCCGAAACCATCCACCTCATCCACAGCCCCGACAGAATTCCTTACCAAAAGGCCCTCGACCTCGCCACCAAACTACGAACAACCTGCCACACCATCACCACCTTCTTCCAATCCAACACCACCACCACCACATCCCCATTCCACAAATCCCACCTCCTCACAACTCTAAACCGCTACATCCTCCACTTGCACCTCCCCTTCGCCCACGCCGCCTCAACCACCCCACAATACCACTATTCCCGCAAACTATGCCTCGAATCCGCCCTCACAATCGCCTCTTTCGCCCCATCCTCCTCTACTTCAATCCCAATACCCCTCGACGACTTCCCCCTCCTAACCCTCACAGCCCGCGGCCCCCTCCGCGGCCCCCTAAACCTCGACATAATCTGCACGCTGGCCCTAGAACTCATCACCCAGATAGAGGAGGCCCCAGCAGTCCCAAATACTACTACAGCACCTAATCCTCTAACCCTCCTATCATCCACAATACGAGCCCCCATCCTCCAAACGCTCGAGAATCTTGCCCTGCAGAGCGCACACGTCCTCAGGATGCATGGTAAGTCGCCGGCGCTGAAACGGTATATTATTTCTGAGGCGCTGGTGGCGCAGATTAGGGCTTTAGAGGATGGTGGTGGTTGTGGGGATGTGCAGGGTGTGGTGTATGAGGCTGTGAGGGGGTGTTTGCGGGAAGGGGTGGGGATGTTGAAAGGGATGGAGAGGGAGGGTAGAAATGGAGATGGAGATGTTGGTTCGTTGGGGATGGGGATGATGGTCACGCCGGATAGTGCTGGTGGTGCTGTTGGGGGGTCGGATGAGATGGGGTTGGGGATTGGGATTGGAATGGTGAGTATACCCTGAGTTTGAGTTGTTGTTTCTGAAATGAGGCTAATTGTTGGTTTTGTGTAGGATGATCTTGAGGGGTGGGATTTGGCGAGTTTTTTGTATGCGCCTGGGTTTGTGGATCTGGGAGGTTGGTAGGAATGGGTGGTAGGTAGATGGATAGAAAGGGACGATATGATGATAAAATGAAGGTCTAGAAAATCGCTAATGGTAATATGTGTGTGTGGATTAATGAGTGTATAGAAGGAATGATCGTCTCTATTATTAAGGCATGTGATAGTAATAACCTCGCTTATGCATAAGACATGCAGGGTCATGGTCATGCTACAGATGCATTTGTGGTAATATAGTATACCTCAGACCAGCAGAGGGCTAGAACCACCCTGCATACTGATCCAACGACTCATTCTGCACACCGGCAGAACCATGGCGTACCCCGAGAAGGCGAACATTACCGATCTTACCCCCAAAGTCATCTTCCAACTTGCTCTCCCATGTCTCAAAGAGCTCGTTCAATCGCTGGATGACCTCCGCCTTGTCCTCGATGAGCACGGCCAGGGCGTCGTACCCACCGGCGCCGGGGACGACTCCGCCGACAACACCCTCGATGCTGGTAATGGCATCGAGCAGTTCGGTTTGCACCTTGGGCTCGATGGGGACCCCGGCTTTCTGGGTCATGGTGCGGATGAGGTCCCGAGAGCGTTCGATAAGGCGACGAGTATCGTCGAAGCTGTTCGGGGCTTCCGCATCTGGGCTCTGGGCTAGCTGCTTGAGCTCCAAGCACAGTCGCTCATTGTTGGACTGGAGTGCCTGCCATAGCATCAGGGACTCTTCTGGGTTCTGCTTGCGCCATTCCAAGACCTTCCGGACCATAGATGGGGTCTGAGAGCCGCACTCGACGTCACACAGAACCATCTGCATTCCCCGAGGGAGCTTCATGCCGAAATCCAAGCATTCCGTATCCCATGTATGGTTGGGGTCGGCGTCTTCGACGATTGAAAACAGGCGTTCCTCGAAACCTGGTGAGCCTGCATCCCCGACTGACTCCAGAATGGACGGCGAGAACCGCCGGTACAGACAGGAACCGTATATCGCTGCCGCCACGTCAAAGCCAGATCCGACTTTGCCTTGTGCTGCACAGTGAGCGGCCTGCGCCAGATTATGCAGCTTCTCGCGAGCAGCACCGAGGTCCTCGGGCTGCAGGGTGCGGTGAATGACCAGAGCGGATACGAAAGCGGTGACTAGGGCTGCAGACGAGCCCAGTCCGGTCTTGTGTGCTTCATGAAGGGGAACGCCAAAGTTCACGAACCGTCCCGGAGACTGAAGGCTCGAGATCTTGGAGAAGGCGGTTTCCGAGTAGTAGTCGTTATCGGCAAGAATCGTGATGGAAAGGGAACCGAAGTCTTTCGAGGCAGCCACGTAGCTGATGTACGTCAAGGCGTAATTGAGAGAGGTTTCGACAAACGGGTTTGCTCGTCTGCTGCAAATTTAGCTCTGGTTGCCACAAATCCGAGTCTATGCACCTCACCCGTCGCCCTTCTGTACGACTTTAACCCCGCCTCCGTTATCGCAACGCTGGATGCCATACTCCCACACCGCGTCGACAAACTGCGGGGACCGAACGACGATGACGTCCTCACTAGCTTGTTCATCTGCAGCCTCATCTTCAGTTACTTCCACACCAGCCTTGTTTCGGGTTCGAATCCAAACATACCACTGCGGTGAGACCTTCTCAGTTGCTGAACAACGACATGGATACGAGCGTCGAGGGCAAACACTGTGCCGGTGTAATCGCGGTCCAGGACTAGGTAGCCGCCGGCAAGAAGGACCTTCCCAGGGGCGGACACCGCCGTTACCGTGGGGGCTTTGTAGGACATGAGGGGGTATGAGGGTATCGCGAGGGGGTGGACGATCTATTTCGTGTGGCACGGGCGAGGAACTAAAGGGGCGAGACGGTCAGTATATAACCACAACCAAACTGCAAGCGATCGACTTGGGTTGTGATCCTCACAGATGATGTACGCACCGTCAGACAAGTAAGCGTGACCGGTGAACAATCCAATGGGTTGGCAAAAGCAAAGGGCTGCAAAAGCAAATCGGGCTTGGAATAGTTTGCGAACTCCGTCAATATGGAGGAGCCCCGCTTAGAGGGGAAAGTCTACAAGTCTTGCGGGGGAGACAACCTGCAAGGAGAAAGAGGATAAGAAGGAGGCCCAGAGCGGATGCATGATGACTGACTGACCTGCGTCTGGTAGCCAAAGATCGGAGATATGTGTAGAGCTGCAGCGGCATCCAGCATCTGTCAGTTGTTTGCACTGTTGACTTAACTGAACTGTTTGACATGTTGATGTGCCACTATCCACTCAGTTCCAGGCAAACAGGCAAACTGTGGCTGGAGCTCTCTATGTGTGGCTTGACGGGTGGCTGCCATCCAATTCTGGTCCCGTGATCTGCATCTGATTACTGTTGATAGTTTACCCGCCAACTTTACTCCGTAGATTAACCTCCCGTTAGTATGGAGTAGTAGTATTCGTGACCAATTTCCTCCCCTCGTGTCGCCGGACGCTCCGTCCTCCGTACTTTGTATCAAAGCTGTCGTCATGGAAGATAGCCCTATCCGCTAGAGCAGCAATCGCATCTACGTCAGCGGAAGAGTGACATCCGGTGGTGGCAGTGTAGAGTTAATGCATGGGTGTACTCCGAAGATAACAAGCTAGCTTAACTGCTCCGTACTGTCATCTGATGCCAGGGAGATTTTGGTAGGCAGCAGCTCCAAGGGATGCTGTTATTCCATCACATCGTGCGTTGTTAAATGATGCCGCAGGCTCATCACGGAGCAAAAGCCATGCTTGGAGCAGGGACCGAAGTAAGGCCAGTGGTAACAGCTCATAATCTGCTCAAGTCACGCTCCTCCCTCTAGTTATTGTCCTCACAAACACCCGAATTAAGGTACCCCCTAAATTGACTTCCGTCAACGGACTGCGTACCAGGGGTCCGGGACCTCAGACCAGGTCAACAGTTCGTATCTGATCGAGGGGACCAATAAGCGATTGCTTGAGTTGAGGCCACAGTGTCTTCCGTACGGAGATTAGCCTGGGAGCACGCCGTAAATACGTCTTGCGATCTGAGACCGCAGGGGCAAAGGGTCATCATCCCTTTGGGGAGAGCCAAACCCAAGACGGAGAGTCGGCCATCCGGGTGTCCGGCGGGCTGTCGGGGTCTGGCAGTCAAACTCCGGGCCCGAAGAAAAAGAGCCGGAACGGAGGGTGAGTCACTGAGAGGAGCGGGCCGGCCAGACTGGTCCGAACAGTGACAGACAGTGGCAGAAACCTCTCTAAATGGCAGAGAATGGCAGATGCCAGGAGAGGATCCAGAAAATGGCGCTCCTGTTCTTCCCTATGGCCCCAGTGTGTCGTGTGCCCCGATTGGGTCTGGCTTACGATCCGGGGCTTGCCGTGAGACCACCTGATCAGCTCCTTTTGGGAATTCCCGCCAATCCTGCGCCTCAGGCAACAACGACGCTTCTCGAAGGCTGACGTTGCTTCTGTTTCTGCCTCTTGTTTTCTTGTTTCGTGCCTGTGGATGCCGGAGAGAATTTTTCGTAGGATTTTTTTACTTTTTCTTACTCATTTTCTTGTTCGTCCATGGCTCATGGTCGTACTCCTTTTTTTACTTTGTAACTACTTAAAGCACTGCTCCTTAATTTTCCGTAGGGGCGTTTTTCTTGCTCGTTTACCCCTCTTATCGGATTAACGGACAAATCTACAAATTTATAGCCCAGAGTCCCTTTCTCTCGGTAATTCTCAGTGTCTCCCCCACACATACCAATTCCCATCACTAATACTTTACATATTCAAGACGACAATACAATTGCCTTTCCCCTTTCAGCTGGTTGTGAGGGTTCCTCATTCCGCGCCCCAGTGAAAAACTCAATTCTCCGTCTTCCCATTGGTCCGCAAAAGTACCTAGTCTCAAAACAGGAAAAGTCGGGATAGGATCGGCGCTAACCCTCTTTAGGCACGCCCGGCGATACAGATCAGCTTTCCGGCGGCTTTGAAATACCCAGCATTTCCCTCCACACGCTCAGCAGCTGCTGAATTCTCATCCTCTTGTCACTGAAAGGCTTTTTTGCCAATATTCATCTTGCTCCCTTCTATCCCCCTCCCTCCTTTATCCCGCGCGTTCCTTTGGCGACCTGACGTCGTCAAATGAACCTGCATCTTCATTATTATTTTGATTGCAAGGTACGCTTTCCCGTGGCGTCTTCCGGACAAAAGGCACCCCAAAATCCGAACTATCAGAAAATACCACGTATACCAGCAGTCACTGACAATTTTATTAGCATTGCCTCTTCCCTCTGAAGAGGTCACCCGCTAGATAAATGGTCTTCAAGCCGTTTACCCACCTCGCGCGTCAGAGTTTCACCAAAGCCTTTACTCATGGCTATGCTCAATCCGTAGTCGCGGCCTCGCAGTCGTCATACGCGTCAACCACCACATTTAACCAGATTGCCAGTCAACCTGCCGCTAAGCTATCTCGGACGACGCAGCTACAAAATGTTTTCCAGCCATCTAGCTCGTCTGGTGCGGGCGCCAAGGCCAGCCAGGGCACTTCGGGCTCCGGCGATTTGGGCTTGGCTGCCTACTATGCTGCCTGGCAGCATGCCCAGCAGACAGGCGATGACAGTGACTGGAAGCAGATGCAACTGAAAAGGAAGGTTGGCTGGAAGCCGTCCTTGAACGAAGATGGCGTCAAATCGAAGGAGTCCGACCACCTGCCCTCGGCCGACAACAACTTTCATAATTCGCCTCATATCACCAAGGCATCCGCCAACGCAGATGTCAGTGCCAAGGTTGAAGAGGCTGTAGCCCGGGAGATTCAGATACAGGAGGAGCAGGCTCAGGTCGACGAGGCTTCCGAAGCCAAGGAGAACACGGATACGGAAGCTTTCCCTGATTTGCCCCCGGATGTCGCCGCTGTCGCCGATGCCTCCACCGAGCAATCCCGCCTTGCTTCGGAGCACATCACCGATCTGGCTTCGAACAATAAATACGCTGAGATCCCCGGAGCATTTGCAACAATTTTGCGGGATGGTCTTACGCCTACGGTCGGTGCCTACAATGCTCTGCTCGAATCGGCCATTCAACTCCATGGCGATACTGCTCAGGCCATCCAGAAAGCCCTGGATGTCTACTCGGACATGCTTCGTCGCAGGGTAGTTCCCGACGAGCAGACCTACCAAACTTTGGTGCAGCTGTTCGTGGTCCGTGCCAACGATGCCATCAAATCCAAGAGCCTGCTGGAGCAGGAGCGTGCTCGCTACGGTGGTATGGAAGAGCCGGGCAAGTTCATGTTGCACTCCAGTGAGCTGGAGCGCGCCATTCTTGCCGAGGATCACTCGCTGGGAATTGCCATGAAGCTGTTCAACACCGCCGCCACGCGTCATGCCGATCTCGTCTTCCCTCTCGACACCTACCGCCATCTGATCAGCGCCTGTGCAAAGGAGGGCCAAGTCGAAGACATGGTCCGAGTGTATGGACATATGGAGTCCCACAAGGTGACCCCGCACGCTTCGATTTTCCCATCCATGATTGACGCCTTTGCCTCTACGGGAGATCTGCAGAGTGCTGTGGAATGTTACAACGAATACAAGGGATTGGCGGTTTCGGATGATAACGGAACCTTCTGCATTGTGCAACGGTTGGATGGGCAGGTTTACGCTGCTCTGGTCCGGGCGTACCTGGTCTGCGGGAAGGAACAGCAAGCTTTGCGATTCCTGGAGCGGATTCAGGCCTCCTTTGAGGAGGTGACGGAGAACCGTGAGGCGCGCCAGCAGGCCTTGGAATCGGCAGTGGTGCAAGATGGGCTGGTGCAGCATGCGCTCACGTCGGGCGAGCACGGGCGGGCGTTGGATCAGGCCAAGACCCGGTTGCGCGATGGAGCCCTCGATCATGCCATGTCCCAGATCTGCATTGCCGCGGCGGATGCGGGTAATCTGCAGACAGCTTCCGAAGCATACGATGCTCTCCCCACCGACATGACCATTCGTCAGAGGCCCGCCATCTCGATGCTCGCCTTGCATGTGCGTCAGGGCAATGTGTCAGCTGCCCGGGCTGTGTGGCTCACCCTGAACACCACCGGTCAGGCAACGCCGGACATGGTCCAGCCGACCGCCATGTATGCAGTGGCCTTGTTGAAGAGTGGTCAGATCGAGGAAGCTTTGGTCCAAGCTCGCAATATGTTTTCTCGTGTCCGCAACGCTTCTGCTGTCGCCGACAACTCTAGCCTGAACCCCATCCGCGAACAGATCAACGAAAGCCTTCACCTCATCGGTCGCGTTCTTGTGCAGACAGCGGCTGTCCTCTCTCCTCAAGCTGCCATGTCGCTCCTGTGGTCGATGGTCGAGAACGGAGGCCTGATCTCCCCCGTCGCTGAACATGTTGTCGCCAGCCTTGGTCCTATCGGTATCTCTCAACTGAACGCCCGCGATCTCATGCTTGCCCTCCAGGTCCAGGCTGGCATGCTGGTCAACCACAGCGCCGTGTTCGATGTGGCTCACCCCATTCGTTTCTCTCACATGCTCGACATTGCTCTAGCTACTGGGTTGCCCATGGACGCCGTCACTACTCGTGTCGTCGACCAGGCTGTCGGCAAGCTGTTCAACAGCCGGCCCGACATGGTCAAGAGATGGCACGACCACCTGGCTTTGACGTCCAGCCCGTCCTCCTTCATGAGTGGCCGCCACTCTCCCAGCTCGGATGTGTCGACGATGACCCCCATGTCCTCCACCGATGACTCGTTTGACCCTTACGCCTACGCCACCGACTTCCGCGGGTCGTCGATGATTTCCGACGAGCTAGAGAGCACCAGTGGCAAGCTGGAGGCTCATCTGAACGACGCTCTTTCTCGGGTTCGCAACATGCGCCGCAACGGTCGTCACCCTCGCTACATCACGTACGCCAAAATGATTACGGCTGCTACTAAGTGCAACCGGGTCGATCTGGCCTACGAGATCCTGAGCATGGCTAGACGCGACGTGCCTCTTCTTCCTCAGTACAGCGCCGTCAAGTACGGCTGGGTTTCGATCCTGGATGCTATGGTGGCGTCCTGTCTGACTCTGGGCGATCGCAGCCAAGCCTCCAAGTTCCACCAGGAGCTTCTCGAACTTGGCTCGGCTCCTTCTGCCAACACCTTCGGTCTGTACATTACCACCCTCAAGGAATCCACCAAGACGTTCGACGAAGCCACCGAGGCCTTGAAGATCTTCCACCGCGCCGTGGCTGAGGGAGTGGAGCCTACCTCGTTCCTGTACAACGCGCTCATCGGTAAGCTGGGCAAGGCCCGTCGGATTGATGACTGCTTGCTGTATTTTGCCGAGATGCGCGCCAATGGGGTCCGTCCGACGAGTGTCACCTACGGAACGATCGTCAATGCCCTCTGCCGGGTCAGCGACGAGCGTTTTGCCGAGGAGATGTTCGAGGAGATGGAGTCCATGCCCAACTACAAGCCCCGTCCCGCCCCGTACAACTCGATGATCCAATACTTCCTCAACACCAAGCGGGACCGCAGCAAGGTTCTGGCCTACTACGAGCGCATGCTGACCCGGAACATCCAACCTACGATGCACACCTACAAGCTGCTCATCGACGCTCACGCCTCCCTGGAGCCCGTGGACATGCCGGCGGCTGAGAAGGTCCTCGAGACCATCAAGGCTGCTGGCCAGCGTCCCGATGCCGTCCACTACGCGTCCCTGATCCACGCCAAGGGATGTGTGATGCACGACATGGAAGCTGCTCACGCTGTGTTCAAGTCTGTTGCGGAGGAGCGCAAGGTGCGGATGCAACCCTGTCTGTACCAAGCCCTTCTGGAGGCCATGGTGGCCAACCACCAGGTCGCGCAGACTGAGGAGATCGTCCGGGACATGGCCCGCCGTGGAGTGGAGATGACGGCCTACATTGCCAACACTCTCATCCACGGATGGGCCACGGAGGGCAGCGTGGCCCAGGCTAAGACGGTGTATGACAGCATTGGCATCGAGAAGCGGGAGCCTAGCACCTATGAAGCGATGACCCGGGCCTTCCTGGCCAACAACGACCGGGAGGGAGCCTCGCGCACCGTGCAGGAGATGCTCTCGCGCGGATATCCCGCGGCCGTGGCTAGCAAGATCGCCGATCTGGTGGGCACGGGAGCTGCTGTCGCTGCTCTGTAGAGTGTTCCATGGCGGAGTTTCTTTTCCATCCAACAAAAGTTGCCATCCTTTTTGATTTTCGCGGATTTCCAAAACCTTATTGACTGAATCACTATCCGGTTATAATTCACCAGGACTGGATCCCTGCTTTTTCGGCTTTCCAGCCCGATGGTCTCGGCAGAGGCATTTGGGAGGGCAACTCATGCTGGCTGGTTGATATTGTTGTTTTGTTTGGCTTGGATTTGAATGCATTTAGCGAACTGGCACAGGCGTTGTGGCAGCATTTGGGACTGGCTTGTATATACCATGATTTGATGTGTTTTGATAGATCCTCTCACCTCTTTTAGTGTCTATATGAATGGACTATAAAATACTTCCACATTGGTATCCAGATCGATCTAATCGTCGTAGATGTAGATGTAGATCTCTTAGATGGTGACGTTGAGGTGCCGAGCCGGCCGATGGTGTTTTGGCCGCGAATGACTGCATGACCCCGCCGCCCTCCGCATCGGCTTCTTCCCTCGCTTTTGGTCAGCCCACCTTGTGCTTCTCTGACACTGACTCCAGCAATTGAGCATCGCACGACCAGTCGATGCATCCTTACCGTCTGCGTCTTCCCTTTCATCAACCCCTCCGTCAGCTACAATCAGTCGCCTGCTGTCGTTACTACAGCTCCGGACGTACCTCTACGATGAATCCCGGATCACTGCCCGATGGGCCCAGCCACGACGCAAAACATCCCAAGAAGCTGATCTGTACGTCGTCGCAAGACATCTCAAGGAGGACCTATCACTCACCACATATCTAGTCGCTCCAGGAGACATCCAGACTACGCCCGAGCCAAAAATCACCCCCACCGAGACGCCCGATCCCTCTGCTACAGCCACCGGAGTCACAACAGCACCAGCACCCATCTCTCGTCTCGCCGCAGAAGCCCTTCGCTCGAACGCATCGACCCCCGACTCAGTGACTGAAAATGAGATCGTTTCCCACCCTGCCCGCGCTCACCAGTTCGTGAGCAACCCACCCCTCACTATCTCCCAGATGCACCCGACCAACCCTCTCCACCAATTCCACAACTGGTTCCGCGATCCCCGTCTCCTTCCGTCGTCCGCACCTGAAACCTGCACCCTCGCTACAGCCAGCATGCCCTCCGGTCGGGTGAGCGCCCGTGTCGTATACCTCAAGGAGCTGGATGAGCGAGGCTGGGTAGTTTACAGTAACTGGGGCAGTCGAGAAGGCAAAGGCGGACAAGTATTTGGCAATCACGCAGACGGCGAGGACACGCTCAGCGCCATGCCCGAACCAGGCCAGGACGAGTCTCTTCAAGCAGGACTACAAGAGGGCAACAAATGGGCGGCATTGACATTCTGCTGGTCGAATCTGGAACGTCAGGTGCGCATCGAGGGTCTCGTCGAGCCGCTCAGTCGCGATGAGAGTGAAATGTACTGGCGTACTCGGGAACGAGGGAGCCAGATCGGAGCTTGGGCGAGCTGGCAGAGCAAGGTGCTGTGGTCTATGGAGCCGGAGCTGCTTCTGGATCGTCGGCGCAAGAGCTTGGATCCGACTTTGTGTCCGCAGATGCAGGTCCCCGGGGATGTGGACGCGACGGACATCGATGATGGGCGGGCGCTGTTGGAGAAGCGGGTCAAGGAGATGGAGGAACGGTTTGCGGGGGTCGAGCAGATCCCTCTGCCTCCGTTTTGGGGAGGAGTGCGCTTGGTCCCTGAGTCGGTGGAGTTCTGGCAGGGTCGGCGCAGTCGGTTGCATGACCGATTCCGGTATGTGAGGGTGCATAAGGAGGACGGGGAGGAAGGGGGGTATATATGGCGGATTCAGAGGCTGTCGCCATGAGCGACACAATCTAATAATTACTATTATAAAGGCTATACATGAATATTATTGTTACGAGCTTAGCCATTAGCAGTTGACATCGACTTCGCTATACTCCGGACACTGTATACAATAGCTATCGCCCCCATCTGGCAGCAGCCAAGACCTACCTTATCGATAGGAGAGCAACCTCACCTCCCCAATTTCCCCAGATATTATCACACCTAAGTCCTCCATACTCCTCTACCCTATACTACATACGTTACACAGTTCAATCACACCTTCCAACACACTACATACCAATATAATCAACATGTCCGAACCCCCATCCCCATCCCAAGAGCCCCAATCACACCCAACCCCAGAACAACAACAACAACAAAAGCCACACCAAACCAAATGGCTCCTCCTCGCCCTCTCCAGCGGCGCCTTCGCAGCCCTCAATGGCCTCTTCGCAAAGCTGTAAACGATCCTCCTCCTCCCCCTTAATTCCTCCCCATGAACATTGCTAATAAAAGACCCAGAACAACCGACACTGCCACCACCACCTTCGCTGCACACCTCATCCACCTCTTCACCTCCGCCAACAACATCTCCGACGCAGACCTTATATCCTCCCACCCCATCCTCATGCTCCTAATTCGCGGCCTCTGTTTCGGTCTCAACATCCTCAGCAACATCATCATGTGGGCGTTGTTCACGCGCGCCCTGACGGCGGGGTCCTCCACCACGAAGGTGTCGATTACCAATACCGCGGCTAATTTTCTGGTTACGGCTATGCTAGGCATGGGGGTTTTTGGGGAGAGGGTCGGCGGGTGGTGGTGGGCTGGGGCCGCGATGATGGGAGTAGGTTGTGTTATTGTTGGGAGGAGGGATTAGTTATTTTCTATGTGATAGGGAGGGGGTTGGTAGGGAGGAGGTAGTATGTACAATGATTTATGCGTGTGGTGTGGTATCAATGCTATCTATCTACTGCTAATCTATTCTTTGTGTTATGTGTATCATGATGGATGGAAGGGGTAGGCGGGGGAGGTTAGCGCTCTTCTAATTCCAGCATTGCGTCTTCCTCGTCTGCTTCGTTGGCTGTGGTCTCTGCATCTCTGTGCTGCTCTGGAGCTGTGGTGTCTCGTCGTCTGGATTGTTGTTGTTGTCGTTGTTGTTGTTGTTGCTGCTGCGGTGGTGGTGGCCTCTGCCACGGCAGTATAGACCCGATGCGCTGGAGGAGGTTCCACAGCCGCTCTTCTAACGTGTCACCACCACTCCGTCCGCCCCCTCCCCCCAGAGCTAGTTGGGGCGGACTAGTCGCCGCGAGTGCCTGTTCCTCGGCTTCAACCTTGAACTGGTACTTTAGGCAGTCCTTGACAGTGACCAGGCCCATCAGACGACCGCGATGCTCGACCAGGATGACGCGCGGTCCCATCTTCTTGAAGATCTCCATTACCGTCTCCAGGGCGAGACGAGGATGTACTGTCAGCGGCGTGTGGTCCGCGTACCGGCTAAAGTCGACGTAGTCGGCCCCCGTGTTCGTCTGGATGTCGTCGAAGGTCTCCGGCACGTGGAGATGTGATGCTGTCGATGCCCTGCGTGTTACTGATGCCTCGGCTGCTTCTTTAGTGAATAGGCATTTGGCTGTCGGCGATAGCGGTCCCTCGGCTTTGGCGCGGTTGATTGCATATCGCAGCTCCGTGCGGCCGATGTATCCGACGAGTGTCTTCCGGGTCCGGTCGTCAACGATCGGGAAGCCTTGGTATTTGTTGTCGCTTAGTAGGTGCTCGGCTTCGCGGACGGGAAAGTCGGATGCGGGCAGTGAGACTGGGTCCGATGTCATGGCTTGCGAGACCGGCACGTTGAAGACGTGGTCTTCTTTATTGTCGAGGAATGGGAATCCGTTGGACCAGATCATGCGGTCGGCGATGCCACCCTTGCCGAAGCAGTCGCTGACGGCTTTGGTGACGCCGACGACGATCTAGTTATGAGTTAGTGTTATTACGGGGATAGTTTTGCAATAAACGCACCATTGTTGGAAGAATGTAGTTCAGAGCACCCGTCAACTCGAACATGATGACCGTCACAGAGATCGTCAAATGCATGATACCACTCAGAGCCGCGCCCGCCCCCAGGAAAGCATATGTTCCTGGTGTAATGCATGGAATGTCCGGCTCGCAGGACGCAAAGAATTGAGACTTCGGATACGCTTCGTGCAACGCCTGCACGAGATTACCGACGAACCGGCCAAAGGAGGCCCCGATTGCCATTGACGGCACGAAGATACCAGCTGGGACCTTGCAGCCATATGAGATGATGACCAAGAAGATGCGAAGAATGGTAGCTACGGCCAGCGACATCACCATAGACCAGCGGTTCTTAGCCCTGTAATAGGTGAGTACGTGTTGCGCCAACCGAATGATGCCACTTACTCGCACAGGCCGTTATAGTCGTGCCCTCCCTCGCATTCCCGGAATAGGATCTCCATCATCTCCGTCATGTTGATCTTCAGGAACATATTCGGGTAGCATAGAATGGCCGTGATTCCGGCTAGGACAACTGATTCCATGATGGCATGCTGCGACAGGTACTTCTTCCTGAACGCTTGCACCCGAAGGTTCCACTTGATCACCAAGGCACCGTACAAGCCACCAAAGACACCGATTAAGACGAAGAATATCAGTTCGAAGAAGTGCCAGGTACGGTCATATTGCACCTGGAACATGACTAGTTGCCCTGTCCGGAATGGATTCATAACCTGCATTGTGTCAGCGACAGCCAGTCAAGGCATTCATTTGGTAGACATACCGCTAGCACACCAGTCGCAACCAAGGCACAAAAGTAACTGCGCCATAAAGTCTTGAGGGGGAAGTACGATGCCACTTCCTGCCAGCTAATCAGTGAGAGCTTTCATATCGGCCCTGCTGTCCATACCTCGAGAGAAAAGAGCACCCCACCAATGGGACTGCCAAATGCAACTGCCACTCCGGCCGCTGCTGTTGCCGTCAAGACCTCCCTCGTCTTGGATGCGTTCTGCTTGTATTTGCTGAAGAACCGCGATATCACGTTCCCCGTACACACAGCGAAGTGCACACTCGGACCCTCTTTCCCCACGGACAGACCAGATGCAATGGCCAGCGGTAGTGCGATCGACTTGATCAGCAATGTCCATGCGCCCAAGAATCCCTTCATCACAAACCCCGCAATTATACACTTTATCTCGGAAATGCCGGAACCTGCGGCATACGGCGCGAACGATTTGACGAGGCTTGCGGCGACGAACGCAAATAGTACCTATCGAGGTCAGCTCCATTCATTCGGAACGAGCAGAGTGGACAGCCATACAGCGTAAAAGATGTAGATGAAGTAGTTCACGATCCAGTAAGAGGTCCAAGGCCTCCACTCCGGACACCCTGAAAACAAAGAACCATCAGCTCAGACAGCGAGGGGCGATCGCACCACCAGTCCGACATACCTCCTTCAGCACCCCAACAACAAAACTGTTCATTGAGATAAAACGCAGTCGTACAATGCCCCAGCTTGACGTCAGACAGCCACTCTGTAATGATGTTCAGAATCGCTGAGATCAACCCAATGGCCGCCCCCACAATTGTAATAACCAGCCACGCCTGACCAGCATCGTAGGATTCGCGCACTTTGCGTCTCCAACCAAAGGTCCCTTCCTGGTCCCAAAACCCAGATCCATCTCGTCGCTTGGCTCTCCGACGTGCCTGTTCATGAACCGCATCTTGCACCCAGTCAATGGTTGTGAAATCTTCGTAGCGCTTAATTTCGCTGATCTCCTCGGTGATCGCGGAGGGCTGGCCATTTTCCGGGGTCGGGCGCTCGTGGATCGGTGAGACGACAGATAAGCCTGATAACCTCCTCCAATTCCGACGCTCAGACGAGAGGGGAGGCGGACGAGCCGAAGAGGGTGAGACAGGCATCGCAACTCATTCCATAGACTGACAGCGCAAAATGGGCATAGCTGAAGCTAGTAAGAGGGGAAATCTGGGGGTAATTCTGTTGGATCGGAGATGACGACGATAGGATGCGCGGCCGCCCACGTGAGGGATCCGGACTGTTTTCCGCTCTCGGGCTTCTCTCAAAACGAGGCTGAATAGACAAAGACAAAATGCTAGGATGCCGGACAATAGAGTGTAATTTGTAGATACAGATCAGAGATCTGCATCGAGTGCTGGCTGACAGGTCCCCTACTAAGCGTGAAATAACTAGTTGGTAGTTGCAGCGTTTGCTGGAATCGATCCTCTTCCGAACCATACATTATTCATTTACTTTCCTCTTCCGCCACGCGCGTGAGTGGATTTCGACGCCGCACGCGCCGGAATTCCCTTCTTTGCAACTTCACTTACTGGGTTTGTCTTTGTATCAACACAGTCGCAGGAGTGAAAGTATTGTCTCACCTACACTCAATACTTCGTGTTATTCTCCTCAGGTGCAATCCGATATCGTCCAGAGCATTACTTGCACGACTATCTCCGACGCGACGTCGCGATGCCGCCCAAGGACAAAGCTGCGGCGGAAGCATCGTCTTCCCAAGAGATCACAGGCCAGAGCGCACTTCCAAGTATGTGGGAAGCTTTCTGGCTATAAGTGCAAGGCTAACATGAGCTGAAGTCTCGCGGATCAAGAAGATTATTCAATTAGATGACGATATCGTACAATGTTCGAGCAACGCTACGTTTGTGATCGCCATGGCCACGGTTCGTGACTACGATACTTCCTCCCCTCTTCAGTCAATATCGAGGCAACCAGCACTCACATCTTTTTCACGAAATTAGGAGCTATTCATTCAATACCTTACCGAACAAGGACACAACGTTGTTAAATCCGAACGAAAGCCGCGCAAGCTTATCCAATACAAAGACCTGGGTTAGTGACCACTGGGCACAGGGATGATAATATGAATTACTGACGGATGGATATCCAGCTACGGCCGTATCACGCATCGACAACCTCGAATTTCTTTCCGACGTGATCCCCAAAACCACAACCTATAAGCAGTTCAAGGAGAAACGGGCGAAGGAGAAGGAACCCGGACCCGAGAAGGGACAGCGCACATTAAACGGCAATTTACCTGCAGCTGTCGAAGATAAAGAGGAAGTTGAGGAACAACAGAGTCTACAGCCAGTAGATGACAAACCTTCGAGGGGCTCTCGACCGCCAACGGTGACAATGATGGTGGATCGAACGGTTGATACATCTGCTGGAGATCAGGATGTCGAGATGACGGACCAGTGACGGATTCAGACGATTATGAGTTCTGGGAATTTATACATATTTTATCTTTGCATGGTGGAGTTATTTGGAAATATCATTTTGCTTTGGTTTCAACCTGTGGGTAGTCCATTGAAATATGTTGTTGGTCAATCGCATTGGGATATTCGGATATTGGGGCAGCGGAATGGAACGGACGACGGGATGAGCGGGCGGGAGTGAACGACGAATGGCGTAATGAGGGTATGAGTTGGTAAGAAAACACAAATAAGAAGTGTCAATGAACATGAAAGATATATGAATTGCGGAAATAAGAGTAGATGGTGAAGAAAGTAAATGTGTATATTAAACAATCAAGAATGATTACTTTGTAATAGGCTGTGATGATTGACTGTCAGGTGAGAGCCTGACTAAGACGGGACGACGGGCCAATGAAACGCCCCGTGATTCCGATCGCTTGTCGTAGCGAAAGCTTTGGTTCGACTCTTTCCGTATGCCGGGCCTCCGACCTCAACCTCGACCTCTTGGGAAAATCAAATCCTCCCTCCGTCCTTATCTCTCCCTCTCCACCCCCCACACCCCAACCCACCTCCCTGCGGTCGTTCTCTATTGCAATTGATTGCAATTGCTCGTCTCGCCATGTCTCTCTCCGCCGCTTCCAGCTCTATCCTGCGCGCTTGCGCCCGGCAACAACTGCCCTCTTCTCGCGCCGCCATTGCCTCCTGCCAGCAGCGGAGGGGAGTCGCTGATGCCTCCAAGTCCACTTTCGATAGCCCCTTCGGCAGCTCCAAGGAGTACTCTTCCACCCTGAAGATCCCCGATTTCAGCAAATACCAGTCCAAGAAGCCCCCACGCTCCAACCAGGTCTTCTCTTACTTCATGGCCGGTTCCCTCGGTCTGGCCTCTGCCGTCGGTGCTAAGGCCACCGTCCAGGGTAGGTACCCCTGGAGACATTGAATCTTGCGCATATACATGAGAAAAGAGGAGGGAAATCTAGGAGGGGGGGATATCAGGTTGAACAATGGGAGGGAATGGCTGTGTGCTTGACCGCTCGGGACAAATCGCTGATATGGAGTTTCTCTCATTACTAGACTTCCTGGTCAACATGTCCGCCTCCGCCGATGTCCTCGCCCAGGCTAAGGTTGAGATTGGCCTTGGTGCCATCCCTGAGGGCAAGAACGTATGTTCTATATTCTCTTTTCCCCCGAACCAGAAGGCTGGCTCGTCCCCCTTTGCAATCCAGCATCTGACCGATTCCGAAACAGGTTATCATCAAGTGGCGTGGTAAGCCCGTCTTCATCCGTCACCGCACCCAGGACGAGATCCAGGAGGCCCAGAAGACCGAGTGGCAGTCCCTCCGTGACCCCCAGGCCGACGAGGACCGTGTCCAGAAGCCCGAGTGGCTTGTCATGCTTGGTACGACATACTCCTCCCCGACCCGCCATTGACCTCCCATCTAATATATATCCCCCTATCTAGGTGTCTGCACTCACCTTGGTTGTGTCCCCATCGGTGAATCCGGCGACTATGGCGGCTGGTTCTGCCCCTGCCACGGTTCGCACTACGACATCTCCGGCCGTATAAGAAAGGGACCCGCTCCCCTCAACCTCGAGGTTCCCCAATACAACTTCCCCTCCGAGGACACCCTCGTCATCGGTTAAACGATTTATAATCGATTCGATCTGAGACCGCGGGAATCGGGCGATGGCCGTAAGAGCAGAAGTAGAAGTAGGAGAAGGGGAAGGGAGAGAGAAAGAGAGAGAGGGAAGGTTTGTATTTGTGCATTAGACGAAAGCCTTCCTCTCTCGCTTTCTACTCTATGTGTGTCTTTTTGTCAAGATTAAAGAGACCTTGTGTTTTTAATATGGACCCTGGAAAAATGAGCCTCTTGTTCTATTACAGTTTCTTAACACTTTTTTCTTTCCTTCTTCCCTCCGCTTGCTCATAGAGCCTGTATCACTCACTCGTTGTTTCTTCAGGGCCCAGTGTTCTTTGCTTCGTGTTATTGGGTATAGACGTTGGGGAAGATGTGTGGGTGGGTGATGTTGGACATACAGATGTGTATTTATCTGTTTGTATGTTCGATGTTGAGTATATGTGTTTTGTCTTTTGTTTTTCAATGTTTCGTATAGTCACCATCTATGTTCCGGTTTCTTTTGTACTACAATGCGGTCACCGTTCCAATTACCAATACGTAAGTACTAGTAGTCAATCTTAACAAATTTGGGACAAGCACCGATGAGGTAAGAAGTGTCTATCTATTTATACATTTACTTATCTGAACGCTGTACATCTAATAACTAGAATGAACATCACATGCTAATAATTACATCAATCAGGCTATCAAACAGATCAATGGCGATAACCTCATCACCGTTGCCGAATAATCATCGACAACATGCCGATCACCGCCGCACCAGCAGCAGCGCTTTGCAGAGCAACAGTAGAGAGGTCTCGTTGCGTGAGCACGACTTGGCGGTCACTGAAGAGATCGTGGAGATATTGGCGCAAGGATTCTAAGAGGGGAGAGACGCGCGCGAGCTGGAATTTGATATACTCCCGGATATTGTCAGGGGCGGGTTTGCTGACTGTGGTATTGGCTGACGGTTCCGCATCAGCTGGATCCGAACTAAATACCTCCGGTTCGGTGCTCTCAATCGTGACGATTGCATCGGTATCAGCGATTGGCTCATCTGCGGGAGAGGCAGACGGCTCTGCAGTCTCAGCGGTCTCAGGAGTGGCTGTAGAGGCGGTAGATGTAGTAGACGATTCCTGCGCCATCTGGTTCTGAGCAGTCACGATCTGAATGCGATCAAGCGCCTTTTCCTTCTCAATGGCTTCGATGACCTTCTCTTCGAAGCCCTTGACGAGTCTCTTGCGACGCCAGGGTTCCACGGCGATTTGAAATATCAGGAACAGAAGAACGTTGACGCCCATCAGGCCCCAGGTACCCCAAGTACTCATTTGGCGGATCTTGTCCGACCAGACTTGTTCCTCGTGATACCGGGACAAAATGCTCTTGCTCAATTGTGCAGCGGCCTCTTCGGCCTCGTGTTCGGCCTGGCTCAAAGCCTCCTGTGCTTCGTGCTCGGCTACTTCGTTGGTGTGGTCGTTGCGGTAGAGGTGGGTGAATCGCTCCAGGTCAGTGGGGGACCAGGCATGTTTGCGCTGGAGAAGCTCGTTGACTTCGCGCTGGGAGGTTGATCGGTTGTTGATGGCAGCTGCGTAGGCATCTTTCGCTGTGCGGACTTGGAGGCGGGCGGTGCGGAGTCGCTCCTCTATTCACCCATGTCAAAGGTTAGAAACAATAGTTCTAATGATTAAGTTATGGAATATGGGTGCCACATACCTTGTCTATGAATCTCCTTCTTCAACATTTCGATCGCCGAATAGCCCGTAAGATCATTCAATCGCTGTCCTGCCACGAAAATGTTGGACTGCAGGTTGTCCATCACATCACTGAACCGCTTTGTGAATTGTGACCTGCGTTGCTCTATGTAGGATGGAAGCCCTCCATCTCCCCATCCCTTTCCATTGGCCTCGCTCTTCTCTTCTTGCTGCTGCTGCTGCTGCTGCTGCCGGCTCTGTGTACTTTCTCCCGCCTCCGCAGCAGCGGGAGGAGCCTGTTGCTGACTCCCCGCATCGGCTTCTAGATTTGCGTTCCCTGCGGGAAGAGCTATGACTGGGCTTGCATCTTCCTTCGGCTGCTCAGCAGGCTTCCCGTCTTTGAGGGGATCAGACGAGTAAAGCGAGGACTGGGTTCGAAATTGACATTGCAGGCAGATGGAGAAGTTCCGCGGTGCAGGGTAAAGAGAGTTCGGTCCAACGGCGGGCAGGAGCGGTCGTCGGACTGGGCGGGTTGTTCGGGTGAGGTTGAGAGTTGATTTGAAGGACTGCCTGAGCAGCAATGGCATAGACTGCATGGCCGTTGCTAAGGCCACTGGGACGCCGACCAGACGCTTGTTTCGTTTGTTGTGCTGGATTATCGGGTGGGTTTCAAGGCTGGTCGGCGCCGGGAGAGAAGGCGGTCATGCGGAATCGCCGCGGTTCTGCACGGTTCTGGTGGGTATTTCAGTAGCGCAACGTTGGGGATGTTTTTGTTGGTTCCGACAAGACTATGTCTCGTGGCCTTGAATGGAGACTTTTCGGGGTCTGCTTGATTTTCTATGCTTTACATAGTGTACATCCTGTTCGCATGGTAATTTTATTGGTATAAGAGTAAGCTAAACAAACGTGAAACGACATTAACCTCCTTGGTGTCCTAGTCCGCTGATACGAAAGAAAGTGGTAGAATGATGTAGACAATACATGATTAACAACGTCATTATGCGTGATCGCAGAGTAAACTGCAGAAAAATATCCTGTGATGGGCGTCACAAGGCAAGATATGAGTAGGATGTGTAAAGCGAGTGAGCTCTCATGAAGCAATAATTCCGGATAGTAATCACTGCTAGCGCAGTAAATGCGAATGGGGCTGCCGGTCTTCCCTTCCTCTAAGGCACTCAGTCCTGCACTTTATGGTCTCCCTTCACGGCCTCAGCATAGGTAGGAGGTGGGCGACTATCATGATGTTCCTGGCTGCTGCTGCCAGCTTGGGCTTGTTCCTGAGAGTGATTCGGAGTAGGCTGCCGGTTCTGTGGCGGGGCGTTTGCTGCTTGGGGCTGTTGTGGCGGCAAAGTACCATAGCCCCTCTGGGAGGGATGCTGGATCGGCTGGTGGGAAACATAGTAATATGTTACGCGACCGTTTTCCGCATCGCCAGGGAGAGGTTCGTAGCTAGGGTCATCATAATCTGGTTCGGGGTACTTGAGTATAATGTACCAGGCGTGTAAAAGCCCGGGCACGTAGCCAAGGCAGCAGAGAGCAAGGTTGATGATGGAATCGGCCGTGCAAATGCCTACTTTGATCCACACTGAGCCAGTCGGTTAGCATGCGTCCTCTCGCAAATGCAATCAATGTGCGATCAATACTCACCCGAGACTGGGGGAAAGAAAACCGCGAGAATCGCTAGAAAGATGTCTGAACCACACATGGCTGCAATGGTAGAATAGGTACTCTATTGATCAACCTCCTGACCATGCAAGTGTTCACTGTAAGATTTTGGCTTGTATCTTACGATGTAGGTTTCAGTATAGGAAAAAGTACGCATGAACCTGACAGCGGCAGGTAGTGGTGGGATGACGAACGATAAGGATGGATGGATGCCTGCGTGAGCCTCCAAGTCAGATGACGTCGTTAATATCACCTGACGGCACGGGTACTTACTGGGGATCACCACATAGAGTAATTTCTTATCATACTCTCTAGGCGATATTATGATACTTCATTTATTAGAGTAAATTCCTTTCATTGGACATAGATTGTTTCACGATAAGTTGGAGAGTGCTCTCTCCACGGGTGATACTGCGCGCAGGCTGTTGAGAAGACTGAGCAGCCGAGACCGCTGGAGACGGGTAGCTGGGGTAATCAGTAGAAACTATGTAGTTCACAGATTTTCTTGAGGGCCATTCTATTGAAAGTATCTTCGATCGCTTCATTGGGACGGTAGTAAGTCCCTCGAAGAGGCCTTGCGCGATCGATGGTGTTCCATCCTAAACTAAATGTTTACGAAATATCCAAAACTTGCACATTTATATATACTAGTGCCACTATCTGTTCATGTTCTTTCCATTTCCTATCAAAATAATCTTCCCTCCAGTCCCTACCAACTAATAGGAACTATGCTGATAGTCTCTCCTACTACAGTGCTTCTTCTACTATGCTATGAAAACAGTAGTTCCTGGCCTATCACTTAGTAGTACTATTTGTATTTCAGCCGTCAGAGGGACAAGACAGAATGTACTACAAGTATAACTACCACCAGTTCTCAAATGCACGAAGTAGCACTGCCCTCAAATTTCTAAGTAACTTGCTTACACTGGACGAATTAGATGGTTTATCCTGGCTAATTTTTTATTTATTTTCTTTATTTTTCTTGTTACTGATTTCTGTAAGTCCAGAAGCATTCCATAGAGCGGAACTCTACTCTCAAATTATGCCAAGGAATCGAACTGAGTATATCCGAGAATGTGATCAGTAGAAACCCAAAATGGAACCTTAGATATCGGTTGAGCAGCACGGACAATATTTTACACATCCATCAGCCACAGGGTCGTGCCACGATGTGCCGATACCAGACAGGCGATGAGTGAAACAGCTTCCACGGCCTCGGGTGATGTTGTCTCCAGATGTCCGTAATAGTATCTATCTTACTGGCTTCCTAAAATGATTTCCTGCAGGGCACATTGCAAGGATTAGGTGTTGTTTCAACATGCCCCTTTACCAGCGAGCGGGATGTGATACAGATGCCATGATACACTCAGACTTGCGGAGAATATGTGGGGTATCTCAGAGCAGCCCGGTCGGCTTGTTCACAACCCTGATGTCGGAGATAGTCGCTGAAAACTGAATGGGAGTCTCAGAGCGACCTTTGGATGCATCTCGATAGGGAAATTAGTGATCTAGTACCTAGCTCGACGATGGATAAATGCAGAAGCAGCATGCCAGGTTCTGTGGTAAGCGAGCTCCTCGTCCCTGTTAGATGACCCTAGCATTGTGCGGAAAGGGGCGTATGTGTGACACGCAAGGGTGTATTATCATCTGTTCTCTAGTTGGGACGAAACTATTTCGAATAATTGGTAGGTATTCTGACACTATGTTGTACACCCAAAAAAGCCGCCAGTTGTATACCTTGTATTGCCATAGATATTGGATGTATCTGAATCATAATGTAGCCTCCACCAAGCATCCCTACCTTACGAGGTACGGTCAACGGGGATAATGATTTGGAGAATCACTCTGATGAAAGCCATGCAGCAGTCTTTCGTGGGCAGTCGTATCGCAGAGCCAGGCGAGTGAGGCGACGATAGCGATCGGCCCAAAGTGGATGTAAGTAACATACTTACGGTACACCGACAAGTGCACCGCGGACGGTGTCTCAAGCTTACATCCCGACCACTTGGGGATCAACCTGGGACAATGCTTCAGGTGTGGAATATCAGAAGGATAATAGCAAATATTTGCCCAACCTGGCGGTTCCTAGTGTACCATAAAGTTGCACAATTTGGTTCTGCTCCCGTGTTGGCCAGGCCCACCCTTATAGCTGCTGCGGCTTTCCCTGGTTCTCTTTTCCCACGAAAATTTAGGGAGTATATTCGAGGTAGATAGTTAACAGAACTCCGAAGGTGGCACATGTAACAAAAACATACCACTGCATAGATGCTTACAATCTGAAACACTATTCTGTGCTGGCTTGATCAAGGCTAACGGCAATGGATACACTTCATCCGAATAGTGGAGGCTGGGCCATTCGCTGTGTCCAGCACAGTCCGTGCCTCTGGCACCAACAGCCTCAAATCGGACGTGTGCCACGTCAGTCGATCACCGCCAGAGATAGATAATCCCTAAGAACTCCTATGCATCACAAAATTCCTCGCGATGATCAAGGCAATAAAGTTCCCGGTTCCTGCATTGATTCTTCCTTTTCTTCTCTTCTTCCGCTTGCTTGTTCCTGAGTTCCTTGCAAATCCAGCGACACCCCCTGCAGGATCTCATAAGTTGGTCTGACTTTACGCCAGGGAGTGGAAAAATTCTGACCATTCGCATCCTTGCTGCAAGCGCAAAGCATCCTAGAGTTAGCCAGTGTCTACAGCGAAAAAGTGAAACGCAGAAGGTTAGTGTTTACTTCTGGAAAGTTTGATGGGTGTGATAATGAACCGAGTCGGGATCGGCTCTTGTACCTCAGTTCCGGGTGCTGGTGGAGCTCCGTTTCAAGATTTCATTTGATAACACCGAGTCTCGCAACAAGTGGACTAACTCGATCTGTAGGCGCAACTGAACCTTCATGCGGAGGGACTCAATCGCAGCGCATTGCAGTGGAGCAGTTTAATTGGAAAGACGCCGGCTACTCTTGCGAACCGCCCGCCCGTCCCCCTTTTGAGTCAGTCTTCTCCAGTCGCGGCCCTTCTGGTGCTTCTGCCTCTTTACCTTTTTTTGTTTCTTGCGCTTCTTCCGTTATTCAAGATTGTTCCGTGAAGGAGCCGACTTCCATCGAGTCCAATCGCGCCGTTCTGCTGGTGCTTTGCTTTTCTGGGTCTCTTCCTTTCGGGGGGCCTCGAACCCAAGCGGCAATCACATCCAGCCCAGACTGGGAAAGCACGGCCTTCCTCCAGGTTCCTTGTCTAGCGCCTGCCTTTTCTGCCGTGGATCGACGCCTCTTTTCATTTCTCCTCCCGTGACTCTTCGATTATCTTGGGCTTTCCTCCTTGTCCTTTGCCTTCGCCGTTGAGGTGCTTCCCGACATTGCTCGCTATAAACCCAACCAAGTCACTCGTTCATCCTCAGGTTCTAATCGCATCGACAGAGTCCCTTGCGCTCTACCCGAATATTCTTTCTCGCTTTCTCTAAAAATCTATTTGTCCCACTGATTTTGGACGCGTCGACAATTGAACCCACTCGGGTTAAAGACCATCGTTGCGCACATCCGATCGTTCATTCAACACCCAAAAAAGTAATCGCGAAAGAAGGGAATGAGCATGGAAACGACTAAATCACTCTCCTGCTGAATGTCCATATCCGAATTGTGATCTGCTCGTCATTGTTCTGCCCTACGATATCAATTTTCGCATTCAGAAGCACCTGGCAGCCGCCAGTGTCGATCCAACCATGTCCGGCACTTGTATCTCATTGTCGGGCTCGACACAATGCCCTGCTTTTGACAGTTCCTCTGTCTCGACGAATTCCAGTCTCTACACCGATTTGTATGTCCCAGCGTCCAAGATGGAACGTCCATTGCGCTAACTGCCTCCGAGTCCATTCATGCAATATGTGTCGAACCTCACGCAGTTCGACAATGAGTTGAGCAGCTATGTCATGCAGGGATATGTGAGGGAAAAGTAAGTATCCCATTTCGCAATGGCAGGGGAAATGACTGACCAAACTACTATTTACTAGGTATGAGGAATACTTGGGCTGTCAGGGGGTAAACTTGACTGATACCGACGATTATTACGCCCGCTATACGACAAGTGTGTTATGTAGCAGCCTGGTACAAAGTTCAAAGAGTGATTGCAACCTATCCGATGAAGAATCAAGACCGCTTTGCGCTGATACCTGCGTTTGTCAACCCCCTTCTAATCATTTGTTGTTTGGACATCACCACTAACTTCTATTAGGCATCAATGGCGATAAGTGAAGAGGCGATAGTCACGGACACCAACCTCTGCTCCGGAAAGGCAAGCGACTACATGTCTCAAATTCGGTCTGACTTTACGATTTGCGCCCTACCAGCCGATTCGCTTACGGTAACTTGCATCACGGGAGCTGAAAATGAACCGAAAAATTGCGGATTCCGTTCGAATGTCTTGGGACTGTGTTCGTATTGCGCCTCGGGCTCGTCAAATTCCACCGATTCGTGCTGTACAGACTCGAATGCTGCTACTCGGTGTTCGAATGTCACAGTTCCGTCTTCGACACTTCCGCCGATATTCACCTCCACAGCTGCATCCAACTCAACAGCAGGCTCCAATGACTTATCGGGAGGTCAGATAGCAGGGATTGTTATAGGTTCTGTAGCCGGGTTTGCTCTTCTCGCCGCCTTAGCCGTGCTAGCATTGATCTATTGGCGGCGCAGGCGCCGGGCGGAGAATGATAGCTCACTGAATCAGCCCAATCCCCAGAGGAAGGGGTCACCGTCAATGCAGCAGGACCGAAGCCCGCACGAGTTTGCTGCCATACCCGGCGGAAGAGTTGCCAGGATGTCTGCATTGCGCGAAGTTCCCAGCTCATCTCCAGCCCGATCTCGGTACTCTGCTTTGTTCGGTGGCGCAAAGTACAGCGACACCTCAGATTCCGATCACGGTGCCAGCCCTGGGGCAATGTCGAAAAAGATTCCCCCCACAACCGGAAAACGCCATGGCTCGCTTTCCAGTAACTCAGCCTTAGCTGGTGCGGGCACTGATTCCTCCCCTCGGTCAGGAACTGGTGGCCAGTATTCGTCACCAGATGGACTGACCAGCGGCCAGTCAGAGCAGCTGTCCGCCTTCCAAGACTACTACTCGCAGGATGACATTCATCCGGGCGACAAGGTTGCCGTACTCTGGGCATACCAGCCTCGGGCAGGTGATGAATTTGCGCTGGATCGCGGTGAAATGCTAAAAGTGATTGGCATCTGGGATGATGGGTGGGCTACTGGTATTCGAATTCCCGAAACAGCAGAGGATCACGATGCTCGACACCGCGAGCAGCGAGATAGTGGCGTATCGAATGGCTCACGGCGGGCAGCTACATCTCCCGCTCCCGTCGGGGATATCAAGGCATTCCCTCTGGTCTGTGTATGCCTCCCACAACATTGGAGGAAGATCATCGATGGTGGACAAGCTGAAGACGACTGAGGGTTATTGGCAGCAGCTACTTGCCCATCCGTCTATCCAACACATGGTACCATTAACGCCGAATTTATGCCCCAGTGATGATCTTTTTCTTCGATATTGTTTCCTTTCGTGCGATTGATGAGTATAACCATCAGCCTCTCGCCTAGTTTGTCTTTTCAAACTCTTGTGACATGGACGATATCCTGAGACGATTTCATACCCTTGTCATTTGCGCTTATTCTCTGTTGAATTCTGTGAGCTTCTATATACCCCATTCTACAGCAACAGGTTGTTGCTACTTCATGTATGATTTTATTTTTTTCTTTGCTTCCCTTCGTTTTTACATACATCTTATCTCTTCTATGCCGCTGATCCCACCATGTGCACGCGTCTCGTGGACGATATGATGTCGATTACTGGTGCGGTAGCGGGGTTCTTTTATGTGACTACCTATTCGCCATCGTGCAGGGTGAACGATGGTAAGCTTTACGGTTTGGAAGTATAGATTATTCTGATACCGTGTTTCCATAGATGGTTTGAATAATTGAAGATGACTTTGAAATGTAGTTGTTTAATTACATTCTGTATGGACTTGATAACGGAGTAAGATGACCATAGTCAAAGCATATGGATGCGTTCAATCCCTAATTGGAGCTAGATCACAGGCCGCATATACTTGCATCAGACTTGGGCAACCAGGCACCATGATATTCGTGATGATGACGGACAGTACCCGTGCATTGCCTATGTCTCTAGGCATAAATCTAGGTACTGCGCAGTTTTCATGCCCTGACGTGATACTGCTCGGCTAGCCGGGGCTAGTTCCATGGTTGGTAATCTATCAACGGCGGATTATTCCGGTGCAAAACAAGATTCGTCTGCCTGGAGGTACCAAGAATAGAAAAGCCAACAGTAGTTGACTGACAAAGGCAGACAGGCGTCTACAAAATGCTAGCTAGCTAGCTAGCTGGTCGACTTAAAATTTACACCTAAATAGATCTCTCCCAAGATAGCAAAGCCCCCACACTTTGAGCGACCGCCGAGGTATGGATCGTAGATGCCTGGGTCATCCATCTATGCCACATGTACTCCGTAGGTTCTGGCCCAAACACATCGTCATCGCCAGTGAATAATCGCCTGACATGCATCAGGGTGCAGGCAGGTGCATTACCAATGAGTTGGGCCTATGGGTTGGTCACACCTAGTCAACAGTACATACTTTACCTCATTTACCTCACAGTAAAAGTCCAGGCTTATTTCGTCATCCGCAGGATTCAGGGGGAAAAGATGGGTGGGAAGGGGAAATAAGCGGCCGGTGGTGCGACGGGTGGGTCACGTGCTAGGCTCCCCCCACCGCCGCCGCCCGCCGCAGCAGCAGCAGCCCAGCAAAGCACAACTAAATGCCCCTCTATCTCCAGCTCGGTTCCCATCCATCCTCCCCCGTTATATTCCTCTCTTACATCCCCTCATCCTGTCTCCGTTGCTCTTACGCAGACTACCCCGTGAAAGCCATTTGACCAGTTCAACGGTGCTTGGTGCGTATACCACATTTCCCTTTTCGTTCGCCGTTTTTTTTCTCCAACCATCTTGCGATTATGACAAAGGACAAATAAGGGGGAATCCGGCCAACTAACATCGCGTGCATGCGCAGGTTATCTGTCTGTCAACTCGTCTTACCTCTTTACCATCTCTCCCCTTTATCCACACAAACAACCATGTCTGTGAGTAATAATCGCCCTTGCGTTCCCCTCTCAGGGCTAACCATTTATTTTCCTGCCTTGTAGCTCGCGTCTGGGTATGTTCCTGACTGCTTCTGATCTCCGCATGTATCTTCGACCATCCCTACAGTATCGGGAACTCGACGATGACAACCGAATAAGGCTGACTAAGTTACGGAGGACAGTGTTTCCATCACCGATGAGTGCATCACCGCATTCAACGAGTTCCGCATGAGCGGCAACAGCAAGGGAAGCAAGACGAAGTTCATCATCTTCAAGATCGCCGACAACAAGAAGGAGGTTGTCATCGACGAGGTTTCCCAGGACGAGGACTACGAGGTCTTCCGCGAAAAGCTCGCGGCCGCTAAGGATGCTAAGGGCAACCCCGCTCCCCGTTATGCAGTTTACGACGTCGAGTACGACCTGGGCGGTGGTGAAGGCAAGAGGTATGATGATGATGACGATGCCGAACGTTTACTTTAGCATATCTGCTCACTTTCTTCTCACCACAGGAGCAAGATCATCTTCATTTCCTGGGTTCCCAGCGACACCGCTACCCTCGTACGTTCCGCACCGTCTCAGTTGTTCAAGCCCCCAAATCATTGCTGACACCGATGAAACAGTGGTCCATGATCTACGCCAGCACTCGCGAGAACCTGAAGAACGCCCTCAACATCCACACCTCCATCCACGCCGACGACAAGTCCGACATCGAGTGGAAGACCGTCCTGGCCGAGGCC